AGTCTAGATTAACACCAACTTCAGCACAGCAACTCGAGGAATGCTCCGTGTACCCCAAATCGTCTCGAGATGAGAGCTGATTCCCTGGCTTAGGCTCAAGACGTATGCCAACTTCCCAGAAGCACCTCAGGAGGAGGCTTCTCTCAGCTATAAGTATGTGGGAGGGACCCCGAGTTTGCTGCCTCAAGGGGAATATGCAGCGAGAAGCCCTAACTTGAAAGGAGGCCGGATTTCCTTGCAGTGGCTTGAATACAGGCTCGTTTTTCATCTCACAACATGAAGGGATGTCTGAATCCCCTGTGGAGACCTTAGAGAAAGCCCTAGGTCCCTGCCTCATTTTGACGGAATGCCTCACATCCCGCTGACACCTCGAGAGGCACGCGGAGTTCACTGCTTCAAAAGGTGACGATGCCTGACTCCTCTTGAATACTGATAGGAATCCCAAAATCCCTGTGGCGACTGGAAAGGGTCCTTGGGTGCCCTGCCTCACCTCGAGAAGCGTCCCTTTTGCCCTGCCAAGCCTCGAAGAGATTCCTGAGGTGTTCCTCGTTACTAGACAGGAGTCCTGACGTCACTGAAGAAACTCGTGTTTTGAAGGGCCATCCCCGCCGTAAGTCGAGAACATACCCCAGGTCCCCGCCGCAACTCGAGAAAAACCATGAGACTTCCCCCTAGAGGCGAGATGAGGCCCCATTCCCCTGCAGTGCATGCAGAGCTATTCCGTGATCCCATTCAAACAAGTCAGGAGCTTCGACTTGCTTCATGGATCTCGAGAAAGTCCCCAAGAACACTGTCACCAGTCTAGACGGACCCTGAGGTCACCCCAGCAACGCAAAGCAGCTCCATGTGCCCCAAATCAACTCGAGATGAGGCCCGATTCCCCTGCATTGACTCCAGAGCCATTCCCCATTCCCCATTCAACACGACCGGTGTCTCGACTTCCTTCAGGCAACTCCAGAGATGCCCCGAGAACACTGTCCCAAGTCTAGAGGAACACCAACTTCAGCACAGCAACTCGAGGAATGCTCCGTGTACCCCAAATCGTCTCGAGATGAGAGCTGATTCCCTGGCTTAGGCTCAAGACGTATGCCAACTTCCCAGAAGCACCTCAGGAGGAGGCTTCTCTCAGCTATAAGTATGTGGGAGGGACCCCGAGTTTGCTGCCTCAAGGGGAATATACAGCGAGAAGCCCTAACTTGAAAGGAGGCCGGATTTCCTTGCAGTGGCTTGAATACAGGCTCGTCTTTCATCTCACAACATGAAGGGATGTCTGAATCCCCTGTGGAGACCGTAGAGAAAGCCCTAGGTCCCTGCCTCATTTTGACGGAATGCCTCACATCCCGCTGACACATCGAGAGGCACGCGGAGTTCATTGCTTCAAAAGGTGACGATGCCTGACTCCTCTTGAATACTGATAGGAATCCCAAAATACCTGTGGCTACTGGAAAGGGTCCTTGGGTGCCCTGCCTCACCTCGAGAAGCGTCCCTTTTGTCCTGCCAAGCCTCGAAGAGATTCCTGAGGTGTCCCTCGTTACTAGACAGGAGTCCTGACGTCACTGAAGAAACTCGTGTTTTGAAGGGCCATCCCCGCCGTAAGTCGAGAACATACCCCAGGTCCCCGCCGCAACTCGAGAAAAACCATGAGACTTCCCCCTAGAGGCGAGATGAGGCCCCATTCCCCTGCAGTGCATGCAGAGCTATTCCGTGATCCCATTCAAACAAGTCAGGAGCTTCGACTTGCTTAATGGATCTCGAGACAGTCCCCAAGAACACTGTCACCAGTCTAGACGGACCCTGAGGTCACCCCAGCAATGCAAAGCAGCTCCATGTGCCCCAAATCAACTCGAGATGAGGCCCGATTCCCCTGCATTGACTCCAGAGCCATTCCCCGTTCCCCATTCAACACGACCGGTGTCTCGACTTCCTTCAGGCAACTCCAGAGATGCCCCGAGAACACTGTCCCAAGTCTAGAGGAACACCAACTTTAGCACAGCAACTCGAGGAATGCTCCGTGTACCCCAAATCGTCTCGAGATGAGAGCTGATTCCCTGGCTTAGGCTCAAGACGTATGCCAACTCCCCAGAAGCACCTCAGTAGGAGGCTTCTCTCAGCTATAAGTATGTGGGAGGGACCCCGAGTTTGCTGCCTCAAGGGGAATATACAGCGAGAAGCCCTAACTTGAAAGGAGGCCGGATTTCCTTGCAGTGGCTTGAATACAGGCTCGTTTTTCATCTCACAACATGAAGGGATGTCTGAATCCCCTGTGGAGACCTTAGAGAAAGCTCTAGGTCCCTGCCTCATTTTGACGGAATGCCTCACATCCCGCTGACACCTCGAGAGGCACGCGGAGTTCATTGCTTCAAAAGGTGACGATGCCTGACTCCTCTTGAATACTGATAGGAATCCCAAAATCCCTGTGGCTATTGGAAAGGGTCCTTGGGTGCCCTGCCTCACCTCGAGAAGCGTCCTTTTGCCCTGCCAAGCCTCGAAGAGATTCCTGAGGTGTCCCTCGTTACTAGACAGGAGTCCTGACGTAACTGAAGAAACTCGTGTTTTGAAGGGCCATCCCCGCCGTAAGTCGAGAACATACCCCAGGTCCCCGCCGCAACTCGAGAAAAACCATGAGACTTCCCCCTAGAGGCGAGATGAGGCCCCATTCCCCTGCAGTGCATGCAGAGCTATTCCGTGATCCCATTCAAACAAGTCAGGAGCTTCGACTTGCTTCATGGATCTCGAGACAGTCCCCAAGAACACTGTCACCAGTCTAGACGCACCCTGAGGTCACCCCAGCAACGCAAAGCATCTCCATGTGCCCCAAATCAACTCGAGATGAGGCCCGATTCCCCTGCATTGACTCCAGAGCCATTCCCCGTTCCCCATTCAACACGACCGGTGTCTCGACTTCCTTCAGGCAACTCCAGAGATGCCCCGAGAACACTGTCCCAAGTCTAGAGGAACACCAACTTCAGCACAGCAACTCGAGGAATGCTCCGTGTACCCCAAATCGTCTCGAGATGAGAGCTGATTCCCTGGCTTAGGCTCAAGACGTATGCCAACTTCCCAGAAGCACCTCAGGAGGAGGCTTCTCTCAGCAATAGTTATGTGGGAGGGACCCCGAGTTTGCTGCCTCAAGGGGAATATACAGCGAGAAGCCCTAACTTGAAAGGCGGCCGGATTTCCTTGCAGTGGCTTGAATACAGGCTCGTCTTTCATCTCACAACATGAAGGGATGTCTGAATCCCCTGTGGAGACCTTAGAGAAAGCCCTAGGTCCCTGCCTCATTTTGACGGAATGCCTCACATCCCGCTGACACCTCGAGAGGCACGCGGAGTTCATTGCTTCAAAAGGTGACGATGCCTAACTCCTCTTGAATACTGATAGGAATCCCAAAATCCCTGTGGCTACTGGAAAGGGTCCTTGGGTGCCCTGCCTCACCTCGAGAAGCGTCCCTTTGGCCCTGCCAAGCCTCGAAGAGATTCCTGAGGTGTCCCTCGTTACTAGACAGGAGTCCTGACGTCACTGAAAAACTCGTGTTTTGAAGGGCCATCCCCGCCGTAAGTCGAGAACATACCCCAGGTCCCCGCCGCAACTAGAGAAAAACCATGAGACTTCCCCCTAGAGGCGAGATGAGGCCCCATTCCCCTGCAGTGCATGCAGAGCTATTCCGTGATCAAATTCAAACAAGTAAGGAGCTTCGACTTGCTTAATGGATCTCGAGACAGTCCCGAAGAAAACTGTCACCAGTCTAGACGCACCCTGAGGTCACCCCAGCAACGCAAAGCAGCTCCATGTGCCCCAAATCAACTCGAGATGAGGCCCGATTCCCCTGCATTGTCTCCAGAGCCATTCCCCGTTCCCCATTCAACACGACCGGTGGCTCGACTTCCTTCAGGCAACTCCAGAGATGCCCCGAGAACACTGTCCCAAGTCTAGAGGAACACCAACTTCAGCACAGCAACTCGAGGAATGCTCCGTGTACCCCAAATCGTCTCGAGATGAGAGCTGATTCCCTGGCTTAGGCTCAAGACGTATGCCAACTTCCCAGAAGCACCTCAGGAGGAGGCTTCTCTCAGCTATAAGTATGTGGGAGGGACCCCGAGTTTGCTGCCTCAAGGGGAATATACAGCGAGAAGCCCTAACTTGAAAGGAGGCCGGATTTCCTTGCAGTGGCTTGAATACAGGCTCGTTTTTCATCTCACAACATGAAGGGATGTCTGAATCCCCTGTGGAGACCTTAGAGAAAGCCCTAGGTCCCTGCCTCATTTTGACGGAATGCCTCACATCCCGCTGACACCTCGAGAGGCACGCGGAGTTCATTGCTTCAAAAGGTGACGATGCCTGACTCCTCTTGAATACTCATAGGAATCCCAAAATCCCTGTGGCTATTGGAAAGGGTCCTTGGGTGCACTGCCTCACCTCGAGAAGCGTCCTTTTGCCCTGCCAAGCCTCGAAGAGATTCCTGAGGTGTCCCTCGTTACTAGACAGGAGTCCTGACGTCACTGAAGAAACTCGTGTTTTGAAGGGCCATCCCCGCCGTAAGTCGAGAACATACCCCAGGTCCCCGCCGCAACTCGAAAAAAACCATGAGACTTCCACCTAGAGGCGAGATGAGGCCCCATTCCCCTGCAGTGCATGCAGAGCTATTCCGTCATTCCATTCAAACAAGTCAGGAGCTTCGACTTGCATCATGGATCTCGAGACAGTCCCCAAGAACACTGTCACCTGTCTAGACACACCCTGAGGTCACCCGAGCAACGCAAAGCAGCTCCATGTGCCCCAAATCAACTCGAGATGAGGCCCGATTCCCCTGCATTGTCTCCAGAGCCATTCCCCGTTCCCCATTCAACACGACCGGTGTCTCGACTTCCTTCAGGCAACTCCAGAGATGCCCCGAGAACACTGTCCCAAGTCTAGAGGAACACCAACTTCAGCACAGCAACTCGAGGAATGCTCCGTGTACCCCAAATCGTCTCGAGATGAGAGCTGATTCCCTGGCTTAGGCTCAAGACGAATGCCAACTTCCCAGAAGCACCTCAGGAGGAGGCTTCTCTCAGCAATAGGTATGTGGGAGGGACCCTGAGTTTGCTGCCTCAAGGGGAATATACAGCGAGAAGCCCTAACTTGAAAGGAGGCCGGATTTCCTAGCAGTGGCTTGAATACAGGCTCGTCTTTCATCTCACAACATGAAGGGATGTCTGAATCCCCTGTGGAGACGTTAGAGAAAGCCCTAGGTCCCTGCCTCATTTTGACGGAATGCCTCACATCCCGCTGACACCTCGAGAGGCACGCGGAGTTCATTGCTTCAAAAGCTGACGATGCCTGACTCCTCTTGAATACTGAGAGGAATCCCAAAATCCCTGTGGCTACTGGAAAGGGTCCTTGGGTGCCCTGCCTCACATCGAGAAGCGTCCCTTTCGTCCTGCCAAGCCTCGAAGAGATTCCTGAGGTGTCCCTCGTTACTAGACAGGAGTCCTGACGTCACTGAAGAAACTCGTGTTTTGAAGGGCCATCCCCGCCTTAAGTCGAGAACATACCCCAGGTCCCCGCCGCAACTCGAGAAAAACCATGAGACTTCCCCCTAGAGGCGAGATGAGGCCCCATTCCCTGCAGTGCATGCAGAGCTATTCCGTGATCCCATTCAAACAAGTCAGGAGCTTCGACTTGCTTAATGGATCTCGAGACAGTCCCCAAGAACACTGTCACCAGTCTAGACGGACCCTGAGGTCACCCCAGCAACGCAAAGCAGCTCCATGTGCCCCAAATCAACTCGAGATGAGGCCCGATTCCCCTGCATTGACTCCAGAGCCATTCCCCGTTCCCCATTCAACACGACCGGTGGCTCGACTTCCTTCAGGCAACTCCAGAGATGCCCCGAGAACACTGTCCCAAGTCTAGAGGAACACCAACTTCAGCACAGCAACTCGAGGAATGCTCCGTGTACCCCAAATCGTCTCGAGATGAGAGCTGATTCCCTGGCTTAGGCTCAAGACATATGCCAACTTCCCAGAAGCACCTCAGGAGGAGGCTTCTCTCAGCAATAGGTATGTGGGAGGGACCCCGAGTTTGTTGCCTCAAGGGGAAGATACAGCGAGAAGCCCTAACTTGAAAGGAGGCCGGATTTCCTTGCAGTGGCTTGAATACAGGCTCGTCTTTCATCTCACAACATGAACGGATGTCTGAATCCCCTGTGGAGACCTTAGAGAAAGCCCTAGGTCCCTGCCTCATTTTGACGGAATTCCTCACATCCCGCTGACACCTCGAGAGGCACGCGGAGTTCATTGCTTCAAAAGGTGACGATGCCTGACTCCTCTTGAATACTGATAGGAATCTCAAAATCCATGTGGCTACTGGAAAGGGTCCTTGGGTGCCCAGCCTCACCTCGAGAAGCGTCCCTTTTGCCCTGCCAAGCCTCGAAGAGATTCCTGAGGTGTCCCTCGTTACTAGACAGGAGTCCTGACGTCACTGAAGAAACTCGTGTTTTGAAGGGCCATCCCCGCCGTAAGTCGAGAACATACCCCAGGTCCCCGCCGCAACTCGAGAAAAACCATGAGACTTCCCCCTAGAGGCGAGATGAGGCCCCATTCCCCTGCAGTGCATGCAGAGCTATTCTGTGATCCCATTCAAACAAGTCAGGAGCTTCGACTTGCTTCATGGATCTCGAGACAGTCCCCAGGAACACTGTCACCAGTCTAGACGGACCCTGAGGTCACCCCAGCAACGCAAAGCAGCTCCATGTGCCCCAAATCAACTCGAGATGAGGCCCGATTCCCCTGCATTGACTCCGGAGCCATTCCCCGTTCCCCATTCAACACGACCGGTGTCTCGACTTCCTTCAGGCAACTCCAGAGATGCCCCGAGAACACTGTCCCAAGTCTAGAGGAACACCAACTTCAGCACAGCAACTCGAGGAATGCTCCGTGTACCCCAAATCGTCTCGAGATGAGAGCTGATTCCCTGGCTTAGGCTCAAGACGTATGCCAACTTCCCAGAAGCACCTCAGGAGGAGGCTTCTCTCAGCAATAGGTATGTGGGAGGGACCCCGAGTTTGCTGCCTCAAGGGGAATATACAGCGAGAAGCCCTAACTTGAAAGGAGGCCGGATTTCCTTGCAGTGGCTTGAATACAGGCTCGTCTTTCATCTCACAACATGAAGGGATGTCTGAATCCCCTGTGGAGACCTTAGAGAAAGCCCTAGGTCCCTGCCTCATTTTGACGGAATGCCTCACATCCCGCTGACACCTCGAGAGGCACGCGGAGTTCATTGCTTCAAAAGGTGACGATGCCTGACTCCTCTTGAATACTGATAGGAATCCCAAAATCCCTGTGGCTATTGGAAACGGTCCTTGGGTGCCCTGCCTCACCTCGAGAAGCGTCCATTTGCCCTGCCAAGCCTCGAAGAGATTCCTGAGGTGTCCCTCGTTACTAGACAGGAGTCCTGACGTCACTGAAGAAACTCGTGTTTTGAAGGGCCATCCCCGCCGTAAGTCGAGAACATACCCCAGGTCCCCGCCGCAACTCGAGAAAAACCATGAGACTTCCCCCTAGAGGCAAGATGAGGCCCCATTCCCCTGCAGTGCATGCAGAGCTATTCCGTGATCCCATTCAAACAAGTCAGGAGCTTCGACTTGCTTCATGGATCTCGAGACAGTCCCCAAGAACACTGTCACCAGTCTAGACGGACCCTGAGGTCACCCCAGCAATGCAAAGCAGCTCCATGTGCCCCAAATCAACTCGAGATGAGGCCCGATTCCCCTGCATTGACTCCAGAGCCATTCCCCGTTCCCCATTCAACACGACCGGTGGCTCGACTTCATTCAGGCAACTCCAGAGATGCCCCGAGAACACTGTCCCAAGTCCAGAGGAAGACCAACTTCAGCAAAGCAACTCGAGGAATGCTCCGTGTACCCCAAATCGTCTCGAGATGAGAGCTGATTCCCTGGCTTATTCTCAAGACGTATGCCAACTTCCCAGAAGCACCTCAGGAGGAGGCTTCTCTCAGCAATAGGTATGTGGGAGGGACCCCGAGTTTGCTGCCTCAATGGGAATATACAGCGAGAAGCCCTAACTTGAAAGGAGGCCGGATTTCCTTGCAGTGGCTTGAATACAGGCTCGTCTTTCATCTCACAACATGAAGGGATGTCTGAATCCCCTGTGGAGACCTTAGAGAAAGCCCTAGGTCCCTGCCTCATTTTGACGGAATGCCTCACATCCCGCTGACACCTCGAGAGGCACGCGGAGTTCATTGCTTCAAAAGGTGACGATGCCTAACTCCTCTTGAATACTGATAGGAATCCCAAAATCCCTGTGGCTACTGGAAAGGGTCCTTGGGTGCCCTGCCTCACCTCGAGAAGCGTCCCTTTGGCCCTGCCAAGCCTCGAAGAGATTCCTGAGGTGTCCCTCGTTACTACACAGGAGTCCTGACGTCACTGAAAAACTCGTGTTTTGAAGGGCCATCCCCGCCGTAAGTCGAGAACATACCCCAGGTCCCCGCCGCAACTAGAGAAAAACCATGAGACTTCCCCCTAGAGGCGAGATGAGGCCCCATTCCCCTGCAGTGCATGCAGAGCTATTCCGTGATCAAATTCAAACAAGTAAGGAGCTTCGACTTGCTTAATGGATCTCGAGACAGTCCCCAAGAACACTGTCACCAGTCTAGACGCACCCTGAGGTCACCCCAGCAACGCAAAGCAGCTCCATGTGCCCCAAATCAACTCGAGATGAGGCCCGATTCCCCTGCATTGACTCCAGAGCCATTCCCCGTTCCCCATTCAACACGACCGGTGGCTCGACTTCCTTCAGGCAACTCCAGAGATGCCCCGAGAACACTGTCCCAAGTCTAGAGGAACACCAACTTCAGCACAGCAACTCGAGGAATGCTCCGTGTACCCCAAATCGTCTCGAGATGAGAGCTGATTCCCTGGCTTAGGCTCAAGACGTATGCCAACTTCCCAGAAGCACCTCAGGAGGAGGCTTCTCTCAGCTATAAGTATGTGGGAGGGACCCCGAGTTTGCTGCCTCAAGGGGAATATACAGCGAGAAGCCCTAACTTGAAAGGAGGCCGGATTTCCTTGCAGTGGCTTGAATACAGGCTCGTCTTTCATCTCACAACATGAAGGGATGTCTGAATCCCCTGTTTAGACCTTAGAGAAAGCCCTAGGTCCCTGCCTCATTTTGACGGAATGCCTCACATCCCGCTGACACCTCGAGAGGCACGCGGAGTTCATTGCTTCAAAAGGTGACGATGCCTGACTCCTCTTGAATACTGATAGGAATCCCAAAATCCCTGTGGCTACTGGAAAGGGTCCTTGGGTGCCCTGCCTCACCTCGAGAAGCGTCCCTTTTGTCCTGCCAAGCCTCGAAGAGATTCCTGAGGTGTCCCTCGTTACTAGACAGGAGTCCTGACGTCACTGAAGAAACTCGTGTTTTGAAGGGCCATCCCCGCCGTAAGTCGAGAACATACCCCAGGTCCCCGCCGCAACTCGAGAAAAACCATGAGACTTCCCCCTAGAGGCGAGATGAGGCCCCATTCCCCTGCAGTGCATGCAGAGCTATTCCGTGATCCCATTCAAACAAGTCAGGAGCTTCGACTTGCTTCATGGATCTCGAGACAGTCCCCAAGAACACTGTCACCAGTCTAGACGGTCCCTGAGGTCACCCCAGCAACGCAAAGCAGCTCCATGTGCCCCAAATCACCTCGAGATGAGGCCCGATTCCCCTGCATTGACTCCAGAGCCATTCCCCGTTCCCCATTCAACACGACCGGTGTCTCGACTTCCTTCAGGCAACTCCAGAGATGCCCCGAGAACACTGTCCCAAGTCTAGAGGAACAACAACTTCAGCACAGCAACTCGAGGAATGCTCCGTGTACCCCAAATCGTCTCGAGATGAGAGCTGATTCCCTGGCTTAGGCTCAAGACGTATGCCAACTTCCCAGAAGCACCTCAGGAGGAGGCTTCTCTCAGCAATAGGTATGTGGGAGGGACCCCGAGTTTGCTGCCTCAAGGGGAATATACAGCGAGAAGCCCTAACTTGAAAGGAGGCCGGATTTCCTTGCAGTGGCTTGAATACAGGCTCGTCTTTCATCTCACAACATGAAGGGATGTCTGAATCCCCTGTGGAGACCTTAGAGAAAGCCCTAGGTCCCTGCCTCATTTTGACGGAATGCCTCATATCCCGCTGACACCTCGAGAGGCACGCGGAGTTCATTGCTTCAAAAGGTGACGATGCCTGACTCCTCTTGAATACTGATAGGAATCCCAAAATCCCTGTGGCTATTGAAAAGGGTCCTTGGGTGCCCTGCCTCACCTCGAGAAGCGTCCTTTTGCCCTGCCAAGCCTCGAAGAGATTCCTGAGGTGTCCCTCGTTACTAGACAGGAGTCCTGACGTCACTGAAGAAACTCGTGTTTTGAAGGGCCATCCCCGCCGTAAGTCGAGAACATACCCCAGGTCCCCGCCGCAACTCGAGAAAAACCATGAGACTTCCCCCTAGAGGCGAGATGAGGCCCCATTCCCCTGCAGTGCATGCAGAGCTATTCCGTGATCCCATTCAAACAAGTCAGGAGCTTCGACTTGCTTCATGGATCTCGAGACAGTCCCCAAGAACACTGTCACCAGTCTAGACGGTCCCTGAGGTCACCCCAGCAACGCAAAGCAGCTCCATGTGCCCCAAATCACCTCGAGATGAGGCCCGATTCCCCTGCATTGACTCCAGAGCCATTCCCCTTTCCCCATTCAACACGACCGGTGGTTCGACTTCCTTCAGGCAACTCCAGAGATGACCCGAGAACACTGTCCCAAGTCTAGAGGAACACCAACTTCAGCACAGCAACTCGAGGAATGCTCCGTGTACCCCAAATCGTCTCGAGATGAGAGCTGATTCCCTGGCTTAGGCTCAAGACGTATGCCAACTTCCCAGAAGCACCTCAGGAGGAGGCTTCTCTCAGCAATAGGTATGTGGGAGGGACCCCGAGTTTGCTGCCTCAAGGGGAATATACAGCGAGAAGCCCTAACTTGAAAGGAGGCCGGATTTCCTTGCAGTGGCTTGAATACAGGCTCGTCTTTCATCTCACAACATGAAGGGATGTCTGAATCCCCTGTGGAGACCTTAGAGAAAGCCCTAGGTCCCTGCCTCATTTTGACGGAATGCCTCACATCCCGTTGACACCTCGAGAGGCACGCGAAGTTCATTGCTTCAAAAGGTGACGATGCCTGACTCCTCTTGAATACTGATAGGAATCCCAAAATCCCTGTGGCTATTGGAAAGGGTCCTTGGGTGCCCTGCCTCACCTCGAGAAGCGTCCTTTTGCCCTGCCAAGCCTCGAAGAGATTCCTGAGGTGTCCCTCGTTACTAGACAGGAGTCCTGACGTCACTGAAGAAACTCGTGTTTTGAAGGGCCATCCCCGCCGTAAGTCGAGAACATACACCAGGTCCCCGCCGCAACTCGAGAAAAACCATGAGACTTCCCCCTAGAGGCGAGATGAGGCCCCATTCCCCTGCAGTGCATGCAGAGCTATTCCGTGATCCCATTCAAACAAGTCAGGAGCTTCGACTTGCTTCATGGATCTCGAGACAGTCCCCAAGAACACTGTCACCAGTCTAGACGGACCCTGAGGTCACCCCAGCAACGCAAAGCAGCTCCATGTGCCCCAAATCAACTCGAGATGAGGCCCGATTCCCCTGCATTGACTCCAGAGCCATTCCCCGTTCCCCATTCAACACGACCGGTGGCTCGACTTCCTTCAGGCAACTCCAGAGATGCCCCGAGAACACTGTCCCAAGTCTAGAGGAACACCAACTTCTGCACAGCAACTCGAGGAATGCTCCGTGTACCCCAAATCGTCTCGAGATGCGAGCTGATTCCCTGGCTTAGGCTCAAGACGTATGCCAACTTCCCAGAAGCACCTCAGGAGGAGGCTTCTCTCAGCAATAGGTATGTGCGAGGGACCCCGAGTTTGTTGCCTCAAGGGGAATATACAGCGAGAAGCCCTAACTTGAAACGAGGCCGGATTTCCTTGCAGTGGCTTGAATACAGGCTCGTCTTTCATCTCACAACATGAAGGGATGTCTGAATCCCCTGTGGAGACCTTAGAGAAAGCCCTAGGTCCCTGTCTCATTTTGACGGAATGCCTCACATCCCGCTGACACCTCGAGAGGCACGCGGAGTTCATTGCTTCAAAAGGTGACGATGCCTGACTCCTCTTGAATACTGATAGGAATCCCAAAATCCCTGTGGCTACTGGAAAGGGTCCTTGGGTGCCCTGCCTCACCTCGAGAAGCGTCCCTTTTGCCCTGCCAAGCCTTGAAGAGATTCCTGAGGTGTCCCTCGTTACTAGACAGGAGTCCTGACGTCACTGAAGAAACTCGTGTTTTGAGGGGCCATCCCAGCCGTAAGTCGAGAACATACCCCAGGTCCCCGCCGCAACTCGAGAAAAACCATGAGACTTCCCCCTAGAGGCGAGATGAGGCCCCTTTCCCCTGCAGTGCATGCAGAGCTATTCCGTGATCCCATTCAAACAAGTCAGGAGCTTCGACTTGCTTAATGGATCTCTAGACAGTCCCCAAGATCACTGTCACCAGTCTAGACGGACCCTGAGGTCACCCCAGCAACGCAAAGCAGCTCCATGTGCCCCAAATCAACTCGAGATGAGGCCCGATCCCCTGCATTGACTCCAGAGCCATTCCCCGTTCCCCATTCAACATGACCGGTGGCTCGACTTCCTTCAGGCAACTCCAGAGATGCCCCGAGAACACTGTCCCAAGTCTAGAGGAACACCAACGTCAGCACAGCAACTCGAGGAATGCTCCGTGTACCCCAAATCGTCTCGAGATGAGAGCTGATTCCCTGGCTTAGGCTCAAGACATATGCCAACTTCCCAGAAGCACCTCAGGAGGAGGCTTCTCTCAGCAATAGGTATGTGGAAGGGACCCCGAGTTTGCTTCCTCAAGGGGAATATACAGCGAGAAGCCCTAACTTGAAAGGAGGCCGGATTTCCTTGCAGTGGCTTGAATACAGGCTCGTCTTTCATCTCACAACATGAAGGGATGTCTGAATCCCCTGTGGAGACCTTAGAGAAAGCCCTAGGTCCCTGCCTCATTTTGACGGAGTGCCTCACATCCCGCTGACACCTCGAGAGGCACGCGGAGTTCAAAGCTTCAAAAGGTGACGATGCCTGACTCCTCTTGAATACTGATAGGAATCCCAAAATCCCTGTGGCTATTGGAAAGGGTCCTTGGGTGCCCTGCCTCACCTCGAGAAGCGTCCTTTTGCCCTGCCAAGCCTCGAAGAGATTCCTGAGGTGTCCCTCGTTACTAGACAGGAGTCCTGACGTCACTGAAGAAACTCGTGTTTTGAAGGGCCATCCCCGCCGTAAGTCGAGAACATACCCCAGGTCCCCGCCGCAACTCGAGAAAAACCATGAGACTTCCCCCTAGAGGCGAGATGAGGCCCCATTCCCCTGCAGTGCATGCAGAGCTATTCCGTGATCCCATTCAAACAAGTCAGGAGCTTCGACTTGCTTCATGGATCTCGAGACAGTCCCCAAGAACACTGTCACCAGTCTAGACGGACCCTGAGGTCACCCCAGCAACGCAAAGCAGCTCCATGTGCCCCAAATCAACTCGAGATGAGGCCCGATTCCCCTGCATTGACTCCAGAGCCATTCCCCGTTCCCCATTCAGCATGACCGGTGGCTCTACTTCCTTCAGGCAACTCCAGAGATGCCCCGAGAACACTGTCCCAAGTCTAGAGGAACACCAACTTCAGCACAGCAACTCGAGGAATGCTCCGTGTACCCCAAATCGTCTCGAGATGAGAGCTGATTCCCTGGCTTAGGCTCAAGACATATGCCAACTTCCCAGAAGCACCTCAGGAGGAGGCTTCTCTCAGCAATAGGTATGTGGGAGGGACCCCGAGTTTGCTGCCTCAAGGGGAATATACAGCGAGAAGCCCTAACTTGAAAGGCGGCCGGATTTCCTTGCAGTGGCTTGAATACAGGCTCGTCTTTCATCTCACAACATGAAGGGATGTCTGAATCCCCTGTGGAGACCTTAGAGAAAGCCCTAGGTCCCTGCCTCATTTTGACGGAATGCCTCACATCCCGCTGACACCTCGAGAGGCACGCGGAGTTCATTGCTTCAAAAGGTGACGATGCCTGACTCCTCTTGAATACTGATAGGAATCCCAAAATCCCTGTGGCTACTGGAAAGGGTCCTTGGGTGCCCTGCCTCACCTCGAGAAGCGTCCCTTTTGCCCTGCCAAGCCTCGAAGAGATTCCTGAGGTGTCCCTCGTTACTAGACAGGAGTCCTGACGTCACTGAAGAAACTCGTGTTTTGAAGGGCCATCCCAGCCGTAAGTCGAGAACATACCCCAGGTCCCCGCCGCAACTCGAGAAAAACCATGAGACTTCCCCCTAGAGGCGAGATGAGGCCCCATTCCCCTGCAGTGCATGCAGAGCTATTCCGTGATCCCATTCAAACAAGTCAGGAGCTTCGACTTGCTTCATGGATCTCGAGACAGTCCCCAAGAACACTGTCACCAGTCTAGACGGACCCTGAGGTCACCCCAGCAACGCAAAGCAGCTCCATGTGCCCCAAATCAACTCGAGATGAGGCCCGATTCCCCTGCATTGACTCCAGAGCCATTCCCTGTTCCCCATTCAACACGACCGGTGGCTCGACTTCCTTCAGGCAACTCCAGAGATGCCCCGAGAACACTGTCCCAAGTCTAGAGGAACACCAACTTCAGCACAGCAACTCGAGGAATGCTCCGTGTACCCCAAATCGTCTCGAGATGAGAGCTGATTCCCTGGCTTAGGCTCAAGACGTAGGCCAACTTCACAGAAGCACCTCAGGAGGAGGCTTCTCTCAGCAATAGGTATGTGGGAGGGACCCCGAGTTTGCTGCCTCAAGGGGAATATACAGCGAGAAGCCCTAACTTGAAAGGAGGCCGGATTTCCTTGCAGTGGCTTGAATACAGGCTCGTCTTTCATCTCACAACATGAAGGGATGTCTGAATCCCCTGTGGAGACCTTAGAGAAAGCCCTAGGTCCCTGCCTCATTTTGACGGAATGCCTCACATCCCGCTGACACCTCGAGAGGCACGCGGAGTTCATTGCTTCAAAAGGTGACGATGCCTGACTCCTCTTGAATACTGATAGGAATCCCAAAATCCCTGTGGCTACTGGAAAGGGTCCTTGGGTGCCCTGCCTCACCTCGAGAAGCGTCCCTTTTGCCCTGCCAAGCCTCGAAGAGATTCCTGAGGTGTCCCTCGTTACTAGACAGGAGTCCTGACGTCACTGAAGAAACTCGTGTTTTGAGTGGCCATCCCAGCCGTAAGTCGAGAACATACCCCAGGTCCCCGCCGCAACTCGAGAAAAACCATGAGACTTCCCCCGAGATTCGAGATGAGGCCCCATTCCCCTGCAGTGCATGCAGAGCTATTCCGTGATCCCATTCAAACAAGTCAGGAGCTTCGACTTGCTTAATGGATCTCTAGACAGTCCCCAAGATCACTGTCACCAGTCTAGACGGACCCTGAGGTCACCCCAGCAACGCAAAGCAGCTCCATGTGCCCCAAATCAACTCGAGATGAGGCCCGATTCCCCTGCATTGACTCCAGAGCCATTCCCCGTTCCCCATTCAACACGACCGGTGGCTCGACTTCCTTCAGGCAACTCCAGAGATGCCCCGAGAACACTGTCCCAAGTCTAGAGGAACACCAACTTCAGCACAGCAACTCGAGGAATGCTCCGTGTACCCCAAATCGTCTCGAGATGCGAGCTGATTCCCTGGCTTAGGCTCAAGACGTATGCCAACTTCCCAGAAGCACCTCAGGAGGAGGCTTCTCTCAGCAATAGGTATGTGGGAGGGACCCCGAGTTTGCTGCCTCAAGGGGAATATACAGCGAGAAGCCCTAACTTGAAAGGCGGCCGGATTTCCTTGCAGTGGCTTGATTACAGGCTCGTCTTTCATCTCACAACATGAAGGGATGTCTGAATCCCCTGTGGAGACCTTAGAGAAAGCCCTAGGTCCCTGCCTCATTTTGACAGAATGCCTCACGTCGCGCTGACACCTCGAGAGGCACGCGGAGTTCATTGCTTCAAAAGGTGACGATGCCTGACTCCTCTTGAATACTGATAGGAATCCCAAAATCCCTGTGGCTACTGGAAAGGGTCCTTGGGTGCCCTGCCTCACCTCAAGAAGCGTCTCTTTTGCCCTGCAAAGCCTCGAAGAGATTCCTGAGGTGTCCCTCGTTACTAGACAGGAGTCCTGACGTCACTGAAGAAACTCGTGTTTGGAAGGGCCATCCCCGCCGTAAGTCGAGAACATACCCCAGGTCCCCGCCGCAACTCGAGAAAAACCATGAGACTTCCCCCTAGAGGCGAGATGAGGCCCCATTCCCCTGCAGTGCATGCAGAGCTATTCCGTGATCCCATTCAAACAAGTCAGGAGCTTCGACTTGCTTAATGGATCTCGAGACAGTCCCCAAGAACACTGTCACCAGTCTAGACGGACCCTGAGGTCACCCCAGCAACGCAAAACAGCTCCATGTGCCCCAAATCAACTCGAGATGAGGCCCGATTCCCCTGCATCGACTCCAGAGCCATTCCCCTTTCCCCATTCAACACGACCGGTGGCTCGACTTCCTTCAGGCAACTCCAGAGATGCCCCGAGAACACTGTCCCAAGTCTAGAGGAACACCAACTTCAGCACAGCAACTCGAGGAATGCTCCGTGTACCCCAAATCGTCTCGAGATGAGAGCTGATTCCCTGGCTTAGGCTCAAGACGTATGCCAACTTCCCAGAAGCACCTCAGGAGGAGGCTTCTCTCAGCAATAGGTATGTGGGAGGGACCCCGAGTTTGCTGCCTCAAGGGGAATATACAGCGAGAAGCCCTAACTTGAAAGGAGGCCGGATTTCCTTGCAGTGGCTTGAATACAGGCTCGTCTTTCATCTCACAACATGAAGGGATGACTGAATCCCCTGTGGAGACCTTAGAGAAAGCCCTAGGTCCCTGCCTCATTTTGATGGAATGCCTCACATCCCGCTGACACCTCGAGAGGCACGCGGAGTTCATTGCTTCAAAAGGTGACGATGCCTGACTCCTCTTGAATACTGATAGGAATCCCAAAATCCCTGTGGCTACTGGAAAGGGTCCTTGGGTGCCCTGCCTCACCTCGAGAAGCGTCCCATTTGCCCTGCCAAGCCTCGAAGAGATTCCTGATTTGTCCCTCGTTACTAGACAGGAGTCCTGACGTCACTGAAGAAACTCGTGTTTTGAAGGGCCATCCCCGCCGTAAGTCGAGAATATACCCCAGGTCCCCGCCGCAACTCGAGAAAAACCATGAGAATTCCCCCTAGAGGCGAGATGAGGCCCCATTCCCCTGCAGTGCATGCAGAGCTATTCCGTGATCCCATTCAAACAAGTCAGGAGCTTCGACTTGCTTAATGGATCTCTAGACAGTCCCCAAGATCACTGTCACCGGTCTAGACGGACCCTGAGGTCACCCCAGCAACGCAAAGCAGCTCCATGTGCCCCAAATAAACTCGAGATGAGGCCCGATTCCCCTGCATTGATTCCAGAGCCATTCCCCGTTCCCCATTCAACACGACCGGTGGCTCGACTTCCTTCAGGCAACTCCAGAGATGCCCCGAGAACACTGTCCCAAGTCTAGAGGAACACCAACTTCAGCACAGCAACTCGAGGAATGCTCCGTGTACCCCAAATCGTCTCGAGATGCGAGCTGATTCCCTGGCTTAGGCTCAAGACGTATGCCAACTTCCCAGAAGCACCTCAGGATGAGGATTCTCTCAGCAATAGGTATGTGGGAGGGACCCCGAGTTTGTTGCCTCAAGGGGAATATACAGCGAGAAGCCCTAACTTGAAACGCGGCCGGATTTCCTTGCAGTGGCTTGAATACAGGCTCGTCTTTCATCTCACAACATGAAGGGATGTCTGAATCCCCTGTGGAGACCTTAGAGAAAGACCTAGGTCCCTGCCTCCTTTTGACGGAATGCCTCACATCCCGCTGACACCTCGAGAGGCACGCGGAGTTCATTGCTTCAAAAGGTGACGATGCCTGACTCCTCTTGAATACTGATAGGAATCCCAAAATCCCTGTGGCTACTGGAAAGGGTCCTTGGGTGCCCTGCCTCACCTCGAGAAGCGTCCCTTTTGCCCTGCCAAGCCTCGAAGAGATTCCTGAGGTGTCCCTCGTTACTAGACAGGAGTCCTGACGTCACTGAAGAAACTCGTGTTTTGAAGGGCCATCCCAGCCGTAAGTCAAGAACATACCCCAGGTCCCCGCCTCAACTCGAGAAAAACCATGAGACTTCCCCCTAGAGGCGAGATGAGGCCCCATTCCCCTGCAGTGCATGCAGAGCTATTCCGTGATCCCATTCAAACAAGTCAGGAGCTTCGACTTGCTTAATGGATCTCGAGACAGTCCCCAAGAACACTGTCACCAGTCTAGACGGACCCTGAGGTCACCCAGCAATGCAAAGCAGCTCCATGTGCCCCAAATCAACTCGAGATGAGGCCCGATTCCCCTGCATTGACTCCAGAGCCATTCCCCGTTCCCCATTCAGCACGACCGGTGGCTCTACTTCCTTCAGGCAACTCCAGAGATGCCCCGAGAACACTGTCCCAAGTCTAGAGGAACACCAACTTCAGCACAGCAACTCGAGGAATGCTCCGTGTACCCCAAATCGTCTCGAGATGAGAGCTGATTCCCTGGCTTAGGCTCAAGATGTATGCCAACTTCCCAGAAGCACCTCAGGAGGAGGCTTCTCTCAGCAATAGGTATGTGGGAGGGACCCCGAGTTTGCTGCCTCAAGGGGAATATACAGCGAGAAGCCCTAACTTGAAAGGAGGCCGGATTTCCTTGCAGTGGCTTGAATACAGGCTCGTCTTTCATCTCACAACATGAAGGGATGTCTGAATCCCCTGTGGAGACCTTAGAGAAAGCCCTAGGTCCCTGCCTCATTTTGACGGAATGCCTCACATCCCGCTGACACCTCGAGAGGCACGCGGAGTTCATTGCTTCAAAAGGTGACGATGCCTGACTCCTCTTGAATACTGATAGGAATCCCAAAATCCCTGTGGCTACTGGAAAGGGTCCTTGGGTGCCCTGCCTCACCTCGAGAAGCGTCCCTTTTGCCCTGCCAAGCCTCGAAGAGATTCCTGAGGCGTCCCTCGTTACTAGACAGGAGTCCTGACGTCACTGAAGAAACTCGTGTTTTGAAGGGCCATCCCCGCCGTAAGTCGAGAACATACCCCAGGTCCCCGCCGCAACTCGAGAAAAACCATGAGACTTCCTCCTAGAGGAGAGATGAGTCCCCATTCCCCTGCAGTGCATGCAGAGCTATTCCGTGATCCCATTAAAACAAGTCAGGAGCTTCGACTTCCTTAATGGATCTCGAGACAGTCCCCAAGAACACTGTCACCAGTCTAGACGGACCCTGAGGTCATGCCAGCAACGCAAAGCAGCTCCATGTGCCCCAAATCAACTCGAGATGAGGCCCGATTCCCCTGCATTGACTCCAGAGCCATTCCCCGTTCCCCATTCAACACGACCGGTGGCTCGACTTCCTTCAGGCAACTCCAGAGATGCCCCGAGAACACTGTCCCAAGTCCAGAGGAACACCAACTTCAGCACAGCAACTCGAGGAATGCTCCGTGTACCCCAAATCGTCTCGAGATGAGAGCTGATTCCCTGGCTTAGGCTCAAGACGTATGCCAACTTCCCAGAAGCACCTCAGGAGGAGGCTTCTCTCAGCTATAATATGTGGGAGGGACCCCGAGTTTGCTGCCTCAAGGGGAATATACAGCGAGAAGCCGTAACTTGAAAGGAGGCCGGATTTCCTTGCAGTGGCTTGAATACAGGCTTGTCTTTCATCTCACAACATGAAGGGATGTCTGAATCCCCTGTGGAGACCTTAGAGAAAGCCCTAGGTCCCTGCCTCATTTTGACGGAATGCCTCACATCCCGCTGACACCTCGAGAGGCACGCGGAGTTCATTGCTTCAAAAGGTGACGATGCCTGACTCCTCTTGAATACTGATAGGAATCCCAAAATCCCTGTGGCTACTGGAAAGGGTCCTTGGGTGCCCTGCCTCACCTCGAGAAGCGTCCCTTTTGCCCTGCCAAGCCTCGAAGAGATTCCTGAGGCGTCCCTTGTTACTAGACAGGAGTCCTGACGTCACTGAAGAAACTCGTGTTTTGAAGGGCCATCCCCGCCGTAAGTCGAGAACATACCCCAGGTCCCCGCCGCAACTCGAGAAAAACCATGAGACTTCCCCCTAGAGGAGAGATGAGGCCCCATTCCCCTGCAGTGCATGCAGAGCTATTCCGTGATCCCATTCAAACAAGTCAGGAGCTTCGACTTGCTTAATGGATCTCGAGACAGTCCCCAAGAACACTGTCACCAGTCTAGACGGACCCTGAGGTCACCCAGCAATGCAAAGCAGCTCCATGTGCCCCAAATCAACTCGAGATGAGGCCCGATTCCCCTGCATTGACTCCAGAGCCATTCCCCGTTCCCCATTCAGCACGACCGGTGGCTCTACTTCCTTCAGGCAACTCCAGAGATGCCCCGAGAACACTGTCCCAAGTCTAGAGGAACACCAACTTCAGCACAGCAACTCGAGGAATGCTCCGTGTACCCCAAATCGTCTCGAGATGAGAGCTGATTCCCTGGCTTAGGCTCAAGATGTATGCCAACTTCCCAGAAGCACCTCAGGAGGAGGCTTCTCTCAGCAATAGGTATGTGGGAGGGACCCCGAGTTTGCTGCCTCAAAGGGAATATACAACGAGAAGCCCTAACTTGAAAGGAGGCCGGATTTCCTTGCAGTGGCTTGAATACAGGCTCGTCTTTCATCTCACAACATGAAGGGATGTCTGAATCCCCTGTGGAGACCTTAGAGAAAGCCCTAGGTCCCTGCCTCATTTTGACGGAATGCCTCACATCCCGCTGACACCTCGAGAGGCACGCGGAGTTCATTGCTTCAAAAGGTGACGATGCCTGACTCCTCTTGAATACTGATAGGAATCCCAAAATCCCTGTGGCTACTGGAAAGGGTCCTTGGGTGCCCTGCCTCACCTCGAGAAGCGTCCTTTTGCCCTGCCAAGCCTCGAAGAGATTCCTGAGGTGTCCCTCGTTACTAGACAGGAGTCCTGACGTCACTGAAGAAACTCGTGTTTTGAAGGGCCATCCCCGCCGTAAGTCGAGAACATACCCCAGGTCCCCGCCGCAACTCGAGAAAAACCATGTGACTTCCCCCTAGAGGCGAGATGAGGCCCCATTCCCCTGCAGTGCATGCAGAGCTATTCCGTGACCCCATTCAAACAAGTCAGGAGCTTCGACTTGCTTCATGGATCTCGAGACAGTCCCCAAGAACACTGTCACCAGTCTAGACGGACCCTGAGATCACCCCAGCAAAGCAAAGCAGCTCCATGTGCCGCAAATCAACTCGAGATGAGGCCCGATTCCCCTGCATTGACTCCAGAGCCATTCCCCGTTCCCCATTCAACACGACCGGTGGCTCGACTTCCTTCAGGCAACTCCAGAGATGCCCCGAGAACACTGTCCCAAGTCTAGAGGAACACCAACTTCAGCACAGCAACTCGAGGAATGCTCCGTGTACCCCAAATCGTCTCGAGATGCGAGCTGATTCCCTGGCTTAGGCTCAAGACATATGCCAACTTCCCAGAAGCACCTCAGGAGGAGGCTTCTCTCAGCAATAGGTATGTGCGAGGGACCCCGAGTTTGTTGCCTCAAGGGGAATATACAGCGAGAAACCCTAACTTGAAAGGAGGCCGGATTTGCTTGCAGTGGCTTGAATACAGGCTCGTCTTTCATCTCACAACATGAAGGGATGTCTGAATCCCCTGTGGAGACCTTAGAGAAAGCCCTAGGTCCTTGCCTCATTTTGACGGAATGCCTCACATCCCGCTGACACCTCGAGAGGCACGCGGAGTTCATTGCTTCAAAAGGTGACGATGCCTGACTCCTCTTGAATACTGATAGGAATCCCAAAATCCCTGTGGCTAATGGAAAGGGTCCTTGGGTGCCCTGCCTCACCTCGAGAAGCGTCCCTTTTGCCCTGCCAAGCCTCGAAGAGATTCCTGAGGCGTCCCTCGTTACTAGACAGGAGTCCTGACGTCACTGAAGAAACTCGTGTTTTGAAGGGCCATCCCCGCCGTAAGTCGAGAACATACCCCAGGTCCCCGCCGCAACTCGAGAAAAACCATGAGACTTCCCCCTAGAGGAGAGATGAGGCCCCATTCCCCTGCAGTGCATGCAGAGCTATTCCGTGATCCCATTAAAACAAGTCAGGAGCTTCGACTTGCTTAATGGATCTCGAGACAGTCCCCAAGAACACTGTCACCAGTCTAGACGGACCCTGAGGTCATGCCAGCAACGCAAAGCAGCTCCATGTGCCCCAAATCAACCCAAGATGAGGCCCGATTCCCCTGCATTGACTCCAGAGCCATTCCCCGTTCCCCATTCAACACGACCGGTGGCTCGACTTCCTTCAGGCAACTCCAGAGATGCCCCGAGAACACTGTCCCAAGTCCAGAGGAACACCAACTTCAGCACAGCAACTCGAGGAATGCTCCGTGTACCCCAAATCGTCTCGAGATGAGAGCTGATTCCCTGGCTTAGGCTCAAGACGTATGCCAACTTCCCAGAAGCACCTCAGGAGGAGGCTTCTCTCAGCTATAAGTATGTGGGAGGGACCCCGAGTTTGCTGCCTCAAGGGGAATATACAGCGAGAAGCCCTAACATGAAAGGAGGCCGGATTTCCTTGCAGTGGCTTGAATACAGGCTTGTCTTTCATCTCACAGCATGAAGGGATGTCTGAATCCCCTGTGGAGACCTTAGAGAAAGCCCTAGGTCCCTGCCTCATTTTGACGGAATGCCTCACATCCCGCTGACACCTCGAGAGGCACGCGGAGTTCATTGCTTCAAAAGGTGACGATGCCTGACTCCTCTTGAATACTGATAGGAATCCCAAAATCCCTGTGGCTACTGGAAAGGGTCCTTGGGTGCCCTGCCTCACCTCGAGAAGCGTCCTTTTGCCCTGCCAAGCCTCGAAGAGATTCCTGAGGTGTCCCTCGTTACTAGACAGGAGTCCTGACGTCACTGAAGAAACTCGTGTTTTGAAGGGCCATCCCCGCCGTAAGTCGAGAACATACCCCAGGTCCCCGCCGCAACTCGAGAAAAACCATGAGACTTCCCCCAGAGGCGAGATGAGGCCCCATTCTCCTGCAGTGCATGCAGAGCTATTCCGTGATCCCATTCAAACAAGTCAGGAGCTTCGACTTGCTTCATGGATCTCGAGACAGTCCCCAAGAACACTGTCACCTGTCTAGACGGACCCTGAGGTCACCCCAGCAACGCAAAGCAGCTCCATGTGCCGCAAATCAACTCGAGATGAGGCCCGATTCCCCTGCATTGACTCCAGAGCCATTCCCCGTTCCCCATTCAACACGACCGGTGGCTCGACTTCCTTCAGGCAACTCCAGAGATGCCCCGAGAACACTGTCCCAAGTCTAGAGGAACACCAACTTCAGCACAGCAACTCGAGGAATGCTCCGTGTACCCCAAATCGTCTCGAGATGAGAGCTGATTCCCTGGCTTAGGCTCAAGACGTATGCCAACTTCCCAGAAGCACCTCAGGAGGAGGCTTCTCTCAGCAATAGGTATGTGGGAGGGACCCCGAGTTTGCTGCCTCAAGGGGAATATACAACGAGAAGCCCTAACTTGAAAGGCGGCCGGATTTCCTTGCAGTGGCTTGAATACAGGCTCGTCTTTCATCTCACAACATGAAGGGATGTCTGAATCCCCTGTGGAGACCTTAGAGAAAGCCCTAGGTCCCTGCCTCATTTTGACGGAATGCCTCACATCCCGCTGACACCTCGAGAGGCACGCGGAGTTCATTGCTTCAAAAGGTGACGATGCCTGACTCCTCTTGAATACTGATAGGAATCCCAAAATCCCTGTGGCTACTGGAAAGGGTCCTTGGGTGCCCTGCCTCACCTCGAGAAGCGTCCTTTTGCCCTGCCAAGCCTCGAAGAGATTCCTGAGGTGTCCCTCGTTACTAGACAGGAGTCCTGACGTCACTGAAGAAACTCGTGTTTTGAAGGGCCATCCCCGCCGTAAGTCGAGAACATACCCCAGGTCCCCGCCGCAACTCGAGAAAAACCATGAGACTTCCCCCTAGAGGCGAGATGAGGCCCCATTCCCCTGCAGTGCATGCAGAGCTATTCCGTGATCCCATTCAAACAAGTCAGGAGCTTCGACTTGCTTCATGGATCTCGAGACAGTCCCCAAGAACACTGTCACCAGTCTAGACGGACCCTGAGGTCACCCCAGCAACGCAAAGCAGCTCCATGTGCCCCAAATCAACTCGAGATGAGGCCCGATTCCCCTGCATTGACTCCAGAGCCATTCCCCGTTCCCCATTCAACACGACCGGTGGCTCGACTTCCTTCAGGCAACTCCAGAGATGCCCCGAGAACACTGTCCCAAGTCTAGAGGAACACCAACTTCAGCACAGCAACTCGAGGAATGCTCCGTGTACCCCAAATCGTCTCGAGATGAGAGCTGATTCCCTGGCTTAGGCTCAAGACGTAGGCCAACTTCCCAGAAGCACCTCAGGAGGAGGCTTCTCTCAGCAATAGGTATGTGGGAGGGACCCCGAGTTTACTGCCTCAAGGGGAATATACAGCGAGAAGCCCTAACTTGAAAGGAGGCCGGATTTCCTTGCAGTGGCTTGAATACAGGCTCGTCTTTCATCTCACAACATGAAGGGATGTCTGAATCCCCTGTGGAGACCTTAGAGAAAGCCCTAGGTCCCTGCCTCATTTTGACGGAATGCCTCACATCCCGCGGACACCTCGAGAGGCACGCGGAGTTCATTGCTTCAAAAGGTGACGATGCCTGACTCCTCTTGAATACTGATAGGAATCCCAAAATCCCTGTGGCTACTGGAAAGGGTCCTTGGGTGCCCTGCCTCACTTCGAGAAGCGTCCCTTTTGCCCTGCCAAGCCTCGAAGTGATTCCTGAGGTGTCCCTCGTTACTAGACAGGAGTCCTGACGTCACTGAAGAAACTCGTGTTTTGAAGGGCCATCCCCGCCGTAAGTCGAGAACATACCCCAGGTCCCCGCCGCAACTCGAGAAAAACCATGAGACTTCCCCCTAGAGGCGAGATGAGGCCCCATTCCCCTGCAGTGCATGCAGAGCTATTCCGTGATCCCATTCAAACAAGTCAGGAGCTTCGACTTGCTTCATGGATCTCGAGACAGTCCCCAAGAACACTGTCACCAGTCTAGACGGACCCTGAGGTCACCCCAGCAACGCAAAGCAGCTCCATGTGCCCCAAATCAACTCGAGATGAGGCCCGATTCCCCTGCATTGACTCCAGAGCCATTCCCCGTTCCCCATTCAACACGACCGGTGGCTCGACTTCCTTCAGGCAACTCTAGAGATGCCCCGAGAACACTGTCCCAAGTCTAGAGGAACACCAACTTCAGCACAGCAACTCGAGGAATGCTCCGTGTACCCCAAATCGTCTCGAGATGAGAGCTGATTCCCTGGCTTAGGCTCAAGACGTAGGCCAACTTCCCAGAAGCACCTCAGGAGGAGGCTTCTCTCAGCAATAGGTATGTGGGAGGGACCCCGAGTTTGCTGCCTCAAGGGGAATATACAGCGAGAAGCCCTAACTTGAAAGGAGGCCGGATTTCCTTGCAGTGGCTTGAATACAGGCTCGTCTTTCATCTCACAACATGAAGGGATGTCTGAATCCCCTGTGGAGACCTTAGAGAAAGCCCTAGGTCCCTGCCTCATTTTGACGGAATGCCTCACATCCCGCTGACACCCCGAGAGGCACGCGGAATTCATTGCTTCAAAAGGTGACGATGCCTGACTCCTCTTGAATACTGATAGGAATCCCAAAATCCCTGTGGCTACTGGAAAGGGTACTTGGGTGCCCTGCCTCACCTCGAGAAGCGTCCCTTTTGCCCTGCCAAGCCTCGAAGAGATTCCTGAGGTGTCCCTCGTTACTAGACAGGAGTCCTGACGTCACTGAAGAAACTCGTGTTTTGAAGGGCCATCCCCGCCGTAAGTCGAGAACATACCCCAGGTCCCCGCCGCAACTCGAGAAAAACCATGAGACTTCCCCCTAGAGGCGAGATGAGGCCCCATTCCCCTGCAGTGCATGCAGAGCTATTCCGTGATCCCATTCAAACAAGTCAGGATCTTCGACTTGCTTAATGGATCTCGAGACAGTCCCCAAGAACACTGTCACCAGTCTAGACGGACCCTGAGGTCACCCCAGCAACGCAAAGCAGCTCCATGTGCCCCAAATCAACTCGAGATGAGGCCCGATTCCCCTGCATTGACTCCAGAGCCATTCCCCATTCCCCATTCAACACGACCGGTGGCTCGACTTCCTTCAGGCAACTCCAGAGATGCCCCGAGAACACTGTCCCAAGTCTAGAGGAACACCAACTTCAGCACAGCAACTCGAGGAATGCTCCGTGTACCCCAAATCGTCTCGAGATGAGAGCTGATTCCCTGGCTTAGGCTCAAGACGTATGCCAACTTCCCAGAAGCACCTCAGGAGGAGGCTTCTCTCAGCTATAAGTATGTGGGAGGGACCCCGAGTTTGCTGCCTCAAGGGGAATATACAGCGAGAAGATCTAACTTGAAACGAGGCCGGATTTCCTTGCAGTGGCTTGAATACAGGCTCATCTTTCATCTCACAACATGAAGGGATGTCTGAATCCCCTGTGGAGACCTTAGAGAAAGCCCTAGGTCCCTGCCTCATTTTGACGGAATGCCTCACATCCCGCTGACACCTCGAGAGGCACGCGGAGTTCATTGCTTCAAAAGGTGACGATGCCTGACTCCTCTTGAATACTGATAGGAATCCCAAAATCCCTGTGGCTACTGGAAAGGGTCCTTGGGTGCCCTGCCTCACCTCGAGAAGCGTCCCTTTTGTCCTGCCAAGCCTCGAAGAAATTCCTGAGGTGTCCCTCGTTACTAGACAGGAGTCCTGACGTCACTGAAGAAACTCGTGTTTTGAAGGGCCATCCCCGCCGTAAGTCGAGAACATACCCCAGGTCCCCGCCGCAACTCGAGAAAAACCATGAGACTTCCCCGTTGAGGCGAGATGAGGCCCCATTCCCCTGCAGTGCATGCAGAGCTATTCCGTGATCCCATTCAAACAAGTCAGGAGCTTCGACTTGCTTAATGGATCTCGAGACAGTCCCCAAGAACACTGTCACCAGTCTAGACGGACCCTGAGGTCACCCCAGCAACGCAAAGCAGCTCCATGTGCCCCAAATCAACTCGAGATGAGGCATGATTCCCCTGCATTGACTCCAGAGCCATTCCCCGTTCCCCATTCAACACGACCGGTGGCTCTACTTCCTTCAGGCAACTCCAGAGATGCCCCGAGAACACTGTCCCAAGTACAGAGGAACACCAACTTCAGCACAGCAACTCGAGGAATACTCCGTGTACCCCAAATCGTCTCGAGATGAGAGCTGATTCCCTGGCTTAGGCTCAAGACGTATGCCAACTTCCCAGAAGCACCTCAGGAGGAGGCTTCTCTCAGCAATAGGTATGTGGGAGGGACCCCGAGTTTGCTGCCTCAAAGGGAATATACAGCGAGAAGCCCTAACTTGAAAGGAGGCCGGATTTCCTTGCAGTGGCTTGAATACAGGCTCGTCTTTCATCTCACAACATGAAGGGATGTCTGAATCCCCTGTGGAGACCTTAGAGAAAGCCCTAGGTCCCTGCCTCATTTTGACGGAATGCCTCACATCCCGCTGACACCTCGAGAGGCACGCGGAGTTCATTGCTTCAAAAGGTGACGATGCCTGACTCCTCTTGAATACTGATAGGAATCCCAAAATCCCTGTGGCTATTGGAAAGGGACCTTGGGTGCCCTGCCTCACCTCGAGAAGCGTCCTTTTGCCCTGCCAAGCCTCGAAGAGATTCCTGAGGTGTCCCTCGTTACTAGACAGGAGTCCTGACGTCACTGAAGAAACTCGTGTTTTGAAGGGCCATCCCCGCCGTAAGTCGAGAACATACCCCAGGTCCCCGCCGCAACTCGAGAAAAACCATGAGACTACCCGTAGAGGCGAGATGAGGCCCCATTCCCCTGCAGTGCATGCAGAGCTATTCCGTGATCCCATTCAAACAAGTCAGGAGCTTCGACTTGCTTCATGGATCTCGAGACAGTCCCCAAGAACACTGTCACCAGTCTAGACGGACCCTGAGGTCACCCCAGCAACGCAAAGCAGCTCCATGTGCCCCAAATCAACTCGAGATGAGGCCCGATTCCCCTGCATTGACTCCAGAGCCATTCCCCGTTCCCCATTCAACACGACCGGTGGCTCGACTTCCTTCAGGCAACTCCAGAGATGCCCCGAGAACACTGTCCCAGGTCTAGAGGAACACCAACTTCAGCACAGCAACTCGAGGAATGCTCCGTGTACCCCAAATCGTCTCGAGATGAGAGCTGATTCCCTGGCTTAGGCTCAAGACGTAGGCCAACTTCCCAGAAGCACCTCAGGAGGAGGCTTCTCTCAGCAATAGGTATGTGGGAGGGACCCCGAGTTTACTGCCTCAAGGGGAATATACAGCGAGAAGCCCTAACTTGAAAGGAGGCCGGATTTCCTTGCAGTGGCTTGAATACAGGCTCGTCTTTCATCTCACAACATGAAGGGATGTCTGAATCCCCTGTGGAGACCTTAGAGAAAGCCCTAGGTCCCTGCCTCATTTTGACGGAATGCCTCAAATCCCGCTGACACCTCGAGAGGCACGCGGAGTTCATTGCTTCAAAAGCTGACGATGCCTGACTCCTCTTGAATACTGATAGGAATCCCAAAATCCCTGTGGCTACTGGAAAGGGTCCTTGGGTGCCCTGCCTCACCTCGAGAAGCGTCCCTTTTGCCCTGCCAAGCCTCGAAGAGATTCCTGAGGTGTCCCTCGTTACTAGACAGGAGTCCTGACGTCACTGAAGAAACTCGTGTTTTGAAGGGCCATCCCCGCCGTAAGTCGAGAACATACCCCAGGTCCCCGCCGCAACTCGAGAAAAACCATGAGACTTCAGCCTAGAGGCGAGATGAGGCCCCATTCCCCTGCAGTGCATGCAGAGCTATTCCGTGATCCCATTCAAACAAGTCAGGAGCTTCGACTTGCTTCATGGATCTCGAGACAGTCCCCAAGAACACTGTCACCAGTCTAGACGGACCCTGAGGTCACCCCAGCAACGCAAAGCAGCTCCATGTGCCCCAAATCAACTCGAGATGAGGCCCGATTCCCCTGCATTGACTCCAGAGCCATTCCCCGTTCCCCATTCAACACGACCGGTGGCTCGACTTCCTTCAGGCAACTCCAGAGATGCCCCGAGAACACTGTCCCAAGTCTAGAGGAACACCAACTTCAGCACAGCAACTCGAGGAATGCTCCGTGTACCCCAAATCGTCTCGAGATGAGAGCTGATTCCCTGGCTTAGGCTCAAGACGTATGCCAACTTCCCAGAAGCACCTCAGGAGGAGGCTTCTCTCAGCAATAAGTATGTAGGAGGGACCCCGAGTTTGCTGCCTCAAGGGGAATATACAGCGAGAAGCCCTAACTTGAAAGGAGGCCGGATTTCCTTGCAGTGGCTTGAATACAGGCTCGTCTTTCATCTCACAACATGAAGGGATGTCTGAATCCCCTGTGGAGACCTTAGAGAAAGCCCTAGGTCCCTGCCTCATTTTGACGGAATGCCTCACATCCCGCTGACACCTCGGGAGGCACGCGGAGTTCTTTGCTTCAAAAGGTGACGATGCCTGACTCCTCTTGAATACTGATAGGAATCCCAAAATCCCTGTGGCTACTGGAAAGGGTCCTTGGGTGCCCTGCTTCACCTCGAGAAGCGTCCCTTTTGCCCTGCCAAGCCTCGAAGAGATTCCTGAGGTGTCCCTCATTACTAGACAGGAGTCCTGACGTCACTGAAGAAACTCGAGTTTTGAAGGGCCATCCCCGCCGTAAGTCGAGAACATACCCCAGGTCCCCGCCGCAACTCGAGAAAAACCATGAGACTTCCCCATAGAGGCGAGATGAGGCCCCATTCCCCTGCAGTGCATGCAGAGCTATTCCGTGATCCCATTCAAACAAGTCAGGAGCTTCGACTTGCTTAATGGATCTCGAGACAGTCCCCAAGAACACTGTCACCAGTCTAGACGGACCCTGAGGTCACCCCAGCAATGCAAAGCAGCTCCATGTGCCCCAAATCAACTCGAGATGAGGCCCGATTCCCCTGCATTGACTCTAGAGCCATTCCCCGTTCCACATTCAGCACAACCGGTGGCTCGACTTCCTTCAGGCAACTCCAGAGATGCCCCGAGAACACTGTCCCAAGTCTAGAGGAACACCAACTTCAGCACAGCAACTCGAGGAATGCTCCGTGTACCCCAAATCGTCTCGAGATGCGAGCTGATTCCCTGGCTTAGGCTCAAGACGTATGCCAACTTCCCAGAAGCACCTCAGGAGGAGGCTTCTCTCAGCAATAGGTATGTGGGAGGGACCCCGAGTTTGCTGCCTCAAGGGGAATATACAGCGAGAAGCCCTAACTTGAAAGGCGGCCGGATTTCCTTGCAGTGGCTTGAATACAGGCTCGTCTTTCATCTCACAACATGAAGGGATGTCTGAATCCCCTGTGGAGACCTTAGAGAAAGCCCTAGGTCCCTGCCTCATTTTGACGGAATGCCTCACATCCCGCTGACACCTCGAGAGGCACGCGGAGTTCATTGCTTCAAAAGGTGACGATGCCTGACTCCTCTTGAATACTGATAGGAATCCCAAAATCCCTGTGGCTACTGGAAAGGGTACTTGGGTGCCCTGCCTCACCTCGAGAAGCGTCCCTTTTGCCCTGCCAAGCCTCGAAGAGATTCCTGAGGTGTCCCTCGTTACTAGACAGGAGTCCTGACGTCACTGAAGAAACTCGTGTTTTGAAGGGCCATCCCCGCCGTAAGTCGAGAACATACCCCAGGTCCCCGCCGCAACTCGAGAAAAACCATGAGACTTCCCCCTAGAGGCGAGATGAGGCCCCATTCCCCTGCAGTGCATGCAGAGCTATTCCGTGATCCCATTCAAACAAGTCAGGATCTTCGACTTGCTTAATGGATCTCGAGACAGTCCCCAAGAACACTGTCACCAGTCTAGACGGACCCTGAGGTCACCCCAGCAACGCAAAGCAGCTCCATGTGCCCCAAATCAACTCGAGATGAGGCCCGATTCCCCTGCATTGACTCCAGAGCCATTCCCCATTCCCCATTCAACACGACCGGTGGCTCGACTTCCTTCAGGCAACTCCAGAGATGCCCCGAGAACACTGTCCCAAGTCTAGAGGAACACCAACTTCAGCACAGCAACTCGAGGAATGCTCCGTGTACCCCAAATCGTCTCGAGATGAGAGCTGATTCCCTGGCTTAGGCTCAAGACGTATGCCAACTTCCCAGAAGCACCTCAGGAGGAGGCTTCTCTCAGCTATAAGTATGTGGGAGGGACCCCGAGTTTGCTGCCTCAAGGGGAATATACAGCGAGAAGATCTAACTTGAAACGAGGCCGGATTTCCTTGCAGTGGCTTGAATACAGGCTCATCTTTCATCTCACAACATGAAGGGATGTCTGAATCCCCTGTGGAGACCTTAGAGAAAGCCCTAGGTCCCTGCCTCATTTTGACGGAATGCCTCACATCCCGCTGACACCTCGAGAGGCACGCGGAGTTCATTGCTTCAAAAGGTGACGATGCCTGACTCCTCTTGAATACTGATAGGAATCCCAAAATCCCTGTGGCTACTGGAAAGGGTCCTTGGGTGCCCTGCCTCACCTCGAGAAGCGTCCCTTTTGTCCTGCCAAGCCTCGAAGAAATTCCTGAGGTGTCCCTCGTTACTAGACAGGAGTCCTGACGTCACTGAAGAAACTCGTGTTTTGAAGGGCCATCCCCGCCGTAAGTCGAGAACATACCCCAGGTCCCCGCCGCAACTCGAGAAAAACCATGAGACTTCCCCGTTGAGGCGAGATGAGGCCCCATTCCCCTGCAGTGCATGCAGAGCTATTCCGTGATCCCATTCAAACAAGTCAGGAGCTTCGACTTGCTTAATGGATCTCGAGACAGTCCCCAAGAACACTGTCACCAGTCTAGACGGACCCTGAGGTCACCCCAGCAACGCAAAGCAGCTCCATGTGCCCCAAATCAACTCGAGATGAGGCATGATTCCCCTGCATTGACTCCAGAGCCATTCCCCGTTCCCCATTCAACACGACCGGTGGCTCTACTTCCTTCAGGCAACTCCAGAGATGCCCCGAGAACACTGTCCCAAGTACAGAGGAACACCAACTTCAGCACAGCAACTCGAGGAATACTCCGTGTACCCCAAATCGTCTCGAGATGAGAGCTGATTCCCTGGCTTAGGCTCAAGACGTATGCCAACTTCCCAGAAGCACCTCAGGAGGAGGCTTCTCTCAGCAATAGGTATGTGGGAGGGACCCCGAGTTTGCTGCCTCAAAGGGAATATACAGCGAGAAGCCCTAACTTGAAAGGAGGCCGGATTTCCTTGCAGTGGCTTGAATACAGGCTCGTCTTTCATCTCACAACATGAAGGGATGTCTGAATCCCCTGTGGAGACCTTAGAGAAAGCCCTAGGTCCCTGCCTCATTTTGACGGAATGCCTCAAATCCCGCTGACACCTCGAGAGGCACGCGGAGTTCATTGCTTCAAAAGGTGACGATGCCTGACTCCTCTTGAATACTGATAGGAATCCCAAAATCCCTGTGGCTACTGGAAAGGGTCCTTGGGTGCCCTGCCTCACCTCGAGAAGCGTCCCTTTTGCCCTGCCAAGCCTCGAAGAGATTCCTGAGGCGTCCCTCGTTACTAGACAGGAGTCCTGACGTCACTGAAGAAACTCGTGTTTTGAAGAGCCATCCCCGCCGTAAGTCGAGAACATACCCCAGGTCCCCGCCGCAACTCGAGAAAAACCATGAGACTTCCCCCTAGAGGAGAGATGAGGCCCCATTCCCCTGCAGTGCATGCAGAGCTATTCCGTGATCCCATTCAAACAAGTCAGGAGCTTCGACTTGCTTAATGGATCTCGAGACAGTCCCCAAGAACACTGTCACCAGTCTAGACGGACCCTGAGGTCACCCAGCAATGCAAAGCAGCTCCATGTGCCCCAAATCACCTCGAGATGAGGCCCGATTCCCCTGCATTGACTCCAGAGCCATTCCCCGTTCCCCATTCAGCACGACCGGTGGCTCTACTTCCTTCAGGCAACTCCAGAGATGCCCCGAGAACACTGTCCCAAGTCTAGAGGAACACCAACTTCAGCACAGCAACTCGAGGAATGCTCCGTGTACCCCAAATCGTCTCGAGATGAGAGCTGATTCCCTGGCTTAGGCTCAAGATGTATGCCAACTTCCCAGAAGCACCTCAGGAGGAGGCTTCTCTCAGCAATAGGTATGTGGGAGGGACCCCGAGTTTGCTGCCTCAAAGGGAATATACAGCGAGAAGCCCTAACTTGAAAGGAGGCCGGATTTCCTTGCAGTGGCTTGAATACAGGCTCGTCTTTCATCTCACAACATGAAGGGATGTCTGAATCCCCTGTGGAGACCTTAGAGAAAGCCCTAGGTCCCTGCCTCATTTTGACGGAATGCCTCACATCCCGCTGACACCTCGAGAGGCACGCGGAGTTCATTGCTTCAAAAGGTGACGATGCCTGACTCCTCTTGAATACTGATAGGAATCCCAAAATCCCTGTGGCTACTGGAAAGGGTCCTTGGGTGCCCTGCCTCACCTCGAGAAGCGTCCTTTTGCCCTGCCAAGCCTCGAAGAGATTCCTGAGGTGTCCCTCGTTACTAGACAGGAGTCCTGACGTCACTGAAGAAACTCGTGTTTTGAAGGGCCATCCCCGCCGTAAGTCGAGAACATACCCCAGGTCCCCGCCGCAACTCGAGAAAAACCATGAGACTTCCCCCTAGAGGCGAGATGAGGCCCCATTCCCCTGCAGTGCATGCAGAGCTATTCCGTGACCCCATTCAAACAAGTCAGGAGCTTCGACTTGCTTCATGGATCTCGAGACAGTCCCCAAGAACACTGTCACCAGTCTAGACGGACCCTGAGATCACCCCAGCAACGCAAAGCAGCTCCATGTGCCGCAAATCAACTCGAGATGAGGCCCGATTCCCCTGCATTGACTCCAGAGCCATTCCCCGTTCCCCATTCAACACGACCGGTGGCTCGACTTCCTTCAGGCAACTCCAGAGATGCCCCGAGAACACTGTCCCAAGTCTAGAGGAACACCAACTTCAGCACAGCAACTCGAGGAATGCTCCGTGTACCCCAAATCGTCTCGAGATGCGAGCTGATTCCCTGGCTTAGGCTCAAGACATATGCCAACTTCCCAGAAGCACCTCAGGAGGAGGCTTCTCTCAGCAATAGGTATGTGCGAGGGACCCCGAGTTTGTTGCCTCAAGGGGAATATACAGCGAGAAACCCTAACTTGAAAGGAGGCCGGATTTGCTTGCAGTGGCTTGAATACAGGCTCGTCTTTCATCTCACAACATGAAGGGATGTCTGAATCCCCTGTGGAGACCTTAGAGAAAGCCCTAGGTCCTTGCCTCATTTTGACGGAATGCCTCACATCCCGCTGACACCTCGAGAGGCACGCGGAGTTCATTGCTTCAAAAGGTGACGATGCCTGACTCCTCTTGAATACTGATAGGAATCCCAAAATCCCTGTGGCTACTGGAAAGGGTCCTTGGGTGCCCTGCCTCACCTCGAGAAGCGTCCCTTTTGCCCTGCCAAGCCTCGAAGAGATTCCTGAGGCGTCCCTCGTTACTAGACAGGAGTCCTGACGTCACTGAAGAAACTCGTGTTTTGAAGGGCCATCCCCGCCGTAAGTCGAGAACATACCCCAGGTCCCCGCCGCAACTCGAGAAAAACCATGAGACTTCCCCCTAGAGGAGAGATGAGGCCCCATTCCCCTGCAGTGCATGCAGAGCTATTCCGTGATCCCATTCAAACAAGTCAGGAGCTTCGACTTGCTTCATGGATCTCGAGACAGTCCCCAAGAACACTGTCACCAGTCTAGACGGACCCTGAGGTCACCCCAGCAACGCAAAGCAGCTCCATGTGCCCCAAATCAACTCGAGATGAGGCCCGATTCCCCTGCATTGACTCCAGAGCCATTCCCCGTTCCCCATTCAACACGACCGGTGGCTCGACTTCCTTCAGGCAACTCCAGAGATGCCCCGAGAACACTGTCCCAAGTCTAGAGGAACACCAACTTCAGCACAGCAACTCGAGGAATGCTCCGTGTACCCCAAATCGTCTCGAGATGAGAGCTGATTCCCTGGCTTAGGCTCAAGACGTAGGCCAACTTCCCAGAAGCACCTCAGGAGGAGGCTTCTCTCAGCAATAGGTATGTGGGAGGGACCCCGAGTTTACTGCCTCAAGGGGAATATACAGCGAGAAGCCCTAACTTGAAAGGAGGCCGGATTTCCTTGCAGTGGCTTGAATACAGGCTCGTCTTTCATCTCACAACATGAAGGGATGTCTGAATCCCCTGTGGAGACCTTAGAGAAAGCCCTAGGTCCCTGCCTCATTTTGACGGAATGCCTCACATCCCGCGGACACCTCGAGAGGCACGCGGAGTTCATTGCTTCAAAAGGTGACGATGCCTGACTCCTCTTGAATACTGATAGGAATCCCAAAATCCCTGTGGCTACTGGAAAGGGTCCTTGGGTGCCCTGCCTCACTTCGAGAAGCGTCCCTTTTGCCCTGCCAAGCCTCGAAGAGATTCCTGAGGTGTCCCTCGTTACTAGACAGGAGTCCTGACGTCACTGAAGAAACTCGTGTTTTGAAGGGCCATCCCCGCCGTAAGTCGAGAACATACCCCAGGTCCCCGCCGCAACTCGAGAAAAACCATGAGACTTCCCCCTAGAGGCGAGATGAGGCCCCATTCCCCTGCAGTGCATGCAGAGCTATTCCGTGATCCCATTCAAACAAGTCAGGAGCTTCGACTTGCTTCATGGATCTCGAGACAGTCCCCAAGAACACTGTCACCAGTCTAGACGGACCCTGAGGTCACCCCAGCAACGCAAAGCAGCTCCATGTGCCCCAAATCAACTCGAGATGAGGCCCGATTCCCCTGCATTGACTCCAGAGCCATTCCCCGTTCCCCATTCAACACGACCGGTGGCTCGACTTCCTTCAGGCAACTCTAGAGATGCCCCGAGAACACTGTCCCAAGTCTAGAGGAACACCAACTTCAGCACAGCAACTCGAGGAATGCTCCGTGTACCCCAAATCGTCTCGAGATGAGAGCTGATTCCCTGGCTTAGGCTCAAGACGTAGGCCAACTTCCCAGAAGCACCTCAGGAGGAGGCTTCTCTCAGCAATAGGTATGTGGGAGGGACCCCGAGTTTGCTGCCTCAAGGGGAATATACAGCGAGAAGCCCTAACTTGAAAGGAGGCCGGATTTCCTTGCAGTGGCTTGAATACAGGCTCGTCTTTCATCTCACAACATGAAGGGATGTCTGAATCCCCTGTGGAGACCTTAGAGAAAGCCCTAGGTCCCTGCCTCATTTTGACGGAATGCCTCACATCCCGCTGACACCCCGAGAGGCACGCGGAATTCATTGCTTCAAAAGGTGACGATGCCTGACTCCTCTTGAATACTGATAGGAATCCCAAAATCCCTGTGGCTACTGGAAAGGGTACTTGGGTGCCCTGCCTCACCTCGAGAAGCGTCCCTTTTGCCCTGCCAAGCCTCGAAGAGATTCCTGAGGTGTCCCTCGTTACTAGACAGGAGTCCTGACGTCACTGAAGAAACTCGTGTTTGGAAGGGCCATCCCCGCCGTAAGTCGAGAACATACCCCAGGTCCCCGCCGCAACTCGAGAAAAACCATGAGACTTCCCCCTAGAGGCGAGATGAGGCCCCATTCCCCTGCAGTGCATGCAGAGCTATTCCGTGATCCCATTCAAACAAGTCAGGATCTTCGACTTGCTTAATGGATCTCGAGACAGTCCCCAAGAACACTGTCACCAGTCTAGACGGACCCTGAGGTCACCCCAGCAACGCAAAGCAGCTCCATGTGCCCCAAATCAACTCGAGATGAGGCCCGATTCCCCTGCATTGACTCCAGAGCCATTCCCCATTCCCCATTCAACACGACCGGTGGCTCGACTTCCTTCAGGCAACTCCAGAGATGCCCCGAGAACACTGTCCCAAGTCTAGAGGAACACCAACTTCAGCACAGCAACTCGAGGAATGCTCCGTGTACCCCAAATCGTCTCGAGATGAGAGCTGATTCCCTGGCTTAGGCTCAAGACGTATGCCAACTTCCCAGAAGCACCTCAGGAGGAGGCTTCTCTCAGCTATAAGTATGTGGGAGGGACCCCGAGTTTGCTGCCTCAAGGGGAATATACAGCGAGAAGATCTAACTTGAAACGAGGCCGGATTTCCTTGCAGTGGCTTGAATACAGGCTCATCTTTCATCTCACAACATGAAGGGATGTCTGAATCCCCTGTGGAGACCTTAGAGAAAGCCCTAGGTCCCTGCCTCATTTTGACGGAATGCCTCACATCCCGCTGACACCTCGAGAGGCACGCGGAGTTCATTGCTTCAAAAGGTGACGATGCCTGACTCCTCTTGAATACTGATAGGAATCCCAAAATCCCTGTGGCTACTGGAAAGGGTCCTTGGGTGCCCTGCCTCACCTCGAGAAGCGTCCCTTTTGTCCTGCCAAGCCTCGAAGAAATTCCTGAGGTGTCCCTCGTTACTAGACAGGAGTCCTGACGTCACTGAAGAAACTCGTGTTTTGAAGGGCCATCCCCGCCGTAAGTCGAGAACATACCCCAGGTCCCCGCCGCAACTCGAGAAAAACCATGAGACTTCCCCGTTGAGGCGAGATGAGGCCCCATTCCCCTGCAGTGCATGCAGAGCTATTCCGTGATCCCATTCAAACAAGTCAGGAGCTTCGACTTGCTTAATGGATCTCGAGACAGTCCCCAAGAACACTGTCACCAGTCTAGACGGACCCTGAGGTCACCCCAGCAACGCAAAGCAGCTCCATGTGCCCCAAATCAACTCGAGATGAGGCCCGATTCCCCTGCATTGACTCCAGAGCCATTCCCCGTTCCCCATTCAACACGACCGGTGGCTCTACTTCCTTCAGGCAACTCCAGAGATGCCCCGAGAACACTGTCCCAAGTACAGAGGAACACCAACTTCAGCACAGCAACTCGAGGAATACTCCGTGTACCCCAAATCGTCTCGAGATGAGAGCTGATTCCCTGGCTTAGGCTCAAGACGTATGCCAACTTCCCAGAAGCACCTCAGGAGGAGGCTTCTCTCAGCAATAGGTATGTGGGAGGGACACCGAGTTTGCTGCCTCAAAGGGAATATACAGCGAGAAGCCCTAACTTGAAAGGAGGCCGGATTTCCTTGCAGTGGCTTGAATACAGGCTCGTCTTTCATCTCACAACATGAAGGGATGTCTGAATCCCCTGTGGAGACCTTAGAGAAAGCCCTAGGTCCCTGCCTCATTTTGACGGAATGCCTCACATCCCGCTGACACCTCGAGAGGCACGCGGAGTTCATTGCTTCAAAAGGTGACGATGCCTGACTCCTCTTGAATACTGATAGGAATCCCAAAATCCCTGTGGCTATTGGAAAGGGACCTTGGGTGCCCTGCCTCACCTCGAGAAGCGTCCTTTTGCCCTGCCAAGCCTCGAAGAGATTCCTGAGGTGTCCCTCGTTACTAGACAGGAGTCCTGACGTCACTGAAGAAACTCGTGTTTTGAAGGGCCATCCCCGCCGTAAGTCGAGAACATACCCCAGGTCCCCGCCGCAACTCGAGAAAAACCATGAGACTACCCGTAGAGGCGAGATGAGGCCCCATTCCCCTGCAGTGCATGCAGAGCTATTCCGTGATCCCATTCAAACAAGTCAGGAGCTTCGACTTGCTTCATGGATCTCGAGACAGTCCCCAAGAACACTGTCACCAGTCTAGACGGACCCTGAGGTCACCCCAGCAACGCAAAGCAGCTCCATGTGCCCCAAATCAACTCGAGATGAGGCCCGATTCCCCTGCATTGACTCCAGAGCCATTCCCCGTTCCCCATTCAACACGACCGGTGGCTCGACTTCCTTCAGGCAACTCCAGAGATGCCCCGAGAACACTGTCCCAGGTCTAGAGGAACACCAACTTCAGCACAGCAACTCGAGGAATGCTCCGTGTACCCCAAATCGTCTCGAGATGAGAGCTGATTCCCTGGCTTAGGCTCAAGACGTAGGCCAACTTCCCAGAAGCACCTCAGGAGGAGGCTTCTCTCAGCAATAGGTATGTGGGAGGGACCCCGAGTTTACTGCCTCAAGGGGAATATACAGCGAGAAGCCCTAACTTGAAAGGAGGCCGGATTTCCTTGCAGTGGCTTGAATACAGGCTCGTCTTTCATCTCACAACATGAAGGGATGTCTGAATCCCCTGTGGAGACCTTAGAGAAAGCCCTAGGTCCCTGCCTCATTTTGACGGAATGCCTCAAATCCCGCTGACACCTCGAGAGGCACGCGGAGTTCATTGCTTCAAAAGCTGACGATGCCTGACTCCTCTTGAATACTGATAGGAATCCCAAAATCCCTGTGGCTACTGGAAAGGGTCCTTGGGTGCCCTGCCTCACCTCGAGAAGCGTCCCTTTTGCCCTGCCAAGCCTCGAAGAGATTCCTGAGGTGTCCCTCGTTACTAGACAGGAGTCCTGACGTCACTGAAGAAACTCGTGTTTTGAAGGGCCATCCCCGCCGTAAGTCGAGAACATACCCCAGGTCCCCGCCGCAACTCGAGAAAAACCATGAGACTTCAGCCTAGAGGCGAGATGAGGCCCCATTCCCCTGCAGTGCATGCAGAGCTATTCCGTGATCCCATTCAAACAAGTCAGGAGCTTCGACTTGCTTAATGGATCTCGAGAGAGTCCCCAAGAACACTGTCACCAGTCTAGACGGACCCTGAGGTCACCCCAGCAACGCAAAGCAGCTCCATGTGCCCCAAATCAACGCGAGATGAGGCCCGATTCCCCTGCATTGACTCCAGAGCCATTCCCCGTTCCCCATTCAACACGACCGGTGGCTCGACTTCCTTCAGGCAACTCCAGAGATGCCCCGAGAACACTGTCCCAAGTCTAGAGGAACACCAACTTCAGCACAGCAACTCGAGGAATGCTCCGTGTACCCCAAATCGTCTCGAGATGCGAGCTGATTCCCTGGCTTAGGCTCAAGACGTATGCCAACTTCCCAGAAGCACCTCAGGAGGAGGCTTCTCTCAGCAATAGGTATGTGGGAGGGACCCCGAGTTTGCTGCCTCAAGGGGAATATACAGCGAGAAGCCCTAACTTGAAAGGCGGCCGGATTTCCTTGCAGTGGCTTGAATACAGGCTCGTCTTTCATCTCACAACATGAAGGGATGTCTGAATCCCCTGTGGAGACCTTAGAGAAAGCCCTAGGTCCCTGCCTCATTTTGACGGAATGCCTCACATCCCGCTGACACCTCGAGAGGCACGCGGAGTTCATTGCTTCAAAAGGTGACGATGCCTGACTCCTCTTGAATACTGATAGGAATCCCAAAATCCCTGTGGCTACTGGAAAGGGTCCTTGGATGCCCTGCCTCACCTCGAGAAGCGTCCCTTTTGCCCTGCCAAGCCTCGAAGAGATTCCTGAGGTGTCCCTCGTTACTAGACAGGAGTCCTGACGTCACTGAAGAAACTCGTGTTTTGAAGGGCCATCCCAGCCGTAAGTCGAGAACATACCCCAGGTCCCCGCCGCAACTCGAGAAAAACCATGAGACTTCCCCCTAGAGGCGAGATGAGGCCCCATTCCCCTGCAGTGCATGCAGAGCTATTCCGTGATCCCATTCAAACAAGTCAGGAGCTTCGACTTGCTTAATGGATCTCTAGACAGTCCCCAAGAACACTGTCACCAGTCTAGACGGACCCTGAGGTCACCCCAGCAACGCAAAGCAGCTCCATGTGCCCCAAATCAACTCGAGATGAGGCCCGATTCCCCTGCATTGACTCCAGAGCCATTCCCCGTTCCCCATTCAACACGACCGGTGGCTTGACTTCCTTCAGGCAACTCCAGAGATGCCCCGAGAACACTGTCCCAGGTCTAGAGGAACACCAACTTCAGCACAGCAACTCGAGGAATGCTCCGTGTACCCCAAATCGTCTCGAGATGAGAGCTGATTCCCTGGCTTAGGCTCAAGACGTAGGCCAACTTCCCAGAAGCACCTCAGGAGGAGGCTTCTCTCAGCAATAGGTATGTGGGAGGGACCCCGAGTTTACTGCCTCAAGGGGAATATACAGCGAGAAGCCCTAACTTGAAAGGAGGCCGGATTTCCTTGCAGTGGCTTGAATACAGGCTCGTCTTTCATCTCACAACATGAAGGGATGTCTGAATCCCCTGTGGAGACCTTAGAGAAAGCCCTAGGTCCCTGCCTCATTTTGACGGAATGCCTCAAATCCCGCTGACACCTCGAGAGGCACGCGGAGTTCATTGCTTCAAAAGGTGACGATGCCTGACTCCTCTTGAATACTGATAGGAATCCCAAAATCCCTGTGGCTACTGGAAAGGGTCCTTGGGTGCCCTGCCTCACCTCGAGAAGCGTCCCTTTTGCCCTGCCAAGCCTCGAAGAGATTCCTGAGGTGTCCCTCGTTACTAGACAGGAGTCCTGACGTCACTGAAGAAACTCGTGTTTTGAAGGTCCATCCCCGCCATAAGTCGAGAACATACCCCAGGTCCCCGCCGCAACTCGAGAAAAACCATGAGACTTCCCCCTAGAGGCGAGATGAGGCCCCATTCCCCTGCAGTGCATGCAGAGCTATTCCGTGATCCCATTCAAACAAGTCAGGAGCTTCGACTTGCTTAATGGATCTCGAGACAGTCCCCAAGAATACTGTCACCAGTCTAGACGGACCCTGAGGTCACCCCAGCAACGCAAAGCAGCTCCATGTGCCCCAAATCAACTCGAGATGAGGCCCGATTCCCCTGCATTGACTCCAGAGCCATTCCCCGTTCCCCATTCAACACGACCGGTGGCTCGACTTCCTTCAGGCAACTCCAGAGATGCCCCGAGAACACTGTCCCAAGTCTAGAGGAACACCAACTTCAGCACAGCAACTCGAGGAATGCTCCGTGTACCCCAAATCGTCTCGAGATGAGAGCTGATTCCCTGGCTTAGGCTCAAGACGAATGCCAACTTCCCAGAAGCACCTCAGGAGGAGGCTTCTCTCAGCAATAGATATGTGGGAGGGACCCCGAGTTTGCTGCCTCAAGGGGAATATACAGCGAGAAGCCCTAACTTGAAAGGAGGCCGGATTTCCTTGCAGTGGCTTGAATACAGGCTCGTCTTTCATCTCACAACATGAAGGGATGTCTGAATCCCCTGTTGAGACCTTAGAGAAAGCCCTAGGTCCCTGCCTCATTTTGACGGAATGCCTCACATCCCGCTGACACCTCGAGAGGCACGCGGAATTCATTGCTTCAAAAGGTGACGATGCCTGACTCCTCTTGAATACTGATAGGAATCCCAAAATCCCTGTGGCTATTGGAAAGGGTCCTGGGTGCCCTGCCTCACCTCGAGAAGCGTCCTTTTGCCCAGCCAAGCCTCGAAGAGATTCCTGAGGTGTCCCTCGTTACTAGACAGGAGTCCGGACGTCACTGAAGAAACTCGTGTTTTGAAGGGCCATCCCAGCCGTAAGTCGAGAACATACACCAGGTCCCCGCCGCAACTCAAGAAAAACCATGAGACTTCCCCCTAGAGGCGAGATGAGGCCCCATTCCCCTGCAGTGCATGCAGAGCTATTCCGTGATCCCATTCAAACAAGTCAGGAGCTTCGACTTGCTTCATGGATCTCGAGACAGTCCCCAAGAACACTGTCACCAGTCTAGACGGACCCTGAGGTCACCCAGCAACGCAAAGCAGCTCCATGTGCCCCAAATCAACTCAAGATGAGGCCCGATTCCCCTGCATTGACTCCAGAGCCATTCCCCGTTCCCCATTCAACACGACCGGTGTCTCGACTTCCTTCAGGCAACTCCAGAGATGCCCCGAGAACACTGTCCCAAGTCTAGAGGAACACCAACTTCAGCACAGCAACTCGAGGAATGCTCCGTGTACCCCAAATCGTCTCGAGATGAGAGCTGATTCCCTGGCTTAGGCTCAAGACGTATGCCAACTTCCCAGAAGCACCTCAGGAGGAGGCTTCTCTCAGCTATAAGTATGTGGGAGGGACCCCGAGTTTGCTGCCTCAAGGGGAATATACAGCGAGAAGCCCTAACTTGAAAGGAGGCCGGATTTCCTTGCAGTGGCTTGAATACAGGCTCGTCTTTCATCTCACAACATGAAGGGATGTCTGAATCCCCTGTGGAGACCTTAGAGAAAGCCCTAGGTCCCTGCCTCATTTTGACCGAATGCCTCACATCCCGCTGACACCTCGAGAGGCACGCGGAGTTCATTGCTTCAAAAGGTGACGATGCCTAACTCCTCTTGAATACTGATAGGAATCCCAAAATCCCTGTGGCTACTGGAAAGGGTCCTTGGGTGCCCTGCCTCACCGCGAGAAGCGTCCCTTTGGCCCTGCCAAGCCTCGAAGAGATTCCTGAGGTGTCCCTCGTTACTAGACAGGAGACCTGACGTCACTGAAAAACTCGTGTTTTGAAGGGCCATCCCCGCTGTAAGTCGAGAACATACCCCAGGTCCCCGCTGCAACTCGAGAAAAACCATGAGACTTCCCCCTAGAGGCGAGATGAGGCCCCATTCCCCTGCAGTGCATGCAGAGCTATTCCGTGATCCCATTCAAACAAGTCAGGAGCTTCGACTTGCTTAATGGATCTCGAGACAGTCCCCAAGAACACTGTCACCAGTCTAGACGGACCCTGAGGTCACCCCAGCAACGCAAAGCAGCTCCATGTACCCCAAATCAACTCGAGATGAGGCCCGATTCCCCTGCATTGACTCCAGAGCCATTCCCCGTTCCGCATTCAACACGACCGGTGGCTCGCCTACCTTCAGGCAACTCCAGAGATGCCCCCAGAACACTGTCCCAAGTCTAGAGGAACACCAACTTCAGCACAGCAACTCGAGGAATGCTCCGTGTACCCCAAATCGTCTCGAGATGAGAGCTGATTCCCTGGCTTAGGCTCAAGACGTATGCCAACTTCCCAGAAGCACCTCAGGAGGAGGATTCTCTCAGCAATAGGTATGTGGGAGGGACCCCGAGTTTGCTGCCTCAAGGGGAATATACAGCGAGAAGCCCTAACTTGAAAGGAGGCCGGATTTCCTTGCAGTGGCTTGAATACAGGCTCGTCTTTCATCTCACAACATGAAGGGATGTCTGAATCCCCTGTGGAGACCTTAGAGAAAGCCCTAGGTCCCTGCCTCATTTTGACGGAATGCCTCACATCCCGCTGACACCTCGAGAGGCACGCGGAGTTCATTGCTTCAAAAGGTGACGATGCCTGACTCCTCTTGAATAATGATAGGAATCCCAAAATCCCGGTGGCTACTGGAAAGGGTCCTTGGGTGCCCTGCCTCACCTCGAGAAGCGTCCCTTTTGCCCTGCCAAGCCTCGAAGAGATTCCTGAGGTGTCCCTCGTTACTAGACAGGAGTCCTGACCTCACTGAAGAAACTCGTGTTTTGAAGGGCCATCCCCGCCGTAAGTCGAGAACATACCCCAGGTCCCCGCCGCAACTCGAGAAAAACCATGAGACTTCCCCCTAGAGGCGAGATGAGGCCCCATTCCCCTGCAGTGCATGCAGAGCTATTCCGTGATCCCATTCAAACAAGTCAGGAGCTTCGACTTGCTTAATGGATCTCGAGACAGTCCCCAAGAACACTGTCACCAGTCTAGACGGACCCTGAGGTCACCCCAGCAATTCAAAGCAGCTCCATGTGCCCCAAATCAACTCGAGATGAGGCCCGATTCCCCTGCATTGACTCCAGAGTCATTACCCATTCCCCATTCAACACGACCGGTGGCTCGACTTCCTTCAGGCAACTCCAGAGATGCCCGAGAACACTGTCCCAAGTCCAGAGGAACACCAACTTCAGCACAGCAACTCGAGGAATGCTCCGTGTACCACAAATCGTCTCGAGATGAGAGCTGATTCCCTGGCTTAGGCTCAAGACGTATGCCAACTTCCCAGAAGCACCTCAGGAGGAGGCTTCTCTCAGCAATAGGTATGTGGGAGGGACCCCGAGTTTGCTGCCTCAAGGGGAATATACAGCGAGAAGCCCTAACTTGAAAGGCGGCCGGATTTCCTTGCAGTGGCTTGAATACAGGCTCGTCTTTCATCTCACAACATGAAGGGATGTCTGAATCCCCTGTGGAGACCTTAGAGAAAGCCCTAGGTCCCTGCCTCATTGTGACCGAATGCCTCACATCCCGCTGACACCTCGAGAGGCACGCGGAGTTCATTGCTTCAAAAGGTGACGATGCCTAACTCCTCTTGAATACTGATAGGAATCCCAAAATCCCTGTGGCTACTGGAAAGGGTCCTTGGGTGCCCTGCCTCACCTCGAGAAGCGTCCCTTTGGCCCTGCCAAGCCTCGAAGAGATTCCTGAGGTGTCCCTCGTTACTAGACAGGAGTCCTGACGTCACTGAAAAACTCGTGTTTTGAAGGGCCATCCCCGCCGTAAGTCGAGAACATACCCCAGGTCCCCGCCGCAACTCGAGAAAAACCATGAGACTTCCCCCTAGAGGCGAGATGAGGCCCCATTCCCCTGCAGTGCATGCAGAGCTATTCCGTGATCCCATTCAAACAAGTCAGGAGCTTCGACTTGCTTAATGGATCTCGAGACAGTCCCCAAGAACACTGTCACCAGTCTAGACGGACCCTGAGGTCACCCCAGCAACGCAAAGCAGCTCCATGTGCCCCAAATCAACTCGAGATGAGGCCCGATTCCCCTGCATTGACTCCAGAGCCATTCCCCGTTCCCCATTCAACACGACCGGTGGCTCGACTTCCTTCAGGCAACTCCAGAGATGCCCCGAGAACACTGTCCCAAGTCTAGAGGAACACCAACTTCAGCACAGCAACTCGAGGAATGCTCCGTGTACCCCAAATCGTCTCGAGATGAGAGCTGATTCCCTGGCTTAGGCTCAAGACGAATGCCAACTTCCCAGAAGCACCTCAGGAGGAGGCTTCTCTCAGCAATAGATATGTGGGAGGGACCCCGAGTTTGCTGCCTCAAGGGGAATATACAGCGAGAAGCCCTAACTTGAAAGGAGGCCGGATTTCCTTGCAGTGGCTTGAATACAGGCTCGTCTTTCATCTCACAACATGAAGGGATGTCTGAATCCCCTGATGCGACCTTAGAGAAAGCCCTAGGTCCCTGCCTCATTTTGACGGAATGCCTCAAATCCCGCTGACACATCGAGAGGCACGCGGAATTCATTGCTTCAAAAGGTGACGATGCCTGACTCCTCTTGAATACTGATAGGAATCCCAAAATCCCTGTGGCTATTGGAAAGGGTCCTTGGGTGCCCTGCCTCACCTCGAGAAGCGTCCTTTTGCCCAGCCAAGCCTCGAAGAGATTCCTGAGGTGTCCCTCGTTACTAGACAGGAGTCCTGACGTCACTGAAGAAACTCGTGTTTTGAAGGGCCATCCCCGCCGTAAGTCGAGAACATACACCAGGTCCCCGCCGCAACTCGAGAAAAACCATGAGACTTCCCCCTAGAGGCGAGATGAGGCCCCATTCCCCTGCAGTGCATGCAGAGCTATTCCGTGATCCCATTCAAACAAGTCAGGAGCTTCGACTTGCTTAATGGATCTCGAGACAGTCCCCAAGAACACTGTCACCAGTCTAGACGGACCCTGAGGTCACCCCAGCAACGCAAAGCAGCTCCATGTGCCCCAAATCAACTCGAGATGAGGCCCGATTCCCCTGCATTGACTCCAGAGCCATTCCCCGTTCCCCATTCAACACGACCGGTGTCTCGACTTCCTTCAGGCAACTCCAGAGATGCCCCGAGAAAACTGTCCCAAGTCTAGAGGAACACCAACTTCAGCACAGCAACTCGAGGAATGCTCCGTGTACCCCAAATCGTCTCGAGATGCGAGCTGATTCCCTGGCTTAGGCTCAAGACGTATGCCAACTTCCCAGAAGCACCTCAGGAGGAGGCTTCTCTCAGCAATAGGTATGTGGGAGGGACCCCGAGTTTGCTGCCTCAAGGGGAATATACAGCGAGAAGCCCTAACTTGAAAGGCGGCCGGATTTCCTTGCAGTGGCTTGAATACAGGCTCGTCTTTCATCTCACAACATGAAGGGATGTCTGAATCCCCTGTGGAGACCTTAGAGAAAGCCCTAGGTCCCTGCCTCATTTTGACGGAATGCCTCACATCCCGCTGACACCTCGAGAGGCACGCGGAGTTCAGTGCTTCAAAAGGTGACGATGCCTGACTCCTCTTGAATACTGATAGGAATCCCAAAATCCCTGTGGCTACTGGAAAGGGTCCTTGGGTGCCCTGCCTCACCTCGAGAAGCGTCCCTTTTGCCCTGCCAAGCCTCGAAGAGATTCCTGAGGTGTCCCTCGTTACTAGACAGGAGTCCGGACGTCACTGAAGAAACTCGTGTTTTGAAGGGCCATCCCAGCCGTAAGTCGAGAACATACACCAGGTCCCCGCCGCAACTCGAGAAAAACCATGAGACTTCCCCCTAGAGGCGAGATGAGGCCCCATTCCCCTGCAGTGCATGCAGAGCTATTCCGTGATCCCATTCAAACAAGTCAGGAGCTTCGACTTGCTTAATGCATCTCTAGACAGTCCCCAAGATCACTGTCACCAGTCTAGACGGACCCTGAGGTCACCCCAGCAACGCAAAGCAGCTCCATGTGCCCCAAATCAACTCGAGATGAGGCCCGATTCCCCTGCATTGACTCCAGAGCCATTCCCCGTTCCCCATTCAACACGACCGGTGGCTCGACTTCCTTCAGGCAACTCCAGAGATGCCCCGAGAACACTGTCCCAAGTCTAGAGGAACACCAACTTCAGCACAGCAACTCGAGGAATGCTCCGTGTACCCCAAATCGTCTCGAGATGAGAGCTGATTCCCTGGCTTAGGCTCAAGACGAATGCCAACTTCCCAGAAGCACCTCAGGAGGAGGCTTCTCTCAGCAATAGATATGTGGGAGGGACCCCGAGTTTGCTGCCTCAAGGGGAATATACAGCGAGAAGCCCTAACTTGAAAGGAGGCCGGATTTCCTTGCAGTGGCTTGAATACAGGCTCGTCTTTCATCTCACAACATGAAGGGATGTCTGAATCCCCTGTTGAGACCTTAGAGAAAGCCCTAGGTCCCTGCCTCATTTTGACGGAATGCCTCACATCCCGCTGACACCTCGAGAGGCACGCGGAATTCATTGCTTCAAAAGGTGACGATGCCTGACTCCTCTTGAATACTGATAGGAATCCCAAAATCCCTGTGGCTATTGGAAAGGGTCCTTGGGTGCCCTGCCTCATCTCGAGAAGCGTCCTTTTGCCCAGCCAAGCCTCGAAGAGATTCCTGAGGTGTCCCTCATTACTAGACAGGAGTCCTGACGTCACTGAAGAAACTCGTGTTTTGAAGGGCCATCCCCGCCGTAAGTCGAGAACATACACCAGGTCCCCGCCGCAACTCGAGAAAAACCATGAGACTTCCCCCTAGAGGCGAGATGAGGCCCCATTCCCCTGCAGTGCATGCAGAGCTATTCCGTGATCCCATTCAAACAAGTCAGGAGCTTCGACTTGCTTAATGGATCTCGAGACAGTCCCCAAGAACACTGTCACCAGTCTAGACGGACCCTGAGGTCACCCCAGCAACGCAAAGCAGCTCCATGTGCCCCAAATCAACTCGAGATGAGGCCCGATTCCCCTGCATTGAATCCAGAGCCATTCCCCGTTCCCCATTCAACACGACCGGTGGCTCGACTTCCTTCAGGCAACTCCAGAGATGCCCCGAGAACACTGTCCCAAGTCTAGAGGAACACCAACTTCAGCACAGCAACTCGAGGAATGCTCCGTGTACCCCAAATCGTCTCGAGATGAGAGCTGATTCCCTGGCTTAGGCTCAAGACGAATGCCAACTTCCCAGAAGCACCTCAGGAGGAGGCTTCTCTCAGCAATAGATATGTGGGAGGGACCCCGAGTTTGCTGCCTCAAGGGGAATATACAGCGAGAAGCCCTAACTTGAAAGGAGGCCGGATTTCCTTGCAGTGGCTTGAATACAGGCTCGTCTTTCATCTCACAACATGAAGGGATGTCTGAATCCTCTGTTGAGACCTTAGAGAAAGCCCTAGGTCCCTGCCTCATTTTGACGGAATGCCTCACATCCCGCTGACACCTCGAGAGGCACGCGGAATTCATTGCTTCAAAAGGTGACGATGCCTGACTCCTCTTGAATACTGATAGGAATCCCAAAATCCCTGTGGCTATTGGAAAGGGTCCTTGGGTGCCCTGCCTCACCTCGAGAAGCGTCCTTTTGCCCAGCCAAGCCTCGAAGAGATTCCTGAGGTGTCCCTCGTTACTAGACAGGAGTCCTGACGTCACTGAAGAAACTCGTGTTTTGAAGGGCCATCCCCGCCGTAAGTCGAGAACATACACCAGGTCCCCGCCGCAACTCGAGAAAAACCATGAGACTTCCCCCTAGAGGCGAGATGAGGCCCCATTCCCCTGCAGTGCATGCAGAGCTATTCCGTGATCCCATTCAAACAAGTCAGGAGCTTCGACTTGCTTAATGGATCTCGAGACAGTCCCCAAGAACACTGTCACCAGTCTAGACGGACCCTGAGGTCACCCCAGCAACGCAAAGCAGTTCCATGTGCCCCAAATCAACTCGAGATGAGGCCCGATTCCCCTGCATTGACTCCAGAGCCATTCCCCGTTCCCCATTCAACACGACCGGTGTCTCGACTTCCTTCAGGCAACTCCAGAGATGCCCCGAGAACACTGTCCCAAGTCTAGAGGAACACCAACTTCAGCACAGCAACTCGAGGAATGCTCCGTGTACCCCAAATCGTCTCGAGATGAGAGCTGATTCCCTGGCTTAGGCTCAAGACATATGCCAACTTCCCAGAAGCACCTCAGGAGGAGGCTTCTCTCAGCTATAAGTATGTGGGAGGGACCCCGAGTTTGCTGCCTCAAGGGGAATATACAGCGAGAAGCCCTAACTAGAAAGGAGGCCGGATTTCCTTGCAGTGGCTTGAATACAGGCTCGTCTTTCATCTCACAACATGAAGGGATGTCTGAATCCCCTGTGGAGACCTTAGAGAAAGCCCTAGGTCCCTGCCTCATTTTGACGGAATGCCTCACATCCCGCTGACACCTCGAGAGGCACGCGGAGTTCATTGCTTCAAAAGGTGACGATGCCTGACTCCTCTTGAATACTGATAGGAATCCCAAAATCCCTGTGGCTACTGGAAAGGGTCCTTGGGTGCACTGCCTCACCTCGAGAAGCGTCCCTTTTGCCCTGCCAAGCCTCGAAGAGATTCCTGAGGTGTCCCTCGTTACTAGACAGGAGTCCTGACGTCACTGAAGAAACTCGTGTTTGGAAGGGCCATCCCCGCCGTAAGTCGAGAACATAACCCAGGTCCCCGCCGCAACTCGAGAAAAACCATGAGACTTCCCCCTAGAGGCGAGATGAGGCCCCATTCCCCTGCAGTGCATGCAGAGCTATTCCGTGATCCCATTCAAACAAGTCAGGAGCTTCGACTTGCTTAATGGATCTCGAGACAGTCCCCAAGAACACTGTCACCAGTCTAGACGGACCCTGAGGTCACCCCAGCAATTCAAAGCAGCTCCATGTGCCCCAAATCAACTCGAGATGAGGCCCGATTCCCCTGCATTGACTCCAGAGTCATTACCCATTCCCCATTCAACACGACCGGTGGCTCGACTTCCTTCAGGCAACTCCAGAGATGCCCGAGAACACTGTCCCAAGTCCAGAGGAACACCAACTTCAGCACAGCAACTCGAGGAATGCTCCGTGTACCCCAAATCGTCTCGAGATGAGAGCTGATTCCCTGGCTTAGGCTCAAGACGTATGCCAACTTCCCAGAAGCACCTCAGGAGGAGGCTTCTCTCAGCAATAGGTATGTGGGAGGGACCCCGAGTTTGCTGCCTCAAGGGGAATATACAGCGAGAAGCCCTAACTTGAAAGGCGGCCGGATTTCCTTGCAGTGGCTTGAATACAGGCTCGTCTTTCATCTCACAACATGAAGGGATGTCTGAATCCCCTGTGGAGACCTTAGAGAAAGCCCTAGGTCCCTGCCTCATTGTGACCGAATGCCTCACATCCCGCTGACACCTCGAGAGGCACGCGGAGTTCATTGCTTCAAAAGGTGACGATGCCTAACTCCTCTTGAATACTGATAGGAATCCCAAAATCCCTGTGGCTACTGGAAAGGGTCCTTGGGTGCCCTGCCTCACCTCGAGAAGCGTCCCTTTGGCCCTGCCAAGCCTCGAAGAGATTCCTGAGGTGTCCCTCGTTACTAGACAGGAGTCCTGACGTCACTGAAAAACTCGTGTTTTGAAGGGCCATCCCCGCCGTAAGTCGAGAACATACCCCAGGTCCCCGCCGCAACTCGAGAAAAACCATGAGACTTCCCCCTAGAGTCGAGATGAGGCCCCATTCCCCTGCAGTGCATGCAGAGCTATTCCGTGATCCCATTCAAACAAGTCAGGAGCTTCGACTTGCTTAATGGATCTCGAGACAGTCCCCAAGAACACTGTCACCAGTCTAGACGGACCCTGAGGTCACCCCAGCAACGCAAAGCAGCTCCATGTGCCCCAAATCAACTCGAGATGAGGCCCGATTCCCCTGCATTGACTCCAGAGCCATTCCCCGTTCCCCATTCAACACGACCGGTGGCTCGACTTCCTTCAGGCAACTCCAGAGATGCCCCGAGAACACTGTCCCAAGTCTAGAGGAACACCAACTTCAGCACAGCAACTCGAGGAATGCTCCGTGTACCCCAAATCGTCTCGAGATGAGAGCTGATTCCCTGGCTTAGGCTCAAGACGAATGCCAACTTCCCAGAAGCACCTCAGGAGGAGGCTTCTCTCAGCAATAGATATGTGGGAGGGACCCCGAGTTTGCTGCCTCAAGGGGAATATACAGCGAGAAGCCCTAACTTGAAAGGAGGCCGGATTTCCTTGCAGTGGCTTGAATACAGGCTCGTCTTTCATCTCACAACATGAAGGGATGTCTGAATCCCCTGTTGCGACCTTAGAGAAAGCCCTAGGTCCCTGCCTCATTTTGACGGAATGCCTCAAATCCCGCTGACACATCGAGAGGCACGCGGAATTCATTGCTTCAAAAGGTGACGATGCCTGACTCCTCTTGAATACTGATAGGAATCCCAAAATCCCTGTGGCTATTGGAAAGGATCCTTGGGTGCCCTGCCTCACCTCGAGAAGCGTCCTTTTGCCCAGCCAAGCCTCGAAGAGATTCCTGAGGTGTCCCTCGTTACTAGACAGGAGTCCTGACGTCACTGAAGAAACTCGTGTTTTGAAGGGCCATCCCCGCCGTAAGTCGAGAACATACACCAGGTCCCCGCCGCAACTCGAGAAAAACCATGAGACTTCCCCCTAGAGGCGAGATGAGGCCCCATTCCCCTGCAGTGCATGCAGAGCTATTCCGTGATCCCATTCAAACAAGTCAGGAGCTTCGACTTGCTTAATGGATCTCGAGACAGTCCCCAAGAACACTGTCACCAGTCTAGACGGACCCTGAGGTCACCCCAGCAACGCAAAGCAGCTCCATGTGCCCCAAATCAACTCGAGATGAGGCCCGATTCCCCTGCATTGACTCCAGAGCCATTCCCCGTTCCCCATTCAACACGACCGGTGTCTCGACTTCCTTCAGGCAACTCCAGAGATGCCCCGAGAAAACTGTCCCAAGTCTAGAGGAACACCAACTTCAGCACAGCAACTCGAGGAATGCTCCGTGTATCCCAAATCGTCTCGAGATGCGAGCTGATTCCCTGGCTTAGGCTCAAGACGTATGCCAACTTCCCAGAAGCACCTCAGGAGGAGGCTTCTCTCAGCAATAGGTATGTGGGAGGGACCCCGAGTTTGCTGCCTCAAGGGGAATATACAGCGAGAAGCCCTAACTTGAAAGGCGGCCGGATTTCCTTGCAGTGGCTTGAATACAGGCTCGTCTTTCATCTCACAACATGAAGGGATGTCTGAATCCCCTGTGGAGACCTTAGAGAAAGCCCTAGGTCCCTGCCTCATTTTGACGGAATGCCTCACATCCCGCTGACACCTCGAGAGGCACGCGGAGTTCAGTGCTTCAAAAGGTGACGATGCCTGACTCCTCTTGAATACTGATAGGAATCCCAAAATCCCTGTGGCTACTGGAAAGGGTCCTTGGGTGCCCTGCCTCACCTCGAGAAGCGTCCCTTTTGCCCTGCCAAGCCTCGAAGAGATTCCTGAGGTGTCCCTCGTTACTAGACAGGAGTCCGGACGTCACTGAAGAAACTCGTGTTTTGAAGGGCCATCCCAGCCGTAAGTCGAGAACATACACCAGGTCCCCGCCGCAACTCGAGAAAAACCATGAGACTTCCCCCTAGAGGCGAGATGAGGCCCCATTCCCCTGCAGTGCATGCAGAGCTATTCCGTGATCCCATTCAAACAAGTCAGGAGCTTCGACTTGCTTAATGCATCTCTAGACAGTCCCCAAGATCACTGTCACCAGTCTAGACGGACCCTGAGGTCACCCCAGCAACGCAAAGCAGCTCCATGTGCCCCAAATCAACTCGAGATGAGGCCCGATTCCCCTGCATTGACTCCAGAGCCATTCCCCGTTCCCCATTCAACACGACCGGTGGCTCGACTTCCTTCAGGCAACTCCAGAGATGCCCCGAGAACACTGTCCCAAGTCTAGAGGAACACCAACTTCAGCACAGCAACTCGAGGAATGCTCCGTGTACCCCAAATCGTCTCGAGATGAGAGCTGATTCCCTGGCTTAGGCTCAAGACGAATGCCAACTTCCCAGAAGCACCTCAGGAGGAGGCTTCTCTCAGCAATAGATATGTGGGAGGGACCCCGAGTTTGCTGCCTCAAGGGGAATATACAGCGAGAAGCCCTAACTTGAAAGGAGGCCGGATTTCCTTGCAGTGGCTTGAATACAGGCTCGTCTTTCATCTCACAACATGAAGGGATGTCTGAATCCCCTGTTGAGACCTTAGAGAAAGCCCTAGGTCCCTGCCTCATTTTGACGGAATGCCTCACATCCCGCTGACACCTCGAGAGGCACGCGGAATTCATTGCTTCAAAAGGTGACGATGCCTGACTCCTCTTGAATACTGATAGGAATCCCAAAATCCCTGTGGCTATTGGAAAGGGTCCTTGGGTGCCCTGCCTCATCTCGAGAAGCGTCCTTTTGCCCAGCCAAGCCTCGAAGAGATTCCTGAGGTGTCCCTCATTACTAGACAGGAGTCCTGACGTCACTGAAGAAACTCGTGTTTTGAAGGGCCATCCCCGCCGTAAGTCGAGAACATACACCAGGTCCCCGCCGCAACTCGAGAAAAACCATGAGACTTCCCCCTAGAGGCGAGATGAGGCCCCATTCCCCTGCAGTGCATGCAGAGCTATTCCGTGATCCCATTCAAACAAGTCAGGAGCTTCGACTTGCTTAATGGATCTCGAGACAGTCCCCAAGAACACTGTCACCAGTCTAGACGGACCCTGAGGTCACCCCAGCAACGCAAAGCAGCTCCATGTGCCCCAAATCAACTCGAGATGAGGCCCGATTCCCCTGCATTGAATCCAGAGCCATTCCCCGTTCCCCATTCAACACGACCGGTGGCTCGACTTCCTTCAGGCAACTCCAGAGATGCCCCGAGAACACTGTCCCAAGTCTAGAGGAACACCAACTTCAGCACAGCAACTCGAGGAATGCTCCGTGTACCCCAAATCGTCTCGAGATGAGAGCTGATTCCCTGGCTTAGGCTCAAGACGAATGCCAACTTCCCAGAAGCACCTCAGGAGGAGGCTTCTCTCAGCAATAGATATGTGGGAGGGACCCCGAGTTTGCTGCCTCAAGGGGAATATACAGCGAGAAGCCCTAACTTGAAAGGAGGCCGGATTTCCTTGCAGTGGCTTGAATACAGGCTCGTCTTTCATCTCACAACATGAAGGGATGTCTGAATCCCCTGTTGAGACCTTAGAGAAAGCCCTAGGTCCCTGCCTCATTTTGACGGAATGCCTCACATCCCGCTGACACCTCGAGAGGCACGCGGAATTCATTGCTTCAAAAGGTGACGATGCCTGACTCCTCTTGAATACTGATAGGAATCCCAAAATCCCTGTGGCTATTGGAAAGGGTCCTTGGGTGCCCTGCCTCACCTCGAGAAGCGTCCTTTTGCCCAGCCAAGCCTCGAAGAGATTCCTGAGGTGTCCCTCGTTACTAGACAGGAGTCCTGACGTCACTGAAGAAACTCGTGTTTTGAAGGGCCATCCCCGCCGTAAGTCGAGAACATACACCAGGTCCCCGCCGCAACTCGAGAAAAACCATGAGACTTCCCCCTAGAGGCGAGATGAGGCCCCATTCCCCTGCAGTGCATGCAGAGCTATTCCGTGATCCCATTCAAACAAGTCAGGAGCTTCGACTTGCTTCATGGATCTCGAGACAGTCCCCAAGAACACTGTCACCAGTCTAGACGGACCCTGAGGTCACCCCAGCAACGCAAAGCAGCTCCATGTGCCCCAAATCAACTCGAGATGAGGCCCGATTCCCCTGCATTGACTCCAGAGCCATTCCCCGTTCCCCATTCAACACGACCGGTGTCTCGACTTCCTTCAGGCAACTCCAGAGATGCCCCGAGAACACTGTCCCAAGTCTAGAGGAACACCAACTTCAGCACAGCAACTCGAGGAATGCTCCGTGTACCCCAAATCGTCTCGAGATGAGAGCTGATTCCCTGGCTTAGGCTCAAGACATATGCCAACTTCCCAGAAGCACCTCAGGAGGAGGCTTCTCTCAGCTATAAGTATGTGGGAGGGACCCCGAGTTTGCTGCCTCAAGGGGAATATACAGCGAGAAGCCCTAACTAGAAAGGAGGCCGGATTTCCTTGCAGTGGCTTGAATACAGGCTCGTCTTTCATCTCACAACATGAAGGGATGTCTGAATCCCCTGTGGAGACCTTAGAGAAAGCCCTAGGTCCCTGCCTCATTTTGACGGAATGCCTCACATCCCGCTGACACCTCGAGAGGCACGCGGAGTTCATTGCTTCAAAAGGTGACGATGCCTGACTCCTCTTGAATACTGATAGGAATCCCAAAATCCCTGTGGCTACTGGAAAGGGTCCTTGGGTGCACTGCCTCACCTCGAGAAGCGTCCCTTTTGGCCTGCCAAGCCTCGAAGAGATTCCTGAGGTGTCCCTCGTTACTAGACAGGAGTCCTGACGTCACTGAAGAAACTCGTGTTTTGAAGGGCCATCCCCGCCGTAAGTCGAGAACATAACCCAGGTCCTCGCCGCAACTCGAGAAAAACCATGAGACTTCCCCCTAGAGGCGAGATGAGGCCCCATTCCCCTGCAGTGCATGCAGAGCTATTCCGTGATCCCATTCAAACAAGTCAGGAGCTTCGACTTGCTTAATGGATCTCGAGACAGTCCCCAAGAACACTGTCACCAGTCTAGACGGACCCTGAGGTCACCCCAGCAATGCAAAGCAGCTCCATGTGCCCCAAATCAACTCGAGATGAGGCCCGATTCCCCTGCATTGACTCCAGAGCCATTCCCCGTTCCCCATTCAGCACGACCGGTGGCTCGACTTCCTTCAGGCAACTCCAGAGATGCCCCGAGAACACTGTCCCAAGTCTAGAGGAACACCAACTTCAGCACAGCAACTCGAGGAATGCTCCGTGTACCCCAAATCGTCTCGAGATGAGAGCTGATTCCCTGGCTTAGGCTCAAGACATATGCCAACTTCCCAGAAGCACCTCAGGAAGAGGCTTCTCTCAGCAATAGGTATGTGGGAGGGACCCCGAGTTTGCTGCCTCAAGGGGAATATACAGCGAGAAGCCCTAACTTGAAAGGAGGCCGGATTTCCTTGCAGTGGCTTGAATACAGGCTCGTCTTTCATCTCACAACATGAAGGGATGTCTGAATCCCCTGTGGAGACCTTAGAGAAAGCCCTAGGTCCTTGCCTCATTTTGACGGAATGCCTCACATCCCGCTGACACCTCGAGAGGCACGCGGAGTTCAGTGCTTCAAAAGGTGACGATGCCTGACTCCTCTTGAATACTGATAGGAATCCCAAAATCCCTGTGGCTACTGGAAAGGGTCCTTGGGTGCCCTGGTTCACCTCGAGAAGCGTCCCTTTTGCCCTGCCAAGCCTCGAAGAGATTCCTGAGGTGTCCCTCGTTACTAGACAGGAGTCCGGACGTCACTGAAGAAACTCGTGTTTTGAAGGGCCATCCCAGCCGTAAGTCGAGATCATACACCAGGTCCCCGCCGCAACTCGAGAAAAACCATGAGACTTCCCCCTAGAGGCGAGATGAGGCCCCATTCCCCTGCAGTGCATGCAGAGCTATTCCGTGATCCCATTCAAACAAGTCAGGAGCTTCGACTTGCTTAATGGATCTCTAGACAGTCCCCAAGATCACTGTCACCAGTCTAGACGGACCCTGGGTTCACCCCAGCAACGCAAAGCAGCTCCATGTGCCCCAAATCAACTCGAGATGAGGCCCGATTCCCCTGCATTGACTCCAGAGCCATTCCCCGTTCCCCATTCAACACGACCGGTGGCTCGACTTCCTTCAGGCAACTCCAGAGATGCCCCGAGAACACTGTCCCAAGTCTAGAGGAACACCAACTTCAGCACAGCAACTCGAGGAATGCTCCGTGTACCCCAAATCGTCTCGAGATGCGAGCTGATTCCCTGGCTTAGGCTCAAGACGTATGCCAACTTCCCAGAAGCACCTCAGGAGGAGGCTTCTCTCAGCAATAGGTATGTGGGAGGGACCCCGAGTTTGTTGCCCCAAGGGGAATATACAGCGAGAAGCCCTAACTTGAAAGGAGGCCGGATTTCCTTGCAGTGGCTTGAATACAGGCTCGTCTTTCATCTCACAACATGAAGGGATGTCTGAATCCCCTGTGGAGACCTTAGAGAAAGCCCTAGGTCCCTGCCTCATTTTGACGGAATGCCTCACATCCCGCTGACACCTCGAGAGGCACGCGGAGTTCATTGCTTCAAAAGGTGACGATGCCTGACTCCTCTTGAATACTGATAGGGATCCCAAAATCCCTGTGGCTATTGGAAAGGGTCCTTGGGTGCCCTGCCTCACCTCGAGAAGCGTCCTTTTGCCCTGCCAAGCCTCGAAGAGATTCCTGAGGTGTCCCTCGTTACTAGACAGGAGTCCTGACGTCACTGAAGAAACTCGTGTTTTGAAGGGCCATCCCCGCCGTAAGTCGAGAACATACCCCAGGTCCCCGCCGCAACTCGAGAAAAACCATGAGACTTCCCCCTAGAGGCGAGATGAGGCCCCATTCCCCTGCAGTGCATGCAGAGCTATTCCGTGATCCCATTCAAACAAGTCAGGAGCTTCGACTTGCTTAATGGATCTCGAGACAGTCCCCAAGAACACTGTCACCAGTCTAGACGGACCCTGAGGTCACCCCAGCAACGCAAAGCAGCTCCATGTGCCCCAAATCAACTCAAGATGAGGCCCGATTCCCCTGCATTGACTCCAGAGCCATTCCCCGTTCCCCATTCAACACGACCGGTGTCTCGACTTCCTTCAGGCAACTCCAGAGATGCCCCGAGAACACTGTCCCAAGTCTAGAGGAACACCAACTTCAGCACAGCAACTCGAGGAATGCTCCGTGTACCCCAAATCGTCTCGAGATGAGAGCTGATTCCCTGGCTTAGGCTCAAGACATATGCCAACTTCCCAGAAGCACCTCAGGAAGAGGCTTCTCTCAGCAATAGGTATGTGGGAGGGACCCCGAGTTTGCTGCCTCAAGGGGAATATACAGCGAGAAGCCCTAACTTGAAAGGAGGCCGGATTTCCTTGCAGTGGCTTGAATACAGGCTCGTCTTTCATCTCACAACATGAAGGGATGTCTGAATCCCCTGTGGAGACCTTAGAGAAAGCCCTAGGTCCTTGCCTCATTTTGACGGAATGCCTCACATCCCGCTGACACCTCGAGAGGCACGCGGAGTTCAGTGCTTCAAAAGGTGACGATGCCTGACTCCTCTTGAATACTGATAGGAATCCCAAAATCCCTGTGGCTACTGGAAAGGGTCCTTGGGTGCCCTGGTTCACCTCGAGAAGCGTCCCTTTTGCCCTGCCAAGCCTCGAAGAGATTCCTGAGGTGTCCCTCGTTACTAGACAGGAGTCCGGACGTCACTGAAGAAACTCGTGTTTTGAAGGGCCATCCCAGCCGTAAGTCGAGATCATACACCAGGTCCCCGCCGCAACTCGAGAAAAACCATGAGACTTCCCCCTAGAGGCGAGATGAGGCCCCATTCCCCTGCAGTGCATGCAGAGCTATTCCGTGATCCCATTCAAACAAGTCAGGAGCTTCGACTTGCTTAATGGATCTCTAGACAGTCCCCAAGATCACTGTCACCAGTCTAGACGGACCCTGGGTTCACCCCAGCAACGCAAAGCAGCTCCATGTGCCCCAAATCAACTCGAGATGAGGCCCGATTCCCCTGCATTGACTCCAGAGCCATTCCCCGTTCCCCATTCAACACGACCGGTGGCTCGACTTCCTTCAGGCAACTCCAGAGATGCCCCGAGAACACTGTCCCAAGTCTAGAGGAACACCAACTTCAGCACAGCAACTCGAGGAATGCTCCGTGTACCCCAAATCGTCTCGAGATGCGAGCTGATTCCCTGGCTTAGGCTCAAGACGTATGCCAACTTCCCAGAAGCACCTCAGGAGGAGGCTTCTCTCAGCAATAGGTATGTGGGAGGGACCCCGAGTTTGTTGCCCCAAGGGGAATATACAGCGAGAAGCCCTAACTTGAAAGGAGGCCGGATTTCCTTGCAGTGGCTTGAATACAGGCTCGTCTTTCATCTCACAACATGAAGGGATGTCTGAATCCCCTGTGGAGACCTTAGAGAAAGCCCTAGGTCCCTGCCTCATTTTGACGGAATGCCTCACATCCCGCTGACACCTCGAGAGGCACGCGGAGTTCATTGCTTCAAAAGGTGACGATGCCTGACTCCTCTTGAATACTGATAGGGATCCCAAAATCCCTGTGGCTATTGGAAAGGGTCCTTGGGTGCCCTGCCTCACCTCGAGAAGCGTCCTTTTGCCCTGCCAAGCCTCGAAGAGATTCCTGAGGTGTCCCTCGTTACTAGACAGGAGTCCTGACGTCACTGAAGAAACTCGTGTTTTGAAGGGCCATCCCCGCCGTAAGTCGAGAACATACCCCAGGTCCCCGCCGCAACTCGAGAAAAACCATGAGACTTCCCCCTAGAGGCGAGATGAGGCCCCATTCCCCTGCAGTGCATGCAGAGCTATTCCGTGATCCCATTCAAACAAGTCAGGAGCTTCGACTTGCTTAATGGATCTCGAGACAGTCCCCAAGAACACTGTCACCAGTCTAGACGGACCCTGAGGTCACCCCAGCAACGCAAAGCAGCTCCATGTGCCCCAAATCAACTCAAGATGAGGCCCGATTCCCCTGCATTGACTCCAGAGCCATTCCCCGTTCCCCATTCAACACGACCGGTGTCTCGACTTCCTTCAGGCAACTCCAGAGATGCCCCGAGAACACTGTCCCAAGTCTAGAGGAACACCAACTTCAGCACAGCAACTCGAGGAATGCTCCGTGTACCCCAAATCGTCTCGAGATGAGAGCTGATTCCCTGGCTTAGGCTCAAGACGTATGCCAACTTCCCAGAAGCACCTCAGGAGGAGGCTTCTCTCAGCAATAGTTATGTGGGAGGGACCCCGAGTTTGCTGCCTCAAGGGGAATATACAGCGAGAAGCCCTAACTTGAAAGGCGGCCGGATTTCCTTGCAGTGGCTTGAATACAGGCTCGTCTTTCATCTCACAACATGAAGGGATGTCTGAATCCCCTGTGGAGCCCTTAGAGAAAGCCCTAGGTCCCTGCCTCATTTTGACGGAATGCCTCACATCCCGCTGACACCTCGAGAGGCACGCGGAGTTCATTGCTTCAAAAGGTGACGATGCCTAACTCCTCTTGAATACTGATAGGAATCCCAAAATCCCTGTGGCTACTGGAAAGGGTCCTTGGGTGCCCTGCCTCACCTCGAGAAGCGTCCCTTTTGCCCTGCCAAGCCTCGAAGAGATTCCTGAGGTGTCCCTCGTTACTAGACAGGAGTCCTGACGTCACTGAAAAACTCGTGTTTTGAAGGGCCATCCCCGCCGTAAGTCGAGAACATACCCCAGGTCCCCGCCGCAACTAGAGAAAAACCATGAGACTTCCCCCTAGAGGCGAGATGAGGCCCCATTCCCTTGCAGTGCATGCAGAGCTATTCCGTGATCAAATTCAAACAAGTAAGGAGCTTCGACTTGCTTAATGGATCTCGAGACAGTCCCCAAGAACACTGTCACCAGTCTAGACGCACCCTGAGGTCACCCCAGCAACGCAAAGAAGCTCCATGTGCCCCAAATCAACTCGAGATGAGGCCCGATTCCCCTGCATTGGTCTCCAGAGCCATTCCCCGTTCCCCATTCAACACGACCGGTTGCTCGACTTCCTTCAGGCAACTCCAGAGATGCCCCGAGAACACTGTCCCAAGTCTAGAGGAACACCAACTTCAGCACAGCAACTCGAGGAATGCTCCGTGTACCCCAAATCGTCTCGAGATGAGAGCTGATTCCCTGGCTTAGGCTCAAGACGAATGCCAACTTCCCAGAAGCACCTCAGGAGGAGGCTTCTCTCAGCAATAGGTATGTGGGAGGGACCCCGAGTTTGCTGCCTCAAGGGGAATATACAGCGAGAAGCCCTAACTTGAAAGGAGGCCGGATTTCCTTGCAGTGGCTTGAATACAGGCTCCTCTTTCATCTCACAACATGAAGGGATGTCTGAATCCCCTGTGGAGACCTTAGAGAAAGCCCTAGGTCCCTGCCTCATTTTGACGAAATGCCTCACATCCCGCTGACACCTCGAGAGGCACGCGGAATTCATTGCTTCAAAAGGTGACGATGCCTGACTCCTCTTGAATACTGATAGGAATCCCAAAATCCCTGTGGCTATTGGAAAGGGTCTTTGGGTGCCCTGCCTCACCTCGAGAAGCGTCCTTTTGCCCTGCCAAGCTTCGAAGAGTTTCCTGAGGTGTCCCTCGTTACTAGACAGGAGTCCTGACGTCACTGAAGAAACTCGTGTTTTGAAGGGCCATCCCCGCCGTAAGTCGAGAACATACACCAGGTCCCCGCCGCAACTCGAGAAAAACCATGAGACTTCCCCCTAGAGGCGAGATGAGGCCCCATTCCCCTGCAGTGCATGCAGAGCTATTCCGTGATCCCATTCAAACAAGTCAGGAGCTTCGACTTGCTTAATGGATCTCGAGACAGTCCCCAAGAACACTGTCACCAGTCTAGACGGACCCTGAGGTCACCCCAGCAACGCAAAGCAGCTCCATGTGCCCCAAATCAACTCGAGATGAGGCCCGATTCCCCTGCATTGACTCCAGAGCCATTCCCCGTTCCCCATTCAACACGACCGGTGTCTCGACTTCCTTCAGGCAACTCCAGAGATGCCCCGAGAACACTGTCCCAAGTCTAGAGGAACACCAACTTCAGCACAGCAACTCGAGGAATGCTCCGTGTACCCCAAATCGTCTCGAGATGAGAGCTGATTCCCTGGCTTAGGCTCAAGACGTATGCCAACTTCCCAGAAGCACCTCAGGAGGAGGCTTCTCTCAGCTATAAGTATGTGGGAGGGACCCCGAGTTTGCTGCCTCAAGGGGAATATACAGCGAGAAGCCCTAACTTGAAAGGAGGCCGGATTTCCTTGCAGTGGCTTGAATACAGGCTCGTTTTTCATCTCACAACATGAAGGTATGTCTGAATCCCCTGTGGAGACCTTAGAGAAAGCCCTAGGTCCCTGCCTCATTTTGACGGAATGCCTCACATCCCGCTGACACCTCGAGAGGCACGCGGAGTTCATTGCTTCAAAAGGTGACGATGCCTGACTCCTCTTGAATACTGATAGGAATCCCAAAATCCCTGTGGCGACTGGAAAGGGTCCTTGGGTGCCCTGCCTCACCTCGAGAAGCGTCCTTTTGCCCTGCCAAGCCTCGAAGAGATTCCTGAGGTGTCCCTCGTTACTAGACAGGAGTCCTGACGTCACTGAAGAAACTCGTGTTTTGAAGGGCCATCCCCGCCGTAAGTCGAGAACATACCCCAGGTCCCCGCCGCAACTCGAGAAAAACCATGAGACTTCCCCCTAGAGGCGAGATGAGGCCCCATTCCCCTGCAGTGCATGCAGAGCTATTCCGTGATCCCATTCAAACAAGTCAGGAGCTTCGACTTGCTTAATGGATCTCGAGACAGTCCCCAAGAACACTGTCACCAGTCTAGACGGACCCTGAGGTCACCCCAGCAATGCAAAGCAGCTCCATGTGCCCCAAATCAACTCGAGATGAGGCCCGATTCCCCTGCATTGACTCCAGAGCCATTCCCCGTTCCCCATCAGCACGACCGGTGGCTCGACTTCCTTCAGGCAACTCCAGAGATGCCCCGAGAACACTGTCCCAAGTCTAGAGGAACACCAACTTCAGCACAGCAACTCGAGGAATGCTCCGTGTACCCCAAATCGTCTCGAGATGAGAGCTGATTCCCTGGCTTAAGCTCAAGACATATGCCAACTTCCCAGAAGCACCTCAGGAGGAGGCTTCTCTCAGCAATAGGTATGTGGGAGGGACCCCGAGTTTGCTGGCTCAAGGGGAATATACAGCGAGAAGCCCTAACTTGAAAGGCGGCCGGATTTCCTTGCAGTGGCTTGAATACAGGCTCGTCTTTCATCTCACAACATGAAGGGATGTCTGAATCCCCTGTGGAGACCTTAGAGAAAGCCCTAGGTCCCTGCCTCATTTTGACGGAATGCCTCACATCCCGCTGACACCTCGAGAGGCATGCGGAGTTCATTGCTTCAAAAGGTGACGATGCCTGACTCCTCTTGAATACTGATAGGAATCCCAAAATCCCTGTGGCTACTGGAAAGGGTCCTTGGGTGCCCTGCCTCACCTCGAGAAGCGTCCCTTTTGCCCTGCCAAGCCTCGAAGAGATTCCTGAGGTGTCCCTCGTTACTAGACAGGAGTCCTGACGTCACTGAAGAAACTCGTGTTTTGAAGGGCCATCCCAGCCGTAAGTCGAGAACATACACCAGGTCCCCGCCGCAACTCGAGAAAAACCATGAGACTTCCCCCTAGAGGCGAGATGAGGCCCCATTCCCCTGCAGTGCATGCAGAGCTATTCCGTGATCCCATTCAAACAAGTCAGGAGCTTCGACTTGCTTAATGGATCTCTAGACAGTCCCCAAGATCACTGTCACCAGTCTAGACGGACCCTGAGGTCACCGCAGCAACGCAAAGCAGCTCCATGTGCCCCAAATCAACTCGAGATGAGGCCCGATTCCCCTGCATTGACTCCAAAGCCATTCCCCGTTCCCCATTCAACACGACCGGTGGCTCGACTTCCTTCAGGCAACTTCAGAGATGCCCGAGAACACTGTCCCAAGTCCAGAGGAACACCAACTTCAGCACAGCAACTCGAGGAATGCTCCGTGTACCCCAAATCGTCTCGAGATGAAAGCTGATTCCCTGGCTTAGGCTCAAGACGTATGCCAACATCCCAGAAGCACCTCAGGAGGAGGCTTCTCTCAGCAATAGTTATGTGGGAGGGACCCCGAGTTTGCTGCCTCAAGGGGAATATACAGCGAGAAGCCCTAACTTGAAAGGCGGCCGGATTTCCTTGCAGTGGCTTGAATACAGGCTCGTCTTTCATCTCACAACATGAAGGGATGTCTGAATCCCCTGTGGAGCCCTTAGAGAAAGCCCTAGGTCCCTGCCTCATTTTGACGGAATGCCTCACATCCCGCTGACACCTCGAGAGGCACGCGGAGTTCACTGCTTCAAAAGGTGACGATGCCTAACTCCTCTTGAATACTGATAGGAATCCCAAAATCCCTGTGGCTACTGGAAAGGGTCCTTGGGTGCCCTGCCTCACCTCGAGAAGCGTCCCTTTTGCCCTGCCAAGCCTCGAAGAGATTCCTGAGGTGTCCCTCGTTACTAGACAGGAGTCCTGACGTCACTGAAAAACTCGTGTTTTGAAGGGCCATCCCCGCCGTAAGTCGAGAACATACCCCAGGTCCCCGCCGCAACTAGAGAAAAACCATGAGACTTCCCCCTAGAGGCGAGATGAGGCCCCATTCCCCTGCAGTGCATGCAGAGCTATTCCGTGATCAAATTCAAACAAGTAAGGAGCTTCGACTTGCTTAATGGATCTCGAGACAGTCCCCAAGAACACTGTCACCAGTCTAGACGCACCCTGAGGTCACCCCAGCAACGCAAAGAAGCTCCATGTGCCCCAAATCAACTCGAGATGAGGCCCGATTCCCCTGCATTGGTCTCCAGAGCCATTCCCCGTTCCCCATTCAACACGACCGGTGGCTCGACTTCCTTCAGGCAACTCCAGAGATGCCCCGAGAACACTGTCCCAAGTCTAGAGGAACACCAACTTCAGCACAGCAACTCGAGGAATGCTCCGTGTACCCCAAATCGTCTCGAGATGAGAGCTGATTCCCTGGCTTAGGCTCAAGACGAATGCCAACTTCCCAGAAGCACCTCAGGAGGAGGCTTCTCTCAGCAATAGGTATGTGGGAGGGACCCCGAGTTTGCTGCCTCAAGGGGAATATACAGCGAGAAGCCCTAACTTGAAAGGAGGCCGGATTTCCTTGCAGTGGCTTGAATACAGGCTCCTCTTTCATCTCACAACATGAAGGGATGTCTGAATCCCCTGTGGAGACCTTAGAGAAAGCCCTAGGTCCCTGCCTCATTTTGACGGAATGCCTCACATCCCGCTGACACCTCGAGAGGCACGCGGAATTCATTGCTTCAAAAGGTGACGATGCCTGACTCCTCTTGAATACTGATAGGAATCCCAAAATCCCTGTGGCTATTGGAAAGGGTCTTTGGGTGCCCTGCCTCACCTCGAGAAGCGTCCTTTTGCCCTGCCAAGCCTCGAAGAGTTTCCTGAGGTGTCCCTCGTTACTAGACAGGAGTCCTGACGTCACTGAAGAAACTCGTGTTTTGAAGGGCCATCCCCGCCGTAAGTCGAGAACATACACCAGGTCCCCGCCGCAACTCGAGAAAAACCATGAGACTTCCCCCTAGAGGCGAGATGAGGCCCCATTCCCCTGCAGTGCATGCAGAGCTATTCCGTGATCCCATTCAAACAAGTCAGGAGCTTCGACTTGCTTAATGGATCTCGAGACAGTCCCCAAGAACACTGTCACCAGTCTAGACGGACCCTGAGGTCACCCCAGCAACGCAAAGCAGCTCCATGTGCCCCAAATCAACTCGAGATGAGGCCCGATTCCCCTGCATTGACTCCAGAGCCATTCCCCGTTCCCCATTCAACACGACCGGTGTCTCGACTTCCTTCAGGCAACTCCAGAGATGCCCCGAGAACACTGTCACAAGTCTAGAGGAACACCAACTTCAGCACAGCAACTCGAGGAATGCTCCGTGTACCCCAAATCGTCTCGAGATGGGAGCTGATTCCCTGGCTTAGGCTCAAGACGTATGCCAACTTCCCAGAAGCACCTCAGGAGGAGGCTTCTCTCAGCTATAAGTATGTGGGAGGGACCCCGAGTTTGCTGCCTCAAGGGGAATATACAGCGAGAAGCCCTAACTTGAAAGGAGGCCGGATTTCCTTGCAGTGGCTTGAATACAGGCTCGTTTTTCATCTCACAACATGAAGGGATGTCTGAATCCCCTGTGGAGACCTTAGAGAAAGCCCTAGGTCCCTGCCTCATTTTGACGGAATGCCTCACATCCCGCTGACACCTCGAGAGGCACGCGGAGTTCATTGCTTCAAAAGGTGACGATGCCTGACTCCTCTTGAATACTGATAGGAATCCCAAAATCCCTGTGGCGACTGGAAAGGGTCCTTGGGTGCCCTGCCTCACCTCGAGAAGCGTCCTTTTGCCCTGCCAAGCCTCGAAGAGATTCCTGAGGTGTCCCTCGTTACTAGACAGGAGTCCTGACGTCACTGAAGAAACTCCTGTTTTGAAGGGCCATCCCCGCCGTAAGTCGAGAACATACCCCAGGTCCCCGCCGCAACTCGAGAAAAACCATGAGACTTCCCCCTAGAGGCGAGATGAGGCCCCATTCCCCTGCAGTGCATGCAGAGCTATTCCGTGATCCCATTCAAACAAGTCAGGAGCTTCGACTTGCTTAATGGATCTCGAGACAGTCCCCAAGAACACTGTCACCAGTCTAGACGGACCCTGAGGTCACCCCAGCAATGCAAAGCAGCTCCATGTGCCCCAAATCAACTCGAGATGAGGCCCGATTCCCCTGCATTGACTCCAGAGCCATTCCCCGTTCCCCATCAGCACGACCGGTGGCTCGACTTCCTTCAGGCAACTCCAGAGATGCCCCGAGAACACTGTCCCAAGTCTAGAGGAACACCAACTTCAGCACAGCAACTCGAGGAATGCTCCGTGTACCCCAAATCGTCTCGAGATGAGAGCTGATTCCCTGGCTTAAGCTCAAGACATATGCCAACTTCCCAGAAGCACCTCAGGAGGAGGCTTCTCTCAGCAATAGGTATGTGGGAGGGACCCCGAGTTTGCTGGCTCAAGGGGAATATACAGCGAGAAGCCCTAACTTGAAAGGCGGCCGGATTTCCTTGCAGTGGCTTGAATACAGGCTCGTCTTTCATCTCACAACATGAAGGGATGTCTGAATCCCCTGTGGAGACCTTAGAGAAAGCCCTAGGTCCCTGCCTCATTTTGACGGAATGCCTCACATCCCGCTGACACCTCGAGAGGCACGCGGAGTTCATTGCTTCAAAAGGTGACGATGCCTGACTCCTCTTGAATACTGATAGGAATCCCAAAATCCCTGTGGCTACTGGAAAGGGTCCTTGGGTGCCCTGCCTCACCTCGAGAAGCGTCCCTTTTGCCCTGCCAAGCCTCGAAGAGATTCCTGAGGTGTCCCTCGTTACTAGACAGGAGTCCTGACGTCACTGAAGAAACTCGTGTTTTGAAGGGCCATCCCAGCCGTAAGTCGAGAACATACACCAGGTCCCCGCCGCAACTCGAGAAAAACCATGAGACTTCCCCCTAGAGGCGAGATGAGGCCCCATTCCCCTGCAGTGCATGCAGAGCTATTCCGTGATCCCATTCAAACAAGTCAGGAGCTTCGACTTGCTTAATGGATCTCTAGACAGTCCCCAAGATCACTGTCACCAGGCTAGACGGACCCTGAGGTCACCGCAGCAACGCAAAGCAGCTCCATGTGCCCCAAATCAACTCGAGATGAGGCCCGATTCCCCTGCATTGACTCCAGAGCCATTCCCCGTTCCCCATTCAACACGACCGGTGGCTCGACTTCCTTCAGGCAACTCCAGAGATGCCCCGAGAACACTGTCCCAAGTCTAGAGGAACACCAACTTCAGCACAGCAACTCGAGGAATGCTCCGTGTACCCCAAATCGTCTCGAGATGCGAGCTGATTCCCTGGCTTAGGCTCAAGACGTATGCCAACTTCCCAGAAGCACCTCAGGAGGAGGCTTCTCTCAGCAATAGGTATGTGCGAGGGACCCCGAGTTTGTTGCCTCAAGGGGAATATACAGCGAGAAGCCCGAACTTGAAAGGAGGCCGGATTTCCTTGCAGTGGCTTGAATACAGGCTCGTCTTTCATCTCACAACATGAAGGGATGTCTGAATCCCCTGTGGAGACCTTAGAGAAAGCCCTAGTTCCCTGCCTCATTTTGACGGAATGCCTCACATCCCGCTGACACCTCGAGAGGCACGCGGAGTTCATTGCTTCAAAAGGTGACGATGCCTGACTCCTCTTGAATACTGATAGGAATCCCAAAATCCCTGTGGCGACTGGAAAGGGTCCTTGGGTGCCCTGCCTCACCTCGAGAAGCGTCCTTTTGCCCTGCCAAGCCTCGAAGAGATTCCTGAGGTGTCCCTCGTTACTAGACAGGAGTCCTGACGTCACTGAAGAAACTCGTGTTTTGAAGGGCCATCCCCGCCGTAAGTCGAGAACATACCCCAGGTCCCCGCCGCAACTCGAGAAAAACCATGAGACTTCCCCCTAGAGGCGAGATGAGGCCCCATTCCCCTGCAGTGCATGCAGAGCTATTCCGTGATCCCATTCAAACAAGTCAGGAGCTTCGACTTGCTTAATGGATCTCGAGACAGTCCCCAAGAACACTGTCACCAGTCTAGACGGACCCTGAGGTCACCCCAGCAATGCAAAGCAGCTCCATGTGCCCCAAATCAACTCGAGATGAGGCCCGATTCCCCTGCATTGACTCCAGAGCCATTCCCCGTTCCCCATCAGCACGACCGGTGGCTCGACTTCCTTCAGGCAACTCCAGAGATGCTCCGAGAACACTGTCCCAAGTCTAGAGGAACACCAACTTCAGCACAGCAACTCGAGGAATGCTCCGTGTACCCCAAATCGTCTCGAGATGAGAGCTGATTCCCTGGCTTAAGCTCAAGACATATGCCAACTTCCCAGAAGCACCTCAGGAGGAGGCTTCTCTCAGCAATAGGTATGTGGGAGGGACCCCGAGTTTGCTGGCTCAAGGGGAATATATAGCGAGAAGCCCTAACTTGAAAGGCGGCCGGATTTCCTTGCAGTGGCTTGAATACAGGCTCGTCTTTCATCTCACAACATGAAGGGATGTCTGAATCCCCTGTGGAGACCTTAGAGAAAGCCCTAGGTCCCTGCCTCATTTTGACGGAATGCCTCACATCCCGCTGACACCTCGAGAGGCACGCGGAGTTCATTGCTTCAAAAGGTGACGATGCCTGACTCCTCTTGAATACTGATAGGAATCCCAAAATCCCTGTGGCTACTGGAAAGGGTCCTTGGGTGCCCTGCCTCACCTCGAGAAGCGTCCCTTTTGCCCTGCCAAGCCTCGAAGAGATTCCTGAGGTGTCCCTCGTTACTAGACAGGAGTCCTGACGTCACTGAAGAAACTCGTGTTTTGAAGGGCCATCCCAGCCGTAAGTCGAGAACATACACCAGGTCCCCGCCGCAACTCGAGAAAAACCATGAGACTTCCCCCTAGAGGCGAGATGAGGCCCCATTCCCCTGCAGTGCATGCAGAGCTATTCCGTGATCCCATTCAAACAAGTCAGGAGCTTCGACTTGCTTAATGGATCTCTAGACAGTCCCCAAGATCACTGTCACCAGTCTAGACGGACCCTGAGGTCACCGCAGCAACGCAAAGCAGCTCCATGTGCCCCAAATCAACTCGAGATGAGGCCCGATTCCCCTGCATTGACTCCAGAGCCATTCCCCGTTCCCCATTCAACACGACCGGTGGCTCGACTTCCTTCAGGCAACTCCAGAGATGCCCCGAGAACACTGTCCCAAGTCTAGAGGAACACCAACTTCAGCACAGCAACTCTAGGAATGCTCCGTGTACCCCAAATCGTCTCGAGATGCGAGCTGATTCCCTGGCTTAGGCTCAAGACGTATGCCAACTTCCCAGAAGCACCTAAGGAGGAGGCTTCTCTCAGCAATAGGTATGTGCGAGGGACCCCGAGTTTGTTGCCTCAAGGGGAATATACAGCGAGAAGCCCGAACTTGAAAGGAGGCCGGATTTCCTTGCAGTGGCTTGAATACAGGCTCGTCTTTCATCTCACAACATGAAGGGATGTCTGAATCCCCTGTGGAGACCTTAGAGAAAGCCCTAGGTCCCTGCCTCATTTTGACGGAATGCCTCACATCCCGCTGACACCTCGAGAGGCACGCGGAGTTCATTGCTTCAAAAGGTGACGATGCCTGACTCCTCTTGAATACTGATAGGAATCCCAAAATCCCTGTGGCTACTGGAAAGGGTTCTTGGGTGCCCTGCCTCACCTCGAGAAGCGTCCCTTTTGCCCTGCCAAGCCTCGAAGAGATTCCTGAGGTGTCCCTCGTTACTAGACAGGAGTCCTGACGTCACTGAAGAAACTCGGGTTTTGAAGGGCCATCCCCGCCGTAAGTCGAGAACATACCCCAGGTCCCCGCCGCAACTCGAGAAAAACCATGAGACTTCCCCCTAGAGGCGAGATGAGGCCCCATTCCCCTGCAGTGCATGCAGAGCTATTCCGTGATCCCATTCAAACAAGTCAGGAGCTTCGACTTGCTTAATGGATCTCGAGACAGTCCCCAAGAACACTGTCACCAGTCTAGACGGACCCTGAGGTCACCCCAGCAACGCAAAGCAGCTCCATGTGCCCCAAATCAACTCGAGATGAGGCCCGATTCCCCTGCATTGACTCCAGAGCCATTCCCCGTTCCCCATTCAACACGACCGGTGGCTCGACTTCCTTCAGGCAACTCCAGAGATGCCCCGAGAACACTGTCCCAAGTCCAGAGGAACACCAACTTCAGCACAGCAACTTGAGGAATGCTCCGTGTACCCCAAATCGTCTCGAGATGAGAGCTGATTCCCTGGCTTATTCTCAAGACGTATGCCAACTTCCCAGAAGCACCTCAGGAGGAGGCTTCTCTCAGCAATAGGTATGTGGGAGGGACCCCTAGTTTGCTGCCTCAAGGGGAATATACAGCGAGAAGCCCTAACTTGAAAGGAGGCCGGATTTCCTTGCAGTGGCTTGAATACAGGCTCGTCTTTCATCTCACAACATGAAGGGATGTCTGAATCCCCTGTGGAGACCTTAGAGAAAGCCCTAGGTCCCTGCCTCATTTTGACGGAATGCCTCACATCCCGCTGACACCTCGAGAGGCACGCGGAGTTCATTGCTTCAAAAGGTGACGATGCCTGACTCCTCTTGAATACTGATAGGAATCCCAAAATCCCTGTGGCTATTGGAAAGGGTCCTTGGGTGCCCTGCCTCACCTCGAGAACCGTCCTTTTGCCCTGCCAAGCCTCTAAGAGATTCCTGAGGTGTCCCTCGTTACTAGACAGGAGTCCTGACGTCACTGAAGAAACTCGTGTTTTGAAGGGCCATCCCCGCCGTAAGTCGAGAACATACCCCAGGTCCCCGCCGCAACTCGAGAAAAACCATGAGACTTCCCCCTAGAGGCGAGATGAGGCCCCATTCATCTGCAATGCATGCAGAGCTATTCCGTGAACCCATTCAAACAAGTCAGGAGCTTCGACTTGCTTCATGGATCTCGAGACAGTCCCCAAGAACACTGTCACCAGTCTAGACGGACCCTGAGGTCACCCCAGCAACGCAAAGCAGCTCCATGTGCCCCAAATCAACTCGAGATGAGGCCCGATTCCCCTGCATTGACTCCAGAGCCATTCCCCGTTCCCCATTCAACACGACCGGTGGCTCGACTTCCTTCAGGCAACTCCAGAGATGCCCCGAGAAAACTGTCCCAAGTCTAGAGGAACACCAACTTCAGCACAGCAACTCGAGGAATGCTCCGTGTACCCCAAATCGTCTCGAGATGCGAGCTGATTCCCTGGCTTAGGCTCAAGACGTATGCCAACTTCCCAGAAGCACCTCAGGAGGAGGCTTCTCTCAGCAATAGGTATGTGCGAGGGACCCCGAGTTTGTTGCCTCAAGGGGAATATACAGCGAGAAGCCCTAACTTGAAAGGAGGCCGGATTTCCTTGCAGTGGCTTGAATACAGGCTCGTCTTTCATCTCACAACATGAAGGGATGTCTGAATCCCCTGTGGAGACCTTAGAGAAAGCCCTAGGTCCCTGCCTCATTTTGACGGAATGCCTCACATCCTGCTGACACCTCGAGAGGCACGCGGAGTTCATTGCTTCAAAAGGTGACGATGCCTGACTCCTCTTGAATACTGATAGGAATCCCAAAATCCCTGTGGCTACTGGAAAGGGTCCTTGGGTGCCCTGCCTCACCTCGAGAAGCGTCCCTTTTGCCCTGCCAAGCCTCGAAGAGATTCCTGAGGTGTCCCTCGTTACTAGACAGGAGTCCTGACGTCACTGAAGAAACTCGGGTTTTGAAGGGCCATCCCCGCCGTAAGTCGAGAACATACACCAGGTCCCCGCCGCAACTCGAGAAAAACCATGAGACTTCCCCCTAGAGGCGAGATGAGGCCCCATTCCCCTGCAGTGCATGCAGAGCTATTCCGTGATCCCATTCAAACAAGTCAGGAGCTTCGACTTGCTTCATGGATCTCGAGACAGTCCCCAAGAACACTGTCACCAGTCTAGACGCACCCTGAGGTCACCCCAGCAACGCAAAGCAGCTCCATGTGCCCCAAATCAACTCGAGATGAGGCCCGATTCCCCTGCATTGTCTCCAGAGCCATTCCCCGTTCCCCATTCAACACGACCGGTGGCTCGACTTCCTTCAGGCAACTCCAGAGATGCCCCGAGAACACTGTCCCAAGTCTAGAGGAACACCAACTTCAGCACAGCAACTCGAGGAATGCTCCGTGTACCCCATATCGTCTAGAGATGAGAGCTGATTCCCTGGCTTAGGCTCAAGACGAATGCCAACTTCCCAGAAGCACCTCAGGAGGAGGCTTCTCTCAGCAATAGGTATGTGGGAGGGACCCCGAGTTTGCTGCCTCAAGGGGAATATACAGCGAGAAGCACTAACTTGAAAGGAGGCCGGATTTCCTTGCAGTGGCTTGAATACAGGCTCGTTTTTCATCTCACAACATGAAGGGATGTCTGAATCCCCTGTGGAGACCTTAGAGAAAGCCCTAGGTCCCTGCCTCATTTTGACGGAATGCCTCACATCCCGCTGACACCTCGAGAGGCACGCGGAGTTCATTGCTTCAAAAGGTGACGATGCCTGACTCCTCTTGAATACTGATAGGAATTCCAAAATCCCTGTGGCGACTGGAAAGGGTCCTTGGGTGCCCTGCCTCACCTCGAGAACCGTCCTTTTGCCCTGCCAAGCCTCTAAGAGATTCCTGAGGTGTCCCTCGTTACTAGACAGGAGTCCTGACGTCACTGAAGAAACTCGTGTTTTGAAGGGCCATCCCCGCCGTAAGTCGAGAACATACCCCAGGTCCCCGCCGCAACTCGAGAAAAACCATGAGACTTCCCCCTAGAGGCGAGATGAGGCCCCATTCCCCTGCAGTGCATGCAGAGCTATTCCGTGATCCCATTCAAACAAGTCAGGAGCTTCGACTTGCTTAATGGATCTCGAGACAGTCCCCAAGAACACTGTCACCAGTCTAGACGGACCCTGAGGTCACCCCAGCAACGCAAAGCAGCTCCATGTGCCCCAAATCAACTCGAGATGAGGCCCGATTCCCCTGCATTGACTCCAGAGCCATTCCCCGTTCCCCATTCAACACGACCGGTGGCTCGACTTCCTTCAGGCAACTCCAGAGATGCCCCGAGAAAACTGTCCCAAGTCTAGAGGAACACCAACTTCAGCACAGCAACTCGAGGAATGCTCCGTGTACCCCAAATCGTCTCGAGATGCGAGCTGATTCCCTGGCTTAGGCTCAAGACGTATGCCAACTTCCCAGAAGCACCTCAGGAGGAGGCTTCTCTCAGCAATAGGTATGTGCGAGGGACCCCGAGTTTGTTGCCTCAAGGGGAATATACAGCGAGAAGCCCTAACTTGAAAGGAGGCCGGATTTCCTTGCAGTGGCTTGAATACAGGCTCGTCTTTCATCTCACAACATGAAGGGATGTCTGAATCCCCTGTGGAGACCTTAGAGAAAGCCCTAGGTCCCTGCCTCATTTTGACGGAATGCCTCACATCCTGCTGACACCTCGAGAGGCACGCGGAGTTCATTGCTTCAAAAGGTGACGATGCCTGACTCCTCTTGAATACTGATAGGAATCCCAAAATCCCTGTGGCTACTGGAAAGGGTCCTTGGGTGCCCTGCCTCACCTCGAGAAGCGTCCCTTTTGCCCTGCCAAGCCTCGAAGAGATTCCTGAGGTGTCCCTCGTTACTAGACAGGAGTCCTGACGTCACTGAAGAAACTCGGGTTTTGAAGGGCCATCCCCGCCGTAAGTCGAGAACATACACCAGGTCCCCGCCGCAACTCGAGAAAAACCATGAGACTTCCCCCTAGAGGCGAGATGAGGCCCCATTCCCCTGCAGTGCATGCAGAGCTATTCCGTGATCCCATTCAAACAAGTCAGGAGCTTCGACTTGTTTCATGGATCTCGAGACAGTCCCCAAGAACACTGTCACCAGTCTAGACGCACCCTGAGGTCACCCCAGCAACGCAAAGCAGCTCCATGTGCCCCAAATCAACTCGAGATGAGGCCCGATTCCCCTGCATTGTCTCCAGAGCCATTCCCCGTTCCCCATTCAACACGACCGGTGGCTCGACTTCCTTCAGGCAACTCCAGAGATGCCCCGAGAACACTGTCCCAAGTCTAGAGGAACACCAACTTCAGCACAGCAACTCGAGGAATGCTCCGTGTACCCCATATCGTCTAGAGATGAGAGCTGATTCCCTGGCTTAGGCTCAAGACGAATGCCAACTTCCCAGAAGCACCTCAGGAGGAGGCTTCTCTCAGCAATAGGTATGTGGGAGGGACCCCGAGTTTGCTGCCTCAAGGGGAATATACAGCGAGAAGCCCTAACTTGAAAGGAGGCCGGATTTCCTTGCAGTGGCTTGAATACAGGCTCGTTTTTCATCTCACAACATGAAGGGATGTCTGAATCCCCTGTGGAGACCTTAGAGAAAGCCCTAGGTCCCTGCCTCATTTTGACGGAATGCCTCACATCCCGCTGACACCTCGAGAGGCACGCGGAGTTCATTGCTTCAAAAGGTGACGATGCCTGACTCCTCTTGAATACTGATAGGAATTCCAAAATCCCTGTGGCGACTGGAAAGGGTCCTTGGGTGCCCTGCCTCACCTCGAGAAGCGTCCCTTTTGCCCTGCCAAGCCTCGAAGAGATTCCTGAGGTGTCCCTCGTTACTAGACAGGAGTCCTGACGTCACTGAAGAAACTCGTGTTTTGAAGGGCCATCCCCGCCGTAAGTCGAGAACATACCCCAGGTCCCCGCCGCAACTCGAGAAAAACCATGAGACTTCCCCCTAGAGGCGAGATGAGGCCCCATTCCCCTGCAGTGCATGCAGAGCTATTCCGTGATCCCATTCAAACAAGTCAGGAGCTTCGACTTGCTTCATGGATCTCGAGAAAGTCCCCAAGAACACTGTCACCAGTCTAGACGGACTCTGAGGTCACCCCAGCAACGCAAAGCAGCTCCATGTGCCCCAAATCAACTCGAGATGAGGCCCGATTCCCCTGCATTGACTCCAGAGCCATTCCCCGTTCCCCATTCAACACGACCGGTGTCTCGACTTCCTTCAGGCAACTCCAGAGATGCCCCGAGAACACTGTCCCAAGTCTAGAGGAACACCAACTTCAGCACAGCAACTCGAGGAATGCTCCGTGTACCCCAAATCGTCTCGAGATGAGAGCTGATTCACTGGCTTAGGCTCAAGACGTATGCCAACTTCCCAGAAGCACCTCAGGAGGAGGCTTCTCTCAGCTATAAGTATGTGGGAGGGACCCCGAGTTTGCTGCCTCAAGGGGAATATACAGCGAGAAGCCCTAACTTGAAAGGAGGCCGGATTTCCTTGCGGTGGCTTGAATACAGGCTCGTCTTTCATCTCACAACATGAAGGGATGTCTGAATCCCCTGTGGAGACCTTAGAGAAAGCCCTAGGTCCCTGCCTCATTTTGACGGAATGCCTCACATCCCGCTGACACCTCGAGAGGCACGCGGAGTTCATTGCTTCAAAAGTTAACGATGCCTGACTCCTCTTGAATACTGATAGGAATCCCAAAATCCCTGTGGCTACTGGAAAGGGTCCTTGGGTGCCCTGCCTCACCTCGAGAAGCGTCCCTTTTGTCCTGCCAAGCCTCGAAGAGATTCCTGAGGTGTCCCTCGTTACTAGACAGGAGTCCTGACGTCACTGAAGAAACTCGTGTTTTGAAGGGCCATCCCCGCCGTAAGTCGAGAACATACCCCAGGTCGCCGCCGCAACTCGAGAAAAACCATGAGACTTCCCCCTAGAGGCGAGATGAGGCCCCATTCCCCTGCAGTGCATGCAGAGCTATTCCGTGATCCCATTCAAACAAGTCAGGAGCTTCGACTTGCTTCATGGATCTCGAGACAGTCCCCAAGAACACTGTCACCAGTCTAGACGGACCCTGAGGTCACCCCAGCAATGCAAAGCAGCTCCATGTGCCCCAAATCAACTCGAGATGAGGCCCGATTCCCCTGCATTGACTCCAGAGCCATTCCCCGTTCCCCATTCAACACGACCGGTGTCTCGACTTCCTTCAGGCAACTCCAGAGATGCCCCGAGAACACTGTCCCAAGTCTAGAGGAACACCAACTTCAGCACAGCAACTCGAGGAATTCTCCGTGTACCCCAAATCGTCTCGAGATGAGAGCTGATTCCCTGGCTTAGGCTCAAGACGTATGCCAACTTCCCAGAAGCACCTCAGGAGGAGGCTTCTCTCAGCTATAAGTATGTGGGAGGGACCCCGAGTTTGCTGCCTCAAGGGGAATATACAGCGAGAAGCCCTAACTTGAAAGGAGGCCGGATTTCCTTGCAGTGGCTTGAATACAGGCTCGTTTTTCATCTCACAACATGAAGGGATGTCTGAATCCCCTGTGGAGCCCTTAGAGAAAGCCCTAGGTCCCTGCCTCATTTTGACGGAATGCCTCACATCCCGCTGACACCTCGAGAGGCACGCGGAGTTCATTGCTTCAAAAGGTGACGATGCCTGACTCCTCTTGAATACTGATAGGAATCCCAAAATCCCTGTGGCTATTGGAAAGGGTCCTTGGGTGCCCTGCCTCACCTCGAGAAGCGTCCTTTTGCCCTGCCAAGCCTCGAAGAGATTCCTGAGGTGTCCCTCGTTACTAGACAGGAGTCCTGACGTCACTGAAGAAACTCGTGTTTTGAAGGGCCATCCCCGCCATAAGTCGAGAACATACCCCAGGTCCCCGCCGCAACTCGAGAAAAACCATGAGACTTCCCCCTAGAGGCGAGATGAGGCCCCATTCCCCTGCAGTGCATGCAGAGCTATTCCGTGATTCCATTCAAACAAGTCAGGAGCTTCGACTTGCTTAATGGATCTCGAGACAGTCCCCAAGAACACTGTCACCAGTCTAGACGCACCCTGAGGTCACCCCAGCAACGCAAAGCAGCTCCATGTGCCCCAAATCAACTCGAGATGAGGCCCGATTCCCCTGCATTGTCTCCAGAGCCATTCCCCGTTCCCCATTCAACACGACCGGTGGCTCGACTTCCTTCAGGCAACTCCAGAGATGCCCCGAGAACACTGTCCCAAGTCTAGAGGAACACCAACTTCAGCACAGCAACTCGAGGAATGTTCCGTGTACCCCAAATCGTCTCGAGATGAGAGCTGATTCCCTGGCTTAGGCTCAAGACGTATGCCAACTTCCCAGAAGCACCTCAGGAGGAGGCTTCTCTCAGCAATAGGTATGTGGGAGGGACCCCGAGTTTGCTGCCTCAAGGGGAATATACAGCGAGAAGCCCTAACTTGAAAGGAGGCCGGATTTCCTTGCAGTGGCTTGAATACAGGCTCGTCTTTCATCTCACAACATGAAGGGATGTCTGAATCCCCTGTGGAGACCTTAGAGAAAGCCCTAGGTCCCTGCCTCATTTTGACGGAATGCCTCACATCCCGCTGACACCTCGAGAGGCACGCGGAGTTCATTGCTTCAAAAGGTGACGATGCCTGACTCCTCTTGAATACTGATAGGAATCCCAAAATCCCTGTGGCTACTGGAAAGGGTCCTTGGGTGCCCTGCCTCACCTCGAGAAGCGTCCCTTTGGCCCTGCCAAGCCTCGAAGAGATTCCTGAGGTGTCCCTCGTTACTAGACAGGAGTCCTGACGTCACTGAAAAACTCGTGTTTTGAAGGGCCATCCCCGCCGTAAGTCGAGAACATACCCCAGGTCCCCGCCGCAACTAGAGAAAAACCATGAGACTTCCCCCTAGAGGCGAGATGAGGCCCCATTCCCCTGCAGTGCATGCAGAGCTATTCCGTGATCAAATTCAAACAAGTAAGGAGCTTCGACTTGCTTAATGGATCTCGAGACAGTCCCCAAGAACACTGTCACCAGTCTAGACGCACCCTGAGGTCACCCCAGCAACGCAAAGCAGCTCCATGTGCCCCAAATCAACTCGAGATGAGGCCCGATTCCCCTGCATTGTCTCCAGAGCCATTCCCCGTTCCCCATTCAACACGACCGGTGGCTCGACTTCCTTCAGGCAACTCCAGAGATGCCCCGAGAACACTGTCCCAAGTCTAGAGGAACACCAACTTCAGCACAGCAACTCGAGGAATGCTCCGTGTACCCCAAATCGTCTCGAGATGAGAGCTGATTCCCTGGCTTAGGCTCAAGACGAATGCCAACTTCCCAGAAGCACCTCAGGAGGAGGCTTCTCTCAGCAATAGGTATGTGGGAGGGACCCCGAGTGTGCTGCCTCAAGGGGAATATACAGCGAGAAGCCCTAACTTGAAAGGAGGCCGGATTTCCTTGCAGTGGCTTGAATACAGGCTCGTCTTTCATCTCACAACATGAAGGGATGTCTGAATCCCCTGTGGAGACCTTAGAGAAAGCCCTAGGTCCCTGCCTCATTTTGACGGAATGCCTCACATCCCGCTGACACCTCGAGAGGCACGCAGAGTTCATTGCTTCAAAAGGTGACGATGCCTGACTCCTCTTGAATACTGATAGGAATCCCAAAATCCCTGTGGCGACTGGAAAGGGTCCTTGGGTGCCCTGCCTCACCTCGAGAAGCGTCCTTTTGCCCTGCCAAGCCTCGAAGAGATTCCTGAGGTGTCCCTCGTTACTAGACAGGAGTCCTGACGTCACTGAAGAAACTCGTGTTTTGAAGGGCCATCCCCGCCGTAAGTCGAGAACATACCCCAGGTCCCCGCCGCAACTCGAGAAAAACCATGAGACTTCCCCCTAGAGGCGAGATGAGGCCCCATTCCCCTGCAGTGTATGCAGAGCTATTCCGTCATTCCATTCAAACAAGTCAGGAGCTTCGACTTGCTTCATGGATCTCGAGACAGTCCCCAAGAACACTGTCACCAGTCTAGACGCACCCTGAGGTCACCCCAGCAACGCAAAGCAGCTCCATGTGCCCCAAATCAACTCGAGATGAGGCCCGATTCCCCTGCATTGTCTCCAGAGCCATTCCCCGTTCCCCATTCAACACGACCGGTGGCTCGACTTCCTTCAGGCAACTCCAGAGATGCCCCGAGAACACTGTCCCAAGTCTAGAGGAACACCAACTTCAGCACAGCAACTCGAGGAATGCTCCGTGTACCCCAAATCGTCTCGAGATGAGAGCTGATTCCCTGGCTTAGGCTCAAGACGAATGCCAACTTCCCAGAAGCACCTCAGGAGGAGGCTTCTCTCAGCAATAGGTATGTGGGAGGGACCCCGAGTTTGCTGCCTCAAGGGGAATATACAGCGAGAAGCCCTAACTTGAAAGGAGGCCGGATTTCCTTGCAGTGGCTTGAATACAGGCTCGTCTTTCATCTCACAACATGAAGGGATGTCTGAATCCCCTGTGGAGACCTTAGAGAAAGCCCTAGGTCCCTGCCTCATTTTGACGGAATGCCTCACATCCCGCTGACACCTCGAGAGGCACGCGGAATTCATTGCTTCAAAAGGTGACGATGCCTGACTCCTCTTGAATACTGATAGGAATCCCAAAATCCCTGTGGCTACTGGAAAGGGTCCTTGGGTGCCCTGCCTCACATCGAGAAGCGTCCCTTTTGCCCTGCCAAGCCTCGAAGAGATTCCTGAGGTGTCCCTCGTTACTAGACAGGAGTCCTGACGTCACTGAAGAAACTCGTGTTTTGAAGGGCCATCCCCGCCGTAAGTCGAGAACATACCCCAGGTCCCCGCCGCAACTCGAGAAAAACCATGAGACTTCCCCCTAGAGGCGAGATGAGGCCCCATTCCCCTGCAGTGCATGCAGAGCTATTCCGTGATCCCATTCAAACAAGTCAGGAGCTTCGACTTGCTTAATGGATCTCGAGACAGTCCCCAAGAACACTGTCACCAGTCTAGACGGACCCTGAGGTCACCCCAGCAACGCAAAGCAGCTCCATGTGCCCCAAATCAACTCGAGATGAAGCCCGATTCCCCTGCATTGACTCCAGAGCCATTCCCCGTTAACCATTCAACACGACAGGTGTCTCGACTTCCTTCAGGCAACTCCAGAGATGCCCCGAGAACACTGTCCCAAGTCTAGAGGAACACCAACTTCAGCACAGCAACTCGAGGAATGCTCCGTGTACCCCAAATCTTCTCGAGATGCGAGCTGATTCCCTGGCTTAGGCTCAAGACGTATGCCAACTTCCCAGAAGCACCTCAGGAGGAGGCTTCTCTCAGCAATAGGTATGTGCGAGGGACCCCGAGTTTGTTGCCTCAAGGGGAATATACAGCGAGAAGCCCTAACTTGAAAGGAGGCCGGATTTCCTTGCAGTGGCTTGAATACAGGCTCGTCTTTCATCTCACAACATGAAGGGATGTCTGAATCCCCTGTGGAGACCTTAGAGAAAGCCCTAGGTCCCTGCCTCATTTTGACGGAATGCCTCACATCCCGCTGACACCTCGAGAGGCACGCGGAGTTCATTGCTTCAAAAGGTGACGATGCCTGACTCCTCTTGAATACTGATAGGAATCCCAAAATCCATGTGGCTACTGGAAAGGGTCCTTGGGTGCCCAGCCTCACCTCGAGAAGCGTCCCTTTTGCCCTGCCAAGCCTCGAAGAGATTCCTGAGGTGTCCCTCGTTACTAGACAGGAGTCCTGACGTCACTGAAGAAACTCGTGTTTTGAAGGGCCATCCCCGCCGTAAGTCGAGAACATACCCCAGGTCCCCGCCGCAACTCGAGAAAAACCATGAGACTTCCCCCTAGAGGCGAGATGAGGCCCCATTCCCCTGCAGTGCATGCAGAGCTATTCTGTGATCCCATTCAAACAAGTCAGGAGCTTCGACTTGCTTCATGGATCTCGAGACAGTCCCCAGGAACACTGTCACCAGTCTAGACGGACCCTGAGGTCACCCCAGCAACGCAAAGCAGCTCCATGTGCCCCAAATCAACTCGAGATGAGGCCCGATTCCCCTGCATTGACTCCAGAGCCATTACCCGTTCCCCATTCAACACGACCGGTGTCTCGACTTCCTTCATGCAACTCCAGAGATGCCCCGAGAACACTGTCCCAAGTCTAGAGGAACACCAACTTCAGCACAGCAACTCGAGGAATGCTCCGTGTACCCCAAATCGTCTCGAGATGAGAGCTGATTCCCTGGCTTAGGCTCAAGACGTATGCCAACTTCCCAGAAGCACCTCAGGAGGAGGCTTCTCTCAGCAATAGGTATGTGGGAGGGACCCCGAGTTTGCTGCCTCAAGGGGAATATACAGCGAGAAGCCCTAACTTGAAAGGAGGCCGGATTTCCTTGCAGTGGCTTGAATACAGGCTCGTCTTTCATCTCACAACATGAAGGGATGTCTGAATCCCCTGTGGAGACCTTAGAGAAAGCCCTAGGTCGCTGCCTCATTTTGACGGAATGCCTCACATCCCGCTGACACCTCGAGAGGCACGCGGAGTTCATTGCTTCAAAAGGTGACGATGCCTGACTCCTCTTGAATACTGATAGGAATCCCAAAATCCCTGTGGCTATTGGAAAGGGTCCTTGGGTGCCCTGCCTCACCTCGAGAAGCGTCCTTTTGCCCTGCCAAGCCTCGAAGAGATTCCTGAGGTGTCCCTCGTTACTAGACAGGAGTCCTGACGTCACTGAAGAAACTCGTGTTTTGAAGGGCCATCCCAGCCGTAAGTCGAGAACATACCCCAGGTCCCCGCCGCAACTCGAGAAAAACCATGAGACTTCCCCCTAGAGGCGAGATGAGGCCCCATTCCCCTGCAGTGCATGCAGAGCTATTCCGTGATCAAATTCAAACAAGTAAGGAGCTTCGACTTGCTTAATGGATCTCGAGACAGTCCCCAAGAACACTGTCACCAGTCTAGACGCACCCTGAGGTCACCCCAGCAACGCAAAGCAGCTCCATGTGCCCCAAATCAACTCGAGATGAGGCCCGATTCCCCTGCATTGTCTCCAGAGCCATTCCCCGTTCCCCATTCAACACGACCGGTGGCTCGACTTCCTTCAGGCAACTCCAGAGATGCCCCGAGAACACTGTCCCAAGTCTAGAGGAACACCAACTTCAGCACAGCAACTCGAGGAATGCTCCGTGTACCCCAAATCGTCTCGAGATGAGAGCTGATTCCCTGGCTTAGGCTCAAGACGTATGCCAACTTCCCAGAAGCACCTCAGGAGGAGGCTTCTCTCAGCTATAAGTATGTGGGAGGGACCCCGAGTTTGCTGCCTCAAGGGGAATATACAGCGAGAAGCCCTAACTTGAAAGGAGGCCGGATTTCCTTGCAGTGGCTTGAATACAGGCTCGTCTTTCATCTCACAACATGAAGGGATGTCTGAATCCCCTGTGGAGACCTTAGAGAAAGCCCTAGGTCCCTGCCTCATTTTGACGGAATGCCTCACATCCCGCTGACACCTCGAGAGGCACGCGGAGTTCATTGCTTCAAAAGGTGACGATGCCTGACTCCTCTTGAATACTGATAGGAATCCCAAAATCCCTGTGGCTACTGGAAAGGGTCCTTGGGTGCCCTGCCTCACCTCGAGAAGCGTCCCTTTTGTCCTGCCAAGCGTCGAAGAGATTCCTGAGGTGTCCCTCGTTACTAGACAGGAGTCCTGACGTCACTGAAGAAACTCGTGTTTTGAAGGGCCATCCCAGCCGTAAGTCGAGAACATACCCCAGGTCCCCGCCGCAACTCGAGAAAAACAATGAGACTTCCCCCTAGAGGCGAGATGAGGCCCCATTCCCCTGCAGTGCATGCAGAGCTATTCCGTGATCCCATTCAAACAAGTCAGGAGCTTCGACTTGCTTCATGGATCTCGAGACAGTCCCCAAGAACACTGTCACCAGTCTAGACGGTCCCTGAGGTCACCCCAGCAACGCAAAGCAGCTCCATGTGCCCCAAATCACCTCGAGATGAGGCCCGATTCCCCTGCATTGACTCCAGAGCCATTCCCCTTTCCCCATTCAACACGACCGGTGGCTCGACTTCCTTCAGGCAACTCCAGAGATGCCCCGAGAACACTGTCCCAAGTCTAGAGGAACACCAACTTCAGCACAGCAACTCGAGGAATGCTCCGTGTACCCCAAATCGTCTCGAGATGAGAGCTGATTCCCTGGCTTAGGCTCAAGACGTATGCCAACTTCCCAGAAGCAAGTCAGGAGGAGGCTTCTCTCAGCAATAGGTATGTGGGAGGGACCCCGAGTTTGCTGCCTCAAGGGGAATATACAGCGAGAAGCCCTAACTTGAAAGGAGGCCGGATTTCCTTGCAGTGGCTTGAATACAGGCTCGTCTTTCATCTCACAACATGAAGGGATGTCTGAATCCCCTGTGGAGACCTTAGAGAAAGCCCTAGGTCCCTGCCTCATTTTGACGGAATGCCTCACATCCCGCTGACACCTCGAGAGGCACGCGGAGTTCATTGCTTCAAAAGGTGACGATGCCTGACTCCTCTTGAATACTGATAGGAATCCCAAAATCCCTGTGGCTATTGGAAAGGGTCCTTGGGTGCCCTGCCTCACCTCGGGAAGCGTCCTTTTGCCCTGCCAAGCCTCGAAGAGATTCCTGAGGTGTCCCTCGTTACTAGACAGGAGTCCTGACGTCACTGAAGAAACTCGTGTTTTGAAGGGCCATCCCCGCCGTAAGTCGAGAACATACCCCAGGTCCCCGCTGCAACTCGAGAAAAACCATGAGACTTCCCCCTAGAGGCGAGATGAGGCCCCATTCCCCTGCAGTGCATGCAGAGCTATTCCGTGATCCCATTCAAACAAGTCAGGAGCTTCGACTTGCTTCATGGATCTCGAGACAGTCCCCAAGAACACTGTCACCAGTCTAGACGGACCCTGAGGTCACCCCAGCAACGCAAAGCAGCTCCATGTGCCCCAAATCAACTCGAGATGAGGCCCGATTCCCCTGCATTGACTCCAGAGCCATTCCCCGTTCCCCATTCAACACGACCGGTGGCTCGACTTCCTTCAGGCAACTCCAGAGATGCCCCGAGAACACTGTCCCAAGTCTAGAGGAACACCAACTTCAGCACAGCAACTCGAGGAATGCTCCGTGTACCCCAAATCTTCTCGAGATGAGAGCTGATTCCCTGGCTTAGGCTCAAGACGTAGGCCAACTTCCCAGAAGCACCTCAGGAGAAGGCTTCTCTCAGCAATAGGTATGTGGGTGGGACCCCGAGTTTGCTGCCTCAAGGGGAATATACAGCGAGAAGCCCTAACTTGAAAGGCGGCCGGATTTCCTTGCAGTGGCTTGAATACAGGCTCGTCTTTCATCTCACAACATGAAGGGATGTCTGAATCCCCTGTGGAGACCTTAGAGAAAGCCCTAGGTCCCTGCCTCATTTTGACGGAATGCCTCACATCCCGCTGACACCTCGAGAGGCACGCGGAGTTCATTGCTTCAAAAGGTGACGATGCCTGACTCCTCTTGAATACTGATAGGAATCCCAAAATCCCTGTGGCTATTGGAAAGGGTCCTTGGGTGCCCTGCCTCACCTCGAGAAGCGTCCTTTTGCCCTGCCAAGCCTCGAAGAGATTCCTGAGGTGTCCCTCGTTACTAGACAGGAGTCCTGACGTCACTGAAAAACTCGTGTTTTGAAGGGCCATCCCCGCCGTAAGTTGAGAACATACACCAGGTCCCCGCCGCAACTCGAGAAAAACCATGAGACTTCCCCCTAGAGGCGAGATGAGGCCCCATTCCCCTGCAGTGCATGCAGAGCTATTCCGTGATCCCATTCAAACAAGTCAGGAGCTTCGACTTGCTTAATGGATCTCGAGACAGTCCCCAAGAACACTGTCACCAGTCTAGACGGACCCTGAGGTCACCCCAGCAACGCAAAGCAGCTCCATGTGCCCCAAATCAACTCGAGATGAGGCCCGATTCCCCTGCATTGACTCCAGAGCCATTCCCCGTTCCCCATTCAACACGACCGGTGTCTCGACTTCCTTCAGGCAACTCCAGAGATGCCCCGAGAACACTGTCCCAAGTCTAGAGGAACACCAACTTCAGCACAGCAACTCGAGGAATGCTCCGTGTACCCCAAATCGTCTCGAGATGAGAGCTGATTCCCTGGCTTAGGCTCAAGACGTATGCCAACTTCCCAGAAGCACATCAGGAGGAGGCTTCTCTCAGCTATAAGTATGTGGGAGGGACCCCGAGTTTGCTGCCTCAAGGGGAATATACAGCGAGAAGCCCTAACTTGAAAGGAGGCCGGATTTCCTTGCAGTGGCTTGAATACAGGCTCGTTTTTCATCTCACAACATGAAGGGATGTCTGAATCCCCTGTGGAAACCTTAGAGAAAGCCCTAGGTCCCTGCCTCATTTTGACGGAATGCCTCACATCCCGCTGACACCTCGAGAGGCACGCGGAGTTCATTGCTTCAAAAGGTGACGATGCCTGACTCCTCTTGAATACTGATAGGAATCCCAAAATCCCTGTGGCTATTGGAAAGGGTCCTTGGGTGCCCTGCCTCACCTCGAGAAGCGTCCTTTTGCCCTGCCAAGCCTCGAAGAGATTCCTGAGGTGTCCCTCGTTACTAGACAGGAGTCCAGACGTCACTGAAGAAACTCGTGTTTTGAAGGGCCATCCCAGCCGTAAGTCGAGAACATACCCCAGGTCCCCGCCGCAACTCGAGAAAAACCATGAGACTTCCCCCTAGAGGCGAGATGAGGCCCCATTCCCCTGCAGTGCATGCAGAGCTATTCCGTGATCAAATTCAAACAAGTAAGGAGCTTCGACTTGCTTAATGGATCTCGAGACAGTCCCCAAGAACACTGTCACCAGTCTAGACGCACCCTGAGGTCACCCCAGCAACGCAAAGCAGCTCCATGTGCCCCAAATCAACTCGAGATGAGGCCCGATTCCCCTGCATTGTCTCCAGAGCCATTCCCCGTTCCCCATTCAACACGACCGGTGGCTCGACTTCCTTCAGGCAACTCCAGAGATGCCCCGAGAACACTGTCCCAAGTCTAGAGGAACACCAACTTCAGCACAGCAACTCGAGGAATGCTCCGTGTACCCCAAATCGTCTCGAGATGAGAGCTGATTCCCTGGCTTAGGCTCAAGACGTATGCCAACTTCCCAGAAGCACCTCAGGAGGAGGCTTCTCTCAGCAATAAGTATGTGGGAGGGACCCCGAGTTTGCTGCCTCAAGGGGAATATACAGCGAGAAGCCCTAACTTGAAAGGAGGCCGGATTTCCTTGCAGTGGCTTGAATACAGGCTCGTCTTTCATCTCACAACATGAAGGGATGTCTGAATCCCCTGTGGAGACCTTAGAGAAAGCCCTAGGTCCCTGCCTCATTTTGACGGAATGCCTCACATCCCGCTGACACCTCGAGAGGCACGCGGAGTTCATTGCTTCAAAAGGTGACGATGCCTGACTCCTCTTGAGTACTGATAGGAATCCCAAAATCCCTGTGGCTACTGGAAAGGGTCCTTGGGTGCCCTGCCTCACCTCGAGAAGCGTCCCTTTGGCCCTGCCAAGCCTCGAAGAGATTCCTGAGGTGTCCCTCGTTACTAGACAGGAGTCCTGACGTCACTGAAAAACTCGTGTTTTGAAGGGCCATCCCCGCCGTAAGTCGAGAACATACCCCAGGTCCCCGCCGCAACTAGAGAAAAACCATGAGACTTCCCCCTAGAGGCGAGATGAGGCCCCATTCCCCTGCAGTGCATGCAGAGCTATTCCGTGATCAAATTCAAACAAGTAAGGAGCTTCGACTTGCTTAATGGATCTCGAGACAGTCCCCAAGAAAACTGTCACCAGTCTAGACGCACCCTGAGGTCACCCCAGCAACGCAAAGCAGCTCCATGTGCCCCAAATCAACTCGAGATGAGGCCCGATTCCCCTGCATTGTCTCCAGAGCCATTCCCCGTTCCCCATTCAACACGACCGGTGGCTCGACTTCCTTCAGGCAACTCCAGAGATGCCCCGAGAACACTGTCCCAAGTCTAGAGGAACACCAACTTCAGCACAGCAACTCGAGGAATGCTCCGTGTACCCCAAATCGTCTCGAGATGAGAGCTGATTCCCTGGCTTAGGCTCAAGACGTATGCCAACTTCCCAGAAGCAACTCAGGAGGAGGCTTCTCTCAGCTATAAGTATGTGGGAGGGACCCCGAGTTTGCTGCCTCAAGGGGAATATACAGCGAGAAGCCCTAACTTGAAAGGAGGCCGGATTTCCTTGCAGTGGCTTGAATACAGGCTCGTTTTTCATCTCACAACATGAAGGGATGTCTGAATCCCCTGTGGAGACCTTAGAGAAAGCCCTAGGTCCCTGCCTCATTTTGACGGAATGCCTCACATCCCGCTGACACCTCGAGAGGCACGCGGAGTTCATTGCTTCAAAAGGTGACGATGCCTGACTCCTCTTGAATACTGATAGGAATCCCAAAATCCCTGTGGCGACTGGAAAGGGTCCTTGGGTGCCCTGCCTCACCTCGAGAAGCGTCCTTTTGCCCTGCCAAGCCTCGAAGAGATTCCTGAGGTGTCCCTCGTTACTAGACAGGAGTCCTGACGTCACTGAAGAAACTCGTGTTTTGAAGGGCCATCCCCGCCGTAAGTCGAGAACATACCCCAGGTCCCCGCCGCAACTCGAGAAAAACCATGAGACTTCCCCCTAGAGGCGAGATGAGGCCCCATTCCCCTGCAGTGCATGCAGAGCTATTCCGTGATCAAATTCAAACAAGTAAGGAGCTTCGACTTGCTTAATGGATCTCGAGACAGTCCCCAAGAACACTGTCACCAGTCTAGACGCACCCTGAGGTCACCCCAGCAACGCAAAGCAGCTCCATGTGCCCCAAATCAACTCGAGATGAGGCCCGATTCCCCTGCATTGTCTCCAGAGCCATTCCCCGTTCCCCATTCAACACGACCGGTGGCTCGACTTCCTTCAGGCAACTCCAGAGATGCCCCGAGAACACTGTCCCAAGTCTAGAGGAACACCAACTTCAGCACAGCAACTCGAGGAATGCTCCGTGTACCCCAAATCGTCTCGAGATGAGAGCTGATTCCCTGGCTTAGGCTCAAGACGAATGCCACCTTCCCAGAAGCACCTCAGGAGGAGGCTTCTCTCAGCAATAGGTATGTGGGAGGGACCCCGAGTGTGCTGCCTCAAGGGGAATATACAGCGAGAAGCCCTAACTTGAAAGGAGGCCGGATTTCCTTGCAGTGGCTTGAATACAGGCTCGTCTTTCATCTCACAACATGAAGGGATGTCTGAATCCCCTGTGGAGACCTTAGAGAAAGCCCTAGGTCCCTGCCTCATTTTGACGGAATGCCTCACATCCCGCTGACACCTCGAGAGGCACGCGGAGTTCATTGCTTCAAAAGGTGACGATGCCTGACTCCTCTTGAATACTGATAGGAATCCCAAAATCCCTGTGGCTATTGGAAAGGGTCCTTGGGTGCCCTGCCTCACCTCGAGAAGCGTCCTTTTGCCCTGCCAAGCCTCGAAGAGATTCCTGAGGTGTCCCTCGTTACTAGACAGGAGTCCTGACGTCACTGAAGAAACTCGTGTTTTGAAGGGCCATCCCCGCCGTAAGTCGAGAACATACCCCAGGTCCCCGCCGCAACTCGAGAAAAACCATGAGACTTCCCCCTAGAGGCGAGATGAGGCCCCATTCCCCTGCAGTGCATGCAGAGCTATTCCGTCATTCCATTCAAACAAGTCAGGAGCTTCGACTTGCTTCATGGATCTCGAGACAGTCCCCAAGAACACTGTCACCAGTCTAGACGCACCCTGAGGTCACCCCAGCAACGCAAAGCAGCTCCATGTGCCCCAAATCAACTCGAGATGAGGCCCGATTCCCCTGCATTGTCTCCAGAGCCATTCCCCGTTCCCCATTCAACACGACCGGTGGCTCGACTTCCTTCAGGCAACTCCAGAGATGCCCCGAGAACACTGTCCCAAGTCTAGAGGAACACCAACTTCAGCACAGCAACTCGAGGAATGCTCCGTGTACCCCAAATCGTCTCGAGATGAGAGCTGATTCCCTGGCTTAGGCTCAAGACGAATGCCAACTTCCCAGAAGCACCTCAGGAGGAGGCTTCTCTCAGCAATAGGTATGTGGGAGGGACCCCGAGTTTGCTGCCTCAAGGGGAATATACAGCGAGAAGCCCTAACTTGAAAGGAGGCCGGATTTCCTTGCAGTGGCTTGAATACAGGCTCGTCTTTCATCTCACAACATGAAGGGATGTCTGAATCCCCTGTGGAGACCTTAGAGAAAGCCCTAGGTCCCTGCCTCATTTTGACGGAATGCCTCACATCCCGCTGACACCTCGAGAGGCACGCGGAATACATTGCTTCAAAAGGTGACGATGCCTGACTCCTCTTGAATACTGATAGGAATCCCAAAATCCCTGTGGCTACTGGAAAGGGTCCTTGGGTGCCCTGCCTCACATCGAGAAGCGTCCCTTTTGTCCTGCCAAGCCTCGAAGAGATTCCTGAGGTGTCCCTCGTTACTAGACAGGAGTCCTGACGTCACTGAAGAAACTCGTGTTTTGAAGGGCCATCCCCGCCGTAAGTCGAGAACATACCCCAGGTCCCCGCCGCAACTCGAGAAAAACCATGAGACTTCCCCCTAGAGGCGAGATGAGGCCCCATTCCCCTGCAGTGCATGCAGAGCTATTCCGTGATCCCATTCAAACAAGTCAGGAGCTTCGACTTGCTTAATGGATCTCGAGACAGTCCCCAAGAACACTGTCACCAGTCTAGACGGACCCTGAGGTCACCCCAGCAACGCAAAGCAGCTCCATGTGCCCCAAATCAACTCGAGATGAAGCCCGATTCCCCTGCATTGACTCCAGAGCCATTCCCCGTTCCCCATTCAACACGACCGGTGTCTCGACTTCCTTCAGGCAACTCCAGAGATGCCCCGAGAACACTGTCCCAAGTCTAGAGGAACACCAACTTCAGCACAGCAACTCGAGGAATGCTCCGTGTACCCCAAATCTTCTCGAGATGCGAGCTGATTCCCTGGCTTAGGCTCAAGACGTATGCCAACTTCCCAGAAGCACCTCAGGAGGAGGCTTCTCTCAGCAATAGGTATGTGCGAGGGACCCCGAGTTTGTTGCCTCAAGGGGAATATACAGCGAGAAGCCCTACCTTGAAAGGAGGCCGGATTTCCTTGCAGTGGCTTGAATACAGGCTCGTCTTTCATCTCACAACATGAAGGGATGTCTGAATCCCCTGTGGAGACCTTAGAGAAAGCCCTAGGTCCCTGCCTCATTTTGACGGAATGCCTCACATCCCGCTGACACCTCGAGAGGCACGCGGAGTTCATTGCTTCAAAAGGTGACGATGCCTGACTCCTCTTGAATACTGATAGGAATCCCAAAATCCATGTGGCTACTGGAAAGGGTCCTTGGGTGCCCAGCCTCACCTCGAGAAGCGTCCCTTTTGCCCTGCCAAGCCTCGAAGAGATTCCTGAGGTGTCCCTCGTTACTAGACAGGAGTCCTGACGTCACTGAAAAACTCGTGTTTTGAAGGGCCATCCCCGCCGTAAGTCGAGAACATACCCCAGGTCCCCGCCGCAACTCGAGAAAAACCATGAGACTTCCCCCTAGAGGCGAGATGAGGCCCCATTCCCCTGCAGTGCATGCAGAGCTATTCTGTGATCCCATTCAAACATGTCAGGAGCTTCGACTTGCTTCATGGATCTCGAGACAGTCCCCAGGAACACTGTCACCAGTCTAGACGGACCCTGAGGTCACCCCAGCAACGCAAAGCAGCTCCATGTGCCCCAAATCAACTCGAGATGAGGCCCGATTCCCCTGCATTGACTCCAGAGCCATTACCCGTTCCCCATTCAACACGACCGGTGTCTCGACTTCCTTCATGCAACTCCAGAGATGCCCCGAGAACACTGTCCCAAGTCTAGAGGAACACCAACTTCAGCACAGCAACTCGAGGAATGCTCCGTGTACCCCAAATCGTCTCGAGATGAGAGCTGAATCCCTGGCTTAGGCTCAAGACGTATGCCAACTTCCCAGAAGCACCTCAGGAGGAGGCTTCTCTCAGCTATAAGTATGTGGGAGGGACCCCGAGTTTGCTGCCTCAAGGGGAATATACAGCGAGAAGCCCTAACTTGAAAGGAGGCCGGATTTCCTTGCAGTGGCTTGAATACAGGCTCGTCTTTCATCTCACAACATGAAGGGATGTCTGAATCCCCTGTGGAGACCTTAGAGAAAGCCCTAGGTCCCTGCCTCATTTTGACGGAATGCCTCACATCCCGCTGACACCTCGAGAGGCACGCGGAGTTCATTGCTTCAAAAGGTGACGATGCCTGACTCCTCTTGAATACTGATAGGAATCCCAAAATCCCTGTGGCTACTGGAAAGGGTCCTTGGGTGCCCTGCCTCACCTCGAGAAGCGTCGCTTTTGTCCTGCCAAGCCTCGAAGAGATTCCTGAGGTGTCCCTCGTTACTAGACAGGAGTCCTGACGTCACTGAAGAAACTCGTGTTTTGAAGGGCCATCCCCGCCGTAAGTCGAGAACATACCCCAGGTCCCCGCCGCAACTCGAGAAAAACCATGAGACTTCCCCCTAGAGGCGAGATGAGGCCCCATTCCCCTGCAGTGCATGCAGAGCTATTCCGTGATCAAATTCAAACAAGTAAGGAGCTTCGACTTGCTTAATGGATCTCGAGACAGTCCCCAAGAACACTGTCACCAGTCTAGACGCACCCTGAGGTCACCCCAGCAACGCAAAGCAGCTCCATGTGCCCCAAATCAACTCGAGATGAGGCCCGATTCCCCTGCATTGTCTCCAGAGCCATTCCCCGTTCCCCATTCAACACGACCGGTGGCTCGACTTCCTTCAGGCAACTCCAGAGATGCCCCGAGAACACTGTCCCAAGTCTAGAGGAACACCAACTTCAGCACAGCAACTCGAGGAATGCTCCGTGTACCCCAAATCGTCTCGAGATGAGAGCTGATTCCCTGGCTTAGGCTCAAGACGTATGCCAACTTCCCAGAAGCACCTCAGGAGGAGGCTTCTCTCAGCTATAAGTATGTGGGAGGGACCCCGAGTTTGCTGCCTCAAGGGGAATATACAGCGAGAAGCCCTAACTTGAAAGGAGGCCGGATTTCCTTGCAGTGGCTTGAATACAGGCTCGTCTTTCATCTCACAACATGAAGGGATGTCTGAATCCCCTGTGGAGACCTTAGAGAAAGCCCTAGGTCCCTGCCTCATTTTGACGGAATGCCTCACATCCCGCTGACACCTCGAGAGGCACGCGGAGTTCATTGCTTCAAAAGGTGACGATGCCTGACTCCTCTTGAATACTGATAGGAATCCCAAAATCCCTGTGGCTACTGGAAAGGGTCCTTGGGTGCCCTGCCTCACCTCGAGAAGCGTCCCTTTTGTACTGCCAAGCGTCGAAGAGATTCCTGAGGTGTCCCTCGTTACTAGACAGGAGTCCTGACGTCACTGAAGAAACTCGTGTTTTGAAGGGCCATCCCCGCCGTAAGTCGAGAACATACCCCAGGTCCCCGCCGCAACTCGAGAAAAACCATGAGACTTCCCCCTAGAGGCGAGATGAGGCCCCATTCCCCTGCAGTGCATGCAGAGCTATTCCGTGATCCCATTCAAACAAGTCAGGAGCTTCGACTTGCTTCATGGATCTCGAGACAGTCCCCAAGAACACTGTCACCAGTCTAGACGGTCCCTGAGGTCACCCCAGCAACGCAAAGCAGCTCCATGTGCCCCAAATCACCTCGAGATGAGGCCCGATTCCCCTGCATTGACTCCAGAGCCATTCCCCTTTCCCCATTCAACACGACCGGTGGCTCGACTTCCTTCAGGCAACTCCAGAGATGCCCCGAGAACACTGTCCCAAGTCTAGAGGAACACCAACTTCAGCACAGCAACTCGAGGAATGCTCCGTGTACCCCAAATCGTCTCGAGATGAGAGCTGATTCCCTGGCTTAGGCTCAAGACGTATGCCAACTTCCCAGAAGCAAGTCAGGAGGAGGCTTCTCTCAGCAATAGGTATGTGGGAGGGACCCCGAGTTTGCTGCCTCAAGGGGAATATACAGCGAGAAGCCCTAACTTGAAAGGAGGCCGGATTTCCTTGCAGTGGCTTGAATACAGGCTCGTCTTTCATCTCACAACATGAAGGGATGTCTGAATCCCCTGTGGAGACCTTAGAGAAAGCCCTAGGTCCCTGCCTCATTTTGACGGAATGCCTCACATCCCGCTGACACCTCGAGAGGCACGCGGAGTTCATTGCTTCAAAAGGTGACGATGCCTGACTCCTCTTGAATACTGATAGGAATCCCAAAATCCCTGTGGCTACTGGAAATAGTCCTTGGGTGCCCTGCCTCACCTCGAGAAGCGTCCCTTTTGTCCTGCCAAGCCTCGAAGAGATTCCTGAGGTGTCCCTCGTTACTAGACAGGATTCCTGACGTCACTGAAGAAACTCGTGTTTTGAAGGGCCATCCCCGCCGTAAGTCGAGAACATACCCCAGGTCCCCGCCGCAACTCGAGAAAAACCATGAGACTTCCCCCTAGAGGCGAGATGAGGCCCCATTCCCCTGCAGTGCATGCAGAGCTATTCCGTGATCAAATTCAAACAAGTAAGGAGCTTCGACTTGCTTAATGGATCTCGAGACAGTCCCCAAGAACACTGTCACCAGTCTAGACGCACCCTGAGGTCACCCCAGCAACGCAAAGCAGCTCCATGTGCCCCAAATCAACTCGAGATGAGGCCCGATTCCCCTGCATTGTCTCCAGAGCCATTCCCCGTTCCCCATTCAACACGACCGGTGGCTCGACTTCCTTCAGGCAACTCCAGAGATGCCCCGAGAACACTGTCCCAAGTCTAGAGGAACACCAACTTCAGCACAGCAACTCGAGGAATGCTCCGTGTACCCCAAATCGTCTCGAGATGAGAGCTGATTCCCTGGCTTAGGCTCAAGACGTATGCCAACTTCCCAGAAGCACCTCAGGAGGAGGCTTCTCTCAGCTATAAGTATGTGGGAGGGACCCCGAGTTTGCTGCCTCAAGGGGAATATACAGCGAGAAGCCCTAACTTGAAAGGAGGCCGGATTTCCTTGCAGTGGCTTGAATACAGGCTCGTCTTTCATCTCACAACATGAAGGGATGTCTGAATCCCCTGTGGAGACCTTAGAGAAAGCCCTAGGTCCCTGCCTCATTTTGACGGAATGCCTCACATCCCGCTGACACCTCGAGAGGCACGCGGAGTTCATTGCTTCAAAAGGTGACGATGCCTGACTCCTCTTGAATACTGATAGGAATCCCAAAATCCCTGTGGCTACTGGAAAGGGTCCTTGGGTGCCCTGCCTCACCTCGAGAAGCGTCCCTTTTGTCCTGCCAAGCGTCGAAGAGATTCCTGAGGTGTCCCTCGTTACTAGACAGGAGTCCTGACGTCACTGAAGAAACTCGTGTTTTGAAGGGCCATCCCAGCCGTAAGTCGAGAACATACCCCAGGTCCCCGCCGCAACTCGAGAAAAACCATGAGACTTCCCCCTAGAGGCGAGATGAGGCCCCATTCCCCTGCAGTGCATGCAGAGCTATTCCGTGATCCCATTCAAACAAGTCAGGAGCTTCGACTTGCTTCATGGATCTCGAGACAGTCCCCAAGAACACTGTCACCAGTCTAGACGGTCCCTGAGGTCACCCCAGCAACGCAAAGCAGCTCCATGTGCCCCAAATCAACTCGAGATGAGGCCCGATTCCCCTGCATTGACTCCAGAGCCATTACCCGTTCCCCATTCAACACGACCGGTGTCTCGACTTCCTTCATGCAACTCCAGAGATGCCCCGAGAACACTGTCCCAAGTCTAGAGGAACACCAACTTCAGCACAGCAACTCGAGGAATGCTCCGTGTACCCCAAATCGTCTCGAGATGAGAGCTGATTCCCTGGCTTAGGCTCAAGACGTATGCCAACTTCCCAGAAGCACCTCAGGAGGAGGCTTCTCTCAGCTATAAGTATGTGGGAGGGACCCCGAGTTTGCTGCCTCAAGGGGAATATACAGCGAGAAGCCCTAACTTGAAAGGAGGCCGGATTTCCTTGCAGTGGCTTGAATACAGGCTCGTCTTTCATCTCACAACATGAAGGGATGTCTGAATCCCCTGTGGAGACCTTAGAGAAAGCCCTAGGTCCCTGCCTCATTTTGACGGAATGCCTCACATCCCGCTGACACCTCGAGAGGCACGCGGAGTTCATTGCTTCAAAAGGTGACGATGCCTGACTCCTCTTGAATACTGATAGGAATCCCAAAATCCCTGTGGCTACTGGAAAGGGTCCTTGGGTGCCCTGCCTCACCTCGAGAAGCGTCCCTTTTGTCCTGCCAAGCCTCGAAGAGATTCCTGAGGTGTCCCTCGTTACTAGACAGGAGTCCTGACGTCACTGAAGAAACTCGTGTTTTGAAGGGCCATCCCCGCCGTAAGTCGAGAACATACCCCAGGTCCCCGCCGCAACTCGAGAAAAACCATGAGACTTCCCCCTAGAGGCGAGATGAGGCCCCATTCCCCTGCAGTGCATGCAGAGCTATTCCGTGATCAAATTCAAACAAGTAAGGAGCTTCGACTTGCTTAATGGATCTCGAGACAGTCCCCAAGAACACTGTCACCAGTCTAGACGCACCCTGAGGTCACCCCAGCAACGCAAAGCAGCTCCATGTGCCCCAAATCAACTCGAGATGAGGCCCGATTCCCCTGCATTGTCTCCAGAGCCATTCCCCGTTCCCCATTCAACACGACCGGTGGCTCGACTTCCTTCAGGCAACTCCAGAGATGCCCCGAGAACACTGTCCCAAGTCTAGAGGAACACCAACTTCAGCACAGCAACTCGAGGAATGCTCCGTGTACCCCAAATCGTCTCGAGATGAGAGCTGATTCCCTGGCTTAGGCTCAAGACGTATGCCAACTTCCCAGAAGCACCTCAGGAGGAGGCTTCTCTCAGCTATAAGTATGTGGGAGGGACAACGAGTTTGCTGCCTCAAGGGGAATATACAGCGAGAAGCCCTAACTTGAAAGGAGGCCGGATTTCCTTGCAGTGGCTTGAATACAGGCTCGTCTTTCATCTCACAACATGAAGGGATGTCTGAATCCCCTGTGGAGACCTTAGAGAAAGCCCTAGGTCCCTGCCTCATTTTGACGGAATGCCTCACATCCCGCTGACACCTCGAGAGGCACGCGGAGTTCATTGCTTCAAAAGGTGACGATGCCTGACTCCTCTTGAATACTGATAGGAATCCCAAAATCCCTGTGGCTACTGGAAAGGGTCCTTGGGTGCCCTGCCTCACCTCGAGAAGCGTCCCTTTTGTCCTGCCAAGCGTCGAAGAGATTCCTGAGGTGTCCCTCGTTACTAGACAGGAGTCCTGACATCACTGAAGAAACTCGTGTTTTGAAGGGCCATCCCCGCCGTAAGTCGAGAACATACCCCAGGTCCCCGCCGCAACTCGAGAAAAACCATGAGACTTCCCCCTAGAGGCGAGATGAGGCCCCATTCCCCTGCAGTGCATGCAGAGCTATTCCGTGATCCCATTCAAACAAGTCAGGAGCTTCGACTTGCTTCATGGATCTCGAGACAGTCCCCAAGAACACTGTCACCAGTCTAGACGGTCCCTGAGGTCACCCCAGCAACGCAAAGCAGCTCCATGTGCCCCAAATCACCTCGAGATGAGGCCCGATTCCCCTGCATTGACTCCAGAGCCATTCCCCTTTCCCCATTCAACACGACCGGTGGCTCGACTTCCTTCAGGCAACTCCAGAGATGCCCCGAGAACACTGTCCCAAGTCTAGAGGAACACCAACTTCAGCACAGCAACTCGAGGAATGCTCCGTGTACCCCAAATCGTCTCGAGATGAGAGCTGATTCCCTGGCTTAGGCTCAAGACGTATGCCAACTTCCCAGAAGCAAGTCAGGAGGAGGCTTCTCTCAGCAATAGGTATGTGGGAGGGACCCCGAGTTTGCTGCCTCAAGGGGAATATACAGCGAGAAGCCCTAACTTGAAAGGAGGCCGGATTTCCTTGCAGTGGCTTGAATACAGGCTCGTCTTTCATCTCACAACATGAAGGGATGTCTGAATCCCCTGTGGAGACCTTAGAGAAAGCCCTAGGTCCCTGCCTCATTTTGACGGAATGCCTCACATCCCGCTGACACCTCGAGAGGCACGCGGAGTTCATTGCTTCAAAAGGTGACGATGCCTGACTCCTCTTGAATACTGATAGGAATCCCAAAATCCCTGTGGCTACTGGAAAGGGTCCTTGGGTGCCCTGCCTCACCTCGAGAAGCGTCCCTTTTGTCCTGCCAAGCCTCGAAGAGATTCCTGAGGTGTCCCTCGTTACTAGACAGGAGTCCTGACGTCACTGAAGAAACTCGTGTTTTGAAGGGCCATCCCCGCCGTAAGTCGAGAACATACCCCAGGTCCCCGCCGCAACTCGAGAAAAACCATGAGACTTCCCCCTAGAGGCGAGATGAGGCCCCATTCCCCTGCAGTGCATGCAGAGCTATTCCGTGATCAAATTCAAACAAGTAAGGAGCTTCGACTTGCTTCATGGATCTCGAGACAGTCCCCAAGAACACTGTCACCAGTCTAGACGGTCCCTGAGGTCACCCCAGCAACGCAAAGCAGCTCCATGTGCCCCAAATCACCTCGAGATGAGGCCCGATTCCCCTGCATTGACTCCAGAGCCATTCCCCTTTCCCCATTCAACACGACCGGTGGCTCGACTTCCTTCAGGCAACTCCAGAGATGCCCCGAGAACACTGTCCCAAGTCTAGAGGAACACCAACTTCAGCACAGCAACTCGAGGAATGCTCCGTGTACCCCAAATCGTCTCGAGATGAGAGCTGATTCCCTGGCTTAGGCTCAAGACGTATGCCAACTTCCCAGAAGCAAGTCAGGAGGAGGCTTCTCTCAGCAATAGGTATGTGGGAGGGACCCCGAGTTTGCTGCCTCAAGGGGAATATACAGCGAGAAGCCCTAACTTGAAAGGAGGCCGGATTTCCTTGCAGTGGCTTGAATACAGGCTCGTCTTTCATCTCACAACATGAAGGGATGTCTGAATCCCCTGTGGAGACCTTAGAGAAAGCCCTAGGTCCCTGCCTCATTTTGACGGAATGCCTCACATCCCGCTGACACCTCGAGAGGCACGCGGAGTTCATTGCTTCAAAAGGTGACGATGCCTGACTCCTCTTGAATACTGATAGGAATCCCAAAATCCCTGTGGCTACTGGAAAGGGTCCTTGGGTGCCCTGCCTCACCTCGAGAAGCGTCCCTTTTGTCCTGCCAAGCCTCGAAGAGATTCCTGAGGTGTCCCTCGTTACTAGACAGGAGTCCTGACGTCACTGAAGAAACTCGTGTTTTGAAGGGCCATCCCCGCCGTAAGTCGAGAACATACCCCAGGTCCCCGCCGCAACTCGAGAAAAACCATGAGACTTCCCCCTAGAGGCGAGATGAGGCCCCATTCCCCTGCAGTGCATGCAGAGCTATTCCGTGATCAAATTCAAACAAGTAAGGAGCTTCGACTTGCTTAATGGATCTCGAGACAGTCCCCAAGAACACTGTCACCAGTCTAGACGCACCCTGAGGTCACCCCAGCAACGCAAAGCAGCTCCATGTGCCCCAAATCAACTCGAGATGAGGCCCGATTCCCCTGCATTGTCTCCAGAGCCATTCCCCGTTCCCCATTCAACACGACCGGTGGCTCGACTTCCTTCAGGCAACTCCAGAGATGCCCCGAGAACACTGTCCCAAGTCTAGAGGAACACCAACTTCAGCACAGCAACTCGAGGAATGCTCCGTGTACCCCAAATCGTCTCGAGATGAGAGCTGATTCCCTGGCTTAGGCTCAAGACGTATGCCAACTTCCCAGAAGCACCTCAGGAGGAGGCTTCTCTCAGCTATAAGTATGTGGGAGGCACCCCGAGTTTGCTGCCTCAAGGGGAATATACAGCGAGAAGCCCTAACTTGAAAGGAGGCCGGATTTCCTTGCAGTGGCTTGAATACAGGCTCGTCTTTCATCTCACAACATGAAGGGATGTCTGAATCCCCTGTGGAGACCTTAGAGAAAGCCCTAGGTCCCTGCCTCATTTTGACGGAATGCCTCACATCCCGCTGACACCTCGAGAGGCACGCGGAGTTCATTGCTTCAAAAGGTGACGATGCCTGACTCCTCTTGAATACTGATAGGAATCCCAAAATCCCTGTGGCTACTGGAAAGGGTCCTTGGGTGCCCTGCCTCACCTCGAGAAGCGTCCCTTTTGTCCTGCCAATCGTCGAAGAGATTCCTGAGGTGTCCCTCGTTACTAGACAGGAGTCCTGACGTCACTGAAGAAACTCGTGTTTTGAAGGGCCATCCCCGCCGTAAGTCGAGAACATACCCCAGGTCCCCGCCGCAACTCGAGAAAAACCATGAGACTTCCCCCTAGAGGCGAGATGAGGCCCCATTCCCCTGCAGTGCATGCAGAGCTATTCCGTGATCCCATTCAAACAAGTCAGGAGCTTCGACTTGCTTCATGGATCTCGAGACAGTCCCCAAGAACACTGTCACCAGTCTAGACGGTCCCTGAGGTCACCCCAGCAACGCAAAGCAGCTCCATGTGCCCCAAATCACCTCGAGATGAGGCCCGATTCCCCTGCATTGACTCCAGAGCCATTCCCCTTTCCCCATTCAACACGACCGGTGGCTCGACTTCCTTCAGGCAACTCCAGAGATGCCCCGAGAACACTGTCCCAAGTCTAGAGGAACACCAACTTCAGCACAGCAACTCGAGGAATGCTCCGTGTACCCCAAATCGTCTCGAGATGAGAGCTGATTCCCTGGCTTAGGCTCAAGACGTATGCCAACTTCCCAGAAGCAAGTCAGGAGGAGGCTTCTCTCAGCAATAGGTATGTGGGAGGGACCCCGAGTTTGCTGCCTCAAGGGGAATATACAGCGAGAAGCCCTAACTTGAAAGGAGGCCGGATTTCCTTGCAGTGGCTTGAATACAGGCTCGTCTTTCATCTCACAACATGAAGGGATGTCTGAATCCCCTGTGGAGACCTTAGAGAAAGCCCTAGGTCCCTGCCTCATTTTGACGGAATGCCTCACATCCCGCTGACACCTCGAGAGGCACGCGGAGTTCATTGCTTCAAAAGGTGACGATGCCTGACTCCTCTTGAATACTGATAGGAATCCCAAAATCCCTGTGGCTACTGGAAAGGGTCCTTGGGTGCCCTGCCTCACCTCGGGAAGCGTCCTTTTGCCCTGCCAAGCCTCGAAGAGATTCCTGAGGTGTCCCTCGTTACTAGACAGGAGTCCTGACGTCACTGAAGAAACTCGTGTTTTGAAGGGCCATCCCCGCCGTAAGTCGAGAACATACCCCAGGTCCCCGCTGCAACTCGAGAAAAACCATGAGACTTCCCCCTAGAGGCGAGATGTGGCCCCATTCCCCTGCAGTGCATGCAGAGCTATTCCGTGATCCCATTCAAACAAGTCAGGAGCTTCGACTTGCTTCATGGATCTCGAGACAGTCCCCAAGAACACTGTCACCAGTCTAGACGGACCCTGAGGTCACCCCAGCAACGCAAAGCAGCTCCATGTGCCCCAAATCAACTCGAGATGAGGCCCGATTCCCCTGCATTGACTCCAGAGCCATTCCCCGTTCCCCATTCAACACGACCGGTGGCTCGACTTCCTTCAGGCAACTCCAGAGATGCCCCGAGAACACTGTCCCAAGTCTTGAGGAACACCAACTTCAGCACAGCAACTCGAGGAATGCTCCGTGTACCCCAAATCTTCTCGAGATGAGAGCTGATTCCCTGGCTTAGGCTCAAGACGTAGGCCAACTTCCCAGAAGCACCTCAGGAGGAGGCTTCTCTCAGCAATAGGTATGTGGGAGGGACCCCGAGTTTGCTGCCTCAAGGGGAATATACAGCGAGAAGCCCTAACTTGAAAGAGGCCGGATTTCCTTGCAGTGGCTTGAATACAGGCTCGTCTTTCATCTCACAACATGAAGGGATGTCTGAATCCCCTGTGGAGACCTTAGAGAAAGCCCTAGGTCCCTGCCTCATTTTGACGGAATGCCTCACATCCCGCTGACACCTCGAGAGGCACGCGGAGTTCATTGCTTCAAAAGGTGACGATGCCTGACTCCTCTTGAATACTGATAGGAATCCCAAAATCCCTGTGGCTATTGGAAAGGGTCCTTGGGTGCCCTGCCTCACCTCGAGAACCGTCCTTTTGCCCTGCCAAGCCTCGAAGAGATTCCTGAGGTGTCCCTCGTTACTAGACAGGAGTCCTGACGTCACTGAAAAACTCGTGTTTTGAAGGGCCATCCCCGCCGTAAGTCGAGAACATACACCAGGTCCCCGCCGCAACTCGAAAAAAACCATGAGACTTCCCCCTAGAGGCGAGATGAGGCCCCATTCCCCTGCAGTGCATGCAGAGCTATTCCGTGATCCCATTCAAACAAGTCAGGAGCTTCGACTTGCTTAATGGATCTCGAGACAGTCCCCAAGAACACTGTCACCAGTCTAGACGGACCCTGAGGTCACCCCAGCAACGCAAAGCAGCTCCATGTGCCCCAAATCAACTCGAGATGAGGCCCGATTCCCCTGCATTGACTCCAGAGCCATTACCCGTTCCCCATTCAACACGACCGGTGTCTCGACTTCCTTCAGGCAACTCCAGAGATGCCCCGAGAACACTGTCCCAAGTCTAGAGGAACACCAACTTCAGCACAGCAACTCGAGGAATGCTCCGTGTACCCCAAATCGTCTCGAGATGAGAGCTGATTCCCTGGCTTAGGCTCAAGACGTATGCCAACTTCCCAGAAGCACATCAGGAGGAGGCTTCTCTCAGCTATAAGTATGTGGGAGGGACCCCGAGTTTGCTGCCTCAAGGGGAATATACAGCGAGAAGCCCTAACTTGAAAGGAGGCCGGATTTCCTTGCAGTGGCTTGAATACAGGCTCGTTTTTCATCTCACAACATGAAGGAATGTCTGAATCCCCTGTGGAGACCTTAGAGAAAGCCCTAGGTCCCTGCCTCATTTTGACGGAATGCCTCACATCCCGCTGACACCTCGAGAGGCACGCGGAGTTCATTGCTTCAAAAGGTGACGATGCCTGACTCCTCTTGAATACTGATAGGAATCCCAAAATCCCTGTGGCTATTGGAAAGGGTCCTTGGGTGCCCTGCCTCACCTCGAGAAGCGTCCTTTTGCCCTGCCAAGCCTCGAAGAGATTCCTGAGGTGTCCCTCGTTACTAGACAGGAGTCCTGACGTCACTGAAGAAACTCGTGTTTTGAAGGGCCATCCCCGCCGTAAGTTGAGAACATAACCCAGGTCCCCGCCGCAACTCGAGAAAAACCATGAGACTTCCCCCTAGAGGCGAGATGAGGCCCCATTCCCCTGCAGTGCATGCAGAGCTATTCCGTGATCAAATTCAAACAAGTAAGGAGCTTCGAATTGCTTAATGGATCTCGAGACAGTCCCCAAGAACACTGTCACCAGTCTAGACGCACCCTGAGGTCACCCCAGCAACGCAAAGCAGCTCCATGTGCCCCAAATCAACTCGAGATGAGGCCCGATTCCCCTGCATTGTCTCCAGAGCCATTCCCCGTTCCCCATTCAACACGACCGGTGGCTCGACTTCCTTCAGGCAACTCCAGAGATGCCCCGAGAACACTGTCCCAAGTCTAGAGGAACACCAACCTCAGCACAGCAACTCGAGGAATGCTCCGTGTACCCCAAATCGTCTCGAGATGAGAGCTGATTCCCTGGCTTAGGCTCAAGACGTATGCCAACTTCCCAGAAGCACCTCAGGAGGAGGCTTCTCTCAGCAATAGGTATGTGGGAGGGACCCCGAGTTTGCTGCCTCAAGGGGAATATACAGCGAGAAGCCATAACTTGAAAGGAGGCCGGATTTCCTTGCAGTGGCTTGAATACAGGCTCGTCTTTCATCTCACAACATGAAGGGATGTCTGAATCTCCTGTGGAGACCTTAGAGAAAGCCCTAGGTCCCTGCCTCATTTTGACGGAATGCCTCATATCCCGCTGACACCTCGAGAGGCACGCGGAGTTCATTGCTTCAAAAGGTGACGATGCCTGACTCCTCTTGAATACTGATAGGAATCCCAAAATCCCTGTGGCTATTGGAAAGGGTCCTTGGGTGCCCTGCCTCACCTTGAGAAGCGTCCTTTTGCCCTGCCAAGCCTCGAAGAGATTCCTGAGGTGTCCCTCCTTAGTAGACAGGAGTCCTGACGTCACTGAAGAAACTCGTGTTTTGAAGGGCCATCCCCGCCGTAAGTCGAGAACATACCCCAGGTCCCCGCCGCAACTCGAGAAAAACCATGAGACTTCCCCATAGAGGCGAGATGAGGCCCCATTCCCCTGCAGTGCATGCAGAGCTATTCCGTGATCCCATTCAAACAAGTCAGGAGCTTCGACTTGCTTAATGGATCTCGAGACAGTCCCCAAGAACACTGTCACCAGTCTAGACGCACCCTGATGTCACCCCAGCAACGCAAAGCAGCTCCATGTGCCCCAAATCAACTCGAGATGAGGCCCGATTCCCCTGCATTGTCTCCAGAGCCATTCCCCGTTCCCCATTCAACACGACCGGTGGCTCGACTTCCTTCAGGCAACTCCAGAGATGCCCCGAGAACACTGTCCCAAGTCTAGAGGAACACCAACTTCAGCACAGCAACTCGAGGAATGCTCCGTGTACCCCAAATCGTCTCGAGATGAGAGCTGATTCCCTGGCTTAGGCTCAAGACGTATGCCAACTTCCCAGAAGCACCTCAGGAGGAGGCTTCTCTCAGCTATAAGTATGTGGGAGGGACCCCGAGTTTGCTGCCTCAAGGGGAATATACAGCGAGAAGCCCTAACTTGAAAGGAGGCCGGATTTCCTTGCAGTGGCTTGAATACAGGCTCGTCTTTCATCTCACAACATGAAGGGATGTCTGAATCCCCTGTGGAGACCTTAGAGAAAGCCCTAGGTCCCTGCCTCATTTTGACGGAATGCCTCACATCCCGCTGACACCTCGAGAGGCACGCGGAGTTCATTGCTTCAAAAGGTGACGATACCTGACTCCTCTTGAATACTGATAGGAATCCCAAAATCCCTGTGGCTATTGGAAAGGGTCCTTGGGTGCCCTGCCTCACCTCGAGAAGCGTCCTTTTGCCCTGCCAAGCCTCGAAGAGATTCCTGAGGTGTCCCTCGTTACTAGACAGGAGTCCTGACGTCACTGAAGAAACTCGTGTTTTGAAGGGCCATCCCCGCCGTAAGTCGAGAACATACCCCAGGTCCCCGCCGCAACTCGAGAAAAACCATGAGACTTCCCCCTAGAGGCGAGATGAGGCCCCATTCCCCTGCAGTGCATGCAGAGCTATTCCGTGATCCCATTCAAACAAGTCAGGAGCTTCGGCTTGCTTAATGGATCTCGAGACAGTCCCCAAGAACACTGTCACCAGTCTAGACGGACCCTGAGGTCACCCCAGCAACGCAAAGCAGCTCCATGTGCCCCAAATCAACTCGAGATGAGGCCCGATTCCCCTGCATTGACTCCAGAGCCATTCCCCGTTCCCCATTCAACACGACCGGTGGCTCAACTTCCTTCAGGCAACTCCAGAGATGCCCGGAGAACACTGTCCCAAGACCAGAGGAACACCAACTTCAGCACAGCAACTTGAGGAATGCTCCGTGTACCCCAAATCGTCTCGAGATGAGAGCTGATTCCCTGGCTTAGGCTCAAGATGTATGCCAACTTCCCAGAAGCACCTCAGGAGGAGGCTTCTCTCAGCAATAGGTATGTGGGAGGGACCCCGAGTTTGCTACCTCAAGGGGAATATACAGCAAGAAGCCATAACTTGAAAGGAGGCCGGATTTCCTTGCAGTGGCTTGAATACAGGCTCGTCTTTCATCTCACAACATGAAGGGATGTCTGAATCCCCTGTGGAGACCTTAGAGAAAGCCCTAGGTCCCTGCCTCATTTTGACGGAATGCCTCACATCCCGCTGACAACTCGAGAGGCACGCGGAGTTCATTGCTTCAAAAGGTGACGATGCCTGACTCCTCTTGAATACTGATAGGAATCCCAAAATCCCTGTGGCTATTGGAAAGGGTCCTTGGGTGCCCTGCCTCACCTCGAGAAGCGTCCTTTTGCCCTGCCAAGCCTCGAAGAGATTCCTGAGGTGTCCCTCGTTAGTAGACAGGAGTCCTGACGTCACTGAAGAAACTCGTGTTTTGAAGGGCCATCCCCGCCGTAAGTCGAGAACATACCCCAGGTCCCCGCCGCAACTCGAGAAAAACCATGAGACTTCCCCATAGAGGCGAGATGAGGCCCCATTCCCCTGCAGTGCATGCAGAGCTATTCCGTGATCCCATTCAAACAAGTCAGGAGCTTCGACTTGCTTAATGGATCTCGAGACAGTCCCCAAGAACACTGTCACCAGTCTAGACGGACACTGAGGTCACCCCAGCAACGCAAAGCAGCTCCATGTGCCCCAAATAAACACGAGATGAGGCCCGATTCCCCTGCATTGACTCCAGAGCCATTCCCCGTTCCCCATTCAACACGACCGGTGGCTCGACTTCATTCAGGCAACTCCAGAGATGCCCCGAGAACACTGTCCCAAGTCCAGAGGAAGACCAACTTCAGCACAGCAACTCGAGGAATGCTCCGTGTACCCCAAATCGTCTCAAGATGAGAGCTGATTCCCTGGCTTATTCTCAAGACGTATGCCAACTTCCCAGAAGCACCTCAGGAGGAGGCTTCTCTCAGCAATAGGTATGTGGGAGGGACCCCGAGTTTGCTGCCTCAATGGGAATATACAGCGAGAAGCCCTAACTTGAAAGGAGGCCGGATTTCCTTGCAGTGGCTTGAATACAGGCTCGTCTTTCATCTCACAACATGAAGGGATGTCTGAATCCCCTGTGGAGACCTTAGAGAAAGCCCTAGGTCCCTGCCTCATTTTGATGGAATGCCTCACATCCCGCTGACACCTCGAGAGGCACGCGGATTTCATTGCTTCAAAAGGTGACGATGCCTGACTCCTCTTGAATACTGATAGGAATCCCAAAATCCCTGTGGCTACTGGAAAGGGTCCTTGGGTGCCCTGCCTCACCTCGAGAAGCGTCCCTTTTGTCCTGCCAAGCCTCGAAGAGATTCCTGAGGTGTCCCTCGTTACTAGACAGGAGTCCTGACGTCACTGAAGAAACTCGTGTTTTGAAGGGCCATCCCCGCCGTAAGTCGAGAACATACCCCAGGTCCCCGCCGCAACTCGAGAAAAACCATGAGACTTCCCCCTAGAGGCGAGATGAGGCCCCATTCCCCTGCAGTGCATGCAGAGCTATTCCGTGATCCCATTCAAACAAGTCAGGAGCTTCGACTTGCTTAATGGATCTCGAGACAGTCCCCAAGAACACTGTCACCAGTCTAGACGGACCCTGAGGTCACCCCAGCAACGCAAAGCCGCTCCATGTGCCCCAAATCAACTCGAGATGAAGCCCGATTCCCCTGCATTGACTCCAGAGCCATTCCCCGTTCCCCATTCAACACGACCGGTGTCTCGACTTCCTTCAGGCAACTCCAGAGATGCCCCGAGAACACTGTCCCAAGTCTAGAGGAACACCAACTTCAGCACAGCAACTCGAGGAATGCTCCGTGTACCCCAAATCTTCTCGAGATGAGAGCTGATTCCCTGGCTTAGGCTCAAGACGTATGCCAACTTCCCAGAAGCACCTCAGGAGGAGGCTTCTCTCAACTATAAGTATGTGGGAGGGACCCCGAGTTTGCTGCCTCAAGGGGAATATACAGCGAGAAGCCCTAACTTGAAAGAGGCCGGATTTCCTTGCAGTGGCTTGAATACAGGCTCGTCTTTCATCTCACAACATGAAGGGATGTCTGAATCCCCTGTGGAGACCTTAGAGAAAACCCTAGGTCCCTGCCTCATTTTGACGGAATTCCTCACATCCCGCTGACACCTCGAGAGGCACGCGGAGTTCATTGCTTCAAAAGGTGACGATGCCTGACTCCTCTTGAATACTGATAGGAATCCCAAAATCCCTGTGGCTACTGGAAAGGGTCCTTGGGTACCCTGCCTCTCCTCGAGAAGCGTCCCTTTTGCCCTGCCAAGCCTCGAAGAGATTCCTGAGGTGTCCCTCGTTACTAGACAGGAGACCTGACGTCACTGAAGAAACTCGTGTTTTGAAGGGCCATCCCCGCCGTAAGTCGAGAACATACCCCAGGTCGCCGCCACAACTCGAGAAAAACCATGAGACTTCCCCCTAGAGGCGAGATGAGGCCCCATTCCCCTGCAGTGCATGCAGAGCTATTCCGTGATCCCATTCAAACAAGTCAGGAGCTTCGACTTGCTTCATGGATCTCGATACAGTCCCCAAGAACACTGTCACCAGTCTAGACGGACCCTGAGGTCACCCCAGCAACGCAAAGCAGCTCCATGTGCCCCAAATCAACTCGAGATGAGGCCCGATTCCCCTGCATTGACTCCAGAGCCATTCCCCGTTCCCCATTCAACACGACCGGTGGCTCGACTTCCTTCAGGCAACTCCAGAGATGCCCCGAGAACACTGTCCCAAGTCTAGAGGAACACCAACTTCAGCACAGCAACTCGAGGAATGCTCCGTGTACCCCAAATCGTCTCGAGATGAGAGCTGATTCCCTGGCTTAGGCTCAAGACGTATGCCAACTTCCCAGAAGCACCTCAGGAGGAGGCTTCTCTCAGCAATAGGTATGTGGGAGGGACCCCGAGTTTGCTGCCTCAAGGGGAATATACAGCGAGAAGCCCTAACTTGAAAGGAGGCCGGATTTCCTTGCAGTGGCTTGAATACAGGCTCGTCTTTCATCTCAAAACCTGAAGAGATGTCTGAATCCCCTGTGGAGACCTTAGAGAAAGCCCTAGGTCCCTGCCTCATTTTGACGGAATGCCTCACATCCCGCTGACACCTCGAGAGGCACGCGGAGTTCATTGCTTCAAAAGGTGACGATGCCTGACTCCTCTTGAATACTGATAGGAATCCCAAAATCCCTGTGGCTACTGGAAAGGGTCCTTGGGTGCCCTGCCTCACCTCGAAAAGCGTCCCTTTTGCCCTGCCAAGCCTCGAAGAGATTCCTGAGGTGTCCCTCGTTACTAGACAGGAGTCCTGACGTCACTGAAGAAACTCGTGTTTTGAAGGGCCATCCCCGCCTTAAGTCGAGAACATACCCCAGGTCCCCGCCGCAACTCGAGAAAAACCATGAGACTTCCCCCTAGAGGCGAGATGAGGCCCCATTCCCCTGCAGTGCATGCAGAGCTATTCCGTGATCCCATTCAAACAAGTCAGGAGCTTCGACTTGCTTCATGGATCTCGAGACAGTCCCCAAGAACACTGTCACCAGTCTAGACGGACCCTGAGGTCACCCCAGCAACGCAAAGCAGCTCCATGTGCCCCAAATCAACTCGAGATGAGGCCCGATTCCCCTGCATTGACTCCAGAGCCATTCCCCGTTCCCCATTCAACACGACCGGTGGCTCGACTTCCTTCAGGCAACTCCAGAGATGCCCCGAGAACACTGTCCCAAGTCTAGAGGAACACCAACTTCAGCACAGCAACTCGAGGAATGCTCCGTGTACCCCAAATCGTCTCGAGATGAGAGCTGATTCCCTGGCTTAGGCTCAAGACGTATGCCAACTTCCCAGAAGCACCTCAGGAGGAGGCTTCTCTCAGCAATAGGTATGTGGGAGGGACCCCGAGTTTGCTGCCTCAAGGGGAATATACAGCGAGAAGCCCTAACTTGAAAGGAGGCCGGATTTCCTTGCAGTGGCTTGAATACAGGCTCGTCTTTCATCTCACAACATGAAGGGATGTCTGAATCCCCTGTGGAGACCTTAGAGAAAGCCCTAGGTCCCTGCCTCATTTTGACGGAATGCCTCACATCCCGCTGACACCTCGAGAGGCACGCGGAGTTCATTGCTTCAAAAGGTGACGATGCCTGACTCCTCTTGAATACTGATAGGAAACCCAAAATACCTGTGGCTATTGGAAAGGGTCCTTGGGTGCCCTGCCTCACCTCGAGAACCGTCCTTTTGCCCTGCCAAGCCTCGAAGAGATTCCTGAGGTGTCCCTCGTTACTAGACAGGAGTCCTGACGTCACTGAAGAAACTCGTGTTTTGAAGGGCCATCCCCGCCGTAAGTCGAGAACATACACCAGGTCTCCGCCGCAACTCGAGAAAAACCATGAGACTTCCCCCTAGAGGCGAGATGAGGCCCCATTCCCCTGCAGTGCATGCAGAGCTATTCCGTGATCCCATTCAAACAAGTCAGGAGCTTCGACTTGCTTAATGGATCTCGAGACAGTCCCCAAGAACACTGTCACCAGTCTAGACGGACCCTGAGGTCACCCCAGCAACCCAAAGCAGCTCCATGTGCCCCAAATCAACTCGAGATGAAGCCCGATTCCCCTGCATTGACTCCAGAGCCATTCCCCGTTCCCCATTCAACACGACCGGTGTCTCGACTTCCTTCAGGCAACTCCAGAGATGCCCCGAGAACACTGTCCCAAGTCTAGAGGAACACCAACTTCAGCACAGCAACTCGAGGAATGCTCCGTGTACCCCAAATCTTCTCGAGATGAGAGCTGATTCCCTGGCTTAGGCTCAAGACGTATGCCAACTTCCCAGAAGCACCTCAGGAGGAGGCTTCTCTCAACTATAAGTATGTGGGAGGGACCCCGAGTTTGCTGCCTCAAGGGGAATATACAGCGAGAAGCCCTAACTTGAAAGAGGCCGGATTTCCTTGCAGTGGCTTGAATACAGGCTCGTCTTTCATCTCACAACATGAAGGGATGTCTGAATCCCTTGTGGAGACCTTAGAGAAAACCCTAGGTCCCTGCCTCATTTTGACGGAATTCCTCACATCCCGCTGACACCTCGAGAGGCACGCGGAGTTCATTGCTTCAAAAGGTGACGATGCCTGACTCCTCTTGAATACTGATAGGAATCCCAAAATCCCTGTGGCTACTGGAAAGGGTCCTTGGGTGCCCTGCCTCTCCTCGAGAAGCGTCCCTTTTGCCCTGCCAAGCCTCGAAGAGATTCCTGAGGTGTCCCTCGTTACTAGACAGGAGTCCTGACGTCACTGAAGAAACTCGTGTTTTGAAGGGCCATCCCCGCCGTAAGTCGAGAACATACCCCAGGTCGCCGCCGCAACTCGAGAAAAACCATGAGACTTCCCCCTAGAGGCGAGATGAGGCCCCATTCCCCTGCAGTGCATGCAGAGCTATTCCGTGATCCCATTCAAACAAGTCAGGAGCTTCGACTTGCTTCATGGATCTCGAGACAGTCCCCAAGAACACTGTCACCAGTCTAGACGGACCCTGAGGTCACCCCAGCAACGCAAAGCAGCTCCATGTGCCCCAAATCAACTCGAGATGAGGCCCGATTCCCCTGCATTGACTCCAGAGCCATTCCCCGTTCCCCATTCAACACGACCGGTGGCTCGACTTCCTTCAGGCAACTCCAGAGATGCCCCGAGAACACTGTCCCAAGTCTAGAGGAACACCAACTTCAGCACAGCAACTCGAGGAATGCTCCGTGTACCCCAAATCGTCTCGAGATGAGAGCTGATTCCCTGGCTTAGGCTCAAGACGTATGCCAACTTCCCAGAAGCACCTCAGGAGGAGGCTTCTCTCAGCAATAGGTATGTGGGAGGGACCCCGAGTTTGCTGCCTCAAGGGGAATATACAGCGAGAAGCCCTAACTTGAAAGGAGGCCGGATTTCCTTGCAGTGGCTTGAATACAGGCTCGTCTTTCATCTCACAACATGAAGGGATGTCTGAATCCCCTGTGGAGACCTTAGAGAAAGCCCTAGGTCCCTGCCTCATTTTGACGGAATGCCTCACATCCCGCTGACACCTCGAGAGGCACGCGGAGTTCATTGCTTCAAAAGGTGACGATGCCTGACTCCTCTTGAATACTGATAGTAATCCCAAAATCCCTGTGGCTACTGGAAAGGGTCCTTGGGTGCCCTGCCTCACCTCGAAAAGCGTCCCTTTTGCCCTGCCAAGCCTCGAAGAGATTCCTGAGGTGTCCCTCGTTACTAGACAGGAGTCCTGACGTCACTGAAGAAACTCGTGTTTTGAAGGGCCATCCCCGCCGTAAGTCGAGAACATACCCCAGGTCCCCGCCGCAACTCGAGAAAAACCATGAGACTTCCCCCTAGAGGAGAGATGAGGCCCCATTCCCCTGCAGTGCATGCAGAGCTATTCCGTAATCCCATTCAAACAAGTCAGGAGCTTCGACTTGCTTCATGGATCTCGAGACAGTCCCCAAGAACACTGTCACCAGTCTAGACGGACCCTGAGGTCACCCCAGCAACGCAAAGCAGCTCCATGTGCCCCAAATCAACTCGAGATGAGGCCCGATTCCCCTGCATTGACTCCAGAGCCATTCCCCTTTCCCCATTCAACACGACCGGTGGCTCGACTTCCTTCAGGCAACTCCAGAGATGCCCCGAGAACACTGTCCAAAGTCTAGAGGAACACCAACTTCAGCACAGCAACACGAGGAAAGCTCCGTGTACCCCAAATCGTCTCAAGATGAGAGCTGATTCCCTGGCTTAGGCTCAAGACGTATGCCAACTTCCCAGAAGCACCTCAGGAGGAGGCTTCTCTCAGCAATAAGTATGTGGGAGGGACCCCGAGTTTGCTGCCTCAAGGGGAATATACAGCGAGAAGCCCTAACTTGAAAGGAGGCCGGATTTCCTTGCAGTGGCTTGAATACAGGCTCGTCTTTCATCTCACAACATGAAGGTATGTCTGAATCCCCTGTGGAGACCTTAGAGAAAGCCCTAGGTCCCTGCCTCATTTTGACGGAATGCCTCACATCCCGCTGACACCTCGAGAGGCACGCGGAGTTCATTGCTTCAAAAGGTGACAATGCCTGACTCCTCTTGAATAGTGATAGGAATCCCAAAATCCCTGTGGCTACTGGAAAGGATCCTTGGGTGCCCTGCCTCACCTCGAGAAGTGTCCCTTTTGCCCTGCCAAGCCTCGAAGAGATTCCTGAGGTGTCCCTCGTTACTAGACAGGAGTCCTGACGTCACTGAAGAAACTCGTGTTTTGAAGGGCCATCCCCACCGTAAGTCGAGAACATACCCCAGGTCCCCGCCGCAACTCGAGAAAAACCATGAGACTTCCCCCTAGAGGCGAGATGAGGCCCCATTCCCCTGCAGTGCATGCAGAGCTATTCCGTGATCCCATTCAAACAAGTCAGGAGCTTCGACTTGCTTAATGGATGTCGAGACAGTCCCCAAGAACACTGTCACCAGTCTAGACGGACCCTGAGGTCACCCCAGCAACGCAAAGCAGCTCCATGTGCCCCAAATCAACTCGAGATGAGGCCCGATTCCCCTGCATTGACTCCAGAGCCATTCCCCGTTCCCCATTCAGCACGACCGGTGGCTCGACTTCCTTCAGGCAACTCCAGAGATGCCCCGAGAACACTGTCCCAAGTCTAGAGGAACACCAACTTCAGCACAGCAACTCGAGGAATGCTCCGTGTACCCCAAATCGTCTCGAGATGAGAGCTGATTCCCTGGCTTAGGCTCAAGACGTATGCCAACTTCCCAGAAGCACCTCAGGAGGAGGCTTCTCTCAGCAATAGGTATGTGGGAGGGACCCCGAGTTTGCTGCCTCAAGGGGAATATACAGCGAGAAGCCCTAACTTGAAAGGAGGCCGGATTTCCTTGCAGTGGCTTGAATACAGGCTCGTCTTTCATCTCACAACATGAAGGGATGTCTGAATCCCCTGTGGAGACCTTAGAGAAAGCCCTAGGACCCTGCCTCATTTTGACGGAATGCCTCACATCCCGCTGACACCTCGAGAGGTACGCGGAGTTCATTGCTTCAAAAGGTGACGATGCCTGACTCCTCTTGAATACTGATAGGAATCCCAAAATCCCTGTGGCTACTGGAAAGGGTCCTTGGGTGCCCTGCCTCACCTCGAGAAGCGTCCCTTTTGCCCTGCCAAGCCTCGAAGAGATTCCTGAGGTGTCCCTCGTTACTACACAGGAGTCTTGACGTCACTGAAGAAACTCGTGTTTTGAAGTGCCATCCCCGCCGTAAGTCGAGAACATACCCCAGGTCCCCGCCGCAACTCGAGAAAAACCATGAGACTTCCCCCTAGAGGCGAGATGAGGCCCCATTCCCCTGCAGTGCATGCAGAGCTATTCCGTGATCCCATTCAAACAAGTCAGGAGCTTCGACTTGCTTAATGGATCTCGAGAGAGTCCCCAAGAACACTGTCACCAGTCTAGACGGACCCTGAGGTCACCCCAGCAACGCAAAGCAGCTCCATGTGCCCCAAATCAACTCGAGATGAGGCCCGATTCCCCTGCATTGACTCCAGAGCCATTCCCCTTTCCCCATTCAACACGACCGGTGGCTCGACTTCCTTCAGGCAACTCCAGAGATGCCCCGAGAACACTGTCCCAAGTCTAGAGGAACACCAACTTCAACACAGCAAATCAAGGAATGCTCCGTGTACCCCAAATCGTCTCGAGATAAGAGCTGATTCCCTGGCTTAGGCTCAAGATGTATGCCAACTTCCCAGAAGCACCTCAGGAGGAGGCTTCTCTCAGCAATAGGTATGTGGGAGGGACCCCGAGTTTGCTGCCTCAAGGGGAATATACAGCGAGAAGCCCTAACTTGAAAGGAGGCCGGATTTCCTTGCAGTGGCTTGATTACAGGCTCGTCTTTCATCTCACAACATGAAGGGATGTCTGAATCCCCTGTGGAGACCTTAGAGAAAGCCCTAGGTCCGTGCCTCATTTTGACGGAATGCCTCACGTCGCGCTGACACCTCGAGAGGCACGCGGAGTTCATTGCTTCAAAAGGTGACGATGCCTGACTCCTCTTGAATACTGATAGGAATCCCAAAATCCCTGTGGCTACTGGAAAGGGTCCTTGGGTGCCCTGCCTCACCTCGAGAAGCGTCCCTTTTGCCCTGCCAAGCCTCGAAGAGATTCCTGAGGTGTCCCTCGTTACTAGACAGGAGTCCTGACGTCACTGAAGAAACTCGTGTTTTGAAGGGCCATCCCCTCTGTAAGTCGAGAACATAACCCAGGTCCCCGCCGCAACTCGAGAAAAACCATGAGACTTCCCCCTAGAGGCGAGATGAGGCCCCATTCCCCTGCAGTGCATGCAGAGCTATTCCGTGATCCCATTCAAACAAGTCAGGAGCTTCGACTTGCTTAATGGATCTCGAGACAGTCCCCAAGAACACTGTCACCAGTCTAGACGGAACCTGAGGTCACCCCAGCAACGCAAAGCAGCTCCATGTGCCCCAAATCAACTCGAGATGAGGCCCGATTCCCCTGCATTGACTCCAGAGCCATTCCCCGTTCCCCATTCAACACGACCGGTGGCTCGACTTCCTTCAGGCAACTCCAGAGATGCCCCGAGAACACTGTCCCAAGTCTAGAGGAACACAAACTTCAGCACAGCAACTCGAGGAATGCTCCGTGTACCCCAAATCGTCTCGAGATGCGAGCTGGTTCCCTGGCTTAGGCTCAAGACATATGCCAACTTCCCAGAAGCACCTCAGGAGGAGGCTTCTCTCAGCAATAGGTATGTGGGAGGGACCCCGAGTTTGCTGCCTCAAGGGGAATATACAGCGAGAAGCCCTAACTTGAAAGGAGGCCGGATTTCCTTACAGTGGCTTGAATACAGGCTCGTCTTTCATCTCACAACATGAAGGGATGTCTGAATCCCCTGTGGAGACCTTAGAGAAAGCCCTAGGTCCCTGCCTCATTTTGACGGAATGCCTCACATCCCGCTGAAACCTTGAGAGGCACGCGGAGTTCATTGCTTCAAAAGGTGACGATGCCTGACTCCTCTTGAATACTGATAGGAATCCCAAAATCCCTGTGGCTACTGGAAAGGGTCCTTGGGTGCCCTGCCTCACCTCGAGAAGCGTCCCTTTTGCCTTGCCAAGCCTCGAAGAGATTCCTGAGGTGTCCCTCGTTACTAGACAGGAGTCCTGACGTCACTGAAGAAACTCGTGTTTTGAAGGGCCATCCCCGCCGTAAGTCGAGAACATACCCCAGGTCCCCGCCGCAACTCGAGAAAAACCATGAGACTTCCCCCTAGAGGCGAGATGAGGCCCCATTCCCCTGCAGTGCATGCAGAGCTATTCCGTGATCCCATTCAAACAAGTCAGGAGCTTCGACTTGCTTCATGGATCTCGAGACAGTCCCCAAGAACACTGTCACCAGTCTAGACGGACCCTGAGGTCACCCCAGCAACGCAAAGCAGCTCCATATGCCCCAAATCAACTCGAGATGAGGCCCGATTCCCCTGCATTGACTCCAGAGCCATTCCCCTTTCCCCATTCAACACGACCGGTGGCTCGACTTCCTTCAGGCAACTCCAGAGATGACCCGAGAACACCGTCCCAAGTCTAGAGGAACACCAACTTCCGCACAGCAACACGAGGAATGTTCCGTGTACCCCAAATCGTCTCGAGATGAGAGCTGATTCCCTGGCTTAGGCTCAAGACGTATGCCAACTTCCCAGAAGCACCTCAGGAGGAGGCTTCTCTCAGCAATAGGTATGTGGGAGGGACCCCGAGTTTGCTGCCTCAAAGGGAATATACAGCGAGAAGCCCTAACTTGAAAGGAGGCCGGATTTCCTTGCAGTGGCTTGAATACAGGCTCGTCTTTCATCTCACAACATGAAGGGATGTCTGAATCCCCTGTGGAGACCTTAGAGAAAGCCCTAGGTCCCTGCCTCATTTTGACGGAATGCCTCTCATCCCGCTGACACCTCGAGAGGCACGCGGAGTTCATTGCTTCAAAAGGTGACGATGCCTGACTCCTCTTGAATACTGATAGGAATCCCAAAATCCCTGTGGCTATTGGAAAGGGTCCTTGGGTGCCCTGCCTCACCTCAAGAACCGTCCTTTTGCCCTGCCAAGCCTCGAAGAGATTCCTGAGGTGTCCCTCGTTACTAGACAGGAGTCCTGACGTCACTGAAGAAACTCGTGTTTTGAAGGGCCATCCCCGCCGTAAGTCGAGAACATACCCCAGGTCCCCGCCGCAACTCGAGAAAAACCATGAGACTTCCCCCTAGAGGCGAGATGAGGCCCCATTCCCCTGCAGTGCATGCAGAGCTATTCCGTGATCCCATTCAAACAAGTCAGGAGCTTCGACTTGCTTAATGGATCTCGAGACAGTCCCCAAGAACACTGTCACCAGTCTAGACGGACCCTGAGGTCACCCCAGCAATGCAAAGCAGCTCCATGTGCCCCAAATCAACTCGAGATGAGGCCCGATTCCCCTGCATTGACTCCAGAGCCATTCCCCGTTCCCCACTCCGCACGACCGGTGGCTCGACTTCCTTCAGGCAACTCCAGAGATGCCCCGAGAACACTGTCCCAAGTCTAGAGGAACACCAACTTCAGCACAGCAACTCGAGGAATGCTCCGTGTACCCCAAATCGTCTCCAGATGAGAGCTGATTCCCTGGCTTAAGCTCAAGACATATGCCAACTTCCCAGAAGCACCTCAGGAGGAGGCTTCTCTCAGCAATAGGTATGTGGGAGGGACCCCGAGTTTGCTGCCTCAAGGGGAATATACAGCGAGAAGCCCTAACTTGAAAGGCGGCCGGATTTCCTTGCAGTGGCTTGAATACAGGCTCGTCTTTCATCTCACAACATGAAGGGATGTCTGAATCCCCTGTGGAGACCTTAGAGAAAGCCCTAGGTCCCTGCCTCATTTTGACGGAATGCCTCACATCCCGCTGACACCTCGAGAGGCACGCGGAGTTCATTGCTTCAAAATGTGACGATGCCTGACTCCTCTTGAATACTGATAGGAATCCCAAAATCCCTGTGGCTATTGGAAAGGGTCCTTGGGTGCCCTGCCTCACCTCGAGAACCGTCCTTTTGCCATGCCAAGCCTCGAAGAGATTCCTGAGGTGTCCCTCGTTACTAGACAGGAGTCCTGACGTCACTGAAGAAACTCGTGTTTTGAAGGGCCATCCCCGCCGTAAGTCGAGAACATACACCAGGTCCCCGCCGCAACTCGAGAAAAACCATGAGACTTCCCCCTAGAGGCGAGATGAGGCCCCATTCCCCTGCAGTGCATGCAGAGCTATTCCGTGATCCCATTCAAACAAGTCAGGAGCTTCGACTTGCTTCATGGATCTCGAGACAGTCCCCAAGAACACTGTCACCAGTCTAGACGGACCCTGAGGTCACCCCAGCAACGCAAAGCAGCTCCATGTGCCCCAAATCAACTCGAGATGAGGCCCGATTCCCCTGCATTGACTCCAGAGCCATTCCCCTTTCCCCATTCAACACGACCGGTGGCTCGACTTCTTTCAGGCAACTGCAGAGATGCCCCGAGAACACTGTCCCAAGTCTAGAGGAACACCAACTTCAACACAGCAACTCGAGGAATGCTCCGTGTACCCCAAATCGTCTCGAGATGAGAGCTGATTCCCTGGCTTAGGCTCAAGACGTATGCCAACTTCCCAGAAGCACCTCAGGAGGAGACTTCTCTCAGCAATAGGTATGTGGGAGGGACCCCGAGTTTGCTGCCTCAAGGGGAATATACAGCGAGAAGCCCTAACTTGAAAGGAGGCTGGATTTCCTTGAAGTGGCTTGAATACAGGCTCGTCTTTCATCTCACAACATGAAGGGATGTCTGAATCCCCTGTGGAGACCTTAGAGAAAGCCCTAGGTCCCTGCCTCATTTTGACGGAATGCCTCACATCCCGCTGACACCTCGAGAGGCACGCGGAGTTCATTGCTTCAAAAGGTGACGATGCCTGACTCCTCTTGAATACTGATAGGAATCCCAAAATCCCTGTGGCTACTGGAAAGGGTCCTTGGGTGCCCTGCCTCACCTCGAGAAGCGTCCCTTTTGCCCTGCCAAGCCTCGAAGAGATTCCTGAGGTGTCCCTCGTTACTAGACAGGAGTCCTGACGTCACTGAAGAAACTCGTATTTTGAAGGGCCATCCCCGCCGTAAGTCGAGAACATACCCCAGGTCCCCGCCGCAACTCGAGAAAAACCATGAGACTTCCCCCTAGAGGCGAGATGAGGCCCCATTCCCCTGCAGTGCATGCAGAGCTATTCCGTGATCCCAGTCAAACAAGTCAGGAGCTTCGACTTGCTTAATGGATCTCGAGACAGTCCCCAAGAACACTGTCACCAGTCTAGACGGACCCTGAGGTCACCCCAGCAACGCAAAGCAGCTCCATGTGCCCCAAATCAACTCGAGATGAGGCCCGATTCCCCTGCATTGACTCCAGAGGCATTCCCCTTTCCCCATTCAACAAGACCGGTGGCTCGACTTCCTTCAGGCAACTCCAGAGATGCCCCGAGAACACTGTCCCAAGTCTAGAGGAACACCAACTTCAGCACAGCAACACGAGGAATGCTCCGTGTACCCCAAATTGTCTCGAGATGAGAGCTGACTCCCTGGCTTAGGCTCAAGACGTATGCCAACTTCCCAGAAGCACCTCAGGAGGAGGCTTCTCTCAGCAATAAGTATGTGGGAGGGACCCCGAGTTTGCTGCCTCAAGGGGAATATACAGCGAGAAGCCCTAACTTGAAAGGCGGCCGGATTTCCTTGCAGTGGCTTGAATACAGGCTCGTCTTTCATCTCACAACATGAAGGGATGTCTGAATCCCCTGTGGAGACCTTAGAGAAAGCCCTAGGTCCCTGCCTCATTTTGACGGAATGCCTCACATCCCGCTGACACCTCGAGAGGCACGCGGAGTTCATTGCTTCAAAAGGTGACGATGCCTGACTCCTCTTGAATACTGATAGGAATCCCAAAATCCCTGTGGCTACTGGAAAGGGTCCTTGGGTGCCCTGCCTCACCTCGAGAAGCGTCCCTTTTGCCCTGCCAAGCCTCGAAGAGATTCCTGAGGTGTCCCTCGTTACTAGACAGGAGTCCTGACGTCACTGAAGAAACTCGTGTTTTGAAGGGCCATCCCAGCCGTAAGTCGAGAACATACCCCAGGTCACCGCCGCAACTCGAGAAAAACCATGAGACTTCCCCCTAGAGGCGAGATGAGGCCCCATTCCCCTGCAGTGCATGCAGAGCTATTCCGTGATCCCATTCAAACAAGTCAGGAGCTTCGACATGCTTAATGATCTCTAGACAGTCCCCAAGATCACTGTCACCAGTCTAGACGGACCCTGAGGTCACCCCAGCAACGCAAAGCAGCTCCATGTGCCCCAAATCAACTCGAGATGAGGCCCGATTCCCCTGCATTGACTCCAGAGCCATTCCCCGTTCCCCATTCAACACGACCGGTGGCTCGACTTCCTTCAGGCAACTCCAGAGATGCCCCGAGAACACTGTCCCAAGTCTAGAGGAACACCAACTTCAGCACAGCAACTCGAGGAATGCTCCGTGTACCCCAAATCGTCTCGAGATGCGAGCTGATTCCCTGGCTTAGGCTCAAGACATATGCCAACTTCCCAGAAGCACCTCAGGAGGAGGCTTCTCTCAGCAATAGGTATGTGTGAGGGACCCCGAGTTTGCTGCCTCAAGGGGAATATACAGCGAGAAGCCCTAACTTGAAAGGAGGCCGGATTTCCTTGCAGTGGCTTGAATACAGGCTCGTCTTTCATCTCACAACATGAAGGGATGTCTGAATCCCCTGTGGAGACCTTAGAGAAAGCCCTAGGTCCCTGCCTCATTTTGACGGAATGCCTCACATCCCGCTGACACCTCGAGAGGCACGCGGAGTTCATTGCTTCAAAAGGTGACGATGCCTGACTCCTCTTGAATACTGATAGGAATCCCAAAATCCCTGTGGCTATTGGAAAGGGTCCTTGGGTGCCCTGCCTCACCTCGAGAAGCGTCCTTTTGCCCTGCCAAGCCTCGAAGAGATTCCTGAGGTGTCCCTCGTTACTAGACAGGAGTCCTGACTTCACTGAAGAAACTCGTGTTTTGAAGGGCCATCCCCGCCGTAAGTCGAGAACATACCCCAGGTCCCCGCCGCAACTCGAGAAAAACCATGAGACTTCCCCCTAGAGGCGAGATGAGGCCCCATTCCCCTGCAGTGCATGCAGAGCTATTCCGTGATCCCATTCAAACAAGTCAGGAGCTTCGACTTGCTTCATGGATCTCGAGACAGTCCCCAAGAACACTGTCACCAGTCTAGACGGACCCTGAGGTCACCCCAGCAACGCAAAGCAGCTCCATGTGCCCCAAATCAACTCGAGATGAGGCCCGATTCCCCTGCATTGACTCCAGAGCCATTCCCCGTTCCCCATTCAACACGACCGGTGTCTCGACTTCCTTCAGGCAACTCCAGAGATGCCCTGAGAACACTGTCCCAAGTCTAGAGGAACACCAACTTCAGCACAGCAACTCGAGGAATGCTCCGTGTACCCCAAATCGTCTCGAGATGAGAGCTGATTCCCTGGCTTAGGCTCAAGACGTATGCCAACTTCCCAGAAGCACCTCAGGAGGAGGCTTCTCTCAGCAATAGGTATGTGCGAGGGACCCCGAGTTTGCTGCCTCAAGGGGAATATACAGCGAGAAGCCCTAACTTGAAAGGCGGCCGGATTTCCTTGCAGTGGCTTGAATACAGGCTCGTCTTTCATCTCACAACATGAAGGGATGTCTGAATCCCCTGTGGAGACCTTAGAGAAAGCCCTAGGTCCCTGCCTCATTTTGACGGAATGCCTTACATCCCGCTGACACCTCGAGAGGCACGCGGAGTTCATTGCTTCAAAAGGTGACGATGCCTGACTCCTCTTGAATACTGATAGGAATCCCAAAATCCCTGTGGCTACTGGAAAGGGTCCTTGGGTGCCCTGCCTCACCTCGAGAAGCGTCCCTTTTGCCCTGCCAAGCCTCGAAGAGATTCCTGAGGTGTCCCTCGTTACTAGACAGGAGTCCTGACGTCACTGAAGAAACTCGTGTTTTGAAGGGCCATCCCAGCCGTAAGTCGAGAACATACCCCAGGTCACCGCCGCAACTCGAGAAAAACCATGAGACTTCCCCCTAGAGGCGAGATGAAGCCCCATTCCCCTGCAGTGCATGCAGAGCTATTCCGTGATCCCATTCAAACAAGTCAGGAGCTTCGAGTTGCTTAATGATCTCTAGACAGTCCCCAAGAACACTGTCACCAGTCTAGACGGACCCTGAGGTCACCCCAGCAACGCAAAGCAGCTCCATGTGCCCCAAATCAACTCGAGATGAGGCCCGATTCCCCTGCATTGACTCCAGAGCCATTCCCCGTTCCCCATTCAACACGACCGGTGGCTCGACTTCCTTCAGGCAACTCCAGAGATGCCCCGAGAACACTGTCCCAAGTCTAGAGGAACACCAACTTCAGCACAGCAACTCGAGGAATGCTCCGTGTACCCCAAATCGTCTCGAGATGCGAGCTGATTGCCTTGCTTAGGCTCAAGACGTATGCCAACTTCCCAGAAGCACCTCAGGAGGAGGCTTCTCTCAGCAATAGGTATGTGCGAGGGACCCCGAGTTTGCTGCCTCAAGGGGAATATACAGCGAGAAGCCCTAACTTGAAAGGAGGCCGGATTACCTTGCAGTGGCTTGAATACAGGCTCGTCTTTCATCTCACAACATGAAGGGATGTCTGAATCCCCTGTGGAGACCTTAGAGAAAGCCCTAGGTCCCTGCCTCATTTTGACGGAATGCCTCACATCCCGCTGACACCTCGAGAGGCACGCGGAGTTCATTGCTTCAAAAGGTGACGATGCCTGACTCCTCTTGAATACTGATAGGAATCCCAAAATCCCTGTGGCTATTGGAAAGGGTCCTTGGGTGCCCTGCCTCACCTCGAGAAGCGTCCTTTTGCCCCTGCCAAGCCTCGAAGAGATTCCTGAGGTGTCCCTCGTTCCTAGACAGGAGTCCTGACGTCACTGAAGAAACTCGTGTTTTGAAGGGCCATCCCCGCCGTAAGTCGAGAACATACACCAGGTCCCCGCCGCAACTCGAGAAAAACCATGAGACTTCCCCCTAGAGGCGAGATGAGGCCCCATTCCCCTGCAGTGCATGCAGAGCTATTCCGTGATCCCATTCAAACAAGTCAGGAGCTTCGACTTGCTTCATGGATCTCGAGACAGTCCCCAAGAACACTGTCACCAGTCTAGACGGACCCTGAGGTCACCCCAGCAACGCAAAGCAGCTCCATGTGCCCCAAATCAACTCGAGATGAGGCCCGATTCCCCTGCATTGACTCCAGAGCCATTCCCCGTTCCCCATTCAACACGACCGGTGTCTCGACTTCCTTCAGGCAACTCCAGAGATGCCCTGAGAACACTGTCCCAAGTCTAGAGGAACACCAACTTCAGCACAGCAACTCGAGGAATGCTCCGTGTACCCCAAATCGTCTCGAGATGAGAGCTGATTCCCTGGCTTAGGCTCAAGACGTATGCCAACTTCCCAGAAGCACCTCAGGAGGAGGCTTCTCTCAGCAATAGGTATGTGCGAGGGACCCCGAGTTTGCTGCCTCAAGGGGAATATACAGCGAGAAGCCCTAACTTGAAAGGCGGCCGGATTTCCTTGCAGTGGCTTGAATACAGGCTCGTCTTTCATCTCACAACATGAAGGGATGTCTGAATCCCCTGTGGAGACCTTAGAGAAAGCCCTAGGTCCCTGCCTCATTTTGACGGAATGCCTCACATCCCGCTGACACCTCGAGAGGCACGCGGAGTTCATTGCTTCAAAAGGTGACGATGCCTGACTCCTCTTGAATACTGATAGGAATCCCAAAATCCCTGTGGCTACTGGAAAGGGTCCTTGGGTGCCCTGCCTCACCTCGAGAAGCGTCCCTTTTGCCCTGCCAAGCCTCGAAGAGATTCCTGAGGTGTCCCTCGTTACTAGACAGGAGTCCTGACGTCACTGAAGAAACTCGTGTTTTGAAGGGCCATCCCAGCCCTAAGTCGAGAACATACCCCAGGTCCCCGCCGCAACTCGAGAAAAACCATGAGACTTCCCCCTAGAGGCGAGATGAGGCCCCATTCCCCTGCAGTGCATGCAGAGCTATTCCGTGATCCCATTCAAACAAGTCAGGAGCTTCGAGTTGCTTAATGATCTCTAGACAGTCCCCAAGAACACTGTCACCAGTCTAGACGGACCCTGAGGTCACCCCAGCAACGCAAAGCAGCTCCATGTGCCCCAAATCAACTCGAGATGAGGCCCGATTCCCCTGCATTGACTCCAGAGCCATTCCCCGTTCCCCATTCAACACGACCGGTGGCTCGACTTCCTTCAGGCAACTCCAGAGATGCCCCGAGAACACTGTCCCAAGTCTAGAGGAACACCAACTTCAGCACAGCAACTCGAGGAATGCTCCGTGTACCCCAAATCGTCTCGAGATGCGAGCTGATTCCCTTGCTTAGGCTCAAGACGTATGCCAACTTCCCAGAAGCACCTCAGGAGGAGGCTTCTCTCAGCAATAGGTATGTGCGAGGGACCCCGAGTTTGCTGCCTCAAGGGGAATATACAGCGAGAAGCCCTAACTTGAAAGGAGGCCGGATTACCTTGCAGTGGCTTGAATACAGGCTCGTCTTTCATCTCACAACATGAAGGGATGTCTGAATCCCCTGTGGAGACCTTAGAGAAAGCCCTAGGTCCCTGCCTCATTTTGACGGAATGCCTCACATCCCGCTGACACCTCGAGAGGCACGCGGAGTTCATTGCTTCAAAAGGTGACGATGCCTGACTCCTCTTGAATACTGATAGGAATCCCAAAATCCCTGTGGCTACTGGAAAGGGTCCTTGGGTGCCCTGCCTCACCTCGAGAAGCGTCCCTTTTGCCCTGCCAAGCCTCGAAGAGATTCCTGAGGTGTCCCTCGTTACTAGACAGGAGTCCTGACGTCACTGAAGAAACTCGTGTTTTGAAGGGCCATCCCAGCCGTAAGTCGAGAACATACCCCAGGTCACCGCCGCAACTCGAGAAAAACCATGAGACTTCCCCCTAGAGGCGAGATGAGGCCCCATTCCCCTGCAGTGCATGCAGAGCTATTCCGTGATCCCATTCAAACAAGTCAGGAGCTTCGACTTGCTTAATGATCTCTAGACAGTCCCCAAGATCACTGTCACCTGTCTAGACGGACCCTGAGGTCACCCCAGCAACGCAAAGCAGCTCCATGTGCCCCAAATCAACTCGAGATGAGGCCCGATTCCCCTGCATTGACTCCAGAGCCATTCCCCGTTCCCCATTCAACACGACCGGTGGCTCGACTTCCTTCAGGCAACTCCAGAGATGCCCCGAGAACACTGTCCCAAGTCTAGAGGAACACCAACTTCAGCACAGCAACTCGAGGAATGCTCCGTGTACCCCAAATCGTCTCGAGATGCGAGCTGATTCCCTGGCTTAGGCTCAAGATGTATGCCAACTTCCCAGAAGCACCTCAGGAGGAGGCTTCTCTCAGCAATAGGTATGTGCGAGGGACCCCGAGTTTGCTGCCTCAAGGGGAATATACAGCGAGAAGCCCTAACTTGAAAGGAGGCCGGATTTCCTTGCAGTGGCTTGAATACAGGCTCGTCTTTCATCTCACAACATGAAGGGATGTCTGAGTCCCCTGTGGAGACCTTAGAGAAAGCCCTAGGTCCCTGCCTCATTTTGACGGAATGCCTCACATCCCGCTGACACCTCGAGAGGCACGCGGAGTTCATTGCTTCAAAAGGTGACGATGCCTGACTCCTCTTGAATACTGATAGGAATCCCAAAATCCCTGTGGCTATTGGAAAGGGTCCTTGGGTGCCCTGCCTCACCTCGAGAACCGTCCTTTTGCCCTGCCAAGCCTCGAAGAGATTCCTGAGGTGTCCCTCGTTACTAGACAGGAGTCCTGACGTCACTGAAGAAACTCGTGTTTTGAAGGGCCATCCCCGCCGTAAGTCGAGAACATACCCCAGGTCCCCGCCGCAACTCGAGAAAAACCATGAGACTTCCCCTAGAGGCGAGATGAGGCCCCATTCCCCTGCAGTGCATGCAGAGCTATTCCGTGATCCCATTCAAACAAGTCAGGAGCTTCGACTTGCTTCATGGATCTCGAGACAGTCCCCAAGAACACTGTCACCAGTCTAGACGGACCCTGAGGTCACCCCAGCAACGCAAAGCAGCTCCATGTGCCCCAAATCAACTCGAGATGAGGCCCGATTCCCCTGCATTGACTCCAGAGCCATTCCCCGTTCCCCATTCAACACGACCGGTGTCTCGACTTCCTTCAGGCAACTCCAGAGATGCCCTGAGAACACTGTCATAAGTCTAGAGGAACACCAACTTCAGCACAGCAACTCGAGGAATGCTCCGTGTACCCCAAATCGTCTCGAGATGAGAGCTGATTCCCTGGCTTAGGCTCAAGACGTATGCCAACTTCCCAGAAGCACCTCAGGAGGAGGCTTCTCTCAGCAATAGGTATGTGCGAGGGACCCCGAGTTTGCTGCCTCAAGGGGAATATACAGCGAGAAGCCCTAACTTGAAAGGCGGCCGGATTTCCTTGCAGTGGCTTGAATACAGGCTCGTCTTTCATCTCACAACAATAAGGGATGTCTGAATCCCCTGTGGAGACCTTAGAGAAAGCCCTAGGTCCCTGCCTCATTTTGACGGAATGCCTCACATCCCGCTGACACCTCGAGAGGCACGCGGAGTTCATTGCTTCAAAAGGTGACGATGCCTGACTCCTCTTGAATACTGATAGGAATCCCAAAATCCCTGTGGCTACTGGAAAGGGTCCTTGGGTGCCCTGCCTCACCTCGAGAAGCGTCCCTTTTGCCCTGCCAAGCCTCGAAGAGATTCCTGAGGTGTCCCTCGTTACTAGACAGGAGTCCTGACGTCACTGAAGAAACTCGTGTGTTGAAGGGCCATCCCAGCCGTAAGTCGAGAACATACCCCAGGTCACCGCCGCAACTCGAGAAAAACCATGAGACTTCCCCCTAGAGGCGAGATGAGGCCCCATTCCCCTGCAGTGCATGCAGAGCTATTCCGTGATCCCATTCAAACAAGTCAGGAGCTTCGAGTTGCTTAATGATCTCTAGACAGTCCCCAAGAACACTGTCACCAGTCTAGACGGACCCTGAGGTCACCCCAGCAACGCAAAGCAGCTCCATGTGCCCCAAATCAACTCGAGATGAGGCCCGATTCCCCTGCATTGACTCCAGAGCCATTCCCCGTTCCCCATTCAACACGACCGGTGGCTCGACTTCCTTCAGGCAACTCCAGAGATGCCCCGAGAACACTGTCCCAAGTCTAGAGGAACACCAACTTCAGCACAGCAACTCGAGGAATGCTCCGTGTACCCCAAATCGTCTCGAGATGCGAGCTGATTCCCTTGCTTAGGCTCAAGACGTATGCCAACTTCCCAGAAGCACCTCAGGAGGAGGCTTCTCTCAGCAATAGGTATGTGCGAGGGACCCCGAGTTTGCTGCCTCAAGGGGAATATACAGCGAGAAGCCCTAACTTGAAAGGAGGCCGGATTACCTTGCAGTGGCTTGAATACAGGCTCGTCTTTCATCTCACAACATGAAGGGATGTCTGAATCCCCTGTGGAGACCTTAGAGAAAGCCCTAGGTCCCTGCCTCATTTTGACGGAATGCCTCACATCCCGCTGAAACCTCGAGAGGCACGCGGAGTTCATTGCTTCAAAAGGTGACGATGCCTGACTCCTCTTGAATACTGATAGGAATCCCAAAATCCCTGTGGCTATTGGAAAGGGTCCTTGGGTGCCCTGCCTCACCTCGAGAAGCGTCCTTTTGCCCCTGCCAAGCCTCGAAGAGATTCCTGAGGTGTCCCTCGTTCCTAGACAGGAGTCCTGACGTCACTGAAGAAACTCGTGTTTTGAAGGGCCATCCCCGCCGTAAGTCGAGAACATACACCAGGTCCCCGCCGCAACTCGAGAAAAACCATGAGACTTCCCCCTAGAGGCGAGATGAGGCCCCATTCCCCTGCAGTGCATGCAGAGCTATTCCGTGATCCCATTCAAACAAGTCAGGAGCTTCGACTTGCTTCATGGATCTCGAGACAGTCCCCAAGAACACTGTCACCAGTCTAGACGGACCCTGAGGTCACCCCAGGAACGCAAAGCAGCTCCATGTGCCCCAAATCAACTCGAGATGAGGCCCGATTCCCCTGCATTGACTCCAGAGTCATTCCCCGTTCCCCATTCAACACGACCGGTGGCTCGACTTCCTTCAGGCAACTCCAGAGATGCCCCGAGAACACTGTCCCAAGTCCAGAGGAACACCAACTTCAGCACAGCAACTCGAGGAATGCTCCGTGTACCCCAAATCGTCTCGAGATGCGAGCTGATTCCCTGGCTTAGGCTCAAGACGTATGCCAACTTCCCAGAAGCACCTCAGGAGGAGGCTTCTCTCAGCAATAGGTATGTGGGAGGGACCCCGAGTTTGCTGCCTCAAGGGGAATATACAGCGAGAAGCCCTAACTTGAAAGGAGGCCGGATTTCCTTGCAGTGGCTTGAATACAGGCTCGTCTTTCATCTCACAACATGAAGGGATGTCTGAATCCCCTGTGGAGACCTTAGAGAAAGCCCTAGGTCCCTGCCTCATTTTGACGGAATGCCTCACATCCCGCTGACACCTCGAGAGGCACGCGGAGTTCATTGCTTCAAAATGTGACGATGCCTGACTCCTCTTGAATACTGATAGGAATCCCAAAATCCCTGTGGCTATTGGAAAGGGTCCTTGGGTGCCCTGCCTCACCTCGAGAACCGTCCTTTTGCCATGCCAAGCCTCGAAGAGATTCCTGAGGTGTCCCTCGTTACTAGACAGGAGTCCTGACGTCACTGAAGAAACTCGTGTTTTGAAGGGCCATCCCCGCCGTAAGTCGAGAACATACACCAGGTCCCCGCCGCAACTCGAGAAAAACCATGAGACTTCCCCCTAGAGGCGAGATGAGGCCCCATTCCCCTGCAGTGCATGCAGAGCTATTCCGTGATCCCATTCAAACAAGTCAGGAGCTTCGACTTGCTTCATGGATCTCGAGACAGTCCCCAAGAACACTGTCACCAGTCTAGACGGACCCTGAGGTCACCCCAGCAACGCAAAGCAGCTCCATGTGCCCCAAATCAACTCGAGATGAGGCCCGATTCCCCTGCATTGACTCCAGAGCCATTCCCCTTTCCCCATTCAACACGACCGGTGGCTCGACTTCTTTCAGGCAACTCCAGAGATGCCTCGAGAACACTGTCCCAAGTCTAGAGGAACACCAACTTCAACACAGCAACTCGAGGAATGCTCCGTGTACCCCAAATCGTCTCGAGATGAGAGCTGATTCCCTGGCATAGGCTCAAGACGTATGCCAACTTCCCAGAAGCACCTCAGGAGGAGGCTTCTCTCAGCAATAGGTATGTGGGAGGGACCCCGAGTTTGCTGCCTCAAGGGGAATATACAGCGAGAAGCCCTAACTTGAAAGGAGGCTGGATTTCCTTGCAGTGGCTTGAATACAGGCTCGTCTTTCATCTCACAACATGAAGGGATGTCTGAATCCCCTGTGGAGACCTTAGAGAAAGCCCTAGGTCCCTGCCTCATTTTGACGGAATGCCTCACATCCCGCTGACACCTCGAGAGGCACGCGGAGTTCATTGCTTCAAAAGGTGACGATGCCTGACTCCTCTTGAATACTGATAGGAATCCCAAAATCCCTGTGGCTACTGGAAAGGGTCCTTGGGTGCCCTGCCTCACCTCGAGAAGCGTCCCTTTTGCCCTGCCAAGCCTCGAAGAGATTCCTGAGGTGTCCCTCGTTACTAGACAGGAGTCCTGACGTCACTGAAGAAACTCGTGTGTTGAAGGGCCATCCCAGCCGTAAGTCGAGAACATACCCCAGGTCACCGCCGCAACTCGAGAAAAACCATGAGACTTCCCCCTAGAGGCGAGATGAGGCCCCATTCCCCTGCAGTGCATGCAGAGCTATTCCGTGATCCCATTCAAACAAGTCAGGAGCTTCGAGTTGCTTAATGATCTCTAGACAGTCCCCAAGAACACTGTCACCAGTCTAGACGGACCCTGAGGTCACCCCAGCAACGCAAAGCAGCTCCATGTGCCCCAAATCAACTCGAGATGAGGCCCGATACCCTGCATTGACTCCAGAGCCATTCCCCGTTCCCCATTCAACACGACCGGTGGCTCGACTTCCTTCAGGCAACTCCAGAGATGCCCCGAGAACACTGTCCCAAGTCTAGAGGAACACCAACTTCAGCACAGCAACTCGAGGAATGCTCCGTGTACCCCAAATCGTCTCGAGATGCGAGCTGATTCCCTTGCTTAGGCTCAAGACGTATGCCAACTTCCCAGAAGCACCTCAGGAGGAGGCTTCTCTCAGCAATAGGTATGTGCGAGGGACCCCGAGTTTGCTGCCTCAAGGGGAATATACAGCGAGAAGCCCTAACTTGAAAGGAGGCCGGACTACCTTGCAGTGGCTTGAATACAGGCTCGTCTTTCATCTCACAACATGAAGGGATGTCTGAATCCCCTGTGGAGACCTTAGAGAAAGCCCTAGGTCCCTGCCTCATTTTGACGGAATGCATCACATCCCGCTGACACCTCGAGAGGCACGCGGAGTTCATTGCTTCAAAAGGTGACGATGCCTGACTCCTCTTGAATACTGATAGGAATCCCAAAATCCCTGTGGCTATTGGAAAGGGTCCTTGGGTGCCCTGCCTCACCTCGAGAAGCGTCCTTTTGCCCCTGCCAAGCCTCGAAGAGATTCCTGAGGTGTCCCTCGTTCCTAGACAGGAGTCCTGACGTCACTGAAGAAACTCGTGTTTTGAAGGGCCATCCCCGCCGTAAGTCGAGAACATACACCAGGTCCCCGCCGCAACTCGAGAAAAACCATGAGACTTCCCCCTAGAGGCGAGATGAGGCCCCATTCCCCTGCAGTGCATGCAGAGCTATTCCGTGATCCCATTCAAACAAGTCAGGAGCTTCGACTTGCTTCATGGATCTCGAGACAGTCCCCAAGAACACTGTCACCAGTCTAGACGGACCCTGAGGTCACCCCAGGAACGCAAAGCAGCTCCATGTGCCCCAAATCAACTCGAGATGAGGCCCGATTCCCCTGCATTGACTCCAGAGTCATTCCCCGTTCCCCATTCAACACGACCGGTGGCTCGACTTCCTTCAGGCAACTCCAGAGATGCCCCGAGAACACTGTCCCAAGTCCAGAGGAACACCAACTTCAGCACAGCAACTCGAGGAATGCTCCGTGTACCCCAAATCGTCTCGAGATGAGAGCTGATTCCCTGGCTTAGGCTCAAGACGTATGCCAACTTCCCAGAAGAACCTCAGGAGGAGGCTTCTCTCAGCAATAGGTATGTGGGAGGGACCCCGAGTTTGCTGCCTCAAGGGGAATATACAGCGAGAAGCCCTAACTTGAAAGGAGGCCGGATTTCCTTGCAGTGGCTTGAATACAGGCTCGTCTTTCATCTCACAACATGAAGGGATGTCTGAATCCCCTGTGGAGACCTTAGAGAAAGCCCTAGGTCCCTGCCTCATTTTGACGGAATGCCTCACATCCCGCTGACACCTCGAGAGGCACGCGGAGTTCATTGCTTCAAAAGGTGACGATGCCTGACTCCTCTTGAATACTGATAGGAATCCCAAAATCCCTGTGGCTATTGGAAAGGGTCCTTGGGTGCCCTGCCTCACCTCGAGAAGTGTCCTTTTGCCCTGCCAAGCCTCGAAGAGATTCCTGAGGTGTCCCTCGTTACTAGACAGGAGTCCTGACGTCACTGAAGAAACTCGTGTTTTGAAGGGCCATCACCGCCGTAAGTCGAGAACATACCCCAGGTCCCCGCCGCAACTCGAGAAAAACCATGAGACTTCCCCCTAGAGGCGAGATGAGGCCCCATTCCCCTGCAGTGCATGCAGAGCTATTCCGTGATCCCATTCAAACAAGTCAGGAGCTTCGACTTGCTTAATGGATCTCGAGACAGTCCCCAAGAACACTGTCACCAGTCTAGACGGACCCTGAGGTCACCCAGCAATGCAAAGCAGCTCCATGTGCCCCAAATCAACTCGAGATGAGGCCCGATTCCCCTGCATTGACTCCAGAGCCATTCCCCGTTCCCCATTCAACACGACCGTTGGCTCGACTTCCTTCAGGCAACTCCAGAGATGCCCCGAGAACACTGTGCCAAGTCTAGAGGAACACCAACTTCAGCACAGCAACTCGAGGAATGCTCCGTGTACCCCAAATCGTCTCGAGATGCGAGCTGATTCCCTGGCTTAGGCTCAAGACATATGCCAACTTCCCAGAAGCACCTCAGGAGGAGGCTTCTCTCAGCAATAGGTATGTGCGAGGGACCCCGAGTTTGTTGCCTCAAGGGGAATATACAGCGAGAAACCCTAACTTGAAACGCGACCGGATTTCCTTGCAGTGGCTTGAATACAGGCTCGTCTTTCATCTCACAAGATGAAGGGATGTCTGAATCCCCTGTGGAGACCTTAGAGAAAGCCCTAGGTCCTTGCCTCATTTTGACGGAATGCATCACATCCCGCTGACACCTCGAGAGGCACGCGGAGTTCATTGCTTCAAAAGGTGACGATGCCTGACTCCTCTTGAATACTGATAGGAATCCCAAAATCCCTGTGGCTATTGGAAAGGGTCCTTGGGTGCCCTGCCTCACCTCGGGAAGCGTCCTTTTGCCTGCCAAGCCTCGAAGAGATTCCTGAGGTGTCCCTCGTTACTAGACAGGAGTCCTGACGTCACTGAAGAAACTCGTGTTTTGAAGGGCCATCCCCGCCGTAAGTCGAGAACATACCCCATGTCCCCGCCGCAACTCGAGAAAAACCATGAGACTTCCCCCTAGAGGCGAGATGAGGCCCCATTCCCCTGCAGTGCATGCAGAGCTATTCCGTGATCCCATTCAAACAAGTCAGGAGCTTCGACTTGCTTAATGGATCTCGAGACAGTCCCCAAGAACACTGTCACCAGTCTAGACGGACCCTGAGGTCACCCTAGCAATGCAAAGCAGCTCCATGTGCCCCAAATCAACTCGAGATGAGGCCCGATTCCCCTGCATTGACTCCAGAGCCATTCCCCGTTCCCCATTCAGCACGACCGGTGGCTCGACTTCCTTCAGGCAACTCCAGAGATGCCCCGAGAACACTGTCCCAAGTCTAGAGGAACACCAACTTCAGCACAGCACCTCGAGGAATGCTCCGTGTACCCCAAATCGTCTCGAGATGCGAGCTGATTCCCTGGCTTAGGCTCAAGACGTATGCCAACTTCCCAGAAGCACCTCAGGAGGAGGCTTCTCTCAGCAATAGGTATGTGGGAGGGACCCCGAGTTTGCTGCCTCAAGGGGAATATACAGCGAGAAGCCCTAACTTGAAAGGAGGCCGGATTTCCTTGCAGTGGCTTGAATACAGGCTCGTCTTTCATCTCACAACATGAAGGGATGTCTGAATCCCCTGTGGGGACCTTAGAGAAAGCCCTAGGTCCCTGCCTCATTTTGACGGAATGCCTCACATCCCGCTGACACCTCGAGAGGCACGCGGAGTTCATTGCTTCAAAAGGTGACGATGCCTGACTCCCCTTGAATACTGATAGGAATCCCAAAATCCCTGTGGCTATTGGAAAGGGTCCTTGGGTGCCCTGCCTCACCTCGAGAAGCGTCCTTTTGCCCTGCCAAGCCTCGAAGAGATTCCTGAGGTGTCCCTCGTTACTAGACAGGAGTCCTGACGTCACTGAAGAAACTCGTGTTTTGAAGGGCCATCCCCGCCGTAAGTCGAGAACATACACCAGGTCCCCGCCGCAACTCGAGAAAAACCATGAGACTTCCCCCTAGAGGCGAGATGAGGCCCCATTCCCCTGCAGTGCATGCAGAGCTATTCCGTGATCCCATTCAAACAAGTCAGGAGCTTCGAGTTGCTTCATGGATCTCGAGACAGTCCCCAAGAACACTGTCACCAGTCTAGACGGACCCTGAGGTCACCCCAGCAACGCAAAGCAGCTCCATGTGCCCCAAATCAACTCGAGATGAGGCCCGATTCCCCTGCATTGACTCCAGAGCCATTCCCCGTTCCCCATTCAACACGACCGGCGGCTCGACTTCCTTCAGGCAACTCCAGAGATGCCCCGAGAACACTGTCCCAAGTCTAGAGGAACGCCAAGTTCAGCACAGCAACTCGAGGAATGCTCCGTGTAACCCAAATCGTCTCGAGATGAGAGCTGATTCCCTGGCTTAGGCTCAAGACGTATGCCAACTTCCCAGAAGCACCTCAGGAGGAGGCTTCTCTCAGCTATAAGTATGTGGGAGGGACCCCGAGTTTGCTGCCTCAAGGGGAATATACAGCGAGAAGATCTAACTTGAAAGGAGGCCGGATTTCCTTGCAGTGGCTTGAATACAGGCTCGACTTTCATCTCACAACATGAAGGGATGTCTGAATCCCCTGTGGAGACCTTAGAGAAAGCCCTAGGTCCCTGCCTCATTTTGACGGAATGCCTCACATCCCGCTGACACCTCGAGAGGCACGCGGAGTTCATTGCTTCAAAAGGTGACGATGCCTGACTCCTCTTGAATACTGATAGGAATCCCAAAATCCCTGTGGCTACTGGAAAGGGTCCTTTGGTGCCCTGCCTCACCTCGAGAAGCGTCCCTTTTGTCCTGCCAAGCCTCGAAGAGATTCCTGAGGTGTCCCTCGTTACTAGACAGGAGTCCTGACGTCACTGAAGAAACTCGTGTTTTGAAGGGCCATCCCCGCCGTAAGTCGAGAACATACCCCAGGTCCCCGCCGCAACTCGAGAAAAACCATGAGACTTCCCCCTAGAGGCGAGATGAGGCCCCATTCCCCTGCAGTGCATGCAGAGCTATTCCGTGATCCCATTCAAACAAGTCAGGAGCTTCGACTTGCTTCATGGATCTCGAGACAGTCCCCAAGAACACTGTCACCAGTCTAGACGGACCCTGAGGTCACCCCAGCAACGCAAAGCAGCTCCATGTGCCCCAAATCAACTCGAGATGAGGCCCGATTCCCCTGCATTGACTCCAGAGCCATTCCCCGTTCCCCATTCAACACGACCGGTGGCTCGACTTCCTTCAGGCAACTCCAGAGATGCCCCGAGAACACTGTCCCAAGTCCAGAGGAACACCAACTTCAGCACAGCAACTCGAGGAATGCTCCGTGTACCCCAAATCGTCTCGAGATGAGAGCTGATTCCCTGGCTTAGGCTCAAGACGTATGCCAACTTCCCAGAAGCACCTCAGGAGGAGGCTTCTCTCAGCAATAGGTATGTGGGAGGGACCCCGAGTTTGCTGCCTCAAGGGGAATATACAGCGAGAAGCCCTAACTTGAAAGGAGGCCGGATTTCCTTGCAGTGGCTTGAATACAGGCTCGTCTTTCATCTCACAAGATGAAGGGATGTCTGAATCCCCTGTGGAGACCTTAGAGAAAGCCCTAGGTCCCTGCCTCATTTTGACGGAATGCCTCACATCCCGCTGACACCTCGAGAGGCACGCGGAGTTCATTGCTTCAAAAGGTGACGATGCCTGACTCCTCTTGAATACTGATAGGAATCCCAAAATCCCTGTGGCTATTGGAAAGGGTCCTTGGGTGCCCTGCCTCACCTCGAGAAGCGTCCTTTTGCCCTGCCAAGCCTCGAAGAGATTCCTGAGGTGTCCCTCGTTACTAGACAGGAGTCCTGACGTCACTGAAGAAACTCGTGTTTTGAAGGGCCATCCCCGCCGTAAGTCGAGAACATACACCAGGTCGCCGCAACTCGAGAAAAACCATGAGACTTCCCCCTAGAGGCGAGATGAGGCCCCATTCCCCTGCAGTGCATGCAGAGCTATTCCGTGATCCCATTCAAACAAGTCAGGAGCTTCGACTTGCTTAATGGATCTCGAGACAGTCCCCAAGAACACTATCACCAGTCTAGACGGACCCTGAGGTCACCCCAGCAACGCAAAGCAGCTCCATGTGCCCCAAATCAACTCGAGATGAGGCCCGATTCCCCTGCATTGACTCCAGAGCCATTCCCCGTTCCCCATTCAACACGACCGGTGTCTCGACTTCCTTCAGGCAACTCCAGAGATGCCCCGAGAACACTGTCCCAAGTCTAGAGGAACACCAACTTCAGCACAGCAACTCGAGGAATGCTCCGTGTACCCCAAATCGTCTCGAGATGAGAGCTGATTCCCTGGCTTAGGCTCAAGACGTATGCCAACTTCCCAGAAGCACCTCAGGAGGAGGCTTCTCTCAGCTATAAGTATGTGGGAGGGACCCCGAGTTTGCTGCCTCAAGGGGAATATACAGCGAGAAGATCTAACTTGAAAGGAGGCCGGATTTCCTTGCAGTGGCTTGAATACAGGCTCGTCTTTCATCTCACAACATGAAGGGATGTCTGAATCCCCTGTGGAGACCTTAGAGAAAGCCCTAGGTCCCTGCCTCATTTTGACGGAATGCCTCACATCCCGCTGACACCTCGAGAGGCACGCGGAGTTCATTGCTTCAAAAGGTGACGATGCCTGACTCCTCTTGAATACTGATAGGAATCCCAAAATCCCTGTGGCTACTGGAAAGGGTCCTTGGGTGCCCTGCCTCACCTCGAGAAGCGTCCCTTTTGTCCTGCCAAGCCTCGAAGAGATTCCTGAGGTGTCCCTCGTTACTAGACAGGAGTCCTGACGTCACTGAAGAAACTCGTGTTTTGAAGGGCCATCCCCGCCGTAAGTCGAGAACATACCCCATGTCCCCGCCGCAACTCGAGAAAAACCATGAGACTTCCCCCTAGAGGCGAGATGAGGCCCCATTCCCCTGCAGTGCATGCAGAGCTATTCCGTGATCCCATTCAAACAAGTCAGGAGCTTCGACTTGCTTAATGGATCTCGAGACAGTCCCCAAGAACACTGTCACCAGTCTAGACGGACCCTGAGGTCACCCCAGCAACGCAAAGCAGCTCCATGTGCCCCAAATCAACTCGAGATGAGGCCCGATTCCCCTGCATTGACTCCAGAGCCATTCCCCGTTCCCCATTCAACACGACCGGTGGCTCGACTTCCTTCAGGCAACTCCAGAGATGCCCCGAGAACACTGTCCCAAGTCCAGAGGAACACCAACTTCAGCACAGCAACTCGAGGAATGCTCCGTGTACCCCAAATCGTCTCGAGATGAGAGCTGATTCCCTGGCTTAGGCTCAAGACGTATGCCAACTTCCCAGAAGCACCTCAGGAGGAGGCTTCTCTCAGCAATAGGTATGTGGGAGGGACCCCGAGTTTGCTGCCTCAAGGGGAATATACAGCGAGAAGCCCTAACTTGAAAGGAGGCCGGATTTCCTTGCAGTGGCTTGAATACAGGCTCGTCTTTCATCTCACAAGATGAAGGGATGTCTGAATCCCCTGTGGAGACCTTAGAGAAAGCCCTAGGTCCCTGCCTCATTTTGACGGAATGCCTCACATCCCGCTGACACCTCGAGAGGCACGCGGAGTTCATTGCTTCAAAAGGTGACGATGCCTGACTCCTCTTGAATACTGATAGGAATCCCAAAATCCCTGTGGCTATTGGAAAGGGTCCTTGGGTGCCCTGCCTCACCTCGAGAAGCGTCCTTTTGCCCTGCCAAGCCTCGAAGAGATTCCTGAGGTGTCCCTCGTTACTAGACAGGAGTCCTGACGTCACTGAAGAAACTCGTGTTTTGAAGGGCCATCCCCGCCGTAAGTCGAGAACATACACCAGGTCCCCGCCGCAACTCGAGAAAAACCATGAGACTTCCCCCTAGAGGCGAGATGAGGCCCCATTCCCCTGCAGTGCATGCAGAGCTATTCCGTGATCCCATTCAAACAAGTCAGGAGCTTCGACTTGCTTAATGGATCTCGAGACAGTCCCCAAGAACACTGTCACCAGTCTAGACGGACCCTGAGGTCACCCCAGCAATGCAAAGCAGCTCCATGTGCCCCAAATCAACTCGAGATGAGGCCCGATTCCCCTGCATTGAATCCAGAGCCATTCCCCGTTCCCCATTCAACACGACCGGTGTCTCGACTTCCTTCAGGCAACTCCAGAGATGCCCCGAGAACACTGTCCCAAGTCTAGAGGAACACCAACTTCAGCACAGCAACTCGAGGAATGCTCCGTGTACCCCAAATCGTCTCGAGATGAGAGCTGATTCCCTGGCTTAGGCTCAAGACGTATGCCAACGTCCCAGAAGCACCTCAGGAGGAGGCTTCTCTCAGCTATAAGTATGTGGGAGGGACCCCGAGTTTGCTGCCTCAAGGGGAATATACAGCGAGAAGATCTAACTTGAAAGGAGGCCAGATTTCCTTGCAGTGGCTTGAATACAGGCTCGTCTTTCATCTCACAACATGAAGGGATGTCTGAATCCCCTGTGGAGACCTTAGAGAAAGCCCTAGGTCCCTGCCTCATTTTGACGGAATGCCTCACATACCGCTGACACCTCGAGAGGCACGCGGAGTTCATTGCTTCAAAAGGTGACGATGCCTGACTCCTCTTGAATACTGATAGGAATCCCAAAATCCCTGTGGCTACTGGAAAGGGTCCTTGGGTGCCCTGCCTCACCTCGAGAAGCGTCCCTTTTGTCCTGCCAAGCCTCGAAGAGATTCCTGAGGTGTCCCTCGTTACTAGACAGGAGTCCTGACGTCACTGAAGAAACTCGTGTTTTGAAGGGCCATCCCCGCCGTAAGTCGAGAACATACCCCATGTCCCCGCCGCAACTCGAGAAAAACCATGAGACTTCCCCCTAGAGGCGAGATGAGGCCCCATTCCCCTGCAGTGCATGCAGAGCTATTCCGTGATCCCATTCAAACAAGTCAGGAGCTTCGACTTGCTTAATGGATCTCGAGACAGTCCCCAAGAACACTGTCACCAGTCTAGACGGACCCTGAGGTCACCCCAGCAACGCAAAGCAGCTCCATGTGCCCCAAATCAACTCGAGATGAGGCCCGATTCCCCTGCATTGACTCCAGAGCCATTCCCCGTTCCACATTCAACACGACCGGTGGCTCGACTTCCTTCAGGCAACTCCAGAGATGCCCCGAGACCACTGTCCCAAGTCCAGAGGAACACCAACTTCAGCACAGCAACTCGAGGAATGCTCCGTGTACCCCAAATCGTCTCGAGATGAGAGCTGATTCCCTGGCTTAGGCTCAAGACGTATGCCAACTTCCCAGAAGCACCTCAGGAGGAGGCTTCTCTCAGCAATAGGTATGTGGGAGGGACCCCGAGTTTGCTGCCTCAAGGGGAATATACAGCGAGAAGCCCTAACTTGAAAGGAGGCCGGATTTCCTTGCAGTGGCTTGAATACAGGCTCGTCTTTCATCTCACAACATGAAGGGATGTCTGAATCCCCTGTGGAGACCTTAGAGAAAGCCCTAGGTCCCTGCCTCATTTTGACGGAATGCCTCACATCCCGCTGACACCTCGAGAGGCACGCGGAGTTCATTGCTTCAAAAGGTGACGATGCCTGACTCCTCTTGAATACTGATAGGAATCCCAAAATCCCTGTGGCTACTGGAAAGGGTCCTTGGGTGCCCTGCCTCACCTCGAGAAGCGTCCTTTTGCCCTGCCAAGCCTCGAAGAGATTCCTGAGGTGTCCCTCGTTACTAGACAGGAGTCCTGACGTCACTGAAGAAACTCGTGTTTTGAAGGGCCATCCCCGCCGTAAGTCGAGAACATACCCCAGGTCCCCGCCGCTACTCGAGAAAAACCATGAGACTTCCCCCTAGAGGCGAGATGAGGCCCCATTCCCCTGCAGTGCATGCAGAGCTATTCCGTGATCCCATTCAAACAAGTCAGGAGCTTGGACTTGCTTCATGGATCTCGAAACAGTCCCCAAGATCACTGTCACCAGTCTAGACGGACCCTGAGGTCACCCCAGCAACGCAAAGCAGCTCCATGTGCCCCAAATCAACTCGAGATGAGGCCCGATTCCCCTGCATTGACTCCAGAGCCATTCCCCGTTCCCCATTCAACACGACCGGTGGCTCGACTTCCTTCAGGCAACTCCAGAGATGCCCCGAGAACACTGTCCCAAGTCTAGAGGAACACCAACTTCAACACAGCAACTCGAGGAATGCTCCGTGTACCCCAAATCGTCTCGAGATGAGAGCTGATTCCCTGGCTTAGGCTCAAGACGTATGCCAACTTCCCAGAAGCACCTCAGGAGGAGGCTTCTCTCAGCAATAGGTATGTGGGAGGGACCCCGAGTTTGCTGCCTCAAGGGGAATATACAGCGAGAAGCCCTAACTTGAAAGGAGGCCGGATTTCCTTGCAGTGGCTTGATTACAGGCTCGTCTTTCATCTCACAACATGAAGGGATGTCTGAATCCCCTGTGGAGACCTTAGAGAAAGCCCTAGGTCCCTGCCTCATTTTGACGGAATGCCTCACGTCGCGCTGACACCTCGAGAGGCACGCGGAGTTCATTGCTTCAAAAGGTGACGATGCCTGACTCCTCTTGAATACTGATAGGAATCCCAAAATCCCTGTGGCTACTGGAAAGGGTCCTTGGGTGCCCTGCCTCACCTCGAGAAGCGTCCCTTTTGTCCTGCCAAGCCTCGAAGAGATTCCTGAGGTGTCCCTCGTTACTAGACAGGAGTCCTGACGTCACTGAAGAAACTCGTGTTTTGAAGGGCCATCCCCGCCGTAAGTCGAGAACATACCCCAGGTCCCCGCCGCAACTCGAGAAAAACCATGAGACTTCCCCCTAGAGGCGAGATGAGGCCCCATTCCCCTGCAGTGCATGCAGAGCTATTCCGTGATCCCATTCAAACAAGTCAGGAGCTTCGACTTGCTTAATGGATCTCGAGACAGTCCCCAAGAACACTGTCACCAGTCTAGACGGACCCTGAGGTCACCCCAGCAACGCAAAGCAGCTCCATGTGCCCCAAATCAACTCGAGATGAGGCCCGATTCCCCTGCATTGACTCCAGAGCCATTCCCCGTTCCCCATTCAACACGACCGGTGGCTCGACTTCCTTCAGGCAACTCCAGAGATACCCCGAGAACACTGTCCCAAGTCCAGAGGAACACCAACTTCAGCACAGCAACTCGAGGAATGCTCCGTGTACCCCAAATCGTCTCGAGATGAGAGCTGATTCCCTGGCTTAGGCTCAAGACGTATGCCAACTTCCCAGAAGCACCTCAGGAGGAGGCTTCTCTCAGCAATAGGTATGTGGGAGGGACCCCGAGTTTGCTGCCTCAAGGGGAATATACAGCGAGAAGCCCTAACTTGAAAGGAGGCCGGATTTCCTTGCAGTGGCTTGAATACAGGCTCGTCTTTCATCTCACAACTTGAAGGGATGTCTGAATCCCCTGTGGAGACCTTAGAGAAAGCCCTAGGTCCCTGCCTCATTTTGATGGAATGCCTCACATCCCGCTGACACCTTGAGAGGCACGCGGAGTTCATTGCTTCAAAAGGTGACGATGCCTGACTCCTGTTGAATACTGATAGGAATCCCAAAATCCCTGTGGCTATTGGAAAGGGTCCTTGGGTGCCCTGCCTCACCTCGAGAAGCGTCCTTTTGCCCTGCCAAGCCTCGAAGAGATTCCTGAGGTGTCCCTCGTTACTAGACAGGAGTCCTGACGTCACTGAAGAAACTCGTGTTTTGAAGGGCCATCCCCGCCGTAAGTCGAGAACATACGCCAGGTCCCCGCCGCTACTCGAGAAAAACCATGAGACTTCCCCCTAGAGGCGAGATGAGGCCCCATTCCCCTGCAGTGCATGCAGAGCTATTCCGTGATCCCATTCAAACAAGTCAGGAGCTTCGACTTGCTTCATGGATCTCGAGACAGTCCCCAAGATCACTGTCACCAGTCTAGACGGACCCTGAGGTCACCCCAGCAACGCAAAGCAGCTCCATGTGCCCCAAATCAACTCGAGATGAGGCCCGATTCCCCTGCATTGACTCCAGAGCCATTCCCCGTTCCCCATTCAACACGACCGGTGGCTCGACTTCCTTCAGGCAACTCCAGAGATGCCCCGAGAACACTGTCCCAAGTCTAGAGGAACACCAACTTCAACACAGCAACTCGAGGAATGCTCCGTGTACCCCAAATCGTCTCGAGATGAGAGCTGATTCCCTGGCTTAGGCTCAAGACGTATGCCAACTTCCCAGAAGCACCTCAGGAGGAGGCTTCTCTCAGCAATAGGTATGTGGGAGGGACCCCGAGTTTGCTGCCTCAAGGGGAATATACAGCGAGAAGCCCTAACTTGAAAGGAGGCCGGATTTCCTTGCAGTGGCTTGATTACAGGCTCGTCTTTCATCTCACAACATGAAGGGATGTCTGAATCCCCTGTGGAGACCTTAGAGAAAGCCCTAGGTCCCTGCCTCATTTTGACGGAATGCCTCACGTCGCGCTGATACCTCGAGAGGCACGCGGAGTTCATTGCTTCAAAAGGTGACGATGCCTGACTCCTCTTGAATACTGATAGGAATCCCAAAATCCCTGTGGCTACTGGAAAGGGTCCTTGGGTGCCCTGCCTCACCTCGAGAAGCATCCCTTTTGCCCTGCCAAGCCTCGAAGAGTTTCCTGAGGTGTCCCTCGTTACTACACAGGAGTCTTGACGTCACTGAAGAAACTCGTGTTTTGAAGTGCCATCCCCGCCGTAAGTCGAGAACATACCCCAGGTCCCCGCCGCAACTCGAGAAAAACCATGAGACTTCCCCCTAGAGGCGAGATGAGGCCCCATTCCCCTGCAGTGCATGCAGAGCTATTCCGTGATCCCATTCAAACAAGTCAGGAGCTTCGACTTGCTTAATGGATCTCGAGACAGTCCCCAAGAACACTGTCACCAGTCTAGACGGACCCTGAGGTCACCCCAGCAACGCAAAGCAGCTCCATGTGCCCCAAATCAACTCGAGATGAGGCCCGATTCCCCTGCATTGACTCCAGAGCCATTCCCCGTTCCCCATTCAACACGACCGGTGGCTCGACGTCCTTCAGGCAACTCCAGAGATGCCCCGAGAACACTGTCCCAAGTCTAGAGGAACACCAACTTCAACACAGCAACTCGAGGAATGCTCCGTGTACCCCAAATCGTCTCGAGATGAGAGCTGATTCCCTGGCTTAGGCTCAAGACGTATGCCAACTTCCCAGAAGCACCTCAGGATGAGGCTTCTCTCAGCAATAGGTATGTGGGAGGGACCCCGAATTTGCTGCCTCAAGGGGAATATACAGCGAGAAGCCCTAACTTGAAAGGAGGCCGGATTTCCTTGCAGTGGCTTGATTACAGGCTCGTCTTTCATCTCACAACATGAAGGGATGTCTGAATCCCCTGTGGAGACCTTAGAGAAAGCCCTAGGTCCCTGCCTCATTTTGACGGAATGCCTCACGTCGCGCTGACACCTCGAGAGGCACGCGGAGTTCATTGCTTCAAAAGGTGACGATGCCTGACTCCTCTTGAATACTGATAGGAATCCCAAAATCCCTGTGGCTACTGGAAAGGGTCCTTGGGTGCCCTGCCTCACCTCGAGAAGCGTCCCTTTTGCCCTGCCAAGCCTCGAAGAGATTCCTGAGGTGTCCCTCGTTACTAGCCAGGAGTCCTGACGTCACTGAAGAAACTCGTGTTTTGAAGGGCCATCCCCGCTGTAAGTCGAGAACATACACCAGGTCCCCACCGCAACTCGAGAAAAACCATGAGACTTCCCCCTAGAGGCGAGATGAGGCCCCATTCCCCTGCAGTGCATGCAGAGCTATTCCGTGATCCCATTCAAACAAGTCAGGAGCTTCGACTTGCTTAATGGATCTCGAGACAGTCCCCAAGAACACTGTCACCAGTCTAGACGGACCCTGAGGTCACCCCAGCAACGCAAAGCAGCTCCATGTGCCCCAAATCAACTCGAGATGAGGCCCGATTCCCCTGCATTAACTCCAGAGCCATTCCCCGTTCCCGTTTCAGCACGACCGGTGGCTCGACTTCCTTCAGGCAACTCCAGAGATGCCCCGAGAACACTGTCCCAAGTCTAGAGGAACACCAACTTCAGCACAGCAACTCGAGGAATGCTCCGTGTACCCCAAATCGTCTCGAGATGCGAGCTGATTCCCTGGCTTAGGCTCAAGACGTATGCCAACTTCCCAGAAGCACCTCAGGAGGAGGCTTCTCTCAGCAATAGGTATGTGGGAGGGACCCCGAGTTTGCTGCCTCAAGGGGAATATACAGCGAGAAGCCCTAACTTGAAAGGAGGCCGGATTTCCTTGCAGTGGCTTGAATACAGGCTCGTCTTTCATCTCACAACATGAAGGGATGTCTGAATCCCCTGTGGAGACCTTAGAGAAAGCCCTAGGTCCCTGCCTCATTTTGACGGAATGCCTCACATCCCGCTGACACCTCGAGAGGCACGCGGAGTTCATTGCTTCAAAAGGTGACGATGCCTGACTCCTCTTGAATACTGATAGGAATCCCAAAATCCCTGTGGCTACTGGAAAGGGTCCTTGGGTGCCCTGCCTCACCTCGAGAAGCGTCCCTTTTGCCCTGCCAAGCCTCGAAGAGATTCCTGAGGTGTCCCTCGTTACTACACAGGAGTCTTGATGTCACTGAAGAAACTCGTGTTTTGAAGTGCCATCCCCGCCGTAAGTCGAAAACATACCCCAGGTCCCCGCCGCAACTTGAGCAAAACCATGAGACTTCCCCCTAGAGGCGAGATGAGGCCCCATTCCCCTGCAGTGCATGCAGAGCTATTCCGTGATCCCATTCAAACAAGTCAGGAGCTTCGACTTGCTTAATGGATCTCGAGACAGTCCCCAAGAACACTGTCACCAGTCTAGACGGACCCTGAGGTCACCCCAGCAACGCAAAGCAGCTCCATGTGCCCCAAATCAACTCGAGATGAGGCCCGATTCCCCTGCATTGACTCCAGAGCCATTCCCCGTTCCCCATTCAACACGACCGGTGGCTCGACTTCCTTCAGGCAACTCCAGAGATGCCCCGAGAACACTGTCCCAAGTCTAGAGGAACACCAACTTCAACACAGCAACTCGAGGAATGCTCCGTGTACCCCAAATCGTCTCGAGATGAGAGCTGATTCCCTGGCTTAGGCTCAAGACGTATGCCAACTTCCCAGAAGCACCTCAGGAGGAGGCTTCTCTCAGCAATAGGTATGTGGGAGGGACCCCGAGTTTGTTGCCTCAAGGGGAATATACAGCGAGAAGCCCTAACTTGAAAGGAGGCCGGATTTCCTTGCAGTGGCTTGATTACAGGCTCGTCTTTCTCTCACAACATGAAGGGATGTCTGAATCCCCTGTGGAGACCTTAGAGAAAGCCCTAGGTCCCTGCCTCATTTTGACGGAATGCCTCACGTCGCGCTGACACCTCGAGAGGCACGCGGAGTTCATTGCTTCAAAAGGTGACGATGCCTGACTCCTCTTGAATACTGATAGGAATCCCAAAATCCCTGTGGCTACTGGAAAGGGTCCTTGGGTGCCCTGCCTCACCTCGAGAAGCGTCCCTTTTGCCCTGCCAAGCCTCGAAGAGATTCCTGAGGTGTCCCTCGTTACTAGCCAGGAGTCCTGACGTCACTGAAGAAACTCGTGTTTTGAAGGGCCATCCCCGGTGTAAGTCGAGAACATACACCAGGTCCCCACCGCAACTCGAGAAAAACCATGAGACTTCCCCCTAGAGGCGAGATGAGGCCCCATTCCCCTGCAGTGCATGCAGAGCTATTCCGTGATCCCATTCAAACAAGTCAGGAGCTTCGACTTGCTTAATGGATCTCGAGACAGTCCCCAAGAACACTGTCACCAGTCTAGACGGACCCTGAGGTCACCCCAGCAACGCAAAGCAGCTCCATGTGCCCCAAATCAACTCGAGATGAGGCCCGATTCCCCTGCATTGACTCCAGAGCCATTCCCCGTTCCCCATTCAACACGACCGGTGGCTCGACTTCCTTCAGGCAACTCCAGAGATGCCCCGAGAACACTGTCCCAAGTCTAGAGGAACACCAACTTCAGCACAGCAACTCGAGGAATGCTCCGTGTACCCCAAATCGTCTCGAGATGCGAGCTGATTCCCTGGCTTAGGCTCAAGACGTATGCCAACTTCCCAGAAGCACCTCAGGAGGAGGCTTCTCTCAGCAATAGGTATGTGGGAGGGACCCCGAGTTTGCTGCCTCAAGGGGAATATACAGCGAGAAGCCCTAACTTGAAAGGAGGCCGGATTTCCTTGCAGTGGCTTGAATACAGGCTCGTCTTTCATCTCACAACATGAAGGGATGTCTGAATCCCCTGTGGAGACCTTAGAGAAAGCCCTAGGTCCCTGCCTCATTTTGACGGAATGCCTCACATCCCGCTGACACCTCGAGAGGCACGCGGAGTTCATTGCTTCAAAAGGTGACGATGCCTGACTCCTCTTGAATACTGATAGGAATCCCAAAATCCCTGTGGCTACTGGAAAGGGTCCTTGGATGCCCTGCCTCACCTCGAGAAGCGTCCCTTTTGCCCTGCCAAGCCTCGAAGAGATTCCTGAGGTGTCCCTCGTTACTAGACAGGAGTCCTGACGTCACTGAAGAAACTCGTGTTTTGAAGGGCCATCCCCGCTGTAAGAGGAGATCATACCCCAGGTCCCCGCCGCAACTCGAGAAAAACCATGAGACTTCCCCCTAGAGGCGAGATGAGGCCCCATTCCCCTGCAGTGCATGCAGAGCTATTCCGTGATCCCATTCAAACAAGTCAGGAGCTTCGACTTGCTTAATGGATCTCGAGACAGTCCCCAAGAACACTGTCACCAGTCTAGACGGACCCTGAGGTCACCCCAGCAACGCAAAGCAGCTCCATGTGCCCCAAATCAACTCGAGATGAGGCCCGATTCCCCTGCATTGACTCCAGAGCCATTCCCCTTTCCCCATTCAACACGACCAGTGGCTCGACTTCCTTCAGGCAACTCCAGAGATGCCCCGAGAGCACTGTCCCAAGTCTAGAGGAACACCAACTTCAGCACAGCAACACGAGGAAAGCTCCGTGTACCCCAAATCGTCTCGAGATGAGAGCTGATTCCCTGGCTTAGGCTCAAGACGTATGCCAACTTCCCAGAAGCACCTCAGGAGGAGGCTTCTCTCAGCAATAGGTATGTGGGAGGGACCCCGAGTTTGCTGCCTCAAGGGGAATATACAGCGAGAAGCCCTAACTTGAAAGGAGGCCGGATTTCCTTGCAGTGGCTTGAATACAGGCTCGTCTTTCATCTCAAAACATGAAGGGATGTCTGAATCCCCTGTGGAGACCTTAGAGAAAGCCCTAGGTCCCTGCCTCATTTTGACGGAATGCCTCACATCCCGCTGACACCTCGAGAGGCACGCGGAGTTCATTGCTTCAAAAGGTGACGATGCCTGACTCCTCTTGAATACTGATAGGAATCCCAAAATCCCTGTGGCTACTGGAAAGGGTCCTTGGGTGCCCTGCCTCACCTCGAAAAGCGTCCCTTTTGCCCTGCCAAGCCTCGAAGAGATTCCTGAGGTGTCCCTCGTTACTAGACAGGAGTCCTGACGTCACTGAAGAAACTCGTGTTTTGAAGGGCCATCCCCGCCGTAAGTCGAGAACATACACCAGGTCCCCGCCGCAACTCGAGAAAAACCATGAGACTTCCCCCTAGAGGCGAGATGAGGCCCCATTCCCCTGCAGTGCATGCAGAGCTATTCCGTGATCCCATTCAAACAAGTCAGGAGCTTCGACTTGCTTAATGGATCTCGAGACAGTCCCCAAGAACACTGTCACCAGTCTAGACGGACCCTGAGGTCACCCCAGCAACGCAAAGCAGCTCCATGTGCCCCAAATCAACTCGAGATGAGGCCCGATTCCCCTGCATTGACTCCAGAGCCATTCCCCTTTCCCCATTCAACACGACCGGTGGCTCGACTTCTTTCAGGCAACTCCAGAGATGCCCCGAGAACACTGTCCCAAGTCTAGAGGAACACCAACTTCAACACAGCAACTCGAGGAATGCTCCGTGTACCCCAAATCGTCTCGAGATGAGAGCTGATTCCCTGGCATAGGCTCAAGACGTATGCCAACTTCCCAGAAGCACCTCAGGAGGAGGCTTCTCTCAGCAATAGGTATGTGGGAGGGACCCCGAGTTTGCTGCCTCAAGGGGAATATACAGCGAGAAGCCCTAACTTGAAAGGAGGCTGGATTTCCTTGCAGTGGCTTGAATACAGGCTCGTCTTTCATCTCACAACATGAAGGGATGTCTGAATCCCCTGTGGAGACCTTAGAGAAAGCCCTAGGTCCCTGCCTCATTTTGACGGAATGCCTCACATCCCGCTGAAACCTCGAGAGGCACGCGGAGTTCATTGCTTCAAAAGGTGACGATGCCTGACTCCTCTTGAATACTGATAGGAATCCCAAAATCCCTGTGGCTACTGGAAAGGGTCCTTGGGTGCCCTGCCTCACCTCGAGAAGCGTCCCTTTTGTCCTGCCAAGCGTCGAAGAGATTCCTGAGGTGTCCCTCGTTACTAGACAGGAGTCCTGACATCACTGAAGAAACTCGTGTTTTGAAGGGCCATCCCCGCCGTAAGTCGAGAACATACCCCAGGTCCCCGCCGCAACTCGAGAAAAACCATGAGACTTCCCCCTAGAGGCGAGATGAGGCCCCATTCCCCTGCAGTGCATGCAGAGCTATTCCGTGATCCCATTCAAACAAGTCAGGAGCTTCGACTTGCTTCATGGATCTCGAGACAGTCCCCAAGAACACTGTCACCAGTCTAGACGGTCCCTGAGGTCACCCCAGCAACGCAAAGCAGCTCCATGTGCCCCAAATCACCTCGAGATGAGGCCCGATTCCCCTGCATTGACTCCAGAGCCATTCCCCTTTCCCCATTCAACACGACCGGTGGCTCGACTTCCTTCAGGCAACTCCAGAGATGCCCCGAGAACACTGTCCCAAGTCTAGAGGAACACCAACTTCAGCACAGCAACTCGAGGAATGCTCCGTGTACCCCAAATCGTCTCGAGATGAGAGCTGATTCCCTGGCTTAGGCTCAAGACGTATGCCAACTTCCCAGAAGCAAGTCAGGAGGAGGCTTCTCTCAGCAATAGGTATGTGGGAGGGACCCCGAGTTTGCTGCCTCAAGGGGAATATACAGCGAGAAGCCCTAACTTGAAAGGAGGCCGGATTTCCTTGCAGTGGCTTGAATACAGGCTCGTCTTTCATCTCACAACATGAAGGGATGTCTGAATCCCCTGTGGAGACCTTAGAGAAAGCCCTAGGTCCCTGCCTCATTTTGACGGAATGCCTCACATCCCGCTGACACCTCGAGAGGCACGCGGAGTTCATTGCTTCAAAAGGTGACGATGCCTGACTCCTCTTGAATACTGATAGGAATCCCAAAATCCCTGTGGCTACTGGAAAGGGTCCTTGGGTGCCCTGCCTCACCTCGAGAAGCGTCCCTTTTGTCCTGCCAAGCCTCGAAGAGATTCCTGAGGTGTCCCTCGTTACTAGACAGGAGTCCTGACGTCACTGAAGAAACTCGTGTTTTGAAGGGCCATCCCCGCCGTAAGTCGAGAACATACCCCAGGTCCCCGCCGCAACTCGAGAAAAACCATGAGACTTCCCCCTAGAGGCGAGATGAGGCCCCATTCCCCTGCAGTGCATGCAGAGCTATTCCGTGATCCCATTCAAACAAGTCAGGAGCTTCGACTTGCTTCATGGATCTCGAGACAGTCCCCAAGAACACTGTCACCAGTCTAGACGGTCCCTGAGGTCACCCCAGCAACGCAAAGCAGCTCCATGTGCCCCAAATCACCTCGAGATGAGGCCCGATTCCCCTGCATTGACTCCAGAGCCATTCCCCTTTCCCCATTCAACACGACCGGTGGCTCGACTTCCTTCAGGCAACTCCAGAGATGCCCCGAGAACACTGTCCCAAGTCTAGAGGAACACCAACTTCAGCACAGCAACTCGAGGAATGCTCCGTGTACCCCAAATCGTCTCGAGATGAGAGCTGATTCCCTGGCTTAGGCTCAAGACGTATGCCAACTTCCCAGAAGCAAGTCAGGAGGAGGCTTCTCTCAGCAATAGGTATGTGGGAGGGACCCCGAGTTTGCTGCCTCAAGGGGAATATACAGCGAGAAGCCCTAACTTGAAAGGAGGCCGGATTTCCTTGCAGTGGCTTGAATACAGGCTCGTCTTTCATCTCACAACATGAAGGGATGTCTGAATCCCCTGTGGAGACCTTAGAGAAAGCCCTAGGTCCCTGCCTCATTTTGACGGAATGCCTCACATCCCGCTGACACCTCGAGAGGCACGCGGAGTTCATTGCTTCAAAAGGTGACGATGCCTGACTCCTCTTGAATACTGATAGGAATCCCAAAATCCCTGTGGCTACTGGAAAGGGTCCTTGGGTGCCCTGCCTCACCTCGGGAAGCGTCCTTTTGCCCTGCCAAGCCTCGAAGAGATTCCTGAGGTGTCCCTCGTTACTAGACAGGAGTCCTGACGTCACTGAAGAAACTCGTGTTTTGAAGGGCCATCCCCGCCGTAAGTCGAGAACATACCCCAGGTCCCCGCTGCAACTCGAGAAAAACCATGAGACTTCCCCCTAGAGGCGAGATGTGGCCCCATTCCCCTGCAGTGCATGCAGAGCTATTCCGTGATCCCATTCAAACAAGTCAGGAGCTTCGACTTGCTTCATGGATCTCGAGACAGTCCCCAAGAACACTGTCACCAGTCTAGACGGACCCTGAGGTCACCCCAGCAACGCAAAGCAGCTCCATGTGCCCCAAATCAACTCGAGATGAGGCCCGATTCCCCTGCATTGACTCCAGAGCCATTCCCCGTTCCCCATTCAACACGACCGGTGGCTCGACTTCCTTCAGGCAACTCCAGAGATGCCCCGAGAACACTGTCCCAAGTCTTGAGGAACACCAACTTCAGCACAGCAACTCGAGGAATGCTCCGTGTACCCCAAATCTTCTCGAGATGAGAGCTGATTCCCTGGCTTAGGCTCAAGACGTAGGCCAACTTCCCAGAAGCACCTCAGGAGGAGGCTTCTCTCAGCAATAGGTATGTGGGAGGGACCCCGAGTTTGCTGCCTCAAGGGGAATATACAGCGAGAAGCCCTAACTTGAAAGAGGCCGGATTTCCTTGCAGTGGCTTGAATACAGGCTCGTCTTTCATCTCACAACATGAAGGGATGTCTGAATCCCCTGTGGAGACCTTAGAGAAAGCCCTAGGTCCCTGCGTCATTTTGACGGAATGCCTCACATCCCGCTGACACCTCGAGAGGCACGCGGAGTTCATTGCTTCAAAAGGTGACGATGCCTGACTCCTCTTGAATACTGATAGGAATCCCAAAATCCCTGTGGCTATTGGAAAGGGTCCTTGGGTGCCCTGCCTCACCTCGAGAACCGTCCTTTTGCCCTGCCAAGCCTCGAAGAGATTCCTGAGGTGTCCCTCGTTACTAGACAGGAGTCCTGACGTCACTGAAAAACTCGTGTTTTGAAGGGCCATCCCCGCCGTAAGTCGAGAACATACACCAGGTCCCCGCCGCAACTCGAAAAAAACCATGAGACTTCCCCCTAGAGGCGAGATGAGGCCCCATTCCCCTGCAGTGCATGCAGAGCTATTCCGTGATCCCATTCAAACAAGTCAGGAGCTTCGACTTGCTTAATGGATCTCGAGACAGTCCCCAAGAACACTGTCACCAGTCTAGACGGACCCTGAGGTCACCCCAGCAACGCAAAGCAGCTCCATGTGCCCCAAATCAACTCGAGATGAGGCCCGATTCCCCTGCATTGACTCCAGAGCCATTACCCGTTCCCCATTCAACACGACCGGTGTCTCGACTTCCTTCAGGCAACTCCAGAGATGCCCCGAGAACACTGTCCCAAGTCTAGAGGAACACCAACTTCAGCACAGCAACTCGAGGAATGCTCCGTGTACCCCAAATCGTCTCGAGATGAGAGCTGATTCCCTGGCTTAGGCTCAAGACGTATGCCAACTTCCCAGAAGCACATCAGGAGGAGGCTTCTCTCAGCTATAAGTATGTGGGAGGGACCCCGAGTTTGCTGCCTCAAGGGGAATATACAGCGAGAAGCCCTAACTTGAAAGGAGGCCGGATTTCCTTGCAGTGGCTTGAATACAGGCTCGTTTTTCATCTCACAACATGAAGGAATGTCTGAATCCCCTGTGGAGACCTTAGAGAAAGCCCTAGGTCCCTGCCTCATTTTGACGGAATGCCTCACATCCCGCTGACACCTCGAGAGGCACGCGGAGTTCATTGCTTCAAAAGGTGACGATGCCTGACTCCTCTTGAATACTGATAGGAATCCCAAAATCCCTGTGGCTATTGGAAAGGGTCCTTGGGTGCCCTGCCTCACCTCGAGAAGCGTCCTTTTGCCCTGCCAAGCCTCGAAGAGATTCCTGAGGTGTCCCTCGTTACTAGACAGGAGTCCTGACGTCACTGAAGAAACTCGTGTTTTGAAGGGCCATCCCCGCCGTAAGTTGAGAACATACCCCAGGTCCCCGCCGCAACTCGAGAAAAACCATGAGACTTCCCCCTAGAGGCGAGATGAGGCCCCATTCCCCTGCAGTGCATGCAGAGCTATTCCGTGATCAAATTCAAACAAGTAAGGAGCTTCGAATTGCTTAATGGATCTCGAGACAGTCCCCAAGAACACTGTCACCAGTCTAGACGCACCCTGAGGTCACCCCAGCAACGCAAAGCAGCTCCATGTGCCCCAAATCAACTCGAGATGAGGCCCGATTCCCCTGCATTGTCTCCAGAGCCATTCCCCGTTCCCCATTCAACACGACCGGTGGCTCGACTTCCTTCAGGCAACTCCAGAGATGACCCGAGAACACTGTCCCAAGTCTAGAGGAACACCAACCTCAGCACAGCAACTCGAGGAATGCTCCGTGTACCCCAAATCGTCTCGAGATGAGAGCTGATTCCCTGGCTTAGGCTCAAGACGTATGCCAACTTCCCAGAAGCACCTCAGGAGGAGGCTTCTCTCAGCAATAGGTATGTGGGAGGGACCCCGAGTTTGCTGCCTCAAGGGGAATATACAGCGAGAAGCCATAACTTGAAAGGAGGCCGGATTTCCTTGCAGTGGCTTGAATACAGGCTCGTCTTTCATCTCACAACATGAAGGGATGTCTGAATCTCCTGTGGAGACCTTAGAGAAAGCCCTAGGTCCCTGCCTCATTTTGACGGAATGCCTCATATCCCGCTGACACCTCGAGAGGCACGCGGAGTTCATTGCTTCAAAAGGTGACGATGCCTGACTCCTCTTGAATACTGATAGGAATCCCAAAATCCCTGTGGCTATTGGAAAGGGTCCTTGGGTGCCCTGCCTCACCTTGAGAAGCGTCCTTTTGCCCTGCCAAGCCTCGAAGAGATTCCTGAGGTGTCCCTCCTTAGTAGACAGGAGTCCTGACGTCACTGAAGAAACTCGTGTTTTGAAGGGCCATCCCCGCCGTAAGTCGAGAACATACCCCAGGTCCCCGCCGCAACTCGAGAAAAACCATGAGACTTCCCCATAGAGGCGAGATGAGGCCCCATTCCCCTGCAGTGCATGCAGAGCTATTCCGTGATCCCATTCAAACAAGTCAGGAGCTTCGACTTGCTTAATGGATCTCGAGACAGTCCCCAAGAACACTGTCACCAGTCTAGACGCACCCTGATGTCACCCCAGCAACGCAAAGCAGCTCCATGTGCCCCAAATCAACTCGAGATGAGGCCCGATTCCCCTGCATTGTCTCCAGAGCCATTCCCCGTTCCCCATTCAACACGACCGGTGGCTCGACTTCCTTCAGGCAACTCCAGAGATGCCCCGAGAACACTGTCCCAAGTCTAGAGGAACACCAACTTCAGCACAGCAACTCGAGGAATGCTCCGTGTACCCCAAATCGTCTCGAGATGAGAGCTGATTCCCTGGCTTAGGCTCAAGACGTATGCCAACTTCCCAGAAGCACCTCAGGAGGAGGCTTCTCTCAGCTATAAGTATGTGGGAGGGACCCCGAGTTTGCTGCCTCAAGGGGAATATACAGCGAGAAGCCCTAACTTGAAAGGAGGCCGGATTTCCTTGCAGTGGCTTGAATACAGGCTCGTCTTTCATCTCACAACATGAAGGGATGTCTGAATCCCCTGTGGAGACCTTAGAGAAAGCCCTAGGTCCCTGCCTCATTTTGACGGAATGCCTCACATCCCGCTGACACCTCGAGAGGCACGCGGAGTTCATTGCTTCAAAAGGTGACGATACCTGACTCCTCTTGAATACTGATAGGAATCCCAAAATCCCTGTGGCTATTGGAAAGGGTCCTTGGGTGCCCTGCCTCACCTCGAGAAGCGTCCTTTTGCCCTGCCAAGCCTCGAAGAGATTCCTGAGGTGTCCCTCGTTACTAGACAGGAGTCCTGACGTCACTGAAGAAACTCGTGTTTTGAAGGGCCATCCCCGCCGTAAGTCGAGAACATACCCCAGGTCCCCGCCGCAACTCGAGAAAAACCATGAGACTTCCCCCTAGAGGCGAGATGAGGCCCCATTCCCCTGCAGTGCATGCAGAGCTATTCCGTGATCCCATTCAAACAAGTCAGGAGCTTCGGCTTGCTTAATGGATCTCGAGACAGTCCCCAAGAACACTGTCACCAGTCTAGACGGACCCTGAGGTCACCCCAGCAACGGAAAGCAGCTCCATGTGCCCCAAATCAACTCGAGATGAGGCCCGATTCCCCTGCATTGACTCCAGAGCCATTCCCCGTTCCCCATTCAACACGACCGGTGGCTCAACTTCCTTCAGGCAACTCCAGAGATGCCCGGAGAACACTGTCCCAAGACCAGAGGAACACCAACTTCAGCACAGCAACTTGAGGAATGCTCCGTGTACCCCAAATCGTCTCGAGATGAGAGCTGATTCCCTGGCTTAGGCTCAAGATGTATGCCAACTTCCCAGAAGCACCTCAGGAGGAGGCTTCTCTCAGCAATAGGTATGTGGGAGGGACCCCGAGTTTGCTACCTCAAGGGGAATATACAGCAAGAAGCCATAACTTGAAAGGAGGCCGGATTTCCTTGCAGTGGCTTGAATACAGGCTCGTCTTTCATCTCACAACATGAAGGGATGTCTGAATCCCCTGTGGAGACCTTAGAGAAAGCCCTAGGTCCCTGCCTCATTTTGACGGAATGCCTCACATCCCGCTGACAACTCGAGAGGCACGCGGAGTTCATTGCTTCAAAAGGTGACGATGCCTGACTCCTCTTGAATACTGATAGGAATCCCAAAATCCCTGTGGCTATTGGAAAGGGTCCTTGGGTGCCCTGCCTCACCTCGAGAAGCGTCCTTTTGCCCTGCCAAGCCTCGAAGAGATTCCTGAGGTGTCCCTCGTTAGTAGACAGGAGTCCTGACGTCACTGAAGAAACTCGTGTTTTGAAGGGCCATCCCCGCCGTAAGTCGAGAACATACCCCAGGTCCCCGCCGCAACTCGAGAAAAACCATGAGACTTCCCCATAGAGGCGAGATGAGGCCCCATTCCCCTGCAGTGCATGCAGAGCTATTCCGTGATCCCATTCAAACAAGTCAGGAGCTTCGACTTGCTTAATGGATCTCGAGACAGTCCCCAAGAACACTGTCACCAGTCTAGACGGACACTGAGGTCACCCCAGCAACGCAAAGCAGCTCCATGTGCCCCAAATAAACACGAGATGAGGCCCGATTCCCCTGCATTGACTCCAGAGCCATTCCCCGTTCCCCATTCAACACGACCGGTGGCTCGACTTCATTCAGGCAACTCCAGAGATGCCCCGAGAACACTGTCCCAAGTCCAGAGGAAGACCAACTTCAGCACAGCAACTCGAGGAATGCTCCGTGTACCCCAAATCGTCTCAAGATGAGAGCTGATTCCCTGGCTTATTCTCAAGACGTATGCCAACTTCCCAGAAGCACCTCAGGAGGAGGCTTCTCTCAGCAATAGGTATGTGGGAGGGACCCCGAGTTTGCTGCCTCAATGGGAATATACAGCGAGAAGCCCTAACTTGAAAGGAGGCCGGATTTCCTTGCAGTGGCTTGAATACAGGCTCGTCTTTCATCTCACAACATGAAGGGATGTCTGAATCCCCTGTGGAGACCTTAGAGAAAGCCCTAGGTCCCTGCCTCATTTTGATGGAATGCCTCACATCCCGCTGACACCTCGAGAGGCACGCGGAGTTCATTGCTTCAAAAGGTGACGATGCCTGACTCCTCTTGAATACTGATAGGAATCCCAAAATCCCTGTGGCTACTGGAAAGGGTCCTTGGGTGCCCTGCCTCACCTCGAGAAGCGTCCCTTTTGTCCTGCCAAGCCTCGAAGAGATTCCTGAGGTGTCCCTCGTTACTAGACAGGAGTCCTGACGTCACTGAAGAAACTCGTGTTTTGAAGGGCCATCCCCGCCGTAAGTCGAGAACATACCCCAGGTCCCCGCCGCAACTCGAGAAAAACCATGAGACTTCCCCCTAGAGGCGAGATGAGGCCCCATTCCCCTGCAGTGCATGCAGAGCTATTCCGTGATCCCATTCAAACAAGTCAGGAGCTTCGACTTGCTTAATGGATCTCGAGACAGTCCCCAAGAACACTGTCACCAGTCTAGACGGACCCTGAGGTCACCCCAGCAACGCAAAGCCGCTCCATGTGCCCCAAATCAACTCGAGATGAAGCCCGATTCCCCTGCATTGACTCCAGAGCCATTCCCCGTTCCCCATTCAACACGACCGGTGTCTCGACTTCCTTCAGGCAACTCCAGAGATGCCCCGAGAACACTGTCCCAAGTCTAGAGGAACACCAACTTCAGCACAGCAACTCGAGGAATGCTCCGTGTACCCCAAATCTTCTCGAGATGAGAGCTGATTCCCTGGCTTAGGCTCAAGACGTATGCCAACTTCCCAGAAGCACCTCAGGAGGAGGCTTCTCTCAACTATAAGTATGTGGGAGGGACCCCGAGTTTGCTGCCTCAAGGGGAATATACAGCGAGAAGCCCTAACTTGAAAGAGGCCGGATTTCCTTGCAGTGGCTTGAATACAGGCTCGTCTTTCATCTCACAACATGAAGGGATGTCTGAATCCCCTGTGGAGACCTTAGAGAAAACCCTAGGTCCCTGCCTCATTTTGACGGAATTCCTCACATCCCGCTGACACCTCGAGAGGCACGCGGAGTTCATTGCTTCAAAAGGTGACGATGCCTGACTCCTCTTGAATACTGATAGGAATCCCAAAATCCCTGTGGCTACTGGAAAGGGTCCTTGGGTACCCTGCCTCTCCTCGAGAAGCGTCCCTTTTGCCCTGCCAAGCCTCGAAGAGATTCCTGAGGTGTCCCTCGTTACTAGACAGGAGTCCTGACGTCACTGAAGAAACTCGTGTTTTGAAGGGCCATCCCCGCCGTAAGTCGAGAACATACCCCAGGTCGCCGCCACAACTCGAGAAAAACCATGAGACTTCCCCCTAGAGGCGAGATGAGGCCCCATTCCCCTGCAGTGCATGCAGAGCTATTCCGTGATCCCATTCAAACAAGTCAGGAGCTTCGACTTGCTTCATGGATCTCGATACAGTCCCCAAGAACACTGTCACCAGTCTAGACGGACCCTGAGGTCACCCCAGCAACGCAAAGCAGCTCCATGTGCCCCAAATCAACTCGAGATGAGGCCCGATTCCCCTGCATTGACTCCAGAGCCATTCCCCGTTCCCCATTCAACACGACCGGTGGCTCGACTTCCTTCAGGCAACTCCAGAGATGCCCCGAGAACACTGTCCCAAGTCTAGAGGAACACCAACTTCAGCACAGCAACTCGAGGAATGCTCCGTGTACCCCAAATCGTCTCGAGATGAGAGCTGATTCCCTGGCTTAGGCTCAAGACGTATGCCAACTTCCCAGAAGCACCTCAGGAGGAGGCTTCTCTCAGCAATAGGTATGTGGGAGGGACCCCGAGTTTGCTGCCTCAAGGGGAATATACAGCGAGAAGCCCTAACTTGAAAGGAGGCCGGATTTCCTTGCAGTGGCTTGAATACAGGCTCGTCTTTCATCTCAAAACCTGAAGAGATGTCTGAATCCCCTGTGGAGACCTTAGAGAAAGCCCTAGGTCCCTGCCTCATTTTGACGGAATGCCTCACATCCCGCTGACACCTCGAGAGGCACGCGGAGTTCATTGCTTCAAAAGGTGACGATGCCTGACTCCTCTTGAATACTGATAGGAATCCCAAAATCCCTGTGGCTACTGGAAAGGGTCCTTGGGTGCCCTGCCTCACCTCGAAAAGCGTCCCTTTTGCCCTGCCAAGCCTCGAAGAGATTCCTGAGGTGTCCCTCGTTACTAGACAGGAGTCCTGACGTCACTGAAGAAACTCGTGTTTTGAAGGGCCATCCCCGCCGTAAGTCGAGAACATACCCCAGGTCCCCGCCGCAACTCGAGAAAAACCATGAGACTTCCCCCTAGAGGCGAGATGAGGCCCCATTCCCCTGCAGTGCATGCAGAGCTATTCCGTGATCCCATTCAAACAAGTCAGGAGCTTCGACTTGCTTCATGGATCTCGAGACAGTCCCCAAGAACACTGTCACCAGTCTAGACGGACCCTGAGGTCACCCCAGCAACGCAAAGCAGCTCCATGTGCCCCAAATCAACTCGAGATGAGGCCCGATTCCCCTGCATTGACTCCAGAGCCATTCCCCGTTCCCCATTCAACACGACCGGTGGCTCGACTTCCTTCAGGCAACTCCAGAGATGCCCCGAGAACACTGTCCCAAGTCTAGAGGAACACCAACTTCAGCACAGCAACTCGAGGAATGCTCCGTGTACCCCAAATCGTCTCGAGATGAGAGCTGATTCCCTGGCTTAGGCTCAAGACGTATGCCAACTTCCCAGAAGCACCTCAGGAGGAGGCTTCTCTCAGCAATAGGTATGTGGGAGGGACCCCGAGTTTGCTGCCTCAAGGGGAATATACAGCGAGAAGCCCTAACTTGAAAGGAGGCCGGATTTCCTTGCAGTGGCTTGAATACAGGCTCGTCTTTCATCTCACAACATGAAGGGATGTCTGAATCCCCTGTGGAGACCTTAGAGAAAGCCCTAGGTCCCTGCCTCATTTTGACGGAATGCCTCACATCCCGCTGACACCTCGAGAGGCACGCGGAGTTCATTGCTTCAAAAGGTGACGATGCCTGACTCCTCTTGAATACTGATAGGAAACCCAAAATACCTGTGGCTATTGGAAAGGGTCCTTGGGTGCCCTGCCTCACCTCGAGAACCGTCCTTTTGCCCTGCCAAGCCTCGAAGAGATTCCTGAGGTGTCCCTCGTTACTAGACAGGAGTCCTGACGTCACTGAAGAAACTCGTGTTTTGAAGGGCCATCCCCGCCGTAAGTCGAGAACATACACCAGGTCTCCGCCGCAACTCGAGAAAAACCATGAGACTTCCCCCTAGAGGCGAGATGAGGCCCCATTCCCCTGCAGTGCATGCAGAGCTATTCCGTGATCCCATTCAAACAAGTCAGGAGCTTCGACTTGCTTAATGGATCTCGAGACAGTCCCCAAGAACACTGTCACCAGTCTAGACGGACCCTGAGGTCACCCCAGCAACCCAAAGCAGCTCCATGTGCCCCAAATCAACTCGAGATGAAGCCCGATTCCCCTGCATTGACTCCAGAGCCATTCCCCGTTCCCCATTCAACACGACCGGTGTCTCGACTTCCTTCAGGCAACTCCAGAGATGCCCCGAGAACACTGTCCCAAGTCTAGAGGAACACCAACTTCAGCACAGCAACTCGAGGAATGCTCCGTGTACCCCAAATCTTCTCGAGATGAGAGCTGATTCCCTGGCTTAGGCTCAAGACGTATGCCAACTTCCCAGAAGCACCTCAGGAGGAGGCTTCTCTCAACTATAAGTATGTGGGAGGGACCCCGAGTTTGCTGCCTCAAGGGGAATATACAGCGAGAAGCCCTAACTTGAAAGAGGCCGGATTTCCTTGCAGTGGCTTGAATACAGGCTCGTCTTTCATCTCACAACATGAAGGGATGTCTGAATCCCTTGTGGAGACCTTAGAGAAAACCCTAGGTCCCTGCCTCATTTTGACGGAATTCCTCACATCCCACTGACACCTCGAGAGGCACGCGGAGTTCATTGCTTCAAAAGGTGACGATGCCTGACTCCTCTTGAATACTGATAGGAATCCCAAAATCCCTGTGGCTACTGGAAAGGGTCCTTGGGTGCCCTGCCTCTCCTCGAGAAGCGTCGCTTTTGCCCTGCCAAGCCTCGAAGAGATTCCTGAGGTGTCCCTCGTTACTAGACAGGAGTCCTGACGTCACTGAAGAAACTCGTGTTTTGAAGGGCCATCCCCGCCGTAAGTCGAGAACATACCCCAGGTCCCCGCCGCAACTCGAGAAAAACCATGAGACTTCCCCATAGAGGCGAGATGAGGCCCCATTCCCCTGCAGTGCATGCAGAGCTATTCCGTGATCCCATTCAAACAAGTCAGGAGCTTCGACTTGCTTAATGGATCTCGAGACAGTCCCCAAGAACACTGTCACCAGTCTAGACGGACACTGAGGTCACCCCAGCAACGCAAAGCAGCTCCATGTGCCCCAAATAAACACGAGATGAGGCCCGATTCCCCTGCATTGACTCCAGAGCCATTCCCCGTTCCCCATTCAACACGACCGGTGGCTCGACTTCATTCAGGCAACTCCAGAGATGCCCCGAGAACACTGTCCCAAGTCCAGAGGAAGACCAACTTCAGCACAGCAACTCGAGGAATGCTCCGTGTACCCCAAATCGTCTCAAGATGAGAGCTGATTCCCTGGCTTATTCTCAAGACGTATGCCAACTTCCCAGAAGCACCTCAGGAGGAGGCTTCTCTCAGCAATAGGTATGTGGGAGGGACCCCGAGTTTGCTGCCTCAATGGGAATATACAGCGAGAAGCCCTAACTTGAAAGGAGGCCGGATTTCCTTGCAGTGGCTTGAATACAGGCTCGTCTTTCATCTCACAACATGAAGGGATGTCTGAATCCCCTGTGGAGACCTTAGAGAAAGCCCTAGGTCCCTGCCTCATTTTGATGGAATGCCTCACATCCCGCTGACACCTCGAGAGGCACGCGGAGTTCATTGCTTCAAAAGGTGACGATGCCTGACTCCTCTTGAATACTGATAGGAATCCCAAAATCCCTGTGGCTACTGGAAAGGGTCCTTGGGTGCCCTGCCTCACCTCGAGAAGCGTCCCTTTTGTCCTGCCAAGCCTCGAAGAGATTCCTGAGGTGTCCCTCGTTACTAGACAGGAGTCCTGACGTCACTGAAGAAACTCGTGTTTTGAAGGGCCATCCCCGCCGTAAGTCGAGAACATACCCCAGGTCCCCGCCGCAACTCGAGAAAAACCATGAGACTTCCCCCTAGAGGCGAGATGAGGCCCCATTCCCCTGCAGTGCATGCAGAGCTATTCCGTGATCCCATTCAAACAAGTCAGGAGCTTCGACTTGCTTAATGGATCTCGAGACAGTCCCCAAGAACACTGTCACCAGTCTAGACGGACCCTGAGGTCACCCCAGCAACGCAAAGCCGCTCCATGTGCCCCAAATCAACTCGAGATGAAGCCCGATTCCCCTGCATTGACTCCAGAGCCATTCCCCGTTCCCCATTCAACACGACCGGTGTCTCGACTTCCTTCAGGCAACTCCAGAGATGCCCCGAGAACACTGTCCCAAGTCTAGAGGAACACCAACTTCAGCACAGCAACTCGAGGAATGCTCCGTGTACCCCAAATCTTCTCGAGATGAGAGCTGATTCCCTGGCTTAGGCTCAAGACGTATGCCAACTTCCCAGAAGCACCTCAGGAGGAGGCTTCTCTCAACTATAAGTATGTGGGAGGGACCCCGAGTTTGCTGCCTCAAGGGGAATATACAGCGAGAAGCCCTAACTTGAAAGAGGCCGGATTTCCTTGCAGTGGCTTGAATACAGGCTCGTCTTTCATCTCACAACATGAAGGGATGTCTGAATCCCCTGTGGAGACCTTAGAGAAAACCCTAGGTCCCTGCCTCATTTTGACGGAATTCCTCACATCCCGCTGACACCTCGAGAGGCACGCGGAGTTCATTGCTTCAAAAGGTGACGATGCCTGACTCCTCTTGAATACTGATAGGAATCCCAAAATCCCTGTGGCTACTGGAAAGGGTCCTTGGGTACCCTGCCTCTCCTCGAGAAGCGTCCCTTTTGCCCTGCCAAGCCTCGAAGAGATTCCTGAGGTGTCCCTCGTTACTAGACAGGAGTCCTGACGTCACTGAAGAAACTCGTGTTTTGAAGGGCCATCCCCGCCGTAAGTCGAGAACATACCCCAGGTCGCCGCCACAACTCGAGAAAAACCATGAGACTTCCCCCTAGAGGCGAGATGAGGCCCCATTCCCCTGCAGTGCATGCAGAGCTATTCCGTGATCCCATTCAAACAAGTCAGGAGCTTCGACTTGCTTCATGGATCTCGATACAGTCCCCAAGAACACTGTCACCAGTCTAGACGGACCCTGAGGTCACCCCAGCAACGCAAAGCAGCTCCATGTGCCCCAAATCAACTCGAGATGAGGCCCGATTCCCCTGCATTGACTCCAGAGCCATTCCCCGTTCCCCATTCAACACGACCGGTGGCTCGACTTCCTTCAGGCAACTCCAGAGATGCCCCGAGAACACTGTCCCAAGTCTAGAGGAACACCAACTTCAGCACAGCAACTCGAGGAATGCTCCGTGTACCCCAAATCGTCTCGAGATGAGAGCTGATTCCCTGGCTTAGGCTCAAGACGTATGCCAACTTCCCAGAAGCACCTCAGGAGGAGGCTTCTCTCAGCAATAGGTATGTGGGAGGGACCCCGAGTTTGCTGCCTCAAGGGGAATATACAGCGAGAAGCCCTAACTTGAAAGGAGGCCGGATTTCCTTGCAGTGGCTTGAATACAGGCTCGTCTTTCATCTCAAAACCTGAAGAGATGTCTGAATCCCCTGTGGAGACCTTAGAGAAAGCCCTAGGTCCCTGCCTCATTTTGACGGAATGCCTCACATCCCGCTGACACCTCGAGAGGCACGCGGAGTTCATTGCTTCAAAAGGTGACGATGCCTGACTCCTCTTGAATACTGATAGGAATCCCAAAATCCCTGTGGCTACTGGAAAGGGTCCTTGGGTGCCCTGCCTCACCTCGAAAAGCGTCCCTTTTGCCCTGCCAAGCCTCGAAGAGATTCCTGAGGTGTCCCTCGTTACTAGACAGGAGTCCTGACGTCACTGAAGAAACTCGTGTTTTGAAGGGCCATCCCCGCCGTAAGTCGAGAACATACCCCAGGTCCCCGCCGCAACTCGAGAAAAACCATGAGACTTCCCCCTAGAGGCGAGATGAGGCCCCATTCCCCTGCAGTGCATGCAGAGCTATTCCGTGATCCCATTCAAACAAGTCAGGAGCTTCGACTTGCTTCATGGATCTCGAGACAGTCCCCAAGAACACTGTCACCAGTCTAGACGGACCCTGAGGTCACCCCAGCAACGCAAAGCAGCTCCATGTGCCCCAAATCAACTCGAGATGAGGCCCGATTCCCCTGCATTGACTCCAGAGCCATTCCCCGTTCCCCATTCAACACGACCGGTGGCTCGACTTCCTTCAGGCAACTCCAGAGATGCCCCGAGAACACTGTCCCAAGTCTAGAGGAACACCAACTTCAGCACAGCAACTCGAGGAATGCTCCGTGTACCCCAAATCGTCTCGAGATGAGAGCTGATTCCCTGGCTTAGGCTCAAGACGTATGCCAACTTCCCAGAAGCACCTCAGGAGGAGGCTTCTCTCAGCAATAGGTATGTGGGAGGGACCCCGAGTTTGCTGCCTCAAGGGGAATATACAGCGAGAAGCCCTAACTTGAAAGGAGGCCGGATTTCCTTGCAGTGGCTTGAATACAGGCTCGTCTTTCATCTCACAACATGAAGGGATGTCTGAATCCCCTGTGGAGACCTTAGAGAAAGCCCTAGGTCCCTGCCTCATTTTGACGGAATGCCTCACATCCCGCTGACACCTCGAGAGGCACGCGGAGTTCATTGCTTCAAAAGGTGACGATGCCTGACTCCTCTTGAATACTGATAGGAAACCCAAAATACCTGTGGCTATTGGAAAGGGTCCTTGGGTGCCCTGCCTCACCTCGAGAACCGTCCTTTTGCCCTGCCAAGCCTCGAAGAGATTCCTGAGGTGTCCCTCGTTACTAGACAGGAGTCCTGACGTCACTGAAGAAACTCGTGTTTTGAAGGGCCATCCCCGCCGTAAGTCGAGAACATACACCAGGTCTCCGCCGCAACTCGAGAAAAACCATGAGACTTCCCCCTAGAGGCGAGATGAGGCCCCATTCCCCTGCAGTGCATGCAGAGCTATTCCGTGATCCCATTCAAACAAGTCAGGAGCTTCGACTTGCTTAATGGATCTCGAGACAGTCCCCAAGAACACTGTCACCAGTCTAGACGGACCCTGAGGTCACCCCAGCAACCCAAAGCAGCTCCATGTGCCCCAAATCAACTCGAGATGAAGCCCGATTCCCCTGCATTGACTCCAGAGCCATTCCCCGTTCCCCATTCAACACGACCGGTGGCTCGACTTCCTTCAGGCAACTCCAGAGATGCCCCGAGAACACTGTCCAAAGTCTAGAGGAACACCAACTTCAGCACAGCAACACGAGGAAAGCTCCGTGTACCCCAAATCGTCTCAAGATGAGAGCTGATTCCCTGGCTTAGGCTCAAGACGTATGCCAACTTCCCAGAAGCACCTCAGGAGGAGGCTTCTCTCAGCAATAAGTATGTGGGAGGGACCCCGAGTTTGCTGCCTCAAGGGGAATATACAGCGAGAAGCCCTAACTTGAAAGGAGGCCGGATTTCCTTGCAGTGGCTTGAATACAGGCTCGTCTTTCATCTCACAACATGAAGGTATGTCTGAATCCCCTGTGGAGACCTTAGAGAAAGCCCTAGGTCCCTGCCTCATTTTGACGGAATGCCTCACATCCCGCTGACACCTCGAGAGGCACGCGGAGTTCATTGCTTCAAAAGGTGACAATGCCTGACTCCTCTTGAATAGTGATAGGAATCCCAAAATCCCTGTGGCTACTGGAAAGGATCCTTGGGTGCCCTGCCTCACCTCGAGAAGTGTCCCTTTTGCCCTGCCAAGCCTCGAAGAGATTCCTGAGGTGTCCCTCGTTACTAGACAGGAGTCCTGACGTCACTGAAGAAACTCGTGTTTTGAAGGGCCATCCCCGCCGTAAGTCGAGAACATACCCCAGGTCCCCGCCGCAACTCGAGAAAAACCATGAGACTTCCCCCTAGAGGCGAGATGAGGCCCCATTCCCCTGCAGTGCATGCAGAGCTATTCCGTGATCCCATTCAAACAAGTCAGGAGCTTCGACTTGCTTAATGGATGTCGAGACAGTCCCCAAGAACACTGTCAGCAGTCTAGACGGACCCTGAGGTCACCCCAGCAACGCAAAGCAGCTCCATGTGCCCCAAATCAACTCGAGATGAGGCCCGATTCCCCTGCATTGACTCCAGAGCCATTCCCCGTTCCCCATTCAGCACGACCGGTGGCTCGACTTCCTTCAGGCAACTCCAGAGATGCCCCGAGAACACTGTCCCAAGTCTAGAGGAACACCAACTTCAGCACAGCAACTCGAGGAATGCTCCGTGTACCCCAAATCGTCTCGAGATGAGAGCTGATTCCCTGGCTTAGGCTCAAGACGTATGCCAACTTCCCAGAAGCACCTCAGGAGGAGGCTTCTCTCAGCAATAGGTATGTGGGAGGGACCCCGAGTTTGCTGCCTCAAGGGGAATATACAGCGAGAAGCCCTAACTTGAAAGGAGGCCGGATTTCCTTGCAGTGGCTTGAATACAGGCTCGTCTTTCATCTCACAACATGAAGGGATGTCTGAATCCCCTGTGGAGACCTTAGAGAAAGCCCTAGGACCCTGCCTCATTTTGACGGAATGCCTCACATCCCGCTGACACCTCGAGAGGTACGCGGAGTTCATTGCTTCAAAAGGTGACGATGCCTGACTCCTCTTGAATACTGATAGGAATCCCAAAATCCCTGTGGCTACTGGAAAGGGTCCTTGGGTGCCCTGCCTCACCTCGAGAAGCGTCCCTTTTGCCCTGCCAAGCCTCGAAGAGATTCCTGAGGTGTCCCTCGTTACTACACAGGAGTCTTGACGTCACTGAAGAAACTCGTGTTTTGAAGTGCCATCCCCGCCGTAAGTCGAGAACATACCCCAGGTCCCCGCCGCAACTCGAGAAAAACCATGAGACTTCCCCCTAGAGGCGAGATGAGGCCCCATTCCCCTGCAGTGCATGCAGAGCTATTCCGTGATCCCATTCAAACAAGTCAGGAGCTTCGACTTGCTTAATGGATCTCGAGAGAGTCCCCAAGAACACTGTCACCAGTCTAGACGGACCCTGAGGTCACCCCAGCAACGCAAAGCAGCTCCATGTGCCCCAAATCAACTCGAGATGAGGCCCGATTCCACTGCATTGACTCCAGAGCCATTCCCCTTTCCCCATTCAACACGACCGGTGGCTCGACTTCCTTCAGGCAACTCCAGAGATGCCCCGAGAACACTGTCCCAAGTCTAGAGGAACACCAACTTCAACACAGCAAATCGAGGAATGCTCCGTGTACCCCAAATCGTCTCGAGATAAGAGCTGATTCCCTGGCTTAGGCTCAAGATGTATGCCAACTTCCCAGAAGCACCTCAGGAGGAGGCTTCTCTCAGCAATAGGTATGTGGGAGGGACCCCGAGTTTGCTGCCTCAAGGGGAATATACAGCGAGAAGCCCTAACTTGAAAGGAGGCCGGATTTCCTTGCAGTGGCTTGATTACAGGCTCGTCTTTCATCTCACAACATGAAGGGATGTCTGAATCCCCTGTGGAGACCTTAGAGAAAGCCCTAGGTCCGTGCCTCATTTTGACGGAATGCCTCACGTCGCGCTGACACCTCGAGAGGCACGCGGAGTTCATTGCTTCAAAAGGTGACGATGCCTGACTCCTCTTGAATACTGATAGGAATCCCAAAATCCCTGTGGCTACTGGAAAGGGTCCTTGGGTGCCCTGCCTCACCTCGAGAAGCGTCCCTTTTGCCCTGCCAAGCCTCGAAGAGATTCCTGAGGTGTCCCTCGTTACTAGACAGGAGTCCTGACGTCACTGAAGAAACTCGTGTTTTGAAGGGCCATCCCCTCTGTAAGTCGAGAACATAACCCAGGTCCCCGCCGCAACTCGAGAAAAACCATGAGACTTCCCCCTAGAGGCGAGATGAGGCCCCATTCCCCTGCAGTGCATGCAGAGCTATTCCGTGATCCCATTCAAACAAGTCAGGAGCTTCGACTTGCTTAATGGATCTCGAGACAGTCCCCAAGAACACTGTCACCAGTCTAGACGGAACCTGAGGTCACCCCAGCAACGCAAAGCAGCTCCATGTGCCCCAAATCAACTCGAGATGAGGCCCGATTCCCCTGCATTGACTCCAGAGCCATTCCCCGTTCCCCATTCAACACGACCGGTGGCTCGACTTCCTTCAGGCAACTCCAGAGATGCCCCGAGAACACTGTCCCAAGTCTAGAGGAACACAAACTTCAGCACAGCAACTCGAGGAATGCTCCGTGTACCCCAAATCGTCTCGAGATGCGAGCTGGTTCCCTGGCTTAGGCTCAAGACATATGCCAACTTCCCAGAAGCACCTCAGGAGGAGGCTTCTCTCAGCAATAGGTATGTGGGAGGGACCCCGAGTTTGCTGCCTCAAGGGGAATATACAGCGAGAAGCCCTAACTTGAAAGGAGGCCGGATTTCCTTACAGTGGCTTGAATACAGGCTCGTCTTTCATCTCACAACATGAAGGGATGTCTGAATCCCCTGTGGAGACCTTAGAGAAAGCCCTAGGTCCCTGCCTCATTTTGACGGAATGCCTCACATCCCGCTGAAACCTTGAGAGGCACGCGGAGTTCATTGCTTCAAAAGGTGACGATGCCTGACTCCTCTTGAATACTGATAGGAATCCCAAAATCCCTGTGGCTACTGGAAAGGGTCCTTGGGTGCCCTGCCTCACCTCGAGAAGCGTCCCTTTTGCCTTGCCAAGCCTCGAAGAGATTCCTGAGGTGTCCCTCGTTACTAGACAGGAGTCCTGACGTCACTGAAGAAACTCGTGTTTTGAAGGGCCATCCCCGCCGTAAGTCGAGAACATACCCCAGGTCCCCGCCCCAACTCGAGAAAAACCATGAGACTTCCCCCTAGAGGCGAGATGAGGCCCCATTCCCCTGCAGTGCATGCAGAGCTATTCCGTGATCCCATTCAAACAAGTCAGGAGCTTCGACTTGCTTCATGGATCTCGAGACAGTCCCCAAGAACACTGTCACCAGTCTAGACGGACCCTGAGGTCACCCCAGCAACGCAAAGCAGCTCCATATGCCCCAAATCAACTCGAGATGAGGCCCGATTCCCCTGCATTGACTCCAGAGCCATTCCCCTTTCCCCATTCAACACGACCGGTGGCTCGACTTCCTTCAGGCAACTCCAGAGATGACCCGAGAACACCGTCCCAAGTCTAGAGGAACACCAACTTCCGCACAGCAACACGAGGAATGTTCCGTGTACCCCAAATCGTCTCGAGATGAGAGCTGATTCCCTGGCTTAGGCTCAAGACGTATGCCAACTTCCCAGAAGCACCTCAGGAGGAGGCTTCTCTCAGCAATAGGTATGTGGGAGGGACCCCGAGTTTGCTGCCTCAAAGGGAATATACAGCGAGAAGCCCTAACTTGAAAGGAGGCCGGATTTCCTTGCAGTGGCTTGAATACAGGCTCGTCTTTCATCTCACAACATGAAGGGATGTCTGAATCCCCTGTGGAGACCTTAGAGAAAGCCCTAGGTCCCTGCCTCATTTTGACGGAATGCCTCACATCCCGCTGACACCTCGAGAGGCACGCGGAGTTCATTGCTTCAAAAGGTGACGATGCCTGACTCCTCTTGAATACTGATAGGAATCCCAAAATTCCTGTGGCTACTGGAAAGGGTCCTTGGGTGCCCTGCCTCACCTCGAGAAGCGTCCCTTTTGCCCTGCCAAGCCTCGAAGAGATTCCTGAGGTGTCCCTCGTTACTAGACAGGAGTCCTGACGTCACTGAAGAAACTCGTGTTTTGAAGGGCCATGCCCGCCGTAAGTCGAGAACATACCCCAGGTCCCCGCCGCAACTCGAGAAAAACCATGAGACTTCCCCCTAGAGGCGAGATGAGGCCCCATTCCCCTGCAGTGCATGCAGAGCTATTCCGTGATCCCATTCAAACAAGTCAGAAGCTTCGACTTGCTTAATGGATCTCGAGACAGTCCCCAAGAACACTGTCACCAGTCTAGACGGACCCTGAGGTCACCCCAGCAACGCAAAGCAGCTCCATGTGCCCCAAATCAACTCGAGATGAGGCCCGATTCCCCTGCATTGACTCCAGAGCCATTCCCCGTTCCCGTTTCAGCACGACCGGTGGCTCGACTTCCTTCAGGCAACTCCAGACATGCCCCGAGAACACTGTCCCAAGTCTAGAGGAACACCAACTTCAGCACAGCAACTCGAGGAATGCTCCGTGTACCCCAAATCGTCTCGAGATGAGAGCTGATTCCCTGGCTTAAGCTCAAGACATATGCCAACTTCCCAGAAGCACCTCAGGAGGAGGCTTCTCTCAGCAATAGGTATGTGGGAGGGACCCAGAGTTTGCTGCCTCAAGGGGAATATACAGCGAGAAGCCCTAACTTGAAAGGCGGCCGGATTTCCTTGCAGTGGCTTGAATACAGGCTCGTCTTTCATCTCACAACATGAAGGGATGTCTGAATCCCCTGTGGAGACCTTAGAGAAAGCCCTAGGTCCCTGCCTCATTTTGACGGAATGCCTCTCATCCCGCTGACACCTCGAGAGGCACGCGGAGTTCATTGCTTCAAAAGGTGACGATGCCTGACTCCTCTTGAATACTGATAGGAATCCCAAAATCCCTGTGGCTATTGGAAAGGGTCCTTGGGTGCCCTGCCTCACCTCAAGAACCGTCCTTTTGCCCTGCCAAGCCTCGAAGAGATTCCTGAGGTGTCCCTCGTTACTAGACAGGAGTCCTGACGTCACTGAAGAAACTCGTGTTTTGAAGGGCCATCCCCGCCGTAAGTCGAGAACATACCCCAGGTCCCCGCCGCAACTCGAGAAAAACCATGAGACTTCCCCTAGAGGCGAGATGAGGCCCCATTCCCCTGCAGTGCATGCAGAGCTATTCCGTGATCCCATTCAAACAAGTCAGGAGCTTCGACTTGCTTAATGGATCTCGAGACAGTCCCCAAGAACACTGTCACCAGTCTAGACGGACCCTGAGGTCACCCCAGCAATGCAAAGCAGCTCCATGTGCCCCAAATCAACTCGAGATGAGGCCCGATTCCCCTGCATTGACTCCAGAGCCATTCCCCGTTCCCCACTCCGCACGACCGGTGGCTCGACTTCCTTCAGGCAACTCCAGAGATGCCCCGAGAACACTGTCCCAAGTCTAGAGGAACACCAACTTCAGCACAGCAACTCGAGGAATGCTCCGTGTACCCCAAATCGTCTCCAGATGAGAGCTGATTCCCTGGCTTAAGCTCAAGACATATGCCAACTTCCCAGAAGCACCTCAGGAGGAGGCTTCTCTCAGCAATAGGTATGTGGGAGGGACCCCGAGTTTGCTGCCTCAAGGGGAATATACAGCGAGAAGCCCTAACTTGAAAGGCGGCCGGATTTCCTTGCAGTGGCTTGAATACAGGCTCGTCTTTCATCTCACAACATGAAGGGATGTCTGAATCCCCTGTGGAGACCTTAGAGAAAGCCCTAGGTCCCTGCCTCATTTTGACGGAATGCCTCACATCCCGCTGACACCTCGAGAGGCACGCGGAGTTCATTGCTTCAAAATGTGACGATGCCTGACTCCTCTTGAATACTGATAGGAATCCCAAAATCCCTGTGGCTATTGGAAAGGGTCCTTGGGTGCCCTGCCTCACCTCGAGAACCGTCCTTTTGCCATGCCAAGCCTCGAAGAGATTCCTGAGGTGTCCCTCGTTACTAGACAGGAGTCCTGACGTCACTGAAGAAACTCGTGTTTTGAAGGGCCATCCCCGCCGTAAGTCGAGAACATACACCAGGTCCCCGCCGCAACTCGAGAAAAACCATGAGACTTCCCCCTAGAGGCGAGATGAGGCCCCATTCCCCTGCAGTGCATGCAGAGCTATTCCGTGATCCCATTCAAACAAGTCAGGAGCTTCGACTTGCTTCATGGATCTCGAGACAGTCCCCAAGAACACTGTCACCAGTCTAGACGGACCCTGAGGTCACCCCAGCAACGCAAAGCAGCTCCATGTGCCCCAAATCAACTCGAGATGAGGCCCGATTCCCCTGCATTGACTCCAGAGCCATTCCCCTTTCCCCATTCAACACGACCGGTGGCTCGACTTCTTTCAGGCAACTGCAGAGATGCCCCGAGAACACTGTCCCAAGTCTAGAGGAACACCAACTTCAACACAGCAACTCGAGGAATGCTCCGTGTACCCCAAATCGTCTCGAGATGAGAGCTGATTCCCTGGCTTAGGCTCAAGACGTATGCCAACTTCCCAGAAGCACCTCAGGAGGAGACTTCTCTCAGCAATAGGTATGTGGGAGGGACCCCGAGTTTGCTGCCTCAAGGGGAATATACAGCGAGAAGCCCTAACTTGAAAGGAGGCTGGATTTCCTTGAAGTGGCTTGAATACAGGCTCGTCTTTCATCTCACAACATGAAGGGATGTCTGAATCCCCTGTGGAGACCTTAGAGAAAGCCCTAGGTCCCTGCCTCATTTTGACGGAATGCCTCACATCCCGCTGACACCTCGAGAGGCACGCGGAGTTCATTGCTTCAAAAGGTGACGATGCCTGACTCCTCTTGAATACTGATAGGAATCCCAAAATCCCTGTGGCTACTGGAAAGGGTCCTTGGGTGCCCTGCCTCACCTCGAGAAGCGTCCCTTTTGCCCTGCCAAGCCTCGAAGAGATTCCTGAGGTGTCCCTCGTTACTAGACAGGAGTCCTGACGTCACTGAAGAAACTCGTATTTTGAAGGGCCATCCCCGCCGTAAGTCGAGAACATACCCCAGGTCCCCGCCGCAACTCGAGAAAAACCATGAGACTTCCCCCTAGAGGCGAGATGAGGCCCCATTCCCCTGCAGTGCATGCAGAGCTATTCCGTGATCCCAGTCAAACAAGTCAGGAGCTTCGACTTGCTTAATGGATCTCGAGACAGTCCCCAAGAACACTGTCACCAGTCTAGACGGACCCTGAGGTCACCCCAGCAACGCAAAGCAGCTCCATGTGCCCCAAATCAACTCGAGATGAGGCCCGATTCCCCTGCATTGACTCCAGAGGCATTCCCCTTTCCCCATTCAACAAGACCGGTGGCTCGACTTCCTTCAGGCAACTCCAGAGATGCCCCGAGAACACTGTCCCAAGTCTAGAGGAACACCAACTTCAGCACAGCAACACGAGGAATGCTCCGTGTACCCCAAATTGTCTCGAGATGAGAGCTGACTCCCTGGCTTAGGCTCAAGACGTATGCCAACTTCCCAGAAGCACCTCAGGAGGAGGCTTCTCTCAGCAATAAGTATGTGGGAGGGACCCCGAGTTTGCTGCCTCAAGGGGAATATACAGCGAGAAGCCCTAACTTGAAAGGCGGCCGGATTTCCTTGCAGTGGCTTGAATACAGGCTCGTCTTTCATCTCACAACATGAAGGGATGTCTGAATCCCCTGTGGAGACCTTAGAGAAAGCCCTAGGTCCCTGCCTCATTTTGACGGAATGCCTCACATCCCGCTGACACCTCGAGAGGCACGCGGAGTTCATTGCTTCAAAAGGTGACGATGCCTGACTCCTCTTGAATACTGATAGGAATCCCAAAATCCCTGTGGCTACTGGAAAGGGTCCTTGGGTGCCCTGCCTCACCTCGAGAAGCGTCCCTTTTGCCCTGCCAAGCCTCGAAGAGATTCCTGAGGTGTCCCTCGTTACTAGACAGGAGTCCTGACGTCACTGAAGAAACTCGTGTTTTGAAGGGCCATCCCAGCCGTAAGTCGAGAACATACCCCAGGTCACCGCCGCAACTCGAGAAAAACCATGAGACTTCCCCCTAGAGGCGAGATGAGGCCCCATTCCCCTGCAGTGCATGCAGAGCTATTCCGTGATCCCATTCAAACAAGTCAGGAGCTTCGACATGCTTAATGATCTCTAGACAGTCCCCAAGATCACTGTCACCAGTCTAGACGGACCCTGAGGTCACCCCAGCAACGCAAAGCAGCTCCATGTGCCCCAAATCAACTCGAGATGAGGCCCGATTCCCCTGCATTGACTCCAGAGCCATTCCCCGTTCCCCATTCAACACGACCGGTGGCTCGACTTCCTTCAGGCAACTCCAGAGATGCCCCGAGAACACTGTCCCAAGTCTAGAGGAACACCAACTTCAGCACAGCAACTCGAGGAATGCTCCGTGTACCCCAAATCGTCTCGAGATGCGAGCTGATTCCCTGGCTTAGGCTCAAGACATATGCCAACTTCCCAGAAGCACCTCAGGAGGAGGCTTCTCTCAGCAATAGGTATGTGTGAGGGACCCCGAGTTTGCTGCCTCAAGGGGAATATACAGCGAGAAGCCCTAACTTGAAAGGAGGCCGGATTTCCTTGCAGTGGCTTGAATACAGGCTCGTCTTTCATCTCACAACATGAAGGGATGTCTGAATCCCCTGTGGAGACCTTAGAGAAAGCCCTAGGTCCCTGCCTCATTTTGACGGAATGCCTCACATCCCGCTGACACCTCGAGAGGCACGCGGAGTTCATTGCTTCAAAAGGTGACGATGCCTGACTCCTCTTGAATACTGATAGGAATCCCAAAATCCCTGTGGCTATTGGAAAGGGTCCTTGGGTGCCCTGCCTCACCTCGAGAAGCGTCCTTTTGCCCTGCCAAGCCTCGAAGAGATTCCTGAGGTGTCCCTCGTTACTAGACAGGAGTCCTGACGTCACTGAAGAAACTCGTGTTTTGAAGGGCCATCCCCGCCGTAAGTCGAGAACATACCCCAGGTCCCCGCCGCAACTCGAGAAAAACCATGAGACTTCCCCCTAGAGGCGAGATGAGGCCCCATTCCCCTGCAGTGCATGCAGAGCTATTCCGTGATCCCATTCAAACAAGTCAGGAGCTTCGACTTGCTTCATGGATCTCGAGACAGTCCCCAAGAACACTGTCACCAGTCTAGACGGACCCTGAGGTCACCCCAGCAACGCAAAGCAGCTCCATGTGCCCCAAATCAACTCGAGATGAGGCCCGATTCCCCTGCATTGACTCCAGAGCCATTCCCCGTTCCCCATTCAACACGACCGGTGTCTCGACTTCCTTCAGGCAACTCCAGAGATGCCCTGAGAACACTGTCCCAAGTCTAGAGGAACACCAACTTCAGCACAGCAACTCGAGGAATGCTCCGTGTACCCCAAATCGTCTCGAGATGAGAGCTGATTCCCTGGCTTAGGCTCAAGACGTATGCCAACTTCCCAGAAGCACCTCAGGAGGAGGCTTCTCTCAGCAATAGGTATGTGCGAGGGACCCCGAGTTTGCTGCCTCAAGGGGAATATACAGCGAGAAGCCCTAACTTGAAAGGCGGCCGGATTTCCTTGCAGTGGCTTGAATACAGGCTCGTCTTTCATCTCACAACATGAAGGGATGTCTGAATCCCCTGTGGAGACCTTAGAGAAAGCCCTAGGTCCCTGCCTCATTTTGACGGAATGCCTTACATCCCGCTGACACCTCGAGAGGCACGCGGAGTTCATTGCTTCAAAAGGTGACGATGCCTGACTCCTCTTGAATACTGATAGGAATCCCAAAATCCCTGTGGCTACTGGAAAGGGTCCTTGGGTGCCCTGCCTCACCTCGAGAAGCGTCCCTTTTGCCCTGCCAAGCCTCGAAGAGATTCCTGAGGTGTCCCTCGTTACTAGACAGGAGTCCTGACGTCACTGAAGAAACTCGTGTTTTGAAGGGCCATCCCAGCCGTAAGTCGAGAACATACCCCAGGTCACCGCCGCAACTCGAGAAAAACCATGAGACTTCCCCCTAGAGGCGAGATGAAGCCCCATTCCCCTGCAGTGCATGCAGAGCTATTCCGTGATCCCATTCAAACAAGTCAGGAGCTTCGAGTTGCTTAATGATCTCTAGACAGTCCCCAAGAACACTGTCACCAGTCTAGACGGACCCTGAGGTCACCCCAGCAACGCAAAGCAGCTCCATGTGCCCCAAATCAACTCGAGATGAGGCCCGATTCCCCTGCATTGACTCCAGAGCCATTCCCCGTTCCCCATTCAACACGACCGGTGGCTCGACTTCCTTCAGGCAACTCCAGAGATGCCCCGAGAACACTGTCCCAAGTCTAGAGGAACACCAACTTCAGCACAGCAACTCGAGGAATGCTCCGTGTACCCCAAATCGTCTCGAGATGCGAGCTGATTGCCTTGCTTAGGCTCAAGACGTATGCCAACTTCCCAGAAGCACCTCAGGAGGAGGCTTCTCTCAGCAATAGGTATGTGCGAGGGACCCCGAGTTTGCTGCCTCAAGGGGAATATACAGCGAGAAGCCCTAACTTGAAAGGAGGCCGGATTACCTTGCAGTGGCTTGAATACAGGCTCGTCTTTCATCTCACAACATGAAGGGATGTCTGAATCCCCTGTGGAGACCTTAGAGAAAGCCCTAGGTCCCTGCCTCATTTTGACGGAATGCCTCACATCCCGCTGACACCTCGAGAGGCACGCGGAGTTCATTGCTTCAAAAGGTGACGATGCCTGACTCCTCTTGAATACTGATAGGAATCCCAAAATCCCTGTGGCTATTGGAAAGGGTCCTTGGGTGCCCTGCCTCACCTCGAGAAGCGTCCTTTTGCCCCTGCCAAGCCTCGAAGAGATTCCTGAGGTGTCCCTCGTTCCTAGACAGGAGTCCTGACGTCACTGAAGAAACTCGTGTTTTGAAGGGCCATCCCCGCCGTAAGTCGAGAACATACACCAGGTCCCCGCCGCAACTCGAGAAAAACCATGAGACTTCCCCCTAGAGGCGAGATGAGGCCCCATTCCCCTGCAGTGCATGCAGAGCTATTCCGTGATCCCATTCAAACAAGTCAGGAGCTTCGACTTGCTTCATGGATCTCGAGACAGTCCCCAAGAACACTGTCACCAGTCTAGACGGACCCTGAGGTCACCCCAGCAACGCAAAGCAGCTCCATGTGCCCCAAATCAACTCGAGATGAGGCCCGATTCCCCTGCATTGACTCCAGAGCCATTCCCCGTTCCCCATTCAACACGACCGGTGTCTCGACTTCCTTCAGGCAACTCCAGAGATGCCCTGAGAACACTGTCCCAAGTCTAGAGGAACACCAACTTCAGCACAGCAACTCGAGGAATGCTCCGTGTACCCCAAATCGTCTCGAGATGAGAGCTGATTCCCTGGCTTAGGCTCAAGACGTATGCCAACTTCCCAGAAGCACCTCAGGAGGAGGCTTCTCTCAGCAATAGGTATGTGCGAGGGACCCCGAGTTTGCTGCCTCAAGGGGAATATACAGCGAGAAGCCCTAACTTGAAAGGCGGCCGGATTTCCTTGCAGTGGCTTGAATACAGGCTCGTCTTTCATCTCACAACATGAAGGGATGACTGAATCCCCTGTGGAGACCTTAGAGAAAGCCCTAGGTCCCTGCCTCATTTTGACGGAATGCCTCACATCCCGCTGACACCTCGAGAGGCACGCGGAGTTCATTGCTTCAAAAGGTGACGATGCCTGACTCCTCTTGAATACTGATAGGAATCCCAAAATCCCTGTGGCTACTGGAAAGGGTCCTTGGGTGCCCTGCCTCACCTCGAGAAGCGTCCCTTTTGCCCTGCCAAGCCTCGAAGAGATTCCTGAGGTGTCCCTCGTTACTAGACAGGAGTCCTGACGTCACTGAAGAAACTCGTGTTTTGAAGGGCCATCCCCGCCGTAAGTCGAGAACATACACCAGGTCCCCGCCGCAACTCGAGAAAAACCATGAGACTTCCCCCTAGAGGCGAGATGAGGCCCCATTCCCCTGCAGTGCATGCAGAGCTATTCCGTGATCCCATTCAAACAAGTCAGGAGCTTCGAGTTGCTTAATGATCTCTAGACAGTCCCCAAGAACACTGTCACCAGTCTAGACGGACCCTGAGGTCACCCCAGCAACGCAAAGCAGCTCCATGTGCCCCAAATCAACTCGAGATGAGGCCCGATTCCCCTGCATTGACTCCAGAGCCATTCCCCGTTCCCCATTCAACACGACCGGTGGCTCGACTTCCTTCAGGCAACTCCAGAGATGCCCCGAGAACACTGTCCCAAGTCTAGAGGAACACCAACTTCAGCACAGCAACTCGAGGAATGCTCCGTGTACCCCAAATCGTCTCGAGATGCGAGCTGATTCCCTTGCTTAGGCTCAAGACGTATGCCAACTTCCCAGAAGCACCTCAGGAGGAGGCTTCTCTCAGCAATAGGTATGTGCGAGGGACCCCGAGTTTGCTGCCTCAAGGGGAATATACAGCGAGAAGCCCTAACTTGAAAGGAGGCCGGATTACCTTGCAGTGGCTTGAATACAGGCTCGTCTTTCATCTCACAACATGAAGGGATGTCTGAATCCCCTGTGGAGACCTTAGAGAAAGCCCTAGGTCCCTGCCTCATTTTGACGGAATGCCTCACATCCCACTGACACCTCGAGAGGCACGCGGAGTTCATTGCTTCAAAAGGTGACGATGCCTGACTCCTCTTGAATACTGATAGGAATCCCAAAATCCCTGTGGCTATTGGAAAGGGTCCTTGGGTGCCCTGCCTCACCTCGAGAAGCGTCCTTTTGCCCCTGCCAAGCCTCGAAGAGATTCCTGAGGTGTCCCTCGTTCCTAGACAGGAGTCCTGACGTCACTGAAGAAACTCGTGTTTTGAAGGGCCATCCCCGCCGTAAGTCGAGAACATACACCAGGTCCCCGCCGCAACTCGAGAAAAACCATGAGACTTCCCCCTAGAGGCGAGATGAGGCCCCATTCCCCTGCAGTGCATGCAGAGCTATTCCGTGATCCCATTCAAACAAGTCAGGAGCTTCGACTTGCTTCATGGATCTCGAGACAGTCCCCAAGAACACTGTCACCAGTCTAGACGGACCCTGAGGTCACCCCAGGAACGCAAAGCAGCTCCATGTGCCCCAAATCAACTCGAGATGAGGCCCGATTCCCCTGCATTGACTCCAGAGTCATTCCCCGTTCCCCATTCAACACGACCGGTGGCTCGACTTCCTTCAGGCAACTCCAGAGATGCCCCGAGAACACTGTCCCAAGTCCAGAGGAACACCAACTTCAGCACAGCAACTCGAGGAATGCTCCGTGTACCCCAAATCGTCTCGAGATGAGAGCTGATTCCCTGGCTTAGGCTCAAGACGTATGCCAACTTCCCAGAAGAACCTCAGGAGGAGGCTTCTCTCAGCAATAGGTATGTGGGAGGGACCCCGAGTTTGCTGCCTCAAGGGGAATATACAGCGAGAAGCCCTAACTTGAAAGGAGGCCGGATTTCCTTGCAGTGGCTTGAATACAGGCTCGTCTTTCATCTCACAACATGAAGGGATGTCTGAACCCCCTGTGGAGACCTTAGAGAAAGCCCTAGGTCCCTGCCTCATTTTGACGGAATGCCTCACATCCCGCTGACACCTCGAGAGGCACGCGGAGTTCATTGCTTCAAAAGGTGACGATGCCTGACTCCTCTTGAATACTGATAGGAATCCCAAAATCCCTGTGGCTACTGGAAAGGGTCCTTGGGTGCCCTGCCTCACCTCGAGAAGCGTCCCTTTTGCCCTGCCAAGCCTCGAAGAGATTCCTGAGGTGTCCCTCGTTACTAGACAGGAGTCCTGACGTCACTGAAGAAACTCGTGTTTTGAAGGGCCATCCCAGCCGTAAGTCGAGAACATACCCCAGGTCACCGCCGCAACTCGAGAAAAACCATGAGACTTCCCCCTAGAGGCGAGATGAGGCCCCATTCCCCTGCAGTGCATGCAGAGCTATTCCGTGATCCCATTCAAACAAGTCAGGAGCTTCGACTTGCTTAATGATCTCTAGACAGTCCCCAAGATCACTGTCACCAGTCTAGACGGACCCTGAGGTCACCCCAGCAACGCAAAGCAGCTCCATGTGCCCCAAATCAACTCGAGATGAGGCCCGATTCCCCTGCATTGACTCCAGAGCCATTCCCCGTTCCCCATTCAACACGACCGGTGGCTCGACTTCCTTCAGGCAACTCCAGAGATGCCCCGAGAACACTGTCCCAAGTCTAGAGGAACACCAACTTCAGCACAGCAACTCGAGGAATGCTCCGTGTACCCCGAATCGTCTCGAGATGCGAGCTGATTCCCTGGCTTAGGCTCAAGACGTATGCCAACTTCCCAGAAGCACCTCAGGAGGAGGCTTCTCTCAGCAATAGGTATGTGCGACGGACCCCGAGTTTGCTGCCTCAAGGGGAATATACAGCGAGAAGCCCTAACTTGAAAGGAGGCCGGATTTCCTTGCAGTGGCTTGAATACAGGCTCGTCTTTCATCTCACAACATGAAGGGATGTCTGAATCCCCTGTGGAGACCTTAGAGAAAGCCCTAGGTCCCTGCCTCATTTTGACGGAATGCCTCACATCCCGCTGACACCTCGAGAGGCACGCGGAGTTCATTGCTTCAAAATGTGACGATGCCTGACTCCTCTTGAATACTGATAGGAATCCCAAAATCCCTGTGGCTATTGGAAAGGGTCCTTGGGTGCCCTGCCTCACCTCGAGAACCGTCCTTTTGCCATGCCAAGCCTCGAAGAGATTCCTGAGGTGTCCCTCGTTACTAGACAGGAGTCCTGACGTCACTGAAGAAACTCGTGTTTTGAAGGGCCATCCCCGCCGTAAGTCGAGAACATACACCAGGTCCCCGCCGCAACTCGAGAAAAACCATGAGACTTCCCCCTAGAGGCGAGATGAGGCCCCATTCCCCTGCAGTGCATGCAGAGCTATTCCGTGATCCCATTCAAACAAGTCAGGAGCTTCGACTTGCTTAATGGATCTCGAGACAGTCCCCAAGAACACTGTCACCAGTCTAGACGGACCCTGAGGTCACCCCAGCAACGCAAAGCAGCTCCATGTGCCCCAAATCAACTCGAGATGAGGCCCGATTCCCCTGCATTGACTCCAGAGCCATTCCCCTTTCCCCATTCAACACGACCGGTGGCTCGACTTCTTTCAGGCAACTCCAGAGATGCCCCGAGAACACTGTCCCAAGTCTAGAGGAACACCAACTTCAACACAGCAACTCGAGGAATGCTCCGTGTACCCCAAATCGTCTCGAGATGAGAGCTGATTCCCTGGCATAGGCTCAAGACGTATGCCAACTTCCCAGAAGCACCTCAGGAGGAGGCTTCTCTCAGCAATAGGTATGTGGGAGGGACCCCGAGTTTGCTGCCTCAAGGGGAATATACAGCGAGAAGCCCTAACTTGAAAGGAGGCTGGATTTCCTTGCAGTGGCTTGAATACAGGCTCGTCTTTCATCTCACAACATGAAGGGATGTCTGAATCCCCTGTGGAGACCTTAGAGAAAGCCCTAGGTCCCTGCCTCATTTTGACGGAATGCCTCACATCCCGCTGACACCTCGAGAGGCACGCGGAGTTCATTGCTTCAAAAGGTGACGATGCCTGACTCCTCTTGAATACTGATAGGAATCCCAAAATCCCTGTGGCTACTGGAAAGGGTCCTTGGGTGCCCTGCCTCACCTCGAGAAGCGTCCCTTTTGCCCTGCCAAGCCTCGAAGAGATTCCTGAGGTGTCCCTCGTTACTAGACAGGAGTCCTGACGTCACTGAAGAAACTCGTGTTTTGAAGGGCCATCCCAGCCGTAAGTCGAGAACATACCCCAGGTCACCGCCGCAACTCGAGAAAAACCATGAGACTTCCCCCTAGAGGCGAGATGAGGCCCCATTCCCCTGCAGTGCATGCAGAGCTATTCCGTGATCCCATTCAAACAAGTCAGGAGCTTCGACTTGCTTAATGATCTCTAGACAGTCCCCAAGATCACTGTCACCTGTCTAGACGGACCCTGAGGTCACCCCAGCAACGCAAAGCAGCTCCATGTGCCCCAAATCAACTCGAGATGAGGCCCGATTCCCCTGCATTGACTCCAGAGCCATTCCCCGTTCCCCATTCAACACGACCGGTGGCTCGACTTCCTTCAGGCAACTCCAGAGATGCCCCGAGAACACTGTCCCAAGTCTAGAGGAACACCAACTTCAGCACAGCAACTCGAGGAATGCTCCGTGTACCCCAAATCGTCTCGAGATGCGAGCTGATTCCCTGGCTTAGGCTCAAGATGTATGCCAACTTCCCAGAAGCACCTCAGGAGGAGGCTTCTCTCAGCAATAGGTATGTGCGAGGGACCCCGAGTTTGCTGCCTCAAGGGGAATATACAGCGAGAAGCCCTAACTTGAAAGGAGGCCGGATTTCCTTGCAGTGGCTTGAATACAGGCTCGTCTTTCATCTCACAACATGAAGGGATGTCTGAGTCCCCTGTGGAGACCTTAGAGAAAGCCCTAGGTCCCTGCCTCATTTTGACGGAATGCCTCACATCCCGCTGACACCTCGAGAGGCACGCGGAGTTCATTGCTTCAAAAGGTGACGATGCCTGACTCCTCTTGAATACTGATAGGAATCCCAAAATCCCTGTGGCTATTGGAAAGGGTCCTTGGGTGCCCTGCCTCACCTCGAGAAGCGTCCTTTTGCCCTGCCAAGCCTCGAAGAGATTCCTGAGGTGTCCCTCGTTACTAGACAGGAGTCCTGACGTCACTGAAGAAACTCGTGTTTTGAAGGGCCATCCCCGCCGTAAGTCGAGAACATACCCCAGGTCCCCGCCGCAACTCGAGAAAAACCATGAGACTTCCCCTAGAGGCGAGATGAGGCCCCATTCCCCTGCAGTGCATGCAGAGCTATTCCGTGATCCCATTCAAACAAGTCAGGAGCTTCGACTTGCTTCATGGATCTCGAGACAGTCCCCAAGAACACTGTCACCAGTCTAGACGGACCCTGAGGTCACCCCAGCAACGCAAAGCAGCTCCATGTGCCCCAAATCAACTCGAGATGAGGCCCGATTCCCCTGCATTGACTCCAGAGCCATTCCCCGTTCCCCATTCAACACGACCGGTGTCTCGACTTCCTTCAGGCAACTCCAGAGATGCCCTGAGAACACTGTCATAAGTCTAGAGGAACACCAACTTCAGCACAGCAACTCGAGGAATGCTCCGTGTACCCCAAATCGTCTCGAGATGAGAGCTGATTCCCTGGCTTAGGCTCAAGACGTATGCCAACTTCCCAGAAGCACCTCAGGAGGAGGCTTCTCTCAGCAATAGGTATGTGCGAGGGACCCCGAGTTTGCTGCCTCAAGGGGAATATACAGCGAGAAGCCCTAACTTGAAAGGCGGCCGGATTTCCTTGCAGTGGCTTGAATACAGGCTCGTCTTTCATCTCACAACAATAAGGGATGTCTGAATCCCCTGTGGAGACCTTAGAGAAAGCCCTAGGTCCCTGCCTCATTTTGACGGAATGCCTCACATCCCGCTGACACCTCGAGAGGCACGCGGAGTTCATTGCTTCAAAAGGTGACGATGCCTGACTCCTCTTGAATACTGATAGGAATCCCAAAATCCCTGTGGCTACTGGAAAGGGTCCTTGGGTGCCCTGCCTCACCTCGAGAAGCGTCCCTTTTGCCCTGCCAAGCCTCGAAGAGATTCCTGAGGTGTCCCTCGTTACTAGACAGGAGTCCTGACGTCACTGAAGAAACTCGTGTGTTGAAGGGCCATCCCAGCCGTAAGTCGAGAACATACCCCAGGTCACCGCCGCAACTCGAGAAAAACCATGAGACTTCCCCCTAGAGGCGAGATGAGGCCCCATTCCCCTGCAGTGCATGCAGAGCTATTCCGTGATCCCATTCAAACAAGTCAGGAGCTTCGAGTTGCTTAATGATCTCTAGACAGTCCCCAAGAACACTGTCACCAGTCTAGACGGACCCTGAGGTCACCCCAGCAACGCAAAGCAGCTCCATGTGCCCCAAATCAACTCGAGATGAGGCCCGATTCCCCTGCATTGACTCCAGAGCCATTCCCCGTTCCCCATTCAACACGACCGGTGGCTCGACTTCCTTCAGGCAACTCCAGAGATGCCCCGAGAACACTGTCCCAAGTCTAGAGGAACACCAACTTCAGCACAGCAACTCGAGGAATGCTCCGTGTACCCCAAATCGTCTCGAGATGCGAGCTGATTCCCTTGCTTAGGCTCAAGACGTATGCCAACTTCCCAGAAGCACCTCAGGAGGAGGCTTCTCTCAGCAATAGGTATGTGCGAGGGACCCCGAGTTTGCTGCCTCAAGGGGAATATACAGCGAGAAGCCCTAACTTGAAAGGAGGCCGGATTACCTTGCAGTGGCTTGAATACAGGCTCGTCTTTCATCTCACAACATGAAGGGATGTCTGAATCCCCTGTGGAGACCTTAGAGAAAGCCCTAGGTCCCTGCCTCATTTTGACGGAATGCCTCACATCCCGCTGAAACCTCGAGAGGCACGCGGAGTTCATTGCTTCAAAAGGTGACGATGCCTGACTCCTCTTGAATACTGATAGGAATCCCAAAATCCCTGTGGCTATTGGAAAGGGTCCTTGGGTGCCCTGCCTCACCTCGAGAAGCGTCCTTTTGCCCCTGCCAAGCCTCGAAGAGATTCCTGAGGTGTCCCTCGTTCCTAGACAGGAGTCCTGACGTCACTGAAGAAACTCGTGTTTTGAAGGGCCATCCCCGCCGTAAGTCGAGAACATACACCAGGTCCCCGCCGCAACTCGAGAAAAACCATGAGACTTCCCCCTAGAGGCGAGATGAGGCCCCATTCCCCTGCAGTGCATGCAGAGCTATTCCGTGATCCCATTCAAACAAGTCAGGAGCTTCGACTTGCTTCATGGATCTCGAGACAGTCCCCAAGAACACTGTCACCAGTCTAGACGGACCCTGAGGTCACCCCAGGAACGCAAAGCAGCTCCATGTGCCCCAAATCAACTCGAGATGAGGCCCGATTCCCCTGCATTGACTCCAGAGTCATTCCCCGTTCCCCATTCAACACGACCGGTGGCTCGACTTCCTTCAGGCAACTCCAGAGATGCCCCGAGAACACTGTCCCAAGTCCAGAGGAACACCAACTTCAGCACAGCAACTCGAGGAATGCTCCGTGTACCCCAAATCGTCTCGAGATGCGAGCTGATTCCCTGGCTTAGGCTCAAGACGTATGCCAACTTCCCAGAAGCACCTCAGGAGGAGGCTTCTCTCAGCAATAGGTATGTGGGAGGGACCCCGAGTTTGCTGCCTCAAGGGGAATATACAGCGAGAAGCCCTAACTTGAAAGGAGGCCGGATTTCCTTGCAGTGGCTTGAATACAGGCTCGTCTTTCATCTCACAACATGAAGGGATGTCTGAATCCCCTGTGGAGACCTTAGAGAAAGCCCTAGGTCCCTGCCTCATTTTGACGGAATGCCTCACATCCCGCTGACACCTCGAGAGGCACGCGGAGTTCATTGCTTCAAAATGTGACGATGCCTGACTCCTCTTGAATACTGATAGGAATCCCAAAATCCCTGTGGCTATTGGAAAGGGTCCTTGGGTGCCCTGCCTCACCTCGAGAACCGTCCTTTTGCCATGCCAAGCCTCGAAGAGATTCCTGAGGTGTCCCTCGTTACTAGACAGGAGTCCTGACGTCACTGAAGAAACTCGTGTTTTGAAGGGCCATCCCCGCCGTAAGTCGAGAACATACACCAGGTCCCCGCCGCAACTCGAGAAAAACCATGAGACTTCCCCCTAGAGGCGAGATGAGGCCCCATTCCCCTGCAGTGCATGCAGAGCTATTCCGTGATCCCATTCAAACAAGTCAGGAGCTTCGAGTTGCTTAATGATCTCTAGACAGTCCCCAAGAACACTGTCACCAGTCTAGACGGACCCTGAGGTCACCCCAGCAACGCAAAGCAGCTCCATGTGCCCCAAATCAACTCGAGATGAGGCCCGATTCCCCTGCATTGACTCCAGAGCCATTCCCCGTTCCCCATTCAACACGACCGGTGGCTCGACTTCCTTCAGGCAACTCCAGAGATGCCCCGAGAACACTGTCCCAAGTCTAGAGGAACACCAACTTCAGCACAGCAACTCGAGGAATGCTCCGTGTACCCCAAATCGTCTCGAGATGCGAGCTGATTCCCTTGCTTAGGCTCAAGACGTATGCCAACTTCCCAGAAGCACCTCAGGAGGAGGCTTCTCTCAGCAATAGGTATGTGCGAGGGACCCCGAGTTTGCTGCCTCAAGGGGAATATACAGCGAGAAGCCCTAACTTGAAAGGAGGCCGGATTACCTTGCAGTGGCTTGAATACAGGCTCGTCTTTCATCTCACAACATGAAGGGATGTCTGAATCCCCTGTGGAGACCTTAGAGAAAGCCCTAGGTCCCTGCCTCATTTTGACGGAATGCCTCACATCCCGCTGAAACCTCGAGAGGCACGCGGAGTTCATTGCTTCAAAAGGTGACGATGCCTGACTCCTCTTGAATACTGATAGGAATCCCAAAATCCCTGTGGCTATTGGAAAGGGTCCTTGGGTGCCCTGCCTCACCTCGAGAAGCGTCCTTTTGCCCCTGCCAAGCCTCGAAGAGATTCCTGAGGTGTCCCTCGTTCCTAGACAGGAGTCCTGACGTCACTGAAGAAACTCGTGTTTTGAAGGGCCATCCCCGCCGTAAGTCGAGAACATACACCAGGTCCCCGCCGCAACTCGAGAAAAACCATGAGACTTCCCCCTAGAGGCGAGATGAGGCCCCATTCCCCTGCAGTGCATGCAGAGCTATTCCGTGATCCCATTCAAACAAGTCAGGAGCTTCGACTTGCTTCATGGATCTCGAGACAGTCCCCAAGAACACTGTCACCAGTCTAGACGGACCCTGAGGTCACCCCAGGAACGCAAAGCAGCTCCATGTGCCCCAAATCAACTCGAGATGAGGCCCGATTCCCCTGCATTGACTCCAGAGTCATTCCCCGTTCCCCATTCAACACGACCGGTGGCTCGACTTCCTTCAGGCAACTCCAGAGATGCCCCGAGAACACTGTCCCAAGTCCAGAGGAACACCAACTTCAGCACAGCAACTCGAGGAATGCTCCGTGTACCCCAAATCGTCTAGAGATGCGAGCTGATTCCCTGGCTTAGGCTCAAGACGTATGCCAACTTCCCAGAAGCACCTCAGGAGGAGGCTTCTCTCAGCAATAGGTATGTGGGAGGGACCCCGAGTTTGCTGCCTCAAGGGGAATATACAGCGAGAAGCCCTAACTTGAAAGGAGGCCGGATTTCCTTGCAGTGGCTTGAATACAGGCTCGTCTTTCATCTCACAACATGAAGGGATGTCTGAATCCCCTGTGGAGACCTTAGAGAAAGCCCTAGGTCCCTGCCTCATTTTGACGGAATGCCTCACATCCCGCTGACACCTCGAGAGGCACGCGGAGTTCATTGCTTCAAAATGTGACGATGCCTGACTCCTCTTGAATACTGATAGGAATCCCAAAATCCCTGTGGCTATTGGAAAGGGTCCTTGGGTGCCCTGCCTCACCTCGAGAACCGTCCTTTTGCCATGCCAAGCCTCGAAGAGATTCCTGAGGTGTCCCTCGTTACTAGACAGGAGTCCTGACGTCACTGAAGAAACTCGTGTTTTGAAGGGCCATCCCCGCCGTAAGTCGAGAACATACACCAGGTCCCCGCCGCAACTCGAGAAAAACCATGAGACTTCCCCCTAGAGGCGAGATGAGGCCCCATTCCCCTGCAGTGCATGCAGAGCTATTCCGTGATCCCATTCAAACAAGTCAGGAGCTTCGACTTGCTTCATGGATCTCGAGACAGTCCCCAAGAACACTGTCACCAGTCTAGACGGACCCTGAGGTCACCCCAGCAACGCAAAGCAGCTCCATGTGCCCCAAATCAACTCGAGATGAGGCCCGATTCCCCTGCATTGACTCCAGAGCCATTCCCCTTTCCCCATTCAACACGACCGGTGGCTCGACTTCTTTCAGGCAACTCCAGAGATGCCTCGAGAACACTGTCCCAAGTCTAGAGGAACACCAACTTCAACACAGCAACTCGAGGAATGCTCCGTGTACCCCAAATCGTCTCGAGATGAGAGCTGATTCCCTGGCATAGGCTCAAGACGTATGCCAACTTCCCAGAAGCACCTCAGGAGGAGGCTTCTCTCAGCAATAGGTATGTGGGAGGGACCCCGAGTTTGCTGCCTCAAGGGGAATATACAGCGAGAAGCCCTAACTTGAAAGGAGGCTGGATTTCCTTGCAGTGGCTTGAATACAGGCTCGTCTTTCATCTCACAACATGAAGGGATGTCTGAATCCCCTGTGGAGACCTTAGAGAAAGCCCTAGGTCCCTGCCTCATTTTGACGGAATGCCTCACATCCCGCTGACACCTCGAGAGGCACGCGGAGTTCATTGCTTCAAAAGGTGACGATGCCTGACTCCTCTTGAATACTGATAGGAATCCCAAAATCCCTGTGGCTACTGGAAAGGGTCCTTGGGTGCCCTGCCTCACCTCGAGAAGCGTCCCTTTTGCCCTGCCAAGCCTCGAAGAGATTCCTGAGGTGTCCCTCGTTACTAGACAGGAGTCCTGACGTCACTGAAGAAACTCGTGTGTTGAAGGGCCATCCCAGCCGTAAGTCGAGAACATACCCCAGGTCACCGCCGCAACTCGAGAAAAACCATGAGACTTCCCCCTAGAGGCGAGATGAGGCCCCATTCCCCTGCAGTGCATGCAGAGCTATTCCGTGATCCCATTCAAACAAGTCAGGAGCTTCGAGTTGCTTAATGATCTCTAGACAGTCCCCAAGAACACTGTCACCAGTCTAGACGGACCCTGAGGTCACCCCAGCAACGCAAAGCAGCTCCATGTGCCCCAAATCAACTCGAGATGAGGCCCGATACCCTGCATTGACTCCAGAGCCATTCCCCGTTCCCCATTCAACACGACCGGTGGCTCGACTTCCTTCAGGCAACTCCAGAGATGCCCCGAGAACACTGTCCCAAGTCTAGAGGAACACCAACTTCAGCAAGGCAACTCGAGGAATGCTCCGTGTACCCCAAATCGTCTCGAGATGCGAGCTGATTCCCTTGCTTAGGCTCAAGACGTATGCCAACTTCCCAGAAGCACCTCAGGAGGAGGCTTCTCTCAGCAATAGGTATGTGCGAGGGACCCCGAGTTTGCTGCCTCAAGGGGAATATACAGCGAGAAGCCCTAACTTGAAAGGAGGCCGGACTACCTTGCAGTGGCTTGAATACAGGCTCGTCTTTCATCTCACAACATGAAGGGATGTCTGAATCCCCTGTGGAGACCTTAGAGAAAGCCCTAGGTCCCTGCCTCATTTTGACGGAATGCATCACATCCCGCTGACACCTCGAGAGGCACGCGGAGTTCATTGCTTCAAAAGGTGACGATGCCTGACTCCTCTTGAATACTGATAGGAATCCCAAAATCCCTGTGGCTATTGGAAAGGGTCCTTGGGTGCCCTGCCTCACCTCGAGAAGCGTCCTTTTGCCCCTGCCAAGCCTCGAAGAGATTCCTGAGGTGTCCCTCGTTCCTAGACAGGAGTCCTGACGTCACTGAAGAAACTCGTGTTTTGAAGGGCCATCCCCGCCGTAAGTCGAGAACATACACCAGGTCCCCGCCGCAACTCGAGAAAAACCATGAGACTTCCCCCTAGAGGCGAGATGAGGCCCCATTCCCCTGCAGTGCATGCAGAGCTATTCCGTGATCCCATTCAAACAAGTCAGGAGCTTCGACTTGCTTCATGGATCTCGAGACAGTCCCCAAGAACACTGTCACCAGTCTAGACGGACCCTGAGGTCACCCCAGGAACGCAAAGCAGCTCCATGTGCCCCAAATCAACTCGAGATGAGGCCCGATTCCCCTGCATTGACTCCAGAGTCATTCCCCGTTCCCCATTCAACACGACCGGTGGCTCGACTTCCTTCAGGCAACTCCAGAGATGCCCCGAGAACACTGTCCCAAGTCCAGAGGAACACCAACTTCAGCACAGCAACTCGAGGAATGCTCCGTGTACCCCAAATCGTCTCGAGATGAGAGCTGATTCCCTGGCTTAGGCTCAAGACGTATGCCAACTTCCCAGAAGAACCTCAGGAGGAGGCTTCTCTCAGCAATAGGTATGTGGGAGGGACCCCGAGTTTGCTGCCTCAAGGGGAATATACAGCGAGAAGCCCTAACTTGAAAGGAGGCCGGATTTCCTTGCAGTGGCTTGAATACAGGCTCGTCTTTCATCTCACAACATGAAGGGATGTCTGAATCCCCTGTGGAGACCTTAGAGAAAGCCCTAGGTCCCTGCCTCATTTTGACGGAATGCCTCACATCCCGCTGACACCTCGAGAGGCACGCGGAGTTCATTGCTTCAAAAGGTGACGATGCCTGACTCCTCTTGAATACTGATAGGAATCCCAAAATCCCTGTGGCTATTGGAAAGGGTCCTTGGGTGCCCTGCCTCACCTCGAGAAGTGTCCTTTTGCCCTGCCAAGCCTCGAAGAGATTCCTGAGGTGTCCCTCGTTACTAGACAGGAGTCCTGACGTCACTGAAGAAACTCGTGTTTTGAAGGGCCATCACCGCCGTAAGTCGAGAACATACCCCAGGTCCCCGCCGCAACTCGAGAAAAACCATGAGACTTCCCCCTAGAGGCGAGATGAGGCCCCATTCCCCTGCAGTGCATGCAGAGCTATTCCGTGATCCCATTCAAACAAGTCAGGAGCTTCGACTTGCTTAATGGATCTCGAGACAGTCCCCAAGAACACTGTCACCAGTCTAGACGGACCCTGAGGTCACCCAGCAATGCAAAGCAGCTCCATGTGCCCCAAATCAACTCGAGATGAGGCCCGATTCCCCTGCATTGACTCCAGAGCCATTCCCCGTTCCCCATTCAACACGACCGTTGGCTCGACTTCCTTCAGGCAACTCCAGAGATGCCCCGAGAACACTGTCCCAAGTCTAGAGGAACACCAACTTCAGCACAGCAACTCGAGGAATGCTCCGTGTACCCCAAATCGTCTCTAGATGCGAGCTGATTCCCTGGCTTAGGCTCAAGACATATGCCAACTTCCCAGAAGCACCTCAGGAGGAGGCTTCTCTCAGCAATAGGTATGTGCGAGGGACCCCGAGTTTGTTGCCTCAAGGGGAATATACAGCGAGAAACCCTAACTTGAAACGCGACCGGATTTCCTTGCAGTGGCTTGAATACAGGCTCGTCTTTCATCTCACAAGATGAAGGGATGTCTGAATCCCCTGTGGAGACCTTAGAGAAAGCCCTAGGTCCTTGCCTCATTTTGACGGAATGCATCACATCCCGCTGACACCTCGAGAGGCACGCGGAGTTCATTGCTTCAAAAGGTGACGATGCCTGACTCCTCTTGAATACTGATAGGAATCCCAAAATCCCTGTGGCTATTGGAAAGGGTCCTTGGGTGCCCTGCCTCACCTCGGGAAGCGTCCTTTTGCCTGCCAAGCCTCGAAGAGATTCCTGAGGTGTCCCTCGTTACTAGACAGGAGTCCTGACGTCACTGAAGAAACTCGTGTTTTGAAGGGCCATCCCCGCCGTAAGTCGAGAACATACCCCATGTCCCCGCCGCAACTCGAGAAAAACCATGAGACTTCCCCCTAGAGGCGAGATGAGGCCCCATTCCCCTGCAGTGCATGCAGAGCTATTCCGTGATCCCATTCAAACAAGTCAGGAGCTTCGACTTGCTTAATGGATCTCGAGACAGTCCCCAAGAACACTGTCACCAGTCTAGACGGACCCTGAGGTCACCCTAGCAATGCAAAGCAGCTCCATGTGCCCCAAATCAACTCGAGATGAGGCCCGATTCCCCTGCATTGACTCCAGAGCCATTCCCCGTTCCCCATTCAGCACGACCGGTGGCTCTACTTCCTTCAGGCAACTCCAGAGATGCCCCGAGAACACTGTCCCAAGTCTAGAGGAACACCAACTTCAGCACAGCACCTCGAGGAATGCTCCGTGTACCCCAAATCGTCTCGAGATGCGAGCTGATTCCCTGGCTTAGGCTCAAGACGTATGCCAACTTCCCAGAAGCACCTCAGGAGGAGGCTTCTCTCAGCAATAGGTATGTGGGAGGGACCCCGAGTTTGCTGCCTCAAGGGGAATATACAGCGAGAAGCCCTAACTTGAAAGGAGGCCGGATTTCCTTGCAGTGGCTTGAATACAGGCTCGTCTTTCATCTCACAACATGAAGGGATGTCTGAATCCCCTGTGGGGACCTTAGAGAAAGCCCTAGGTCCCTGCCTCATTTTGACGGAATGCCTCACATCCCGCTGACACCTCGAGAGGCACGCGGAGTTCATTGCTTCAAAAGGTGACGATGCCTGACTCCCCTTGAATACTGATAGGAATCCCAAAATCCCTGTGGCTATTGGAAAGGGTCCTTGGGTGCCCTGCCTCACCTCGAGAAGCGTCCTTTTGCCCTGCCAAGCCTCGAAGAGATTCCTGAGGTGTCCCTCGTTACTAGACAGGAGTCCTGACGTCACTGAAGAAACTCGTGTTTTGAAGGGCCATCCCCGCCGTAAGTCGAGAACATACACCAGGTCCCCGCCGCAACTCGAGAAAAACCATGAGACTTCCCCCTAGAGGCGAGATGAGGCCCCATTCCCCTGCAGTGCATGCAGAGCTATTCCGTGATCCCATTCAAACAAGTCAGGAGCTTCGAGTTGCTTCATGGATCTCGAGACAGTCCCCAAGAACACTGTCACCAGTCTAGACGGACCCTGAGGTCACCCCAGCAACGCAAAGCAGCTCCATGTGCCCCAAATCAACTCGAGATGAGGCCCGATTCCCCTGCATTGACTCCAGAGCCATTCCCCGTTCCCCATTCAACACGACCGGCGGCTCGACTTCCTTCAGGCAACTCCAGAGATGCCCCGAGAACACTGTCCCAAGTCTAGAGGAACGCCAACTTCAGCACAGCAACTCGAGGAATGCTCCGTGTAACCCAAATCGTCTCGAGATGAGAGCTGATTCCCTGGCTTAGGCTCAAGACGTATGCCAACTTCCCAGAAGCACCTCAGGAGGAGGCTTCTCTCAGCTATAAGTATGTGGGAGGGACCCCGAGTTTGCTGCCTCAAGGGGAATATACAGCGAGAAGATCTAACTTGAAAGGAGGCCGGATTTCCTTGCAGTGGCTTGAATACAGGCTCGACTTTCATCTCACAACATGAAGGGATGTCTGAATCCCCTGTGGAGACCTTAGAGAAAGCCCTAGGTCCCTGCCTCATTTTGACGGAATGCCTCACATCCCGCTGACACCTCGAGAGGCACGCGGAGTTCATTGCTTCAAAAGGTGACGATGCCTGACTCCTCTTGAATACTGATAGGAATCCCAAAATCCCTGTGGCTACTGGAAAGGGTCCTTTGGTGCCCTGCCTCACCTCGAGAAGCGTCCCTTTTGTCCTGCCAAGCCTCGAAGAGATTCCTGAGGTGTCCCTCGTTACTAGACAGGAGTCCTGACGTCACTGAAGAAACTCGTGTTTGGAAGGGCCATCCCCGCCGTAAGTCGAGAACATACCCCAGGTCCCCGCCGCAACTCGAGAAAAACCATGAGACTTCCCCCTAGAGGCGAGATGAGGCCCCATTCCCCTGCAGTGCATGCAGAGCTATTCCGTGATCCCATTCAAACAAGTCAGGAGCTTCGACTTGCTTCATGGATCTCGAGACAGTCCCCAAGAACACTGTCACCAGTCTAGACGGACCCTGAGGTCACCCCAGCAACGCAAAGCAGCTCCATGTGCCCCAAATCAACTCGAGATGAGGCCCGATTCCCCTGCATTGACTCCAGAGCCATTCCCCGTTCCCCATTCAACACGACCGGTGGCTCGACTTCCTTCAGGCAACTCCAGAGATGCCCCGAGAACACTGTCCCAAGTCCAGAGGAACACCAACTTCAGCACAGCAACTCGAGGAATGCTCCGTGTACCCCAAATCGTCTCGAGATGAGAGCTGATTCCCTGGCTTAGGCTCAAGACGTATGCCAACTTCCCAGAAGCACCTCAGGAGGAGGCTTCTCTCACTAATAGGTATGTGGGAGGGACCCCGAGTTTGCTGCCTCAAGGGGAATATACAGCGAGAAGCCCTAACTTGAAAGGAGGCCGGATTTCCTTGCAGTGGCTTGAATACAGGCTCGTCTTTCATCTCACAAGATGAAGGGATGTCTGAATCCCCTGTGGAGACCTTAGAGAAAGCCCTAGGTCCCTGCCTCATTTTGACGGAATGCCTCACATCCCGCTGACACCTCGAGAGGCACGCGGAGTTCATTGCTTCAAAAGGTGACGATGCCTGACTCCTCTTGAATACTGATAGGAATCCCAAAATCCCTGTGGCTATTGGAAAGGGTCCTTGGGTGCCCTGCCTCACCTCGAGAAGCGTCCTTTTGCCCTGCCAAGCCTCGAAGAGATTCCTGAGGTGTCCCTCGTTACTAGACAGGAGTCCTGACGTCACTGAAGAAACTCGTGTTTTGAAGGGCCATCCCCGCCGTAAGTCGAGAACATACACCAGGTCGCCGCAACTCGAGAAAAACCATGAGACTTCCCCCTAGAGGCGAGATGAGGCCCCATTCCCCTGCAGTGCATGCAGAGCTATTCCGTGATCCCATTCAAACAAGTCAGGAGCTTCGACTTGCTTAATGGATCTCGAGACAGTCCCCAAGAACACTATCACCAGTCTAGACGGACCCTGAGGTCACCCCAGCAACGCAAAGCAGCTCCATGTGCCCCAAATCAACTCGAGATGAGGCCCGATTCCCCTGCATTGACTCCAGAGCCATTCCCCGTTCCCCATTCAACACGACCGGTGTCTCGACTTCCTTCAGGCAACTCCAGAGATGCCCCGAGAACACTGTCCCAAGTCTAGAGGAACACCAACTTCAGCACAGCAACTCGAGGAATGCTCCGTGTACCCCAAATCGTCTCGAGATGAGAGCTGATTCCCTGGCTTAGGCTCAAGACGTATGCCAACTTCCCAGAAGCACCTCAGGAGGAGGCTTCTCTCAGCTATAAGTATGTGGGAGGGACCCCGAGTTTGCTGCCTCAAGGGGAATATACAGCGAGAAGATCTAACTTGAAAGGAGGCCGGATTTCCTTGCAGTGGCTTGAATACAGGCTCGTCTTTCATCTCACAACATGAAGGGATGTCTGAATCCCCTGTGGAGACCTTAGAGAAAGCCCTAGGTCCCTGCCTCATTTTGACGGAATGCCTCACATCCCGCTGACACCTCGAGAGGCACGCGGAGTTCATTGCTTCAAAAGGTGACGATGCCTGACTCCTCTTGAATACTGATAGGAATCCCAAAATCCCTGTGGCTACTGGAAAGGGTCCTTGGGTGCCCTGCCTCACCTCGAGAAGCGTCCCTTTTGTCCTGCCAAGCCTCGAAGAGATTCCTGAGGTGTCCCTCGTTACTAGACAGGAGTCCTGACGTCACTGAAGAAACTCGTGTTTTGAAGGGCCATCCCCGCCGTAAGTCGAGAACATACCCCATGTCCCCGCCGCAACTCGAGAAAAACCATGAGACTTCCCCCTAGAGGCGAGATGAGGCCCCATTCCCCTGCAGTGCATGCAGAGCTATTCCGTGATCCCATTCAAACAAGTCAGGAGCTTCGACTTGCTTAATGGATCTCGAGACAGTCCCCAAGAACACTGTCACCAGTCTAGACGGACCCTGAGGTCACCCCAGCAACGCAAAGCAGCTCCATGTGCCCCAAATCAACTCGAGATGAGGCCCGATTCCCCTGCATTGACTCCAGAGCCATTCCCCGTTCCCCATTCAACACGACCGGTGGCTCGTCTTCCTTCAGGCAACTCCAGAGATGCCCCGAGAACACTGTCCCAAGTCCAGAGGAACACCAAATTCAGCACAGCAACTCGAGGAATGCTCCGTGTACCCCAAATCGTCTCGAGATGAGAGCTGATTCCCTGGCTTAGGCTCAAGACGTATGCCAACTTCCCAGAAGCACCTCAGGAGGAGGCTTCTCTCAGCAATAGGTATGTGGGAGGGACCCCGAATTTGCTGCCTCAAGGGGAATATACAGCGAGAAGCCCTAACTTGAAAGGAGGCCGGATTTCCTTGCAGTGGCTTGAATACAGGCTCGTCTTTCATCTCACAAGATGAAGGGATGTCTGAATCCCCTGTGGAGACCTTAGAGAAAGCCCTAGGTCCCTGCCTCATTTTGACGGAATGCCTCACATCCCGCTGACACCTCGAGAGGCACGCGGAGTTCATTGCTTCAAAAGGTGACGATGCCTGACTCCTCTTGAATACTGATAGGAATCCCAAAATCCCTGTGGCTATTGGAAAGGGTCCTTGGGTGCCCTGCCTCACCTCGAGAAGCGTCCTTTTGCCCTGCCAAGCCTCGAAGAGATTCCTGAGGTGTCCCTCGTTACTAGACAGGAGTCCTGACGTCACTGAAGAAACTCGTGTTTTGAAGGGCCATCCCCGCCGTAAGTCGAGAACATACACCAGGTCCCCGCCGCAACTCGAGAAAAACCATGAGACTTCCCCCTAGAGGCGAGATGAGGCCCCATTCCCCTGCAGTGCATGCAGAGCTATTCCGTGATCCCATTCAAACAAGTCAGGAGCTTCGACTTGCTTAATGGATCTCGAGACAGTCCCCAAGAACACTGTCACCAGTCTAGACGGACCCTGAGGTCACCCCAGCAATGCAAAGCAGCTCCATGTGCCCCAAATCAACTCGAGATGAGGCCCGATTCCCCTGCATTGACTCCAGAGCCATTCCCCGTTCCCCATTCAACACGACCGGTGTCTCGACTTCCTTCAGGCAACTCCAGAGATGCCCCGAGAACACTGTCTCAAGTCTAGAGGAACACCAACTTCAGCACAGCAACTCGAGGAATGCTCCGTGTACCCCAAATCGTCTCGAGATGAGAGCTGATTCCCTGGCTTAGGCTCAAGACGTATGCCAACTTCCCAGAAGCACCTCAGGAGGAGGCTTCTCTCAGCTATAAGTATGTGGGAGGGACCCCGAGTTTGCTGCCTCAAGGGGAATATACAGCGAGAAGATCTAACTTGAAAGGAGGCCAGATTTCCTTGCAGTGGCTTGAATACAGGCTCGTCTTTCATCTCACAACATGAAGGGATGTCTGAATCCCCTGTGGAGACCTTAGAGAAAGCCCTAGGTCCCTGCCTCATTTTGACGGAATGCCTCACATACCGCTGACACCTCGAGAGGCACGCGGAGTTCATTGCTTCAAAAGGTGACGATGCCTGACTCCTCTTGAATACTGATAGGAATCCCAAAATCCCTGTGGCTACTGGAAAGGGTCCTTGGGTGCCCTGCCTCACCTCGAGAAGCGTCCCTTTTGTCCTGCCAAGCCTCGAAGAGATTCCTGAGGTGTCCCTCGTTACTAGACAGGAGTCCTGACGTCACTGAAGAAACTCGTGTTTTGAAGGGCCATCCCCGCCGTAAGTCGAGAACATACCCCATGTCCCCGCCGCAACTCGAGAAAAACCATGAGACTTCCCCCTAGAGGCGAGATGAGGCCCCATTCCCCTGCAGTGCATGCAGAGCTATTCCGTGATCCCATTCAAACAAGTCAGGAGCTTCGACTTGCTTAATGGATCTCGAGACAGTCCCCAAGAACACTGTCACCAGTCTAGACGGACCCTGAGGTCACCCCAGCAACGCAAAGCAGCTCCATGTGCCCCAAATCAACTCGAGATGAGGCCCGATTCCCCTGCATTGACTCCAGAGCCATTCCCCGTTCCCCATTCAACACGACCGGTGGCTCGACTTCCTTCAGGCAACTCCAGAGATGCCCCGAGAACACTGTCCCAAGTCCAGAGGAACACCAACTTCAGCACAGCAACTCGAGGAATGCTCCGTGTACCCCAAATCGTCTCGAGATGAGAGCTGATTCCCTGGCTTAGGCTCAAGACGTATGCCAACTTCCCAGAAGCACCTCAGGAGGAGGCTTCTCTCAGCAATAGGTATGTGGGAGGGACCCCGAGTTTGCTGCCTCAAGGGGAATATACAGCGAGAAGCCCTAACTTGAAAGGAGGCCGGATTTCCTTGCAGTGGCTTGAATACAGGCTCGTCTTTCATCTCACAACATGAAGGGATGTCTGAATCCCCTTTGGAGACCTTAGAGAAAGCCCTAGGTCCCTGCCTCATTTTGACGGAATGCCTCACATCCCGCTGACACCTCGAGAGGCACGCGGAGTTCATTGCTTCAAAAGGTGACGATGCCTGACTCCTCTTGAATACTGATAGGAATCCCAAAATCCCTGTGGCTACTGGAAAGGGTCCTTGGGTGCCCTGCCTCACCTCGAGAAGCGTCCTTTTGCCCTGCCAAGCCTCGAAGAGATTCCTGAGGTGTCCCTCGTTACTAGACAGGAGTCCTGACGTCACTGAAGAAACTCGTGTTTTGAAGGGCCATCCCCGCCGTAAGTCGAGAACATACCCCAGGTCCCCGCCGCTACTCGAGAAAAACCATGAGACTTCCCCCTAGAGGCGAGATGAGGCCCCATTCCCCTGCAGTGCATGCAGAGCTATTCCGTGATCCCATTCAAACAAGTCAGGAGCTTGGACTTGCTTCATGGATCTCGAAACAGTCCCCAAGATCACTGTCACCAGTCTAGACGGACCCTGAGGTCACCCCAGCAACGCAAAGCAGCTCCATGTGCCCCAAATCAACTCGAGATGAGGCCCGATTCCCCTGCATTGACTCCAGAGCCATTCCCCGTTCCCCATTCAACACGACCGGTGGCTCGACTTCCTTCAGGCAACTCCAGAGATGCCCCGAGAACACTGTCCCAAGTCTAGAGGAACACCAACTTCAACACAGCAACTCGAGGAATGCTCCGTGTACCCCAAATCGTCTCGAGATGAGAGCTGATTCCCTGGCTTAGGCTCAAGACGTATGCCAACTTCCCAGAAGCACCTCAGGAGGAGGCTTCTCTCAGCAATAGGTATGTGGGAGGGACCCCGAGTTTGCTGCCTCAAGGGGAATATACAGCGAGAAGCCCTAACTTGAAAGGAGGCCGGATTTCCTTGCAGTGGCTTGATTACAGGCTCGTCTTTCATCTCACAACATGAAGGGATGTCTGAATCCCCTGTGGAGACCTTAGAGAAAGCCCTAGGTCCCTGCCTCATTTTGACGGAATGCCTCACGTCGCGCTGACACCTCGAGAGGCACGCGGAGTTCATTGCTTCAAAAGGTGACGATGCCTGACTCCTCTTGAATACTGATAGGAATCCCAAAATCCCTGTGGCTACTGGAAAGGGTCCTTGGGTGCCCTGCCTCACCTCGAGAAGCGTCCCTTTTGTCCTGCCAAGCCTCGAAGAGATTCCTGAGGTGTCCCTCGTTACTAGACAGGAGTCCTGACGTCACTGAAGAAACTCGTGTTTTGAAGGGCCATCCCCGCCGTAAGTCGAGAACATACCCCAGGTCCCCGCCGCAACTCGAGAAAAACCATGAGACTTCCCCCTAGAGGCGAGATGAGGCCCCATTCCCCTGCAGTGCATGCAGAGCTATTCCGTGATCCCATTCAAACAAGTCAGGAGCTTCGACTTGCTTAATGGATCTCGAGACAGTCCCCAAGAACACTGTCACCAGTCTAGACGGACCCTGAGGTCACCCCAGCAACGCAAAGCAGCTCCATGTGCCCCAAATCAACTCGAGATGAGGCCCGATTCCCCTGCATTGACTCCAGAGCCATTCCCCGTTCCCCATTCAACACGACCGGTGGCTCGACTTCCTTCAGGCAACTCCAGAGATACCCCGAGAACACTGTCCCAAGTCTAGAGGAACACCAACTTCAGCACAGCAACTCGAGGAATGCTCCGTGTACCCCAAATCGTCTCGAGATGAGAGCTGATTCCCTGGCTTAGGCTCAAGACGTATGCCAACTTCCCAGAAGCACCTCAGGAGGAGGCTTCTCTCAGCAATAGGTATGTGGGAGGGACCCCGAGTTTGCTGCCTCAAGGGGAATATACAGCGAGAAGCCCTAACTTGAAAGGAGGCCGGATTTCCTTGCAGTGGCTTGAATACAGGCTCGTCTTTCATCTCACAACTTGAAGGGATGTCTGAATCCCCTGTGGAGACCTTAGAGAAAGCCCTAGGTCCCTGCCTCATTTTGATGGAATGCCTCACATCCCGCTGACACCTTGAGAGGCACGCGGAGTTCATTGCTTCAAAAGGTGACGATGCCTGACTCCTGTTGAATACTGATAGGAATCCCAAAATCCCTGTGGCTATTGGAAAGGGTCCTTGGGTGCCCTGCCTCACCTCGAGAAGCGTCCTTTTGCCCTGCCAAGCCTCGAAGAGATTCCTGAGTTGTCCCTCATTACTAGACAGGAGTCCTGACGTCACTGAAGAAACTCGTGTTTTGAAGGGCCATCCCCGCCGTAAGTCGAGAACATACGCCAGGTCCCCGCCGCTACTCGAGAAAAACCATGAGACTTCCCCCTAGAGGCGAGATGAGGCCCCATTCCCCTGCAGTGCATGCAGAGCTATTCCGTGATCCCATTCAAACAAGTCAGGAGCTTCGACTTGCTTCATGGATCTCGAGACAGTCCCCAAGATCACTGTCACCAGTCTAGACGGACCCTGAGGTCACCCCAGCAACGCAAAGCAGCTCCATGTGCCCCAAATCAACTCGAGATGAGGCCCGATTCCCCTGCATTGACTCCAGAGCCATTCCCCGTTCCCCATTCAACACGACCGGTGGCTCGACTTCCTTCAGGCAACTCCAGAGATGCCCCGAGAACACTGTCCCAAGTCTAGAGGAACACCAACTTCAACACAGCAACTCGAGGAATGCTCCGTGTACCCCAAATCGTCTCGAGATGAGAGCTGATTCCCTGGCTTAGGCTCAAGACGTATGCCAACTTCCCAGAAGCACCTCAGGATGAGGCTTCTCTCAGCAATAGGTATGTGGGAGGGACCCCGAGTTTGCTGCCTCAAGGGGAATATACAGCGAGAAGCCCTAACTTGAAAGGAGGCCGGATTTCCTTGCAGTGGCTTGATTACAGGCTCGTCTTTCATCTCACAACATGAAGGGATGTCTGAATCCCCTGTGGAGACCTTAGAGAAAGCCCTAGGTCCCTGCCTCATTTTGACGGAATGCCTCACGTCGCGCTGATACCTCGAGAGGCACGCGGAGTTCATTGCTTCAAAAGGTGACGATGCCTGACTCCTCTTGAATACTGATAGGAATCCCAAAATCCCTGTGGCTACTGGAAAGGGTCCTTGGGTGCCCTGCCTCACCTCGAGAAGCATCCCTTTTGCCCTGCCAAGCCTCGAAGAGTTTCCTGAGGTGTCCCTCGTTACTACACAGGAGTCTTGACGTCACTGAAGAAACTCGTGTTTTGAAGTGCCATCCCCGCCGTAAGTCGAGAACATACCCCAGGTCCCCGCCGCAACTCGAGAAAAACCATGAGACTTCCCCCTAGAGGCGAGATGAGGCCCCATTCCCCTGCAGTGCATGCAGAGCTATTCCGTGATCCCATTCAAACAAGTCAGGAGCTTCGACTTGCTTAATGGATCTCGAGACAGTCCCCAAGAACACTGTCACCAGTCTAGACGGACCCTGAGGTCACCCCAGCAACGCAAAGCAGCTCCATGTGCCCCAAATCAACTCGAGATGAGGCCCGATTCCCCTGCATTGACTCCAGAGCCATTCCCCGTTCCCCATTCAACACGACCGGTGGCTCGACGTCCTTCAGGCAACTCCAGAGATGCCCCGAGAACACTGTCCCAAGTCTAGAGGAACACCAACTTCAACACAGCAACTCGAGGAATGCTCCGTGTACCCCAAATCGTCTCGAGATGAGAGCTGATTCCCTGGCTTAGGCTCAAGACGTATGCCAACTTCCCAGAAGCACCTCAGGATGAGGCTTCTCTCAGCAATAGGTATGTGGGAGGGACCCCGAATTTGCTGCCTCAAGGGGAATATACAGCGAGAAGCCCTAACTTGAAAGGAGGCCGGATTTCCTTGCAGTGGCTTGATTACAGGCTCGTCTTTCATCTCACAACATGAAGGGATGTCTGAATCCCCTGTGGAGACCTTAGAGAAAGCCCTAGGTCCCTGCCTCATTTTGACGGAATGCCTCACGTCGCGCTGACACCTCGAGAGGCACGCGGAGTTCATTGCTTCAAAAGGTGACGATGCCTGACTCCTCTTGAATACTGATAGGAATCCCAAAATCCCTGTGGCTACTGGAAAGGGTCCTTGGGTGCCCTGCCTCACCTCGAGAAGCGTCCCTTTTGCCCTGCCAAGCCTCGAAGAGATTCCTGAGGTGTCCCTCGTTACTAGCCAGGAGTCCTGACGTCACTGAAGAAACTCGTGTTTTGAAGGGCCATCCCCGCTGTAAGTCGAGAACATACACCAGGTCCCCACCGCAACTCGAGAAAAACCATGAGACTTCCCCCTAGAGGCGAGATGAGGCCCCATTCCCCTGCAGTGCATGCAGAGCTATTCCGTGATCCCATTCAAACAAGTCAGGAGCTTCGACTTGCTTAATGGATCTCGAGACAGTCCCCAAGAACACTGTCACCAGTCTAGACGGACCCTGAGGTCACCCCAGCAACGCAAAGCAGCTCCATGTGCCCCAAATCAACTCGAGATGAGGCCCGATTCCCCTGCATTAACTCCAGAGCCATTCCCCGTTCCCGTTTCAGCACGACCGGTGGCTCGACTTCCTTCAGGCAACTCCAGAGATGCCCCGAGAACACTGTCCCAAGTCTAGAGGAACACCAACTTCAGCACAGCAACTCGAGGAATGCTCCGTGTACCCCAAATCGTCTCGAGATGCGAGCTGATTCCCTGGCTTAGGCTCAAGACGTATGCCAACTTCCCAGAAGCACCTCAGGAGGAGGCTTCTCTCAGCAATAGGTATGTGGGAGGGACCCCGAGTTTGCTGCCTCAAGGGGAATATACAGCGAGAAGCCCTAACTTGAAAGGAGGCCGGATTTCCTTGCAGTGGCTTGAATACAGGCTCGTCTTTCATCTCACAACATGAAGGGATGTCTGAATCCCCTGTGGAGACCTTAGAGAAAGCCCTAGGTCCCTGCCTCATTTTGACGGAATGCCTCACATCCCGCTGACACCTCGAGAGGCACGCGGAGTTCATTGCTTCAAAAGGTGACGATGCCTGACTCCTCTTGAATACTGATAGGAATCCCAAAATCCCTGTGGCTACTGGAAAGGGTCCTTGGGTGCCCTGCCTCACCTCGAGAAGCGTCCCTTTTGCCCTGCCAAGCCTCGAAGAGATTCCTGAGGTGTCCCTCGTTACTACACAGGAGTCTTGATGTCACTGAAGAAACTCGTGTTTTGAAGTGCCATCCCCGCCGTAAGTCGAAAACATACCCCAGGTCCCCGCCGCAACTTGAGCAAAACCATGAGACTTCCCCCTAGAGGCGAGATGAGGCCCCATTCCCCTGCAGTGCATGCAGAGCTATTCCGTGATCCCATTCAAACAAGTCAGGAGCTTCGACTTGCTTAATGGATCTCGAGACAGTCCCCAAGAACACTGTCACCAGTCTAGACGGACCCTGAGGTCACCCCAGCAACGCAAAGCAGCTCCATGTGCCCCAAATCAACTCGAGATGAGGCCCGATTCCCCTGCATTGACTCCAGAGCCATTCCCCGTTCCCCATTCAACACGACCGGTGGCTCGACTTCCTTCAGGCAACTCCAGAGATGCCCCGAGAACACTGTCCCAAGTCTAGAGGAACACCAACTTCAACACAGCAACTCGAGGAATGCTCCGTGTACCCCAAATCGTCTCGAGATGAGAGCTGATTCCCTGGCTTAGGCTCAAGACGTATGCCAACTTCCCAGAAGCACCTCAGGAGGAGGCTTCTCTCAGCAATAGGTATGTGGGAGGGACCCCGAGTTTGCTGCCTCAAGGGGAATATACAGCGAGAAGCCCTAACTTGAAAGGAGGCCGGATTTCCTTGCAGTGGCTTGATTACAGGCTCGTCTTTCTCTCACAACATGAAGGGATGTCTGAATCCCCTGTGGAGACCTTAGAGAAAGCCCTAGGTCCCTGCCTCATTTTGACGGAATGCCTCACGTCGCGCTGACACCTCGAGAGGCACGCGGAGTTCATTGCTTCAAAAGGTGACGATGCCTGACTCCTCTTGAATACTGATAGGAATCCCAAAATCCCTGTGGCTACTGGAAAGGGTCCTTGGGTGCCCTGCCTCACCTCGAGAAGCGTCCCTTTTGCCCTGCCAAGCCTCGAAGAGATTCCTGAGGTGTCCCTCGTTACTAGCCAGGAGTCCTGACGTCACTGAAGAAACTCGTGTTTTGAAGGGCCATCCCCGCTGTAAGTCGAGAACATACACCAGGTCCCCACCGCAACTCGAGAAAAACCATGAGACTTCCCCCTAGAGGCGAGATGAGGCCCCATTCCCCTGCAGTGCATGCAGAGCTATTCCGTGATCCCATTCAAACAAGTCAGGAGCTTCGACTTGCTTAATGGATCTCGAGACAGTCCCCAAGAACACTGTCACCAGTCTAGACGGACCCTGAGGTCACCCCAGCAACGCAAAGCAGCTCCATGTGCCCCAAATCAACTCGAGATGAGGCCCGATTCCCCTGCATTGACTCCAGAGCCATTCCCCGTTCCCCATTCAACACGACCGGTGGCTCGACTTCCTTCAGGCAACTCCAGAGATGCCCCGAGAACACTGTCCCAAGTCTAGAGGAACACCAACTTCAGCACAGCAACTCGAGGAATGCTCCGTGTACCCCAAATCGTCTCGAGATGCGAGCTGATTCCCTGGCTTAGGCTCAAGACGTATGCCAACTTCCCAGAAGCACCTCAGGAGGAGGCTTCTCTCAGCAATAGGTATGTGGGAGGGACCCCGAGTTTGCTGCCTCAAGGGGAATATACAGCGAGAAGCCCTAACTTGAAAGGAGGCCGGATTTCCTTGCAGTGGCTTGAATACAGGCTCGTCTTTCATCTCACAACATGAAGGGATGTCTGAATCCCCTGTGGAGACCTTAGAGAAAGCCCTAGGTCCCTGCCTCATTTTGACGGAATGCCTCACATCCCGCTGACACCTCGAGAGGCACGCGGAGTTCATTGCTTCAAAAGGTGACGATGCCTGACTCCTCTTGAATACTGATAGGAATCCCAAAATCCCTGTGGCTACTGGAAAGGGTCCTTGGATGCCCTGCCTCACCTCGAGAAGCGTCCCTTTTGCCCTGCCAAGCCTCGAAGAGATTCCTGAGGTGTCCCTCGATACTAGACAGGAGTCCTGACGTCACTGAAGAAACTCGTGTTTTGAAGGGCCATCCCCGCTGTAAGACGAGATCATACCCCAGGTCCCCGCCGCAACACGAGAAAAACCATGAGACTTCCCCCTAGAGGCGAGATGAGGCCCCATTCCCCTGCAGTGCATGCAGAGCTATTCCGTGATCCCATTCAAAGAAGTCAGGAGCTTCGACTTGCTTAATGGATCTCGAGACAGTCCCCAAGAACACTGTCACCAGTCTAGACGGACCCTGAGGTCACCCCAGCAACGCAAAGCAGCTCCATGTGCCCCAAATCAACTCGAGATGAGGCCCGATTCCCCTGCATTGACTCCAGAGCCATTCCCATTTCCCCATTCAACACGACCAGTGGCTCGACTTCCTTCAGGCAACTCCAGAGATGCCCCGAGAGCACTGTCCCAAGTCTAGAGGAACACCAACTTCAGCACAGCAACACGAGGAAAGCTCCGTGTACCCCAAATCGTCTCGAGATGAGAGCTGATTCCCTGGCTTAGGCTCAAGACGTATGCCAACTTCCCAGAAGCACCTCAGGAGGAGGCTTCTCTCAGCAATAGGTATGTGGGAGGGACCCCGAGTTTGCTGCCTCAAGGGGAATATACAGCGAGAAGCCCTAACTTGAAAGGAGGCCGGATTTCCTTGCAGTGGCTTGAATACAGGCTCGTCTTTCATCTCAAAACATGAAGGGATGTCTGAATCCCCTGTGGAGACCTTAGAGAAAGCCCTAGGTCCCTGCCTCATTTTGACGGAATGCCTCACATCCCGCTGACACCTCGAGAGGCACGCGGAGTTCATTGCTTCAAAAGGTGACGATGCCTGACTCCTCTTGAATACTGATAGGAATCCCAAAATCCCTGTGGCTACTGGAAAGGGTCCTTGGGTGCCCTGCCTCACCTCGAAAAGCGTCCCTTTTGCCCTGCCAAGCCTCGAAGAGATTCCTGAGGTGTCCCTCGTTACTAGACAGGAGTCCTGACGTCACTGAAGAAACTCGTGTTTTGAAGGGCCATCCCCGCCGTAAGTCGAGAACATACACCAGGTCCCCGCCGCAACTCGAGAAAAACCATGAGACTTCCCCCTAGAGGCGAGATGAGGCCCCATTCCCCTGCAGTGCATGCAGAGCTATTCCGTGATCCCATTCAAACAAGTCAGGAGCTTCGACTTGCTTAATGGATCTCGAGACAGTCCCCAAGAACACTGTCACCAGTCTAGACGGACCCTGAGGTCACCCCAGCAACGCAAAGCAGCTCCATGTGCCCCAAATCAACTCGAGATGAGGCCCGATTCCCCTGCATTGACTCCAGAGCCATTCCCCTTTCCCCATTCAACACGACCGGTGGCTCGACTTCTTTCAGGCAACTCCAGAGATGCCCCGAGAACACTGTCCCAAGTCTAGAGGAACACCAACTTCAACACAGCAACTCGAGGAATGCTCCGTGTACCCCAAATCGTCTCGAGATGAGAGCTGATTCCCTGGCATAGGCTCAAGACGTATGCCAACTTCCCAGAAGCACCTCAGGAGGAGGCTTCTCTCAGCAATAGGTATGTGGGAGGGACCCCGAGTTTGCTGCCTCAAGGGGAATATACAGCGAGAAGCCCTAACTTGAAAGGAGGCTGGATTTCCTTGCAGTGGCTTGAATACAGGCTCGTCTTTCATCTCACAACATGAAGGGATGTCTGAATCCCCTGTGGAGACCTTAGAGAAAGCCCTAGGTCCCTGCCTCATTTTGACGGAATGCCTCACATCCCGCTGACACCTCGAGAGGCACGCGGAGTTCATTGCTTCAAAAGGTGACGATGCCTGACTCCTCTTGAATACTGATAGGAATCCCAAAATCCCTGTGGCTACTGGAAAGGGTCCTTGGGTGCCCTGCCTCACCTCGAGAAGCGTCCCTTTTGCCCTGCCAAGCCTCGAAGAGATTCCTGAGGTGTCCCTCGTTACTAGACAGGAGTCCTGACGTCACTGAAGAAACTCGTGTTTTGAAGGGCCATCCCAGCCGTAAGTCGAGAACATACCCCAGGTCACCGCCGCAACTCGAGAAAAACCATGAGACTTCCCCCTAGAGGCGAGATGAGGCCCCATTCCCCTGCAGTGCATGCAGAGCTATTCCGTGATCCCATTCAAACAAGTCAGGAGCTTCGACTTGCTTAATGATCTCTAGACAGTCCCCAAGATCACTGTCACCTGTCTAGACGGACCCTGAGGTCACCCCAGCAACGCAAAGCAGCTCCATGTGCCCCAAATCAACTCGAGATGAGGCCCGATTCCCCTGCATTGACTCCAGAGCCATTCCCCGTTCCCCATTCAACACGACCGGTGGCTCGACTTCCTTCAGGCAACTCCAGAGATGCCCCGAGAACACTGTCCCAAGTCTAGAGGAACACCAACTTCAGCACAGCAACTCGAGGAATGCTCCGTGTACCCCAAATCGTCTCGAGATGCGAGCTGATTCCCTGGCTTAGGCTCAAGATGTATGCCAACTTCCCAGAAGCACCTCAGGAGGAGGCTTCTCTCAGCAATAGGTATGTGCGAGGGACCCCGAGTTTGCTGCCTCAAGGGGAATATACAGCGAGAAGCCCTAACTTGAAAGGAGGCCGGATTTCCTTGCAGTGGCTTGAATACAGGCTCGTCTTTCATCTCACAACATGAAGGGATGTCTGAATCCCCTGTGGAGACCTTAGAGAAAGCCCTAGGTCCCTGCCTCATTTTGACGGAATGCCTCACATCCCGCTGACACCTCGAGAGGCACGCGGAGTTCATTGCTTCAAAAGGTGACGATGCCTGACTCCTCTTGAATACTGATAGGAATCCCAAAATCCCTGTGGCTATTGGAAAGGGTCCTTGGGTGCCCTGCCTCACCTCGAGAACCGTCCTTTTGCCCTGCCAAGCCTCGAAGAGATTCCTGAGGTGTCCCTCGTTACTAGACAGGAGTCCTGACGTCACTGAAGAAACTCGTGTTTTGAAGGGCCATCCCCGCCGTAAGTCGAGAACATACCCCAGGTCCCCGCCGCAACTCGAGAAAAACCATGAGACTTCCCCTAGAGGCGAGATGAGGCCCCATTCCCCTGCAGTGCATGCAGAGCTATTCCGTGATCCCATTCAAACAAGTCAGGAGCTTCGACTTGCTTCATGGATCTCGAGACAGTCCCCAAGAACACTGTCACCAGTCTAGACGGACCCTGAGGTCACCCCAGCAACGCAAAGCAGCTCCATGTGCCCCAAATCAACTCGAGATGAGGCCCGATTCCCCTGCATTGACTCCAGAGCCATTCCCCGTTCCCCATTCAACACGACCGGTGTCTCGACTTCCTTCAGGCAACTCCAGAGATGCCCTGAGAACACTGTCATAAGTCTAGAGGAACACCAACTTCAGCACAGCAACTCGAGGAATGCTCCGTGTACCCCAAATCGTCTCGAGATGAGAGCTGATTCCCTGGCTTAGGCTCAAGACGTATGCCAACTTCCCAGAAGCACCTCAGGAGGAGGCTTCTCTCAGCAATAGGTATGTGCGAGGGACCCCGAGTTTGCTGCCTCAAGGGGAATATACAGCGAGAAGCCCTAACTTGAAAGGCGGCCGGATTTCCTTGCAGTGGCTTGAATACAGGCTCGTCTTTCATCTCACAACAATAAGGGATGTCTGAATCCCCTGTGGAGACCTTAGAGAAAGCCCTAGGTCCCTGCCTCATTTTGACGGAATGCCTCACATCCCGCTGACACCTCGAGAGGCACGCGGAGTTCATTGCTTCAAAAGGTGACGATGCCTGACTCCTCTTGAATACTGATAGGAATCCCAAAATCCCTGTGGCTACTGGAAAGGGTCCTTGGGTGCCCTGCCTCACCTCGAGAAGCGTCCCTTTTGCCCTGCCAAGCCTCGAAGAGATTCCTGAGGTGTCCCTCGTTACTAGACAGGAGTCCTGACGTCACTGAAGAAACTCGTGTGTTGAAGGGCCATCCCAGCCGTAAGTCGAGAACATACCCCAGGTCACCGCCGCAAATCGAGAAAAACCATGAGACTTCCCCCTAGAGGCGAGATGAGGCCCCATTCCCCTGCAGTGCATGCAGAGCTATTCCGTGATCCCATTCAAACAAGTCAGGAGCTTCGAGTTGCTTAATGATCTCTAGACAGTCCCCAAGAACACTGTCACCAGTCTAGACGGACCCTGAGGTCACCCCAGCAACGCAAAGCAGCTCCATGTGCCCCAAATCAACTCGAGATGAGGCCCGATTCCCCTGCATTGACTCCAGAGCCATTCCCCGTTCCCCATTCAACACGACCGGTGGCTCGACTTCCTTCAGGCAACTCCAGAGATGCCCCGAGAACACTGTCCCAAGTCTAGAGGAACACCAACTTCAGCACAGCAACTCGAGGAATGCTCCGTGTACCCCAAATCGTCTCGAGATGCGAGCTGATTCCCTTGCTTAGGCTCAAGACGTATGCCAACTTCCCAGAAGCACCTCAGGAGGAGGCTTCTCTCAGCAATAGGTATGTGCGAGGGACCCCGAGTTTGCTGCCTCAAGGGGAATATACAGCGAGAAGCCCTAACTTGAAAGGAGGCCGGATTACCTTGCAGTGGCTTGAATACAGGCTCGTCTTTCATCTCACAACATGAAGGGATGCCTGAATCCCCTGTGGAGACCTTAGAGAAAGCCCTAGGTCCCTGCCTCATTTTGACGGAATGCCTCACATCCCGCTGAAACCTCGAGACGCACGCGGAGTTCATTGCTTCAAAAGGTGACGATGCCTGACTCCTCTTGAATACTGATAGGAATCCCAAAATCCCTGTGGCTATTGGAAAGGGTCCTTGGGTGCCCTGCCTCACCTCGAGAAGCGTCCTTTTGCCCCTGCCAAGCCTCGAAGAGATTCCTGAGGTGTCCCTCGTTCCTAGACAGGAGTCCTGACGTCACTGAAGAAACTCGTGTTTTGAAGGGCCATCCCCGCCGTAAGTCGAGAACATACACCAGGTCCCCGCCGCAACTCGAGAAAAACCATGAGACTTCCCCCTAGAGGCGAGATGAGGCCCCATTCCCCTGCAGTGCATGCAGAGCTATTCCGTGATCCCATTCAAACAAGTCAGGAGCTTCGACTTGCTTCATGGATCTCGAGACAGTCCCCAAGAACACTGTCACCAGTCTAGACGGACCCTGAGGTCACCCCAGGAACGCAAAGCAGCTCCATGTGCCCCAAATCAACTCGAGATGAGGCCCGATTCCCCTGCATTGACTCCAGAGTCATTCCCCGTTCCCCATTCAACACGACCGGTGGCTCGACTTCCTTCAGGCAACTCCAGAGATGCCCCGAGAACACTGTCCCAAGTCCAGAGGAACACCAACTTCAGCACAGCAACTCGAGGAATGCTCCGTGTACCCCAAATCGTCTCGAGATGCGAGCTGATTCCCTGGCTTAGGCTCAAGACGTATGCCAACTTCCCAGAAGCACCTCAGGAGGAGGCTTCTCTCAGCAATAGGTATGTGGGAGGGACCCCGAGTTTGCTGCCTCAAGGGGAATATACAGCGAGAAGCCCTAACTTGAAAGGAGGCCGGATTTCCTTGCAGTGGCTTGAATACAGGCTCGTCTTTCATCTCACAACATGAAGGGATGTCTGAATCCCCTGTGGAGACCTTAGAGAAAGCCCTAGGTCCCTGCCTCATTTTGACGGAATGCCTCACATCCCGCTGACACCTCGAGAGGCACGCGGAGTTCATTGCTTCAAAATGTGACGATGCCTGACTCCTCTTGAATACTGATAGGAATCCCAAAATCCCTGTGGCTATTGGAAAGGGTCCTTGGGTGCCCTGCCTCACCTTGAGAACCGTCCTTTTGCCATGCCAAGCCTCGAAGAGATTCCTGAGGTGTCCCTCGTTACTAGACAGGAGTCCTGACGTCACTGAAGAAACTCGTGTTTTGAAGGGCCATCCCCGCCGTAAGTCGAGAACATACACCAGGTCCCCGCCGCAACTCGAGAAAAACCATGAGACTTCCCCCTAGAGGCGAGATGAGGCCCCATTCCCCTGCAGTGCATGCAGAGCTATTCCGTGATCCCATTCAAACAAGTCAGGAGCTTCGACTTGCTTCATGGATCTCGAGACAGTCCCCAAGAACACTGTCACCAGTCTAGACGGACCCTGAGGTCACCCCAGCAACGCAAAGCAGCTCCATGTGCCCCAAATCAACTCGAGATGAGGCCCGATTCCCCTGCATTGACTCCAGAGCCATTCCCCTTTCCCCATTCAACACGACCGGTGGCTCGACTTCTTTCAGGCAACTCCAGAGATGCCCCGAGAACACTGTCCCAAGTCTAGAGGAACACCAACTTCAACACAGCAACTCGAGGAATGCTCCGTGTACCCCAAATCGTCTCGAGATGAGAGCTGATTCCCTGGCATAGGCTCAAGACGTATGCCAACTTCCCAGAAGCACCTCAGGAGGAGGCTTCTCTCAGCAATAGGTATGTGGGAGGGACCCCGAGTTTGCTGCCTCAAGGGGAATATACAGCGAGAAGCCCTAACTTGAAAGGAGGCTGGATTTCCTTGCAGTGGCTTGAATACAGGCTCGTCTTTCATCTCACAACATGAAGGGATGTCTGAATCCCCTGTGGAGACCTTAGAGAAAGCCCTAGGTCCCTGCCTCATTTTGACGGAATGCCTCACATCCCGCTGACACCTCGAGAGGCACGCGGAGTTCATTGCTTCAAAAGGTGACGATGCCTGACTCCTCTTGAATACTGATAGGAATCCCAAAATCCCTGTGGCTACTGGAAAGGGTCCTTGGGTGCCCTGCCTCACCTCGAGAAGCGTCCCTTTTGCCCTGCCAAGCCTCGAAGAGATTCCTGAGGTGTCCCTCGTTACTAGACAGGAGTCCTGACGTCACTGAAGAAACTCGTGTGTTGAAGGGCCATCCCAGCCGTAAGTCGAGAACATACCCCAGGTCACCGCCGCAACTCGAGAAAAACCATGAGACTTCCCCCTAGAGGCGAGATGAGGCCCCATTCCCCTGCAGTGCATGCAGAGCTATTCCGTGATCCCATTCAAACAAGTCAGGAGCTTCGAGTTGCTTAATGATCTCTAGACAGTCCCCAAGAACACTGTCACCAGTCTAGACGGACCCTGAGGTCACCCCAGCAACGCAAAGCAGCTCCATGTGCCCCAAATCAACTCGAGATGAGGCCCGATACCCTGCATTGACTCCAGAGCCATTCCCCGTTCCCCATTCAACACGACCGGTGGCTCGACTTCCTTCAGGCAACTCCAGAGATGCCCCGAGAACACTGTCCCAAGTCTAGAGGAACACCAACTTCAGCACAGCAACTCGAGGAATGCTCCGTGTACCCCAAATCGTCTCGAGATGCGAGCTGATTCCCTTGCTTAGGCTCAAGACGTATGCCAACTTCCCAGAAGCACCTCAGGAGGAGGCTTCTCTCAGCAATAGGTATGTGCGAGGGACCCCGAGTTTGCTGCCTCAAGGGGAATATACAGCGAGAAGCCCTAACTTGAAAGGAGGCCGGACTACCTTGCAGTGGCTTGAATACAGGCTCGTCTTTCATCTCACAACATGAAGGGATGTCTGAATCCCCTGTGGAGACCTTAGAGAAAGCCCTAGGTCCCTGCCTCATTTTGACGGAATGCATCACATCCCGCTGACACCTCGAGAGGCACGCGGAGTTCATTGCTTCAAAAGGTGACGATGCCTGACTCCTCTTGAATACTGATAGGAATCCCAAAATCCCTGTGGCTATTGGAAAGGGTCCTTGGGTGCCCTGCCTCACCTCGAGAAGCGTCCTTTTGCCCCTGCCAAGCCTCGAAGAGATTCCTGAGGTGTCCCTCGTTCCTAGACAGGAGTCCTGACGTCACTGAAGAAACTCGTGTTTTGAAGGGCCATCCCCGCCGTAAGTCGAGAACATACACCAGGTCCCCGCCGCAACTCGAGAAAAACCATGAGACTTCCCCCTAGAGGCGAGATGAGGCCCCATTCCCCTGCAGTGCATGCAGAGCTATTCCGTGATCCCATTCAAACAAGTCAGGAGCTTCGACTTGCTTCATGGATCTCGAGACAGTCCCCAAGAACACTGTCACCAGTCTAGACGGACCCTGAGGTCACCCCAGGAACGCAAAGCAGCTCCATGTGCCCCAAATCAACTCGAGATGAGGCCCGATTCCCCTGCATTGACTCCAGAGTCATTCCCCGTTCCCCATTCAACACGACCGGTGGCTCGACTTCCTTCAGGCAACTCCAGAGATGCCCCGAGAACACTGTCCCAAGTCCAGAGGAACACCAACTTCAGCACAGCAACTCGAGGAATGCTCCGTGTACCCCAAATCGTCTCGAGATGAGAGCTGATTCCCTGGCTTAGGCTCAAGACGTATGCCAACTTCCCAGAAGAACCTCAGGAGGAGGCTTCTCTCAGCAATAGGTATGTGGGAGGGACCCCGAGTTTGCTGCCTCAAGGGGAATATACAGCGAGAAGCCCTAACTTGAAAGGAGGCCGGATTTCCTTGCAGTGGCTTGAATACAGGCTCGTCTTTCATCTCACAACATGAAGGGATGTCTGAATCCCCTGTGGAGACCTTAGAGAAAGCCCTAGGTCCCTGCCTCATTTTGACGGAATGCCTCACATCCCGCTGACACCTCGAGAGGCACGCGGAGTTCATTGCTTCAAAAGGTGACGATGCCTGACTCCTCTTGAATACTGATAGGAATCCCAAAATCCCTGTGGCTATTGGAAAGGGTCCTTGGGTGCCCTGCCTCACCTCGAGAAGTGTCCTTTTGCCCTGCCAAGCCTCGAAGAGATTCCTGAGGTGTCCCTCGTTACTAGACAGGAGTCCTGACGTCACTGAAGAAACTCGTGTTTTGAAGGGCCATCCCCGCCGTAAGTCGAGAACATACCCCAGGTCCCCGCCGCAACTCGAGAAAAACCATGAGACTTCCCCCTAGAGGCGAGATGAGGCCCCATTCCCCTGCAGTGCATGCAGAGCTATTCCGTGATCCCATTCAAACAAGTCAGGAGCTTCGACTTGCTTAATGGATCTCGAGACAGTCCCCAAGAACACTGTCACCAGTCTAGACGGACCCTGAGGTCACCCAGCAATGCAAAGCAGCTCCATGTGCCCCAAATCAACTCGAGATGAGGCCCGATTCCCCTGCATTGACTCCAGAGCCATTCCCCGTTCCCCATTCAACACGACCGTTGGCTCGACTTCCTTCAGGCAACTCCAGAGATGCCCCGAGAACACTGTCCCAAGTCTAGAGGAACACCAACTTCAGCACAGCAACTCGAGGAATGCTCCGTGTACCCCAAATCGTCTCGAGATGCGAGCTGATTCCCTGGCTTAGGCTCAAGACATATGCCAACTTCCCAGAAGCACCTCAGGAGGAGGCTTCTCTCAGCAATAGGTATGTGCGAGGGACCCCGAGTTTGTTGCCTCAAGGGGAATATACAGCGAGAAACCCTAACTTGAAACGCGACCGGATTTCCTTGCAGTGGCTTGAATACAGGCTCGTCTTTCATCTCACAACATGAAGGGATGTCTGAATCCCCTGTGGAGACCTTAGAGAAAGCCCTAGGTCCTTGCCTCATTTTGACGGAATGCATCACATCCCGCTGACACCTCGAGAGGCACGCGGAGTTCATTGCTTCAAAAGGTGACGATGCCTGACTCCTCTTGAATACTGATAGGAATCCCAAAATCCCTGTGGCTATTGGAAAGGGTCCTTGGGTGCCCTGCCTCACCTCGGGAAGCGTCCTTTTGCCTGCCAAGCCTCGAAGAGATTCCTGAGGTGTCCCTCGTTACTAGACAGGAGTCCTGACGTCACTGAAGAAACTCGTGTTTTGAAGGGCCATCCCCGCCGTAAGTGGAGAACATACCCCATGTCCCCGCCGCAACTCGAGGAAAACCATGAGACTTCCCCCTAGAGGCGAGATGAGGCCCCATTCCCCTGCAGTGCATGCAGAGCTATTCCGTGATCCCATTCAAACAAGTCAGGAGCTTCGACTTGCTTAATGGATCTCGAGACAGTCCCCAAGAACACTGTCACCAGTCTAGACGGACCCTGAGGTCACCCTAGCAATGCAAAGCAGCTCCATGTGCCCCAAATCAACTCGAGATGAGGCCCGATTCCCCTGCATTGACTCCAGAGCCATTCCCCGTTCCCCATTCAGCACGACCGGTGGCTCTACTTCCTTCAGGCAACTCCAGAGATGCCCCGAGAACACTGTCCCAAGTCTAGAGGAACACCAACTTCAGCACAGCAACTCGAGGAATGCTCCGTGTACCCCAAATCGTCTCGAGATGAGAGCTGATTCCCTGGCTTAGGCTCAAGATGTATGCCAACTTCCCAGAAGCACCTCAGGAGGAGGCTTCTCTCAGCAATAGGTATGTGGGAGGGACCCCGAGTTTGCTGCCTCAAGGGGAATATACAGCGAGAAGCCCTAACTTGAAAGGAGGCCGGATTTCCTTGCAGTGGCTTGAATACAGGCTCGTCTTTCATCTCACAACATGAAGGGATGTCTGAATCCCCTGTGGGGACCTTAGAGAAAGCCCTAGGTCCCTGCCTCATTTTGACGGAATGCCTCACATCCCGCTGACACCTCGAGAGGCACGCGGAGTTCATTGCTTCAAAAGGTGACGATGCCTGACTCCCCTTGAATACTGATAGGAATCCCAAAATCCCTGTGGCTATTGGAAAGGGTCCTTGGGTGCCCTGCCTCACCTCGAGAAGCGTCCTTTTGCCCTGCCAAGCCTCGAAGAGATTCCTGAGGTGTCCCTCGTTACTAGACAGGAGTCCTGACGTCACTGAAGAAACTCGTGTTTTGAAGGGCCATCCCCGCCGTAAGTCGAGAACATACACCAGGTCCCCGCCGCAACTCGAGAAAAACCATGAGACTTCCCCCTAGAGGCGAGATGAGGCCCCATTCCCCTGCAGTGCATGCAGAGCTATTCCGTGATCCCATTCAAACAAGTCAGGAGCTTCGAGTTGCTTCATGGATCTCGAGACAGTCCCCAAGAACACTGTCACCAGTCTAGACGGACCCTGAGGTCACCCCAGCAACGCAAAGCAGCTCCATGTGCCCCAAATCAACTCGAGATGAGGCCCGATTCCCCTGCATTGACTCCAGAGCCATTCCCCGTTCCCCATTCAACACGACCGGCGGCTCGACTTCCTTCAGGCAACTCCAGAGATGCCCCGAGAACACTGTCCCAAGTCTAGAGGAACGCCAACTTCAGCACAGCAACTCGAGGAATGCTCCGTGTAACCCAAATCGTCTCGAGATGAGAGCTGATTCCCTGGCTTAGGCTCAAGACGTATGCCAACTTCCCAGAAGCACCTCAGGAGGAGGCTTCTCTCAGCTATAAGTATGTGGGAGGGACCCCGAGTTTGCTGCCTCAAGGGGAATATACAGCGAGAAGATCTAACTTGAAAGGAGGCCGGATTTCCTTGCAGTGGCTTGAATACAGGCTCGACTTTCATCTCACAACATGAAGGGATGTCTGAATCCCCTGTGGAGACCTTAGAGAAAGCCCTAGGTCCCTGCCTCATTTTGACGGAATGCCTCACATCCCGCTGACACCTCGAGAGGCACGCGGAGTTCATTGCTTCAAAAGGTGACGATGCCTGACTCCTCTTGAATACTGATAGGAATCCCAAAATCCCTGTGGCTACTGGAAAGGGTCCTTTGGTGCCCTGCCTCACCTCGAGAAGCGTCCCTTTTGTCCTGCCAAGCCTCGAAGAGATTCCTGAGGTGTCCCTCGTTACTAGACAGGAGTCCTGACGTCACTGAAGAAACTCGTGTTTTGAAGGGCCATCCCCGCCGTAATTCGAGAACATACCCCAGGTCCCCGCCGCAACTCGAGAAAAACCATGAGACTTCCCCCTAGAGGCGAGATGAGGCCCCATTCCCCTGCAGTGCATGCAGAGCTATTCCGTGATCCCATTCAAACAAGTCAGGAGCTTCGACTTGCTTCATGGATCTCGAGACAGTCCCCAAGAACACTGTCACCAGTCTAGACGGACCCTGAGGTCACCCCAGCAACGCAAAGCAGCTCCATGTGCCCCAAATCAACTCGAGATGAGGCCCGATTCCCCTGCATTGACTCCAGAGCCATTCCTCGTTCCCCATTCAACACGACCGGTGGCTCGACTTCCTTCAGGCAACTCCAGAGATGCCCCGAGAACACTGTCCCAAGTCCAGAGGAACACCAACTTCAGCACAGCAACTCGAGGAATGCTCCGTGTACCCCAAATCGTCTCGAGATGAGAGCTGATTCCCTGGCTTAGGCTCAAGACGTATGCCAACTTCCCAGAAGCACCTCAGGAGGAGGCTTCTCTCAGCAATAGGTATGTGGGAGGGACCCCGAGTTTGCTGCCTCAAGGGGAATATACAGCGAGAAGCCCTAACTTGAAAGGAAGCCGGATTTCCTTGCAGTGGCTTGAATACAGGCTCGTCTTTCATCTCACAAGATGAAGGGATGTCTGAATCCCCTGTGGAGACCTTAGAGAAAGCCCTAGGTCCCTGCCTCATTTTGACGGAATGCCTCACATCCCGCTGACACCTCGAGAGGCACGCGGAGTTCATTGCTTCAAAAGGTGACGATGCCTGACTCCTCTTGAATACTGATAGGAATCCCAAAATCCCTGTGGCTATTGGAAAGGGTCCTTGGGTGCCCTGCCTCACCTCGAGAAGCGTCCTTTTGCCCTGCCAAGCCTCGAAGAGATTCCTGAAGTGTCCCTCGTTACTAGACAGGAGTCCTGACGTCACTGAAGAAACTCGTGTTTTGAAGGGCCATCCCCGCCGTAAGTCGAGAACATACACCAGGTCCCCGCCGCAACTCGAGAAAAACCATGAGACTTCCCCCTAGAGGCGAGATGAGGCCCCATTCCCCTGCAGTGCATGCAGAGCTATTCCGTGATCCCATTCAAACAAGTCAGGAGCTTCGACTTGCTTAATGGATCTCGAGACAGTCCCCAAGAACACTATCACCAGTCTAGACGGACCCTGAGGTCACCCCAGCAACGCAAAGCAGCTCCATGTGCCCCAAATCAACTCGAGATGAGGCCCGATTCCCCTGCATTGACTCCAGAGCCATTCCCCGTTCCCCATTCAACACGACCGGTGTCTCGACTTCCTTCAGGCAACTCCAGAGATGCCCCGAGAACACTGTCCCAAGTCTAGAGGAACACCAACTTCAGCACAGCAACTCGAGGAATGCTCCGTGTACCCCAAATCGTCTCGAGATGAGAGCTGATTCCCTGGCTTAGGCTCAAGACGTATGCCAACTTCCCAGAAGCACCTCAGGAGGAGGCTTCTCTCAGCTATAAGTATGTGGGAGGGACCCCGAGTTTGCTGCCTCAAGGGGAATATACAGCGAGAAGATCTAACTTGAAAGGAGGCCGGATTTCCTTGCAGTGGCTTGAATACAGGCTCGTCTTTCATCTCACAACATGAAGGGATGTCTGAATCCCCTGTGGAGACCTTAGAGAAAGCCCTAGGTCCCTGCCTCATTTTGACGGAATGCCTCACATCCCGCTGACACCTCGAGAGGCACGCGGAGTTCATTGCTTCAAAAGGTGACGATGCCTGACTCCTCTTGAATACTGATAGGAATCCCAAAATCCCTGTGGCTACTGGAAAGGGTCCTTGGGTGCCCTGCCTCACCTCGAGAAGCGTCCCTTTTGTCCTGCCAAGCCTCGAAGAGATTCCTGAGGTGTCCCTCGTTACTAGACAGGAGTCCTGACGTCACTGAAGAAACTCGTGTTTTGAAGGGCCATCCCCGCCGTAAGTCGAGAACATACCCCATGTCCCCGCCGCAACTCGAGAAAAACCATGAGACTTCCCCCTAGAGGCGAGATGAGGCCCCATTCCCCTGCAGTGCATGCAGAGCTATTCCGTGATCCCATTCAAACAAGTCAGGAGCTTCGACTTGCTTCATGGATCTCGAGACAGTCCCCAAGAACACTGTCACCAGTCTAGACGGACCCTGAGGTCACCCCAGCAACGCAAAGCAGCTCCATGTGCCCCAAATCAACTCGAGATGAGGCCCGATTCCCCTGCATTGACTCCAGAGCCATTCCCCGTTCCCCATTCAACACGACCGGTGGCTCGACTTCCTTCAGGCAACTCCAGAGATGCCCCGAGAACACTGTCCCAAGTCCAGAGGAACACCAACTTCAGCACAGCAACTCGAGGAATGCTCCGTGTACCCCAAATCGTCTCGAGATGAGAGCTGATTCCCTGGCTTAGGCTCAAGACGTATGCCAACTTCCCAGAAGCACCTCAGGAGGAGGCTTCTCTCAGCAATAGGTATGTGGGAGGGACCCCGAGTTTGCTGCCTCAAGGGGAATATACAGCGAGAAGCCCTAACTTGAAAGGAGGCCGGATTTCCTTGCAGTGGCTTGAATACAGGCTCGTCTTTCATCTCACAAGATGAAGGGATGTCTGAATCCCCTGTGGAGACCTTAGAGAAAGCCCTAGGTCCCTGCCTCATTTTGACGGAATGCCTCACATCCCGCTGACACCTCGAGAGGCACGCGGAGTTCATTGCTTCAAAAGGTGACGATGCCTGACTCCTCTTGAATACTGATAGGAATCCCAAAATCCCTGTGGCTATTGGAAAGGGTCCTTGGGTGCCCTGCCTCACCTCGAGAAGCGTCCTTTTGCCCTGCCAAGCCTCGAAGAGATTCCTGAGGTGTCCCTCGTTACTAGACAGGAGTCCTGACGTCACTGAAGAAACTCGTGTTTTGAAGGGCCATCCCCGCCGTAAGTCGAGAACATACACCAGGTCCCCGCCGCAACTCGAGAAAAACCATGAGACTTCCCCCTAGAGGCGAGATGAGGCCCCATTCCCCTGCAGTGCATGCAGAGCTATTCCGTGATCCCATTCAAACAAGTCAGGAGCTTCGACTTGCTTAATGGATCTCGAGACAGTCCCCAAGAACACTGTCACCAGTCTAGACGGACCCTGAGGTCACCCCAGCAACGCAAAGCAGCTCCATGTGCCCCAAATCAACTCGAGATGAGGCCCGATTCCCCTGCATTGACTCCAGAGCCATTCCCCGTTCCCCATTCAACACGACCGGTGTCTCGACTTCCTTCAGGCAACTCCAGAGATGCCCCGAGAACACTGTCCCAAGTCTAGAGGAACACCAACTTCAGCACAGCAACTCGAGGAATGCTCCGTGTACCCCAAATCGTCTCGAGATGAGAGCTGATTCCCTGGCTTAGGCTCAAGACGTATGCCAACTTCCCAGAAGCACCTCAGGAGGAGGCTTCTCTCAGCTATAAGTATGTGGGAGGGACCCCGAGTTTGCTGCCTCAAGGGGAATATACAGCGAGAAGATCTAACTTGAAAGGAGGCCGGATTTCCTTGCAGTGGCTTGAATACAGGCTCGTCTTTCATCTCACAACATGAAGGGATGTCTGAATCCCCTGTGGAGACCTTAGAGAAAGCCCTAGGTCCCTGCCTCATTTTGACGGAATGCCTCACATCCCGCTGACACCTCGAGAGGCACGCGGAGTTCATTGCTTCAAAAGGTGACGATGCCTGACTCCTCTTGAATACTGATAGGAATCCCAAAATCCCTGTGGCTACTGGAAAGGGTCCTTGGGTGCCCTGCCTCACCTCGAGAAGCGTCCCTTTTGTCCTGCCAAGCCTCGAAGAGATTCCTGAGGTGTCCCTCGTTACTAGACAGGAGTCCTGACGTCACTGAAGAAACTCGTGTTTTGAAGGGCCATCCCCGCCGTAAGTCGAGAACATACCCCATGTCCCCGCCGCAACTCGAGAAAAACCATGAGACTTCCCCCTAGAGGCGAGATGAGGCCCCATTCCCCTGCAGTGCATGCAGAGCTATTCCGTGATCCCATTCAAACAAGTCAGGAGCTTCGACTTGCTTAATGGATCTCGAGACAGTCCCCAAGAACACTGTCACCAGTCTAGACGGACCCTGAGGTCACCCCAGCAACGCAAAGCAGCTCCATGTGCCCCAAATCAACTCGAGATGAGGCCCGATTCCCCTGCATTGACTCCAGAGCCATTCCCCGTTCCCCATTCAACACGACCGGTGGCTCGACTTCCTTCAGGCAACTCCAGAGATGCCCCGAGAACACTGTCCCAAGTCCAGAGGAACACCAACTTCAGCACAGCAACTCGAGGAATGCTCCGTGTACCCCAAATCGTCTCGAGATGAGAGCTGATTCCCTGGCTTAGGCTCAAGACGTATGCCAACTTCCCAGAAGCACCTCAGGAGGAGGCTTCTCTCAGCAATAGGTATGTGGGAGGGACCCCGAGTTTGCTGCCTCAAGGGGAATATACAGCGAGAAGCCCTAACTTGAAAGGAGGCCGGATTTCCTTGCAGTGGCTTGAATACAGGCTCGTCTTTCATCTCACAACATGAAGGGATGTCTGAATCCCCTGTGGAGACCTTAGAGAAAGCCCTAGGTCCCTGCCTCATTTTGACGGAATGCCTCACATCCCGCTGACACCTCGAGAGGCACGCGGAGTTCATTGCTTCAAAAGGTGACGATGCCTGACTCCTCTTGAATACTGATAGGAATCCCAAAATCCCTGTGGCTACTGGAAAGGGTCCTTGGGTGCCCTGCCTCACCTCGAGAAGCGTCCTTTTGCCCTGCCAAGCCTCGAAGAGATTCCTGAGGTGTCCCTCGTTACTAGACAGGAGTCCTGACGTCACTGAAGAAACTCGTGTTTTGAAGGGCCATCCCCGCCGTAAGTCGAGAACATACCCCAGGTCCCCGCCGCTACTCGAGAAAAACCATGAGACTTCCCCCTAGAGGCGAGATGAGGCCCCATTCCCCTGCAGTGCATGCAGAGCTATTCCGTGATCCCATTCAAACAAGTCAGGAGCTTGGACTTGCTTCATGGATCTCGAGACAGTCCCCAAGATCACTGTCACCAGTCTAGACGGACCCTGAGGTCACCCCAGCAACGCAAAGCAGCTCCATGTGCCCCAAATCAACTCGAGATGAGGCCCGATTCCCCTGCATTGACTCCAGAGCCATTCCCCGTTCCCCATTCAACACGACCGGTGGCTCGACTTCCTTCAGGCAACTCCAGAGATGCCCCGAGAACACTGTCCCAAGTCTAGAGGAACACCAACTTCAACACAGCAACTCGAGGAATGCTCCGTGTACCCCAAATCGTCTCGAGATGAGAGCTGATTCCCTGGCTTAGGCTCAAGACGTATGCCAACTTCCCAGAAGCACCTCAGGAGGAGGCTTCTCTCAGCAATAGGTATGTGGGAGGGACCCCGAGTTTGCTGCCTCAAGGGGAATATACAGCGAGAAGCCCTAACTTGAAAGGAGGCCGGATTTCCTTGCAGTGGCTTGATTACAGGCTCGTCTTTCATCTCACAACATGAAGGGATGTCTGAATCCCCTGTGGAGACCTTAGAGAAAGCCCTAGGTCCCTGCCTCATTTTGACGGAATGCCTCACGTCGCGCTGACACCTCGAGAGGCACGCGGAGTTCATTGCTTCAAAAGGTGACGATGCCTGACTCCTCTTGAATACTGATAGGAATCCCAAAATCCCTGTGGCTACTGGAAAGGGTCCTTGGGTGCCCTGCCTCACCTCGAGAAGCGTCCCTTTTGTCCTGCCAAGCCTCGAAGAGATTCCTGAGGTGTCCCTCGTTACTAGACAGGAGTCCTGACGTCACTGAAGAAACTCGTGTTTTGAAGGGCCATCCCCGCCGTAAGTCGAGAACATACCCCAGGTCCCCGCCGCAACTCGAGAAAAACCATGAGACTTCCCCCTAGAGGCGAGATGAGGCCCCATTCCCCTGCAGTGCATGCAGAGCTATTCCGTGATCCCATTCAAACAAGTCAGGAGCTTCGACTTGCTTAATGGATCTCGAGACAGTCCCCAAGAACACTGTCACCAGTCTAGACGGACCCTGAGGTCACCCCAGCAACGCAAAGCAGCTCCATGTGCCCCAAATCAACTCGAGATGAGGCCCGATTCCCCTGCATTGACTCCAGAGCCATTCCCCGTTCCCCATTCAACACGACCGGTGGCTCGACTTCCTTCAGGCAACTCCAGAGATACCCCGAGAACACTGTCCCAAGTCCAGAGGAACACCAACTTCAGCACAGCAACTCGAGGAATGCTCCGTGTACCCCAAATCGTCTCGAGATGAGAGCTGATTCCCTGGCTTAGGCTCAAGACGTATGCCAACTTCCCAGAAGCACCTCAGGAGGAGGCTTCTCTCAGCAATAGGTATGTGGGAGGGACCCCGAGTTTGCTGCCTCAAGGGGAATATACAGCGAGAAGCCCTAACTTGAAAGGAGGCCGGATTTCCTTGCAGTGGCTTGAATACAGGCTCGTCTTTCATCTCACAACATGAAGGGATGTCTGAATCCCCTGTGGAGACCTTAGAGAAAGCCCTAGGTCCCTGCCTCATTTTGATGGAATGCCTCACATCCCGCTGACACCTTGAGAGGCACGCGGATTTCATTGCTTCAAAAGGTGACGATGCCTGACTCCTGTTGAATACTGATAGGAATCCCAAAATCCCTGTGGCTATTGGAAAGGGTCCTTGGGTGCCCTGCCTCACCTCGAGAAGCGTCCTTTTGCCCTGCCAAGCCTCGAAGAGATTCCTGAGGTGTCCCTCGTTACTAGACAGGAGTCCTGACGTCACTGAAGAAACTCGTGTTTTGAAGGGCCATCCCCGCCGTAAGTCGAGAACATACGCCAGGTCCCCGCCGCTACTCGAGAAAAACCATGAGACTTCCCCCTAGAGGCGAGATGAGGCCCCATTCCCCTGCAGTGCATGCAGAGCTATTCCGTGATCCCATTCAAACAAGTCAGGAGCTTCGACTTGCTTCATGGATCTCGAGACAGTCCCCAAGATCACTGTCACCAGTCTAGACGGACCCTGAGGTCACCCCAGCAACGCAAAGCAGCTCCATGTGCCCCAAATCAACTCGAGATGAGGCCCGATTCCCCTGCATTGACTCCAGAGCCATTCCCCGTTCCCCATTCAACACGACCGGTGGCTCGACTTCCTTCAGGCAACTCCAGAGATGCCCCGAGAACACTGTCCCAAGTCTAGAGGAACACCAACTTCAACACAGCAACTCGAGGAATGCTCCGTGTACCCCAAATCGTCTCGAGATGAGAGCTGATTCCCTGGCTTAGGCTCAAGACGTATGCCAACTTCCCAGAAGCACCTCAGGAGGAGGCTTCTCTCAGCAATAGGTATGTGGGAGGGACCCCGAGTTTGCTGCCTCAAGGGGAATATACAGCGAGAAGCCCTAACTTGAAAGGAGGCCGGATTTCCTTGCAGTGGCTTGATTACAGGCTCGTCTTTCATCTCACAACATGAAGGGATGTCTGAATCCCCTGTGGAGACCTTAGAGAAAGCCCTAGGTCCCTGCCTCATTTTGACGGAATGCCTCACGTCGCGCTGATACCTCGAGAGGCACGCGGAGTTCATTGCTTCAAAAGGTGACGATGCCTGACTCCTCTTGAATACTGATAGGAATCCCAAAATCCCTGTGGCTACTGGAAAGGGTCCTTGGGTGCCCTGCCTCACCTCGAGAAGCGTCCCTTTTGCCCTGCCAAGCCTCGAAGAGTTTCCTGAGGTGTCCCTCGTTACTACACAGGAGTCTTGACGTCACTGAAGAAACTCGTGTTTTGAAGTGCCATCCCCGCCGTAAGTCGAGAACATACCCCAGGTCCCCGCCGCAACTCGAGAAAAACCATGAGACTTCCCCCTAGAGGCGAGATGAGGCCCCATTCCCCTGCAGTGCATGCAGAGCTATTCCGTGATCCCATTCAAACAAGTCAGGAGCTTCGACTTGCTTAATGGATCTCGAGACAGTCCCCAAGAACACTGTCACCAGTCTAGACGGACCCTGAGGTCACCCCAGCAACGCAAAGCAGCTCCATGTGCCCCAAATCAACTCGAGATGAGGCCCGATTCCCCTGCATTGACTCCAGAGCCATTCCCCGTTCCCCATTCAACACGACCGGTGGCTCGACGTCCTTCAGGCAACTCCAGAGATGCCCCGAGAACACTGTCCCAAGTCTAGAGGAACACCAACTTCAACACAGCAACTCGAGGAATGCTCCGTGTACCCCAAATCGTCTCGAGATGAGAGCTGATTCCCTGGCTTAGGCTCAAGACGTATGCCAACTTCCCAGAAGCACCTCAGGATGAGGCTTCTCTCAGCAATAGGTATGTGGGAGGGACCCCGAATTTGCTGCCTCAAGGGGAATATACAGCGAGAAGCCCTAACTTGAAAGGAGGCCGGATTTCCTTGCAGTGGCTTGATTACAGGCTCGTCTTTCATCTCACAACATGAAGGGATGTCTGAATCCCCTGTGGAGACCTTAGAGAAAGCCCTAGGTCCCTGCCTCATTTTGACGGAATGCCTCACGTCGCGCTGACACCTCGAGAGGCACGCGGAGTTCATTGCTTCAAAAGGTGACGATGCCTGACTCCTCTTGAATACTGATAGGAATCCCAAAATCCCTGTGGCTACTGGAAAGGGTCCTTGGGTGCCCTGCCTCACCTCGAGAAGCGTCCCTTTTGCCCTGCCAAGCCTCGAAGAGATTCCTGAGGTGTCCCTCGTTACTAGCCAGGAGTCCTGACGTCACTGAAGAAACTCGTGTTTTGAAGGGCCATCCCCGCTGTAAGTCGAGAACATACACCAGGTCCCCACCGCAACTCGAGAAAAACCATGAGACTTCCCCCTAGAGGCGAGATGAGGCCCCATTCCCCTGCAGTGCATGCAGAGCTATTCCGTGATCCCATTCAAACAAGTCAGGAGCTTCGACTTGCTTAATGGATCTCGAGACAGTCCCCAAGAACACTGTCACCAGTCTAGACGGACCCTGAGGTCACCCCAGCAACGCAAAGCAGCTCCATGTGCCCCAAATCAACTCGAGATGAGGCCCGATTCCCCTGCATTCACTCCAGAGCCATTCCCCGTTCCCGTTTCAGCACGACCGGTGGCTCGACTTCCTTCAGGCAACTCCAGAGATGCCCCGAGAACACTGTCCCAAGTCTAGAGGAACACCAACTTCAGCACAGCAACTCGAGGAATGCTCCGTGTACCCCAAATCGTCTCGAGATGCGAGCTGATTCCCTGGCTTAGGCTCAAGACGTATGCCAACTTCCCAGAAGCACCTCAGGAGGAGGCTTCTCTCAGCAATAGGTATGTGGGAGGGACCCCGAGTTTGCTGCCTCAAGGGGAATATACAGCGAGAAGCCCTAACTTGAAAGGAGGCCGGATTTCCTTGCAGTGGCTTGAATACAGGCTCGTCTTTCATCTCACAACATGAAGGGATGTCTGAATCCCCTGTGGAGACCTTAGAGAAAGCCCTAGGTCCCTGCCTCATTTTGACGGAATGCCTCACATCCCGCTGACACCTCGAGAGGCACGCGGAGTTCATTGCTTCAAAAGGTGACGATGCCTGACTCCTCTTGAATACTGATAGGAATCCCAAAATCCCTGTGGCTACTGGAAAGGGTCCTTGGGTGCCCTGCCTCACCTCGAGAAGCGTCCCTTTTGCCCTGCCAAGCCTCGAAGAGATTCCTGAGGTGTCCCTCGTTACTACACAGGAGTCTTGATGTCACTGAAGAAACTCGTGTTTTGAAGTGCCATCCCCGCCGTAAGTCGAAAACATACCCCAGGTCCTCGCCGCAACTTGAGCAAAACCATGAGACTTCCCCCTAGAGGCGAGATGAGGCCCCATTCCCCTGCAGTGCATGCAGAGCTATTCCGTGATCCCATTCAAACAAGTCAGGAGCTTCGACTTGCTTAATGGATCTCGAGACAGTCCCCAAGAACACTGTCACCAGTCTAGACGGACCCTGAGGTCACCCCAGCAACGCAAAGCAGCTCCATGTGCCCCAAATCAACTCGAGATGAGGCCCGATTCCCCTGCATTGACTCCAGAGCCATTCCCCGTTCCCCATTCAACACGACCGGTGGCTCGACTTCCTTCAGGCAACTCCAGAGATGCCCCGAGAACACTGTCCCAAGTCTAGAGGAACACCAACTTCAACACAGCAACTCGAGGAATGCTCCGTGTACCCCAAATCGTCTCGAGATGAGAGCTGATTCCCTGGCTTAGGCTCAAGACGTATGCCAACTTCCCAGAAGCACCTCAGGAGGAGGCTTCTCTCAGCAATAGGTATGTGGGAGGCACACCGAGTTTGCTGCCTCAAGGGGAATATACAGCGAGAAGCCCTAACTTGAAAGGAGGCCGGATTTCCTTGCAGTGGCTTGATTACAGGCTCGTCTTTCTCTCACAACATGAAGGGATGTCTGAATCCCCTGTGGAGACCTTAGAGAAAGCCCTAGGTCCCTGCCTCATTTTGACGGAATGCCTCACGTCGCGCTGACACCTCGAGAGGCACGCGGAGTTCATTGCTTCAAAAGGTGACGATGCCTGACTCCTCTTGAATACTGATAGGAATCCCAAAATCCCTGTGGCTACTGGAAAGGGTCCTTGGGTGCCCTGCCTCACCTCGAGAAGCGTCCCTTTTGCCCTGCCAAGCCTCGAAGAGATTCCTGAGGTGTCCCTCGTTACTAGCCAGGAGTCCTGACGTCACTGAAGAAACTCGTGTTTTGAAGGGCCATCCCCGCTGTAAGTCGAGAACATACACCAGGTCCCCACCGCAACTCGAGAAAAACCATGAGACTTCCCCCTAGAGGCGAGATGAGGCCCCATTCCCCTGCAGTGCATGCAGAGCTATTCCGTGATCCCATTCAAACAAGTCAGGAGCTTCGACTTGCTTAATGGATCTCGAGACAGTCCCCAAGAACACTGTCACCAGTCTAGACGGACCCTGAGGTCACCCCAGCAACGCAAAGCAGCTCCATGTGCCCCAAATCAACTCGAGATGAGGCCCGATTCCCCTGCATTGACTCCAGAGCCATTCCCCGTTCCCCATTCAACACGACCGGTGGCTCGACTTCCTTCAGGCAACTCCAGAGATGCCCCGAGAACACTGTCCCAAGTCTAGAGGAACACCAACTTCAGCACAGCAACTCGAGGAATGCTCCGTGTACCCCAAATCGTCTCGAGATGCGAGCTGATTCCCTGGCTTAGGCTCAAGACGTATGCCAACTTCCCAGAAGCACCTCAGGAGGAGGCTTCTCTCAGCAATAGGTATGTGGGAGGGACCCCGAGTTTGCTGCCTCAAGGGGAATATACAGCGAGAAGCCCTAACTTGAAAGGAGGCCGGATTTCCTTGCAGTGGCTTGAATACAGGCTCGTCTTTCATCTCACAACATGAAGGGATGTCTGAATCCCCTGTGGAGACCTTAGAGAAAGCCCTAGGTCCCTGCCTCATTTTGACGGAATGCCTCACATCCCGCTGACACCTCGAGAGGCACGCGGAGTTCATTGCTTCAAAAGGTGACGATGCCTGACTCCTCTTGAATACTGATAGGAATCCCAAAATCCCTGTGGCTACTGGAAAGGGTCCTTGGGTGCCCTGCCTCACCTCGAGAAGCGTCTCTTTTGCCCTGCCAAGCCTCGATGAGATTCCTGAGGTGTCCCTCGTTACTACACAGGAGTCTTGACGTCACTGAAGAAACTCGTGTTTTGAAGTGCCATCCCCGCCGTAAGTCGAGAACATACCCCAGGTCCCCGCCGCAACTCGAGAAAAACCATGAGACTTCCCCCTAGAGGCGAGATGAGGCCCCATTCCCCTGCAGTGCATGCAGAGCTATTCCGTGATCCCATTCAAACAAGTCAGGAGCTTCGACTTGCTTAATGGATCTCGAGAGAGTCCCCAAGAACACTGTCACAAGTCTAGACAGACCCTGAGGTCACCCCAGCAACGCAAAGCAGCTCCATGTGCCCCAAATCAACTCGAGATGAGGCCCGATTCCCCTGCATTGACTCCAGAGCCATTCCCCGTTCCCCATTCAACACGACCGGTGGCTCGACTTCCTTCAGGCAACTCCAGAGATGCCCCGAGAACACTGTCCCAAGTCTAGAGGAACACCAACTTCAACACAGCAACTCGAGGAATGCTCCGTGTACCCCAAATCGTCTCGAGATGAGAGCTGATTCCCTGGCTTAGGCTGAAGACGTATGCCAACTTCCCAGAAGCACCTCAGGAGGAGGCTTCTCTCAGCAATAGGTATGTGGGAGGGACCCCGAGTTTGCTGCCTCAAGGGGAATATACAGCGAGAAGCCCTAACTTGAAAGGAGGCCGGATTTCCTTGCAGTGGCTTGATTACAGGCTCGTCTTTCATCTCACAACATGAAGGGATGTCTGAATCCCCTTTGGAGACCTTAGAGAAAGCCCTAGGTCCCTGCCTCATTTTGACGGAATGCCTCACATCCCGCTGACACCTCGAGAGGCACGCGGAGTTCATTGCTTCAAAAGGTGACGATGCCTGACTCCTCTTGAATACTGATAGGAATCCCAAAATCCCTGTGGCTACTGGAAAGGGTCCTTGGATGCCCTGCCTCACCTCGAGAAGCGTCCCTTTTGCCCTGCCAAGCCTCGAAGAGATTCCTGAGGTGTCCCTCGTTACTAGACAGGAGTCCTGACGTCACTGAAGAAACTCGTGTTTTGAAGGGCCATCCCCGCTGTAAGACGAGATCATACCCCAGGTCCCCGCCGCAACACGAGAAAAACCATGAGACTTCCCCCTAGAGGCGAGATGAGGCCCCATTCCCCTGCAGTGCATGCAGAGCTATTCCGTGATCCCATTCAAACAAGTCAGGAGCTTCGACTTGCTTAATGGATCTCGAGACAGTCCCCAAGAACACTGTCACCAGTCTAGACGGACCCTGAGGTCACCCCAGCAACGCAAAGCAGCTCCATGTGCCCCAAATCAACTCGAGATGAGGCCCGATTCCCCTGCATTGACTCCAGAGCCATTCCCCTTTCCCCATTCAACACGACCAGTGGCTCGACTTCCTTCAGGCAACTCCAGAGATGCCCCGAGAGCACTGTCCCAAGTCTAGAGGAACACCAACTTCAGCACAGCAACACGAGGAAAGCTCCGTGTACCCCAAATCGTCTCGAGATGAGAGCTGATTCCCTGGCTTAGGCTCAAGACGTATGCCAACTTCCCAGAAGCACCTCAGGAGGAGGCTTCTCTCAGCAATAGGTATGTGGGAGGGACCCCGAGTTTGCTGCCTCAAGGGGAATATACAGCGAGAAGCCCTAACTTGAAAGGAGGCCGGATTTCCTTGCAGTGGCTTGAATACAGGCTCGTCTTTCATCTCAAAACATGAAGGGATGTCTGAATCCCCTGTGGAGACCTTAGAGAAAGCCCTAGGTCCCTGCCTCATTTTGACGGAATGCCTCACATCCCGCTGACACCTCGAGAGGCACGCGGAGTTCATTGCTTCAAAAGGTGACGATGCCTGACTCCTCTTGAATACTGATAGGAATCCCAAAATCCCTGTGGCTACTGGAAAGGGTCCTTGGGTGCCCTGCCTCACCTCGAAAAGCGTCCCTTTTGCCCTGCCAAGCCTCGAAGAGATTCCTGAGGTGTCCCTCGTTACTAGACAGGAGTCCTGACGTCACTGAAGAAACTCGTGTTTTGAAGGGCCATCCCCGCTGTAAGTCGAGAACATACCCCAGGTCCCCGCCGCAACTCGAGAAAAACCATGAGACTTCCCCCTAGAGGCGAGATGAGCCCCATTCCCCTGCAGTGCATGCAGAGCTATTCCGTGATCCCATTCAAACAAGTCAGGAGCTTCGACTTGCTTAATGGATCTCGAGACAGTCGCCAAGAACACTGTCACCAGTCTAGACGGACCCTGAGGTCACCCCAGCAACGCAAAGCAGCTCCATGTGCCCCAAATCAACTCGAGATGAGGCCCGATTCCCCAGCATTGACTCCAGAGCCATTCCCCTTTCCCCATTCAGCACGACCGGTGGCTCGACTTCCTTCAGGCAACTCCAGACATGCCCCGAGAACACTGTCCCAAGTCTAGAGGAACACCAACTTCAGCACAGCAACTCGAGGAATGCTCCGTGTACCCCAAATCGTCTCGAGATGAGAGCTGATTCCCTGGCTTAGGCTCAAGACGTATGCCAACTTCCCAGAAGCACCTCAGGAGGAGGCTTCTCTCAGCAATAAGTATGTGGGAGGGACCCCGAGTTTGCTGCCTCAAGGGGAATATACAGCGAGAAGCCCTAACTTGAAAGGCGGCCGGATTTCCTTGCAGTGGCTTGAATACAGGCTCGTCTTTCATCTCACAACATGAAGGGATGTCTGAATCCCCTGTGGAGACCTTAGAGAAAGCCCTAGGTCCCTGCCTCATTTTGACGGAATGCCTCACATCCCGCTGACAACTCGAGAGGCACGCGGAGTTCATTGCTTCAAAAGTTGACGATGCCTGACTCCTCTTGAATACTGATAGGAATCCCAAAATCCCTGTGGCTACTGGAAAGGGTCCTTGGGTGCCCTGCCTCACCTCGAGAAGCGTCCCTTTTGCCCTGCCAAGCCTCGAAGAGATTCCTGAGGTGTCCCTCGTTACTACACAGGAGTCTTGACGTCACTGAAGAAACTCGTGTTTTGAAGTGCCATCCCCGCCGTAAGTCGAGAACATACCCCAGGTCCCCGCCGCAACTCGAGAAAAACCATGAGACTTCCCCCTAGAGGCGAGATGAGGCCCCATTCCCCTGCAGTGCATGCAGAGCTATTCCGTGATCCCATTCAAACAAGTCAGGAGCTTCGACTTGCTTAATGGATCTCGAGAGAGTCCCCAAGAACACTGTCACCAGTCTAGACGGACCCTGAGGTCACCCCAGCAACGCAAAGCAGCTCCATGTGCCCCAAATCAACTCGAGATGAGGCCCGATTCCCCTGCATTGATTCCAGAGCCATTCCCCTTTCCCCATTCAACACGACCGGTGGCTCGACTTCCTTCAGGCAACTCCAGAGATGCCCCGAGAACACTGTCCCAAGTCTAGAGGAACACCAACTTCAACACAGCAACTCGAGGAATGCTCCGTGTACCCCAAATCGTCTCGAGATGAGAGCTGATTCCCTGGCTTAGGCTCAAGACGTATGCCAACTTCCCAGAAGCACCTCAGGAGGAGGCTTCTCTCAGCAATAGGTATGTGGGAGGGACCCCGAGTTTGCTGCCTCAAGGGGAATATACAGCGAGAAGCCCTAACTTGAAAGGAGGCCGGATTTCCTTGCAGTGGCTTGATTACAGGCTCGTCTTTCATCTCACAACATGAAGGGATGTCTGAATCCCCTGTGGAGACCTTAGAGAAAGCCCTAGGACCCTGCCTCATTTTGACGGAATGCCTCACGTCGCGCTGACACCTCGAGAGGCACGCGGAGTTCATTGCTTCAAAAGGTGACGATGCCTGACTCCTCTTGAATACTGATAGGAATCCCAAAATCCCTGTGGCTACTGGAAAGGGTCCTTGGGTGCCCTGCCTCACCTCGAGAAGCGTCCCTTTGCCCTGCCAAGCCTCGAAGAGATTCCTGAGGTGTCCCTCGTTACTAGACAGGAGTCCTGACGTCACTGAAGAAACTCGTGTTTTGAAGGGCCATCCACGCCGTAAGTCGAGAACATACCCCAGGTCCCCGCCGCAACTCGAGAAAAACCATTAGACTTCCCCCTAGAGGCGAGATGAGGCCCCATTCCCCTGCAGTGCATGCAGAGTTATTCCGTGATCCCATTCAAACAAGTCAGGAGCTTCGACTTGCTTAATGGATCTCGAGACAGTCCCCAAGAACACTGTCACCAGTCTAGACGGACCCTGAGGTCACCCCAGCAACGCAAAACAGCTCCATCTGCCCCAAATCAACTCGAGATGAGGCCCGATTCCCCTGCATTGACTCCAGAGCCATTCCCCTTTCCCCATTCAACACGACCGGTGTCTCGACTTCCTTCAGGCAACTCCAGAGATGCCCCGAGAACACTGTCCCAAGTCTAGAGGAACACCAACTTCAGCACAGCAACTCGAGGAATGCTCCGTGTACCCCAAATCGTCTCGAGATGAGAGCTGATTCCCTGGCTTAGGCTCAAGACGTATGCCAACTTCCCAGAAGCACCTCAGGAGGAGGCTTCTCTCAGCAATAGGTATGTGGGAGGGACCCCGAGTTTGCTGCCTCAAGGGGAATATACAGCGAGAAGCCCTAACTTGAAAGGAGGCCGGATTTCCTTGCAGTGGCTTGAATACAGGCTCGTCTTTCATCTCACAACATGAAGGGATGTCTGAATCCCCTGTGGAGACCTTAGAGAAAGCCCTAGGTCCCTGCCTCATTTTGACGGAATGCCTCACATCCCGCTGACACCTCGAGAGGCACGCGGAGTTCATTGCTTCAAAAGGTGACGATGCCTGACTCCTCTTGAATACTGATAGGAATCCCAAAATCCCTGTGGCTACTGGAAAGGGTCCTTGGGTGCCCTGCCTCACCTCGAGAAGCGTCCCTTTTGCCCTGCCAAGCCTCGAAGAGATTCCTGAGGTGTCCCTCGTTACTAGACAGGAGTCCTGACGTCACTGAAGAAACTCGTATTTTGAAGGGCCATCCCCGCCGTAAGTCGAGAACATACCCCAGGTCCCCGCCGCAACTCGAGAAAAACCATGAGACTTCCCCCTAGAGGCGAGATGAGGCCCCATTCCCCTGCAGTGCATGCAGAGCTATTCCGTGATCCCAGTCAAACAAGTCAGGAGCTTCGACTTGCTTAATGGATCTCGAGACAGTCCCCAAGAACACTGTCACCAGTCTAGACGGACCCTGAGGTCACCCCAGCAACGCAAAGCAGCTCCATGTGCCCCAAATCAACTCGAGATGAGGCCCGATTCCCCTGCATTGACACCAGAGCCATTCCCCTTTCCCCATTCAACAAGACCGGTGGCTCGACTTCCTTCAGGCAACTCCAGAGATGCCCCGAGAACACTGTCCCAAGTCTAGAGGAACACCAACTTCAGCACAGCAACACGAGGAATGCTCCGTGTACACCAAATTGTCTCGAGATGAGAGCTGACTCCCTGGCTTAGGCTCAAGACGTATGCCAACTTCCCAGAAGCACCTCAGGAGGAGGCTTCTCTCAGCAATAAGTATGTGGGAGGGACCCCGAGTTTGCTGCCTCAACGGGAATATACAGCGAGAAGCCCTAACTTGAAAGGAGGCTGGATTTCCTTGCAGTGGCTTGAATACAGGCTCGTCTTTCATCTCACAAGATGAAGGGATGTCTGAATCCCCTGTGGAGACCTTAGAGAAAGCCCTAGGTCCCTGCCTCATTTTGACGGAATGCCTCACATCCCGCTGACACCTCGAGAGGCACGCGGAGTTCATTGCTTCAAAAGGTGACGATGCCTGACTCCTCTTGAATACTGATAGGAATCCCAAAATCCCTGTGGCTACAGGAAATGGTCCTTGGGTGCCCTGCCTCACCTCGAGAAGCGTCCCTTTTGCCCTGCCAAGCCTCGAAGAGATTCCTGAGGTGTCCCTCGTTACTAGACAGGAGTCCTGACGTCACTGAAGAAACTCGTGTTTTGAAGGGCCATCCCCGCCGTAAGTCGAGAACATACCCCAGGTCCCCGCCGCAACTCGAGAAAAACCATGAGACTACCCCCTAGAGGCGAGATGAGGCCCCATTCCCCTGCAGTGCATGCAGAGCTATTCCGTGATCCCATTCAAACAAGTCAGGAGCTTCGACTTGCTTAATGGATCTCGAGACAGTCCCCAAGAACACTGTCACCAGTCTAGACGGACCCTGAGGTCACCCCAGCAATGCAAAGCAGCTCCATGTGCCCCAAATCAACTCGAGATGAGGCCCGATTCCCCTGCTTTGACTCCAGAGCCATTCCCCGTTCCCCACTCAGCACGACCGGTGGCTCGACTTCCTTCAGGCAACTCCAGAGATGCCCCGAGAACACTGTCCCAAGTCTAGAGGAACACCAACTTCAGCACAGCAACTCGAGGAATGCTCCGTGTACCCCAAATCGTCTCGAGATGAGAGCTGATTCCCTGGCTTAAGCTCAAGACATATGCCAACTTCCCAGAAGCACCTCAGGAGGAGGCTTCTCTCAGCAATAGGTATGTGGGAGGGACCCCGAGTTTGCTGCCTCAAGGGGAATATACAGCGAGAAGCCCTAACTTGAAAGGCGGCCGGATTTCCTAGCAGTGGCTTGAATACAGGCTCGTCTTTCATCTCACAACATGAAGGGATGTCTGAATCCCCTGTGGAGACCTTAGAGAAAGCCCTAGGTCCCTGCCTCATTTTGACGGAATGCCTCACATCCCGCTGACACCTCGAGAGGCACGCGGAGTTCATTGCTTCAAAAGGTGACGATGCCTGACTCCTCTTGAATACTGATAGGAATCCCAAAATCCCTGTGGCTACTGGAAAGGGTCCTTGGGTGCCCTGCCTCACCTCGAGAAGCGTCCCTTTTGCCCTGCCAAGCCTCGAAGAGATTCCTGAGGTGTCCCTCGTTACTAGACAGGAGTCCTGACGTCACTGAAGAAACTCGTGTTTTGAGGGGCCATCCCAGCCGTAAGTCGAGAACATACCCCAGGTCCCCGCCGCAACTCGAGAAAAACCATGAGACTTCCCCCTAGAGGCGAGATGAGGCCCCATTCCCCTGCAGTGCATGCAGAGCTATTCCGTGATCCCATTCAAACAAGTCAGGAGCTTCGACTTGCTTAATGGATCTCTAGACAGTCCCCAAGATCACTGTCACCAGTCTAGACGGACCCTGAGGTCACCCCAGCAACGCAAAGCAGCTCCATGTGCCCCAAATCAACTCGAGATGAGGCCCGATTCCCCTGCATTGACTCCAGAGCCATTCCCCGTTCCCCATTCAACACGACCGGTGGCTCGACTTCCTTCAGGCAACTCCAGAGATGCCCCGAGAACACTGTCCCAAGTCTAGAGGAACACCAACTTCAGCACAGCAACTCGAGGAATGCTCCGTGTACCCCAAATCGTCTCGAGATGCGAGCTGATTCCCTGGCTTAGGCTCAAGACGTATGCCAACTTCCCAGAAGCACCTCAGGAGGAGGCTTCTCTCAGCAATAGGTATGTGCGAGGGACCCCGAGTTTGTTGCCTCAAGGGGAATACACAGCGAGAAACCCTAACTTGAAAGGAGGCCGGATTTCCTTGCAGTGGCTTGATTACAGGCTCGTCTTTCATCTCACAACATGAAGGGATGTCTGAATCCCCTGTGGAGACCTTAGAGAAAGCCCTAGGACCCTGCCTCATTTTGACGGAATGCCTCACGTCGCGCTGACACCTCGAGAGGCACGCGGAGTTCATTGCTTCAAAAGGTGACGATGCCTGACTCCTCTTGAATACTGATAGGAATCCCAAAATCCCTGTGGCTACTGGAAAGGGTCCTTGGGTGCCCTGCCTCACCTCGAGAAGCGTCCCTTTTGCCCTGCCAAGCCTCGAAGAGATTCCTGAGGTGTCCCTCGTTACTAGCCAGGAGTCATGACGTCACTGAAGAAACTCGTGTTTTGAAGGGCCATCCCCGCCGTAAGTCGAGAACATACCCCAGGTCCCCGCCGCAACTCGAGAAAAACCATGAGACTACCCCCTAGAGGCGAGATGAGGCCCCATTCCCCTGCAGTGCATGCAGAGCTATTCCGTGATCCCATTCAAACAAGTCAGGAGCTTCGACTTGCTTAATGGATCTCGAGACAGTCCCCAAGAACACTGTCACCAGTCTAGACGGACCCTGAGGTCACCCCAGCAATGCAAAGCAGCTCCATGTGCCCCAAATCAACTCGAGATGAGGCCCGATTCCCCTGCTTTGACTCCAGAGCCATTCCCCGTTCCCCACTCAGCACGACCGGTGGCTCGACTTCCTTCAGGCAACTCCAGAGATGCCCCGAGAACACTGTCCCAAGTCTAGAGGAACACCAACTTCAGCACAGCAACTCGAGGAATGCTCCGTGTACCCCAAATCGTCTCGAGATGAGAGCTGATTCCCTGGCTTAAGCTCAAGACATATGCCAACTTCCCAGAAGCACCTCAGGAGGAGGCTTCTCTCAGCAATAGGTATGTGGGAGGGACCCCGAGTTTGCTGCCTCAAGGGGAATATACAGCGAGAAGCCCTAACTTGAAAGGCGGCCGGATTTCCTAGCAGTGGCTTGAATACAGGCTCGTCTTTCATCTCACAACATGAAGGGATGTCTGAATCCCCTGTGGAGACCTTAGAGAAAGCCCTAGGTCCCTGCCTCATTTTGACGGAATGCCTCACATCCCGCTGACACCTCGAGAGGCACGCGGAGTTCATTGCTTCAAAAGGTGACGATGCCTGACTCCTCTTGAATACTGATAGGAATCCCAAAATCCCTGTGGCTACTGGAAAGGGTCCTTGGGTGCCCTGCCTCACCTCGAGAAGCGTCCCTTTTGCCCTGCCAAGCCTCGAAGAGATTCCTGAGGTGTCCCTCGTTACTAGACAGGAGTCCTGACGGCACTGAAGAAACTCGTGTTTTGAGGGGCCATCCCAGCCGTAAGTCGAGAACATACCCCAGGTCCCCGCCGCAACTCGAGAAAAACCATGAGACTTCCCCCTAGAGGCGAGATGAGGCCCCATTCCCCTGCAGTGCATGCAGAGCTATTCCGTGATCCCATTCAAACAAGTCAGGAGCTTCGACTTGCTTAATGGATCTCTAGACAGTCCCCAAGATCACTGTCACCAGTCTAGACGGACCCTGAGGTCACCCCAGCAACGCAAAGCAGCTCCATGTGCCCCAAATCAACTCGAGATGAGGCTCGATTCCCCTGCATTGACTCCAGAGCCATTCCCCGTTCCCCATTCAACACGACCGGTGGCTCGACTTCCTTCAGGCAACTCCAGAGATGCCCCGAGAACACTGTCCCAAGTCTAGAGGAACACCAACTTCAGCACAGCAACTCGAGGAATGCTCAGTGTACCCCAAATCGTCTCGAGATGCGAGCTGATTCCCTGGCTTAGGCTCAAGACGTATGCCAACTTCCCAGAAGCACCTCAGGAGGAGGCTTCTCTCAGCAATAGGTATGTGCGAGGGACCCCGAGTTTGTTGCCTCAAGGGGAATACACAGCGAGAAGCCCTAACTTGAAAGGAGGCCGGATTTCCTTGCAGTGGCTTGATTACAGGCTCGTCTTTCATCTCACAACATGAAGGGATGTCTGAATCCCCTGTGGAGACCTTAGAGAAAGCCCTAGGACCCTGCCTCATTTTGACGGAATGCCTCACGTCGCGCTGACACCTCGAGAGGCACGCGGAGTTCATTGCTTCAAAAGGTGACGATGCCTGACTCCTCTTGAATACTGATAGGAATCCCAAAATCCCTGTGGCTACTGGAAAGGGTCCTTGGGTGCCCTGCCTCACCTCGAGAAGCGTCCCTTTTGCCCTGCCAAGCCTCGAAGAGATTCCTGAGGTGTCCCTCGTTACTAGACAGGAGTCCTGACGTCACTGAAGAAACTCGTGTTTTGAAGGGCCATCCCCGCCGTAAGTCGAGAACATACCCCAGGTCCCCGCCGCAACTCGAGAAAAACCATGAGACTTCCCCCTAGAGGCGAGATGAGGCCCCATTCCCCTGCAGTGCATGCAGAGCTATTCCGTGATCCCATTCAAACAAGTCAGGAGCTTCGACTTGCTTAATGGATCTCGAGAGAGTCCCCAAGAACACTGTCACCAGTCTAGACGGACCCTGAGGTCACCCCAGCAATGCAAAGCAGCTCCATGTGCCCCAAATCAACTCGAGATAAGGCCCGATTCCCCTGCTTTGACTCCAGAGCCATTCCCCGTTCCCCACTCAGCACGACCGGTGGCTCGACTTCCTTCAGGCAACTCCAGAGATGCCCCGAGAACACTGTCCCAAGTCTAGAGGAACACCAACTTCAGCACAGCAACTCGAGGAATGCTCCGTGTACCCCAAATCGTCTCGAGATGAGAGCTGATTCCCTGGCTTAGGCTCAAGACGTATGCCAACTTCCCAGAAGCACCTCAGGAGGAGGCTTCTCTCAGCAATAGGTATGTGGGAGGGACCCCGAGTTTGCTGCCTCAAGGGGAATATACAGCGAGAAGCCCTAACTTGAAAGGAGGCCGGATTTCCTTGCAGTGGCTTGAATACAGGCTCGTCTTTCATCTCACAAGATGAAGGGATGTCTGAATCCCCTGTGGAGACCTTAGAGAAAGCCCTAGGTCCCTGCCTCATTTTGACGGAATGCCTCACATCCCGCTGACACCTCGAGAGGCACGCGGAGTTCATTGCTTCAAAAGGTGACGATGCCTGACTCCTCTTGAATACTGATAGGAATCCCAAAATCCCTGTGGCTACTGGAAATGGTCCTTGGGTGCCCTGCCTCACCTCGAGAAGCGTCCCTTTTGCCCTGCCAAGCCTCGAAGAGATTCCTGAGGTGTCCCTCGTTACTAGACAGGAGTCCTGACGTCACTGAAGAAACTCGTGTTTTGAAGGGCCATCCCCGCCGTAAGTCGAGAACATACCCCAGGTCCCCGCCGCAACTCGAGAAAAACCATGAGACTTCCCCCTAGAGGCGAGATGAGGCCCCATTCCCCTGCAGTGCATGCAGAGCTATTCCGTGATCCCATTCAAACAAGTCAGGAGCTTCGACTTGCTTAATGGATCTCGAGAGAGTCCCCAAGAACACTGTCACCAGTCTAGACGGACCCTGAGGTCACCCCAGCAATGCAAAGCAGCTCCATGTGCCCCAAATCAACTCGAGATAAGGCCCGATTCCCCTGCTTTGACTCCAGAGCCATTCCCCGTTCCCCACTCAGCACGACCGGTGGCTCGACTTCCTTCAGGCAACTCCAGAGATGCCCCGAGAACACTGTCCCAAGTCTAGAGGAACACCAACTTCAGCACAGCAACTCGAGGAATGCTCCGTGTACCCCAAATCGTCTCGAGATGAGAGCTGATTCCCTGGCTTAAGCTCAAGACATATGCCAACTTCCCAGAAGCACCTCAGGAGGAGGCTTCTCTCAGCAATAGGTATGTGGGAGGGACCCCGAGTTTGCTGCCTCAAGGGGAATATACAGCGAGAAGCCCTAACTTGAAAGGCGGCCGGATTTCCTTGCAGTGGCTTGAATACAGGCTCGTCTTTCATCTCACAACATGAAGGGATGTCTGAATCCCCTGTGGAGACCTTAGAGAAAGCCCTAGGTCCCTGCCTCATTTTGACGGAATGCCTCACATCCCGCTGACACCTCGAGAGGCACGCGGAGTTCATTGCTTCAAAAGGTGACGATGCCTGACTCCTCTTGAATACTGATAGGAATCCCAAAATCCCTGTGGCTACTGGAAAGGGTCCTTGGGTGCCCTGCCTCACCTCGAGAAGCGTCCCTTTTGCCCTGCCAAGCCTCGAAGAGATTCCTGAGGTGTCCCTCGTTACTAGACAGGAGTCCTGACGTCACTGAAGAAACTCGTGTTTTGAAGGGCCATCCCCGCCGTAAGTCGAGAACATACCCCAGGTCCCCGCCGCAACTCGAGAAAAACCATGAGACTTCCCCCTAGAGGCGAGATGAGGCCCCATTCCCCTGCAGTGCATGCAGAGCTATTCCGTGATCCCATTCAAACAAGTCAGGATCTTCGACTTGCTTAATGGATCTCGAGACAGTCCCCAAGAACACTGTCACCAGTCTAGACGGACCCTGAGGTCACCCCAGCAACGCAAAGCAGCTCCATGTGCCCCAAATCAACTCGAGATGAGGCCCGATTCCCCTGCATTGAATCCAGAGCCATTCCCCGTTCCACATTCAACACGACCGGTGGCTCGACTTCCTTCAGGCAACTCCAGAGATGCCCCGAGAACACTTTCCCAAGTCTAGAGGAACACCAACTTCAGCACAGCAACTCGAGGAATGCTCCGTGTACCCCAAATCGTCTCGAGATGAGAGCTGATTCCCTGGCTTAGGCTCAAGACGTATGCCAACTTCCCAGAAGCACCTCAGGAGGAGGCTTCTCTCAGCTATAAGTATGTGGGAGGGACCCCGAGTTTGCTGCCTCAAGGGGAATATACAGCGAGAAGCCCTAACTTGAAAGGAGGCCGGATTTCCTTGCAGTGGCTTGAATACAGGCTCGTCTTTCATCTCACAACATGAAGGGATGTCTGAATCCCCTGTGGAAACCTTAGAGAAAGCCCTAGGTCCCTGCCTCATTTTGACGGAATGCCTCACATCCCGCTGACACCTCGAGAGGCACGCGGAGTTCATTGCTTCAAAAGGTGACGATGCCTGACTCCTCTTGAATACTGATAGGAATCCCAAAATCCCTGTGGCTACTGGAAAGGGTCCTTGGGTGCCCTGCCTCACCTCGAGAAGCGTCCCTTTTGTCCTGCCAAGCCTCGAAGAGATTCCTGAGGTGTCCTTCGTTACTAGACAGGAGTCCTGATGTCACTGAAGAAACTCGTGTTTTGAAGGGCCATCCCCGCCGTAAGTCGAGAACATACCCCAGGTCCCCGCCGCAACTCGAGAAAAACCATGAGAATTCCCCCTAGAGGCGAGATGAGGCCCCATTCCCCTGCAGTGCATGCAGAGCTATTCCGTGATCCCATTCAAACAAGTCAGGAGCTTCGACTTGCTTAATGGATCTCGAGACAGTCCCCAAGAACACTGTCACCAGTCTAGACGGACCCTGAGGTCACCCCAGCAACGCAAAACTGCTCCATCTGCCCCAAATCAACTCGAGATGAGGCCCGATTCCCCTGCATTGACTCCAGAGCCATTCCCCTTTCCCCATTCAACACGACCGGTGGCTCGACTTCCTTCAGGCAACTCCAGAGATGCCCCGAGAACACTGTCCCAAGTCTAGAGGAACACCAACTTCAGCACAGCAACTCGAGGAATGCTCCGTGTACCCCAAATCGTCTCGAGATGAGAGCTGATTCCCTGGCTTAGGCTCAAGACGTATGCCAACTTCCCAGAAGCACGTCAGGAGGAGGCTTCTCTCAGCAATAGGTATGTGGGAGGGACCCCGAGTTTGCTGCCTCAAGGGGAATATACAGCGAGAAGCCCTAACTTGAAAGGAGGCCGGATTTCCTTGCAGTGGCTTGAATACAGGCTCGTCTTTCATCTCACAACATGAAGGGATGTCTGAATCCCCTGTGGAGACCTTAGAGAAAGCCCTAGGTCCCTGCCTCATTTTGACGGAATGCCTCACATCCCGCTGACACCTCGAGAGGCACGCGGAGTTCATTGCTTCAAAAGGTGACGATGCCTGACTCCTCTTGAATACTGATAGGAATCCCAAAATCCCTGTGGCTACTGGAAAGGGTCCTTGGGTGCCGTGCCTCACCTCGAGAAGCGTCCCTTTTGCCCTGCCAAGCCTCGAAGAGATTCCTGAGGTGTCCCTCGTTACTAGACAGGAGTCCTGACGTCACTGAAGAAACTCGTATTTTGAAGGGCCATCCCCGCCGTAAGTCGAGAACATACCCCAGGTCCCCGCCGCAACTCGAGAAAAACCATGAGACTTCCCCCTAGAGGCGAGATGAGGCCCCATTTCCCTGCAGTGCATGCAGAGCTATTCCGTGATCCCAGTCAAACAAGTCAGGAGCTTCGACTTGCTTAATGGATCTCGAGACAGTCCCCAAGAACACTGTCACCAGTCTAGACGGACCCTGAAGTCACCCCAGCAACGCAAAGCAGCTCCATGTGCCCCAAATCAACTCGAGATGAGGCCCGATTCCCCTGCATTGACTCCAGAGCCATTCCCCTTTCCCCATTCAACAAGACCGGTGGCTCGACTTCCTTCAGGCAACTCCAGAGATGCCCCGAGAACACTGTCCCAAGTCTAGAGGAACACCAACTTCAGCACAGCAACACGAGGAATGCTCCATGTACCCCAAATTGTCTCGAGATGAGAGCTGACTCCCTGGCTTAGGCTCAAGACGTATGCCAACTTCCCAGAAGCACCTCAGGAGGAGGCTTCTCTCAGCAATAAGTATGTGGGAGGGACCCCGAGTTTGCTGCCTCAAGGGGAATATACAGCGAGAAGCCCTAACTTGAAAGGAGGCCGGATTTCCTTGCAGTGGCTTGAATACAGGCTCGTCTTTCATCTCACAAGATGAAGGGATGTCTGAATCCCCTGTGGAGACCTTAGAGAAAGCCCTAGGTCCCTGCCTCATTTTGACGGAATGCCTCACATCCCGCTGACACCTCGAGAGGCACGCGGAGTTCATTGCTTCAAAAGGTGACGATGCCTGACTCCTCTTGAATACTGATAGGAATCCCAAAATCCCTGTGGCTACTGGAAATGGTCCTTGGGTGCCCTGCCTCACCTCGAGAAGCGTCCCTTTTGCCCTGCCAAGCCTCGAAGAGATTCCTGAGGTGTCCCTCGTTACTAGACAGGAGTCCCGACGTCACTGAAGAAACTCGTGTTTTGAAGGGCCATCCCCGCCGTAAGTCGAGAACATACCCCAGGTCCCCGCCGCAACTCGAGAAAAACCATGAGACTTCCCCCTAGAGGCGAGATGAGGCCCCATTCCCCTGCAGTGCATGCAGAGCTATTCCGTGATCCCATTCAAACAAGTCAGGAGCTTCGACTTGCTTAATGGATCTCGAGACAGTCCCCAAGAACACTGTCACCAGTCTAGACGGACCCTGAGGTCACCCCAGCAATGCAAAGCAGCTCCATGTGCCCCAAATCAACTCGAGATGAGGCCCGATTCCCCTGCTTTGACTCCAGAGCCATTCCCCTTTCCCCATTCAACAAGACCGGTGGCTCGACTTCCTTCAGGCAACTCCAGAGATGCCCCGAGAACACTGTCCCAAGTCTAGAGGAACACCAACTTCAGCACAGCAACACGAGGAATGCTCCGTGTACACCAAATTGTCTCGAGATGAGAGCTGACTCCCTGGCTTAGGCTCAAGACGTATGCCAACTTCCCAGAAGCACCTCAGGAGGAGGCTTCTCTCAGCAATAAGTATGTGGGAGGGACCCCGAGTTTGCTGCCTCAACGGGAATATACAGCGAGAAGCCCTAACTTGAAAGGAGGCTGGATTTCCTTGCAGTGGCTTGAATACAGGCTCGTCTTTCATCTCACAAGATGAAGGGATGTCTGAATCCCCTGTGGAGACCTTAGAGAAAGCCCTAGGTCCCTGCCTCATTTTGACGGAATGCCTCACATCCCGCTGACACCTCGAGAGGCACGCGGAGTTCATTGCTTCAAAAGGTGACGATGCCTGACTCCTCTTGAATACTGATAGGAATCCCAAAATCCCTGTGGCTACAGGAAATGGTCCTTGGGTGCCCTGCCTCACCTCGAGAAGCGTCCCTTTTGCCCTGCCAAGCCTCGAAGAGATTCCTGAGGTGTCCCTCGTTACTAGACAGGAGTCCTGACGTCACTGAAGAAACTCGTGTTTTGAAGGGCCATCCCCGCCGTAAGTCGAGAACATACCCCAGGTCCCCGCCGCAACTCGAGAAAAACCATGAGACTACCCCCTAGAGGCGAGATGAGGCCCCATTCCCCTGCAGTGCATGCAGAGCTATTCCGTGATCCCATTCAAACAAGTCAGGAGCTTCGACTTGCTTAATGGATCTTGAGACAGTCCCCAAGAACACTGTCACCAGTCTAGACGGACCCTGAGGTCACCCCAGCAATGCAAAGCAGCTCCATGTGCCCCAAATCAACTCGAGATGAGGCCCGATTCCCCTGCTTTGACTCCAGAGCCATTCCCCGTTCCCCACTCAGCACGACCGGTGGCTCGACTTCCTTCAGGCAACTCCAGAGATGCCCCGAGAACACTGTCCCAAGTCTAGAGGAACACCAACTTCAGCACAGCAACTCGAGGAATGCTCCGTGTACCCCAAATCGTCTCGAGATGAGAGCTGATTCCCTGGCTTAAGCTCAAGACATATGCCAACTTCCCAGAAGCACCTCAGGAGGAGGCTTCTCTCAGCAATAGGTATGTGGGAGGGACCCCGAGTTTGCTGCCTCAAGGGGAATATACAGCGAGAAGCCCTAACTTGAAAGGCGGCCGGATTTCCTAGCAGTGGCTTGAATACAGGCTCGTCTTTCATCTCACAACATGAAGGGATGTCTGAATCCCCTGTGGAGACCTTAGAGAAAGCCCTAGGTCCCTGCCTCATTTTGACGGAATGCCTCACATCCCGCTGACACCTCGAGAGGCACGCGGAGTTCATTGCTTCAAAAGGTGACGATGCCTGACTCCTCTTGAATACTGATAGGAATCCCAAAATCCCTGTGGCTACTGGAAAGGGTCCTTGGGTGCCCTGCCTCACCTCGAGAAGCGTCCCTTTTGCCCTGCCAAGCCTCGAAGAGATTCCTGAGGTGTCCCTCGTTACTAGACAGGAGTCCTGACGTCACTGAAGAAACTCGTGTTTTGAGGGGCCATCCCAGCCGTAAGTCGAGAACATACCCCAGGTCCCCGCCGCAACTCGAGAAAAACCATGAGACTTCCCCCTAGAGGCGAGATGAGGCCCCATTCCCCTGCAGTGCATGCAGAGCTATTCCGTGATCCCATTCAAACAAGTCAGGAGCTTCGACTTGCTTAATGGATCTCTAGACAGTCCCCAAGATCACTGTCACCAGTCTAGACGGACCCTGAGGTCACCCCAGCAACGCAAAGCAGCTCCATGTGCCCCAAATCAACTCGAGATGAGGCCCGATTCCCCTGCATTGACTCCAGAGCCATTCCCCGTTCCCCATTCAACACGACCGGTGGCTCGACTTCCTTCAGGCAACTCCAGAGATGCCCCGAGAACACTGTCCCAAGTCTAGAGGAACACCAACTTCAGCACAGCAACTCGAGGAATGCTCCGTGTACCCCAAATCGTCTCGAGATGAGAGCTGATTCCCTGGCTTAGGCTCAAGACGTAGGCCAACTTCCCAGAAGCACCTCAGGAGGAGGCTTCTCTCAGCAATAGGTATGTGCGAGGGACCCCGAGTTTGTTGCCTCAAGGGGAATACACAGCGAGAAACCCTAACTTGAAAGGAGGCCGGATTTCCTTGCAGTGGCTTGATTACAGGCTCGTCTTTCATCTCACAACATGAAGGGATGTCTGAATCCCCTGTGGAGACCTTAGAGAAAGCCCTAGGACCCTGCCTCATTTTGACGGAATGCCTCACGTCGCGCTGACACCTCGAGAGGCACGCGGAGTTCATTGCTTCAAAAGGTGACGATGCCTGACTCCTCTTGAATACTGATAGGAATCCCAAAATCCCTGTGGCTACTGGAAAGGGTCCTTGGGTGCCCTGCCTCACCTCGAGAAGCGTCCCTTTTGCCCTGCCAAGCCTCGAAGAGATTCCTGAGGTGTCCCTCGTTACTAGCCAGGAGTCCTGACGTCACTGAAGAAACTCGTGTTTTGAAGGGCCATCCCCGCCGTAAGTCGAGAACATACCCCAGGTCCCCTCCGCAACTCGAGAAAAACCATGAGACTACCCCCTAGAGGCGAGATGAGGCCCCATTCCCCTGCAGTGCATGCAGAGCTATTCCGTGATCCCATTCAAACAAGTCAGGAGCTTCGACTTGCTTAATGGATCTCGAGACAGTCCCCAAGAACACTGTCACCAGTCTAGACGGACCCTGAGGTCACCCCAGCAATGCAAAGCAGCTCCATGTGCCCCAAATCAACTCGAGATGAGGCCCGATTCCCCTGCTTTGACTCCAGAGCCATTCCCCGTTCCCCACTCAGCACGACCGGTGGCTCGACTTCCTTCAGGCAACTCCAGAGATGCCCCGAGAACACTGTCCCAAGTCTAGAGGAACACCAACTTCAGCACAGCAACTCGAGGAATGCTCCGTGTACCCCAAATCGTCTCGAGATGAGAGCTGATTCCCTGGCTTAAGCTCAAGACGTATGCCAACTTCCCAGAAGCACCTCAGGAGGAGGCTTCTCTCAGCAATAGGTATGTGGGAGGGACCCCGAGTTTGCTGCCTCAAGGGGAATATACAGCGAGAAGCCCTAACTTGAAAGGCGGCCGGATTTCCTTGCAGTGGCTTGAATACAGGCTCGTCTTTCATCTCACAACATGAAGGGATGTCTGAATCCCCTGTGGAGACCTTAGAGAAAGCCCTAGGTCCCTGCCTCATTTTGACGGAATGCCTCACATCCCGCTGACACCTCGAGAGGCACGCGGAGTTCATTGCTTCAAAAGGTGACGATGCCTGACTCCTCTTGAATACTGATAGGAATCCCAAAATCCCTGTGGCTACTGGAAAGGGTCCTTGGGTGCCCTGCCTCACCTCGAGAAGCGTCCCTTTTGCCCTGCCAAGCCTCGAAGAGATTCCTGAGGTGTCCCTCGTTACTAGACAGGAGTCCTGACGTCACTGAAGAAACTCGTGTTTTGAAGGGCCATCCCCGCCGTAAGTCGAGAACATACCCCAGGTCCCCGCCGCAACTCGAGAAAAACCATGAGACTTCCCCCTAGAGGCGAGATGAGGCCGCATTCCCCTGCAGTGCATGCAGAGCTATTCCGTGATCCCATTCAAACAAGTCAGGAGCTTCGACTTGCTTAATGGATCTCGAGACAGTCCCCAAGAACACTGTCACCAGTCTAGACGGACCCTGAGGTCACCCCAGCAACGCAAAGCAGCTCCATGTGCCCCAAATCAACTCGAGATGAGGCCCGATTCCCCTGCATTGACTCCAGAGCCATTCCCCGTTCCCCATTCAACACGACCGGTGGCTCGACTTCCTTCAGGCAACTCCAGAGATGCTCCGAGAACACTGTCCCAAGTCTAGAGGAACACCAGCTTCAGCAGAGCAACTCGAGGAATGCTCCGTGTACCCCAAATCGTCTCGAGATGAGAGCTGATTCCCTGGCTTAGGCTCAAGACGTATGCCAACTTCCCAGAAGCACCTCAGGAGGAGGCTTCTCTCAGCTATAAGTATGTGGGAGGGACCCCGAGTTTGCTGCCTCAAGGGGAATATACAGCGAGAAGCCCTAACTTGAAAGGAGGCCGGATTTCCTTGCAGTGGCTTGAATACAGGCTCGTCTTTCATCTCACAACATGAAGGGATGTCTGAATCCCCTGTGGAGAACTTAGAGAAAGCCCTAGGTCCCTGCCTCATTTTGACGGAATGCCTCACATCCCGCTGACACCTCGAGAGGCACGCGGAGTTCATTGCTTCAAAAGGTGACGATGCCTGACTCCTCTTGAATACTGATAGGAATCCCAAAATCCCTGTGGCTACTGGAAAGGGTCCTTGGGTGCCCTGCCTCACCTCGAGAAGCGTCCCTTTTGCCCTGCCAAGCCTCGAAGAGATTTCTGAGGTGTCCCTCGTTACTAGACAGGAGTCCTGACGTCACTGAAGAAACTCGTGTTTTGAAGGGCCATCCCCGCCGTAAGTCGAGAACATACCCCAGGTCCCCGCCGCAACTCGAGAAAAACCATGAGACTTCCCCCTAGAGGCGAGATGAGGCCCCATTCCCCTGCAGTGCATGCAGAGCTATTCCGTGATCCCATTCAAACAAGTCAGGAGCTTCGACTTGCTTAATGGATCTCGAGACAGTCCCCAAGAACACTGTCACCAGTCTAGACGGACCCTGAGGTCACCCCAGCAACGCAAAGCAGCTCCATGTGCCCCAAATCAACTCGAGATGAGGCCCGATTCCCCTGCATTGACTCCAGAGCCATTCCCCGTTCCCCATTCAACACGACCGGTGGCTCGACTTCCTTCAGGCAACTCGAGAGATGCCCCGAGAACACTGTCCCAAGTCTAGAGGAACACCAACTTCAGCACAGCAACTCGAGGAATGCTCCGTGTACCCCAAATCGTCTCGAGATGAGAGCTGATTCCCTGGCTTAGGCTCAAGACGTATGCCAACTTCCCAGAAGCACCTCAGGAGGAGGCTTCTCTCAGCAATAGGTATGTGGGAGGGACCCCGAGTTTGCTGCCTCAAGGGGAATATACAGCGAGAAGCCCTAACTTGAAACGCGGCCGGATTTCCTTGCAGTGGCTTGAATACAGGCTCGTCTTTCATCTCACAACATGAAGGGATGTCTGAATCCCCTGTGGAGACCTTAGAGAAAGCCCTAGGTCCCTGCCTCATTTTGACGGAATGCCTCACATCCCGCTGACACCTCGAGAGGCACGCGGAGTTCATTGCTTCAAAAGGTGACGATGCCTGACTCCTCTTGAATACTGATAGGAATCCCAAAATCCCTGTGGCTACTGGAAAGGGTCCTTGGGTGCCCTGCCTCACCTCGAGAAGCGTCCCTTTTGTCCTGCCAAGCCTCGAAGAGATTCCTGAGGTGTCCCTCGTTACTAGACAGGAGTCCTGACGTCTCTGAAGAAACTCGTGTTTTGAAGGGCCATCCCCGCCGTAAGTCGAGAACATACCCCAGGTCCCCGCCGCAACTCGAGAAAAACCATGAGACTTCCCCCTAGAGGCGAGATGAGGCCCCATTCCCCTGCAGTGCATGCAGAGCTATTCCGTGATCCCATTCAAACAAGTCAGGAGCTTCGAGTTGCTTAATGGATCTCGAGACAGTCCCCAAGAACACTGTCACCAGTCTAGACGGACCCTGAGGTCACCCCAGCAACGCAAAGCAGCTCCATGTGCCCCAAATCAACTCGAGATGAGGCCCGATTCCCCTGCATTGACTCCAGAGCCATTCCCCGTTCCCCATTCAACACGACCGGTGGCTCGACTTCCTTCAGGCAACTCGAGAGATGCCCCGAGAACACTGTCCCAAGTCTAGAGGAACACCAACTTCAGCACAGCAACTCGAGGAATGCTCCGTGTACCCCAAATCGTCTCGAGATGAGAGCTGATTCCCTGGCTTAGGCTCAAGACGTATGCCAACTTCCCAGAAGCACCTCAGGAGGAGGCTTCTCTCAGCAATAGGTATGTGGGAGGGACCCCGAGTTTGCTGCCTCAAGGGGAATATACAGCGAGAAGCCCTAACTTGAAAGGAGGCCGGATTTCCTTGCAGTGGCTTGAATACAGGCTCGTCTTTCATCTCACAACATGAAGGGATGTCTGAATCCCCTGTGGAGACCTTAGAGAAAGCCCTAGGTCCCTGCCTCATTTTGACGGAATGCCTCACATCCCGCTGACACCTCGAGAGGCACGCGGAGTTCATTGCTTCAAAAGGTGATGATGCCTGACTCCTCTTGAATACTGATAGGAATCCCAAAATCCCTGTGGCTACTGGAAAGGGTCCTTGGGTGCCCTGCCTCACCTCGAGAAGCGTCCCTTTTGTCCTGCCAAGCCTCGAAGAGATTCCTGAGGTGTCCCTCGTTACTAGACAGGAGTCCTGACGTCTCTGAAGAAACTCGTGTTTTGAAGGGCCATCCCCGCCGTAAGTCGAGAACATACCCCAGGTCCCCGCCGCAACTCGAGAAAAACCATGAGACTTCCCCCTAGAGGCGAGATGAGGCCCCATTCCCCTGCAGTGCATGCAGAGCTATTCCGTGATCCCATTCAAACAAGTCAGGAGCTTCGACTTGCTTCATGGATCTCGAGACAGTCCCCAAGAACACTGTCACCAGTCTAGACGGACCCTGAGGTCACCCCAGCAACGCAAAGCAGCTCCATGTGCCCCAAATCAACTCGAGATGAGGCCCGATTCCCCTGCATTGACTCCAGAGCCATTCCCCGTTCCCTATTCAACACGACCGGTGGCTCGACTTCCTTCAGGCAACTCCAGAGATGCCCCGAGAACACTGTCCCAAGTCCAGAGGAACACCAACTTCAGCACAGCAACTCGAGGAATGCTCCGTGTACCCCAAATCGTCTCGAGATGAGAGCTGATTCCCTGGCTTAGGCTGAAGACGTATGCCAACTTCCCAGAAGCACCTCAGGAGGAGGCTTCTCTCAGCAATAGGTATGTGGGAGGGACCCCGAGTTTCCTGCCTCAAGGGGAATATACAGCGAGAAGCCCTAACTTGAAAGGAGGCCGGATTTCCTTGCAGTGGCTTGAATACAGGCTCGTCTTTCATCTCACAACATGAAGGGATGTCTGAATCCCCTGTGGAGACCTTAGAGAAAGCCCTAGGTCCCTGCCTCATTTTGACGGAATGCCTCACATCCCGCTGACACCTCGAGAGGCACGCGGAGTTCATTGCTTCAAAAGGTGACGATGCCTGACTCCTCTTGAATACTGATAGGAATCCCAAAATCCCTGTGGCTATTGGAAAGGGTACTTGGGTGCCCTGCCTCACCTCGAGAAGCGTCCTTTTGCCCTGCCAAGCCTCGAAGAGATTCCTGAGGTGTCCCTCGTTACTAGACAGGAGTCCTGACGTCACTGAAGAAACTCGTGTTTTGAAGGGCCATCCCCGCCGTAAGTCGAGAACATACCCCAGGTCCCCGCCGCAACTCGAGAAAAACCATGAGACTTCCCCCTAGAGGCGAGATGAGGCCCCATTCCCCTGCAGTGCATGCAGAGCTATTCCGTGATCCCATTCAAACAAGTCAGGAGCTTCGACTTGCTTCATGGATCTCGAGACAGTCCCCAAGAACACTGTCACCAGTCTAGACGGACCCTGAGGTCACCCCAGCAACGCAAAGCAGCTCCATGTGCCCCAAATCAACTCGAGATGAGGCCCGATTCCCCTGCATTGACTCCAGAGCCATTCCCCGTTCCCCATTCAACACGACCGGTGGCTCGACTTCCTTCAGGCAACTCCAGAGATGCCCCGAGAACACTGTCCCAAGTCTAGAGGAACACCAACTTCAGCACAGCAACTCGAGGAATGCTCCGTGTACCCCAAATCGTCTCGAGATGAGAGCTGATTCCCTGGCTTAAGCTCAAGACGTATGCCAACTTCCCAGAAGCACCTCAGGAGGAGGCTTCTCTCAGCAATAGGTATGTGGGAGGGACCCCGAGTTTGCTGCCTCAAGGGGAATATACAGCGAGAAGCCCTAACTTGAAAGGCGGCCGGATTTCCTTGCAGTGGCTTGAATACAGGCTCGTCTTTCATCTCACAACATGAAGGGATGTCTGAATCCCCTGTGGAGACCTTAGAGAAAGCCCTAGGTCCCTGCCTCATTTTGACGGAATGCCTCACATCCCGCTGACACCTCGAGAGGCACGCGGAGTTCATTGCTTCAAAAGGTGACGATGCCTGACTCCTCTTGAATACTGATAGGAATCCCAAAATCCCTGTGGCTACTGGAAAGGGTCCTTGGGTGCCCTGCCTCACCTCGAGAAGCGTCCCTTTTGCCCTGCCAAGCCTCGAAGAGATTCCTGAGGTGTCCCTCGTTACTAGACAGGAGTCCTGACGTCACTGAAGAAACTCGTGTTTTGAAGGGCCATCCCCGCCGTAAGTCGAGAACATACCCCAGGTCCCCGCCGCAACTCGAGAAAAACCATGAGACTTCCCCCTAGAGGCGAGATGAGGCCGCATTCCCCTGCAGTGCATGCAGAGCTATTCCGTGATCCCATTCAAACAAGTCAGGAGCTTCGACTTGCTTAATGGATCTCGAGACAGTCCCCAAGAACACTGTCACCAGTCTAGACGGACCCTGAGGTCACCCCAGCAACGCAAAGCAGCTCCATGTGCCCCAAATCAACTCGAGATGAGGCCCGATTCCCCTGCATTGACTCCAGAGCCATTCCCCGTTCCCCATTCAACACGACCGGTGGCTCGACTTCCTTCAGGCAACTCCAGAGATGCTCCGAGAACACTGTCCCAAGTCTAGAGGAACACCAGCTTCAGCAGAGCAACTCGAGGAATGCTCCGTGTACCCCAAATCGTCTCGAGATGAGAGCTGATTCCCTGGCTTAGGCTCAAGACGTATGCCAACTTCCCAGAAGCACCTCAGGAGGAGGCTTCTCTCAGCTATAAGTATGTGGGAGGGACCCCGAGTTTGCTGCCTCAAGGGGAATATACAGCGAGAAGCCCTAACTTGAAAGGAGGCCGGATTTCCTTGCAGTGGCTTGAATACAGGCTCGTCTTTCATCTCACAACATGAAGGGATGTCTGAATCCCCTGTGGAGAACTTAGAGAAAGCCCTAGGTCCCTGCCTCATTTTGACGGAATGCCTCACATCCCGCTGACACCTCGAGAGGCACGCGGAGTTCATTGCTTCAAAATGTGACGATGCCTGACTCCTCTTGAATACTGATAGGAATCCCAAAATCCCTGTGGCTACTGGAAAGGGTCCTTGGGTGCCCTGCCTCACCTCGAGAAGCGTCCCTTTTGTCCTGCCAAGCCTCGAAGAGATTCCTGAGGTGTCCCTCGTTACTAGACAGGAGTCCTGATGTCACTGAAGAAACTTGTGTTTTGAAGGGCCATCCCCGCCGTAAGTTGAGAACATACCCCAGGTCCCCGCCGCAACTCGAGAAAAACCATGAGAATTCCCCCTAGTGGCGAGATGAGGCCCCATTCCCCTGCAGTGCATGCAGAGCTATTCCGTGATCCCATTCAAACAAGTCAGGAGCTTCGACTTGCTTAATGGATCTCGAGACAGTCCCCAAGAACACTGTCACCAGTCTAGACGGAACCTGAGGTCACCCAGCAATGCAAAGCAGCTCCATGTGCCCCAAATCAACTCGAGATGAGGCCCGATTCCCCTGCATTAACTCCAGAGCCATTCCCCGTTCCACATTCAGCACGACCGGTGGCTCTACTTCCTTCAGGAAACTCCAGAGATGCCCCGAGAACACTGTCCCAAGTCTAGAGGAACACCAACTTCAGCACAGCAACTCGAGGAATGCTCCGTGTACCCCAAATCGTCTCGAGATGCGAGCTGATTCCCTGGCTTAGGCTCAAGACGTATGCCAACTTCCCAGAAGCACCTCAGGAGGAGGCTTCTCTCAGCAAAAGGTATGTGCGAGGGACCCTGAGTTTGTTGCCCCAAGGGGAATACACAGCGAGAAGCCCTAACTTGAAACGATGCCGGATTTCCTTGCAGTGGCTTGAATACAGGCTCGTCTTTCATCTCACAACATGAAGGGATGTCTGAATCCCCTGTGGAGACCTTAGAGAAAGCCCTAGGTCCCTGCCTCATTTTGACGGAATGCCTCACATCCCGCTGACACCTCGAGAGGCACGCGGAGTTCATTGCTTCAAAAGGTGACGATGCCTGACTCCTCTTGAATACTGATAGGAATCCCAAAATCCCTGTGGCTACTGGAAAGGGTCCTTGGGTGCCCTGCCTCACCTCGAGAAGCGTCCCTTTTGCCCTGCCAAGCCTCGAAGAGATTTCTGAGGTGTCCCTCGTTACTAGACAGGAGTCCTGACGTCACTGAAGAAACTCGTGTTTTGAAGGGCCATCCCCGCCGTAAGTCGAGAACATACCCCAGGTCCCCGCCGCAACTCGAGAAAAACCATGAGACTTCCCCCTAGAGGCGAGATGAGGCCCCATTCCCCTGCAGTGCATGCAGAGCTATTCCGTGATCCCATTCAAACAAGTCAGGAGCTTCGACTTGCTTAATGGATCTCGAGACAGTCCCCAAGAACACTGTCACCAGTCTAGACGGACCCTGAGGTCACCCCAGCAACGCAAAGCAGCTCCATGTGCCCCAAATCAACTCGAGATGAGGCCCGATTCCCCTGCATTGACTCCAGAGCCATTCCCCGTTCCCCATTCAACACGACCGGTGGCTCGACTTCCTTCAGGCAACTCGAGAGATGCCCCGAGAACACTGTCCCAAGTCTAGAGGAACACCAACTTCAGCACAGCAACTCGAGGAATGCTCCGTGTACCCCAAATCGTCTCGAGATGAGAGCTGATTCCCTGGCTTAGGCTCAAGACGTATGCCAACTTCCCAGAAGCACCTCAGGAGGAGGCTTCTCTCAGCAATAGGTATGTGGGAGGGACCCCGAGTTTGCTGCCTCAAGGGGAATATACAGCGAGAAGCCCTAACTTGAAACGCGGCCGGATTTCCTTGCAGTGGCTTGAATACAGGCTCGTCTTTCATCTCACAACATGAAGGGATGTCTGAATCCCCTGTGGAGACCTTAGAGAAAGCCCTAGGTCCCTGCCTCATTTTGACGGAATGCCTCACATCCCGCTGACACCTCGAGAGGCACGCGGAGTTCATTGCTTCAAAAGGTGACGATGCCTGACTCCTCTTGAATACTGATAGGAATCCCAAAATCCCTGTGGCTACTGGAAAGGGTCCTTGGGTGCCCTGCCTCACCTCGAGAAGCGTCCCTTTTGTCCTGCCAAGCCTCGAAGAGATTCCTGAGGTGTCCCTCGTTACTAGACAGGAGTCCTGACGTCTCTGAAGAAACTCGTGTTTTGAAGGGCCATCCCCGCCGTAAGTCGAGAACATACCCCAGGTCCCCGCCGCAACTCGAGAAAAACCATGAGACTTCCCCCTAGAGGCGAGATGAGGCCCCATTCCCCTGCAGTGCATGCAGAGCTATTCCGTGATCCCATTCAAACAAGTCAGGAGCTTCGAGTTGCTTAATGGATCTCGAGACAGTCCCCAAGAACACTGTCACCAGTCTAGACGGACCCTGAGGTCACCCCAGCAACGCAAAGCAGCTCCATGTGCCCCAAATCAACTCGAGATGAGGCCCGATTCCCCTGCATTGACTCCAGAGCCATTCCCCGTTCCCCATTCAACACGACCGGTGGCTCGACTTCCTTCAGGCAACTCGAGAGATGCCCCGAGAACACTGTCCCAAGTCTAGAGGAACACCAACTTCAGCACAGCAACTCGAGGAATGCTCCGTGTACCCCAAATCGTCTCGAGATGAGAGCTGATTCCCTGGCTTAGGCTCAAGACGTATGCCAACTTCCCAGAAGCACCTCAGGAGGAGGCTTCTCTCAGCAATAGGTATGTGGGAGGGACCCCGAGTTTGCTGCCTCAAGGGGAATATACAGCGAGAAGCCCTAACTTGAAAGGAGGCCGGATTTCCTTGCAGTGGCTTGAATACAGGCTCGTCTTTCATCTCACAACATGAAGGGATGTCTGAATCCCCTGTGGAGACCTTAGAGAAAGCCCTAGGTCCCTGCCTCATTTTGACGGAATGCCTCACATCCCGCTGACACCTCGAGAGGCACGCGGAGTTCATTGCTTCAAAAGGTGATGATGCCTGACTCCTCTTGAATACTGATAGGAATCCCAAAATCCCTGTGGCTACTGGAAAGGGTCCTTGGGTGCCCTGCCTCACCTCGAGAAGCGTCCCTTTTGTCCTGCCAAGCCTCGAAGAGATTCCTGAGGTGTCCCTCGTTACTAGACAGGAGTCCTGACGTCTCTGAAGAAACTCGTGTTTTGAAGGGCCATCCCCGCCGTAAGTCGAGAACATACCCCAGGTCCCCGCCGCAACTCGAGAAAAACCATGAGACTTCCCCCTAGAGGCGAGATGAGGCCCCATTCCCCTGCAGTGCATGCAGAGCTATTCCGTGATCCCATTCAAACAAGTCAGGAGCTTCGACTTGCTTCATGGATCTCGAGACAGTCCCCAAGAACACTGTCACCAGTCTAGACGGACCCTGAGGTCACCCCAGCAACGCAAAGCAGCTCCATGTGCCCCAAATCAACTCGAGATGAGGCCCGATTCCCCTGCATTGACTCCAGAGCCATTCCCCGTTCCCTATTCAACACGACCGGTGGCTCGACTTCCTTCAGGCAACTCCAGAGATGCCCCGAGAACACTGTCCCAAGTCCAGAGGAACACCAACTTCAGCACAGCAACTCGAGGAATGCTCCGTGTACCCCAAATCGTCTCGAGATGAGAGCTGATTCCCTGGCTTAGGCTGAAGACGTATGCCAACTTCCCAGAAGCACCTCAGGAGGAGGCTTCTCTCAGCAATAGGTATGTGGGAGGGACCCCGAGTTTCCTGCCTCAAGGGGAATATACAGCGAGAAGCCCTAACTTGAAAGGAGGCCGGATTTCCTTGCAGTGGCTTGAATACAGGCTCGTCTTTCATCTCACAACATGAAGGGATGTCTGAATCCCCTGTGGAGACCTTAGAGAAAGCCCTAGGTCCCTGCCTCATTTTGACGGAATGCCTCACATCCCGCTGACACCTCGAGAGGCACGCGGAGTTCATTGCTTCAAAAGGTGACGATGCCTGACTCCTCTTGAATACTGATAGGAATCCCAAAATCCCTGTGGCTATTGGAAAGGGTACTTGGGTGCCCTGCCTCACCTCGAGAAGCGTCCTTTTGCCCTGCCAAGCCTCGAAGAGATTCCTGAGGTGTCCCTCGTTACTAGACAGGAGTCCTGACGTCACTGAAGAAACTCGTGTTTTGAAGGGCCATCCCCGCCGTAAGTCGAGAACATACCCCAGGTCCCCGCCGCAACTCGAGAAAAACCATGAGACTTCCCCCTAGAGGCGAGATGAGGCCCCATTCCCCTGCAGTGCATGCAGAGCTATTCCGTGATCCCATTCAAACAAGTCAGGAGCTTCGACTTGCTTCATGGATCTCGAGACAGTCCCCAAGAACACTGTCACCAGTCTAGACGGACCCTGAGGTCACCCCAGCAACGCAAAGCAGCTCCATGTGCCCCAAATCAACCCGAGATGAGGCCCGATTCCCCTGCTTTGACTCCAGAGCCATTCCCCGTTCCCCATTCAGCACGACCGGTGTCTCGACTTCCTTCAGGCAACTCCAGAGATGCCCCGAGAACACTGTCCCAAGTCTAGAGGAACACCAACTTCAGCACAGCAACTCGAGGAATGCTCCGTGTACCCCAAATCATCTCGAGATGAGAGCTGATTCCCTGGCTTAGGCTCAAGACGTATGCCAACTTCCCAGAAGCACCTCAGGAGGAGGCTTCTCTCAGCTATAAGTATGTGGGAGGGACCCCGAGTTTGCTGCCTCAAGGGGAATATACAGCGAGAAGCCCTAACTTGAAAGGAGGCCGGATTTCCTTGCAGTGGCTTGATTACAGGCTCGTCTTTCATCTCACAACATGAAGGGATGTCTGAATCCCCTGTGGAGACCTTAGAGAAAGCCCTAGGTCCCTGCCTCATTTTGACGGAATGCCTCACATCCCGCTGACACCTCGAGAGGCACGCGGAGTTCATTGCTTCAAAAGGTGACGATGCCTGACTCCTCTTGAATACTGATAGGAATCCCAAAATCCCTGTGGCTACTGGAAAGGGTCCTTGGGTGCCCTGCCTCACCTCGAGAAGCGTCCTTTTGCCCTGCCAAGCCTCGAAGAGATTCCTGAGGTGTCCCTCGTTACTAGACAGGAGTCCTGACGTCACTGAAGAAACTCGTGTTTTGAAGGGCCATCCCCGCCGTAAGTCGAGAACATACCCCAGGTCCCCGCCGCAACTCGAGAAAAACCATGAGACTTCCCCCTAGAGGCGAGATGAGGCCCCATTCCCCTGCAGTGCATGCAGAGCTATTCCGTGATCCCATTCAAACAAGTCAGGAGCTTCGACTTGCTTCATGGATCTCGAGACAGTCCCCAAGAACACTGTCACCAGTCTAGACGGACCCTGAGGTCACCCCAGCAACGCAAAGCAGCTCCATGTGCCCCAAATCAACTCGAGATGAGGCCCGATTCCCCTGCATTGACTCCAGAGCCATTCCCCGTTCCCCATTCAACACGACCGGTGGCTCGACTTCCTTCAGGCAACTCGAGAGATGCCCCGAGAACACTGTCCCAAGTCTAGAGGAACACCAACTTCAGCACAGCAACTCGAGGAATGCTCCGTGTACCCCAAATCGTCTCGAGATGAGAGCTGATTCCCTGGCTTAGGCTCAAGACGTATGCCAACTTCCCAGAAGCACCTCAGGAGGAGGCTTCTCTCAGCAATAGGTATGTGGGAGGGACCCCGAGTTTGCTGCCTCAAGGGGAATATACAGCGAGAAGCCCTAACTTGAAAGGAGGCCGGATTTCCTTGCAGTGGCTTGAATACAGGCTCGTCTTTCATCTCACAACATGAAGGGATGTCTGAATCCCCTGTGGAGACCTTAGAGAAAGCCCTAGGTCCCTGCCTCATTTTGACGGAATGCCTCACATCCCGCTGACACCTCGAGAGGCACGCGGAGTTCATTGCTTCAAAAGGTGATGATGCCTGACTCCTCTTGAATACTGATAGGAATCCCAAAATCCCTGTGGCTACTGGAAAGGGTCCTTGGGTGCCCTGCCTCACCTCGAGAAGCGTCCCTTTTGTCCTGCCAAGCCTCGAAGAGATTCCTGAGGTGTCCCTCGTTACTAGACAGGAGTCCTGACGTCTCTGAAGAAACTCGTGTTTTGAAGGGCCATCCCCGCCGTAAGTCGAGAACATACCCCAGGTCCCCGCCGCAACTCGAGAAAAACCATGAGACTTCCCCCTAGAGGCGAGATGAGGCCCCATTCCCCTGCAGTGCATGCAGAGCTATTCCGTGATCCCATTCAAACAAGTCAGGAGCTTCGACTTGCTTCATGGATCTCGAGACAGTCCCCAAGAACACTGTCACCAGTCTAGACGGACCCTGAGGTCACCCCAGCAACGCAAAGCAGCTCCATGTGCCCCAAATCAACTCGAGATGAGGCCCGATTCCCCTGCATTGACTCCAGAGCCATTCCCCGTTCCCTATTCAACACGACCGGTGGCTCGACTTCCTTCAGGCAACTCCAGAGATGCCCCGAGAACACTGTCCCAAGTCCAGAGGAACACCAACTTCAGCACAGCAACTCGAGGAATGCTCCGTGTACCCCAAATCGTCTCGAGATGAGAGCTGATTCCCTGGCTTAGGCTGAAGACGTATGCCAACTTCCCAGAAGCACCTCAGGAGGAGGCTTCTCTCAGCAATAGGTATGTGGGAGGGACCCCGAGTTTGCTGCCTCAAGGGGAATATACAGCGAGAAGCCCTAACTTGAAAGGAGGCCGGATTTCCTTGCAGTGGCTTGAATACAGGCTCGTCTTTCATCTCACAACATGAAGGGATGTCTGAATCCCCTGTGGAGACCTTAGAGAAAGCCCTAGGTCCCTGCCTCATTTTGACGGAATGCCTCACATCCCGCTGACACCTCGAGAGGCACGCGGAGTTCATTGCTTCAAAAGGTGACGATGCCTGACTCCTCTTGAATACTGATAGGAATCCCAAAATCCCTGTGGCTATTGGAAAGGGTACTTGGGTGCCCTGCCTCACCTCGAGAAGCGTCCTTTTGCCCTGCCAAGCCTCGAAGAGATTCCTGAGGTGTCCCTCGTTACTAGACAGGAGTCCTGACGTCACTGAAGAAACTCGTGTTTTGAAGGGCCATCCCCGCCGTAAGTCGAGAACATACCCCAGGTCCCCGCCGCAACTCGAGAAAAACCATGAGACTTCCCCCTAGAGGCGAGATGAGGCCCCATTCCCCTGCAGTGCATGCAGAGCTATTCCGTGATCCCATTCAAACAAGTCAGGAGCTTCGACTTGCTTCATGGATCTCGAGACAGTCCCCAAGAACACTGTCACCAGTCTAGACGGACCCTGAGGTCACCCCAGCAACGCAAAGCAGCTCCATGTGCCCCAAATCAACCCGAGATGAGGCCCGATTCCCCTGCTTTGACTCCAGAGCCATTCCCCGTTCCCCATTCAGCACGACCGGTGTCTCGACTTCCTTCAGGCAACTCCAGAGATGCCCCGAGAACACTGTCCCAAGTCTAGAGGAACACCAACTTCAGCACAGCAACTCGAGGAATGCTCCGTGTACCCCAAATCATCTCGAGATGAGAGCTGATTCCCTGGCTTAGGCTCAAGACGTATGCCAACTTCCCAGAAGCACCTCAGGAGGAGGCTTCTCTCAGCTATAAGTATGTGGGAGGGACCCCGAGTTTGCTGCCTCAAGGGGAATATACAGCGAGAAGCCCTAACTTGAAAGGAGGCCGGATTTCCTTGCAGTGGCTTGATTACAGGCTCGTCTTTCATCTCACAACATGAAGGGATGTCTGAATCCCCTGTGGAGACCTTAGAGAAAGCCCTAGGTCCCTGCCTCATTTTGACGGAATGCCTCACATCCCGCTGACACCTCGAGAGGCACGCGGAGTTCATTGCTTCAAAAGGTGACGATGCCTGACTCCTCTTGAATACTGATAGGAATCCCAAAATCCCTGTGGCTACTGGAAAGGGTCCTTGGGTGCCCTGCCTCACCTCGAGAAGCGTCCTTTTGCCCTGCCAAGCCTCGAAGAGATTCCTGAGGTGTCCCTCGTTACTAGACAGGAGTCCTGACGTCACTGAAGAAACTCGTGTTTTGAAGGGCCATCCCCGCCGTAAGTCGAGAACATACCCCAGGTCCCCGCCGCAACTCGAGAAAAACCATGAGACTTCCCCCTAGAGGCGAGATGAGGCCCCATTCCCCTGCAGTGCATGCAGAGCTATTCCGTGATCCCATTCAAACAAGTCAGGAGCTTCGACTTGCTTCATGGATCTCGAGACAGTCCCCAAGAACACTGTCACCAGTCTAGACGGACCCTGAGGTCACCCCAGCAACGCAAAGCAGCTCCATGTGCCCCAAATCAACTCGAGATGAGGCCCGATTCCCCTGCATTGACTCCAGAGCCATTCCCCTTTCCCCATTCAACACGACCGGTGGCTCGACTTCCTTCAGGCAACTCCAGAGATGCCCCGAGAACACTGTCCCAAGTCTAGAGGAACACCAACTTCAGCACAGCAACTCGAGGAATGCTCCGTGTACCCCAAATCGTCTCGAGATGAGAGCTGATTCCCTGGCTTAGGCTCAAGACGTATGCCAACTTCCCAGAAGCACCTCAGGAGGAGGCTTCTCTCAGCAATAGGTATGTGGGAGGGACCCCGAGTTTGCTGCCTCAAGGGGAATATACAGCGAGAAGCCCTAACTTGAAAGGAGGCCGGATTTCCTTGCAGTGGCTTGAATACAGGCTCGTCTTTCATCTCACAACATGAAGGGATGTCTGAATCCCCTGTGGAGACCTTAGAGAAAGCCCTAGGTCCCTGCCTCATTTTGACGGAATGCCTCACATCCCGCTGACACCTCGAGAGGCACGCGGAGTTCATTGCTTCAAAAGGTGACGATGCCTGACTCCTCTTGAATACTGATAGGAATCCCAAAATCCCTGTGGCTACTGGAAAGGGTCCTTGGGTGCCCTGCCTCACCTCGAGAAGCGTCCCTTTTGCCCTGCCAAGCCTCGAAGAGATTCCTGAGGTGTCCCTCGTTACTAGACAGGAGTCCTGACGTCACTGAAGAAACTCGTGTTTTGAAGGGCCATCCCCGCCGTAAGTCGAGAACATACCCCAGGTCCCCGCCGCAACTCGAGAAAAACCATGAGACTTCCCCCTAGAGTCGAGATGAGGCCCCATTCCCCTGCAGTGCATGCAGAGCTATTCCGTGATCCCATTCAAACAAGTCAGGAGCTTCGACTTGCTTAATGGATCTCGAGACAGTCCCCAAGAACACTGTCACCAGTCTAGACGGACCCTGAGGTCACCCCAGCAACGCAAAGCAGCTCCATGTGCCCCAAATCAACTCGAGATGAGGCCCGATTCCCCTGCATTGACTCCAGAGCCATTCCCCGTTCCCCATTCAACACGACCGGTGTCTCGACTTCCTTCAGGCAACTCCAGAGATGCCCCGAGAACACTGTCCCAAGTCTAGAGGAACACCAACTTCAGCACAGCAACTCGAGGAATGCTCCGTGTACCCCAAATCGTCTCGAGATGAGAGCTGATTCCCTGGCTTAGGCTCAAGACGTATGCCAACTTCCCAGAAGCACCTCAGGAGGAGGCTTCTCTCAGCTATAAGTATGTGGGAGGGACCCCGAGTTTGCTGCCTCAAGGGGAATATACAGCGAGAAGCCCTAACTTGAAAGGAGGCCGGATTTCCTTGCAGTGGCTTGAATACAGGCTCGTCTTTCATCTCACAACATGAAGGTATGTCTGAATCCCCTGTGGAGACCTTAGAGAAAGCCCTAGGTCCCTGCCTCATTTTGACGGAATGCCTCACATCCCGCTGACACCTCGAGAGGCACGCGGAGTTCATTGCTTCAAAAGGTGACGATGCCTGACTCCTCTTGAATACTGATAGGAATCCCAAAATCCCTGTGGTTACTGGAAAGGGTCCTTGGGTGCCCTGCCTCACCTCGAGAAGCGTCCCTATTGTCCTGCCAAGCCTCGAAGAGATTCCTGAGGTGTCCCTCGTTACTAGACAGGAGTCCTGACGTCACTGAAGAAACTCGTGTTTTGAAGGGCCATCCCCGCCGTAAGTCGAGAACATACCCCAGGTCCCCGCCGCAACTCGAGAAAAACCATGAGAATTCCCCCTAGAGGCGAGATGAGGCCCCATTCCCCTGCAGTGCATGCAGAGCTATTCCGTGATCCCATTCAAACAAGTCAGGAGCTTCGACTTGCTTAATGGATCTCGAGAGAGTCCCCAAGAACACTGTCACCAGTCTAGACGGACCCTGAGGTCACCCAGCAATGCAAAGCAGCTCCATGTGCCGCAAATCAACTCGAGATGAGGCCCGATTCCCCTGCATTAACTCCAGAGCCATTCCCCGTTCCCCATTCAGCACGACCGGTGGCTCTACTTCCTTCAGGCAACTCCAGAGATGCCCCGAGAACACTGTCCCAAGTCTAGAGGAACACCAGCTTCAGCAGAGCAACTCGAGGAATGCTCCGTGTACCCCAAATCGTCTCGAGATGAGAGCTGATTCCCTGGCTTAGGCTCAAGACGTATGCCAACTTCCCAGAAGCACCTCAGGAGGAGGCTTCTCTCAGCAATAGGTATGTGGGAGGGACCCCGAGTTTGCTGCCTCAAGGGGAATATACAGCGAGAAGCCCTAACTTGAAAGGCGGCCGGATTTCCTTGCAGTGGCTTGAATACAGGCTCGTCTTTCATCTCACAACATGAAGGGATGTCTGAATCCCCTGTGGAGACCTTAGAGAAAGCCCTAGGTCCCTGCCTCATTTTGACTGAATGCCTCACATCCCGCTGACACCTCGAGAGGCACGCGGAGTTCATTGCTTCAAAAGGTGACGATGCCTGACTCCTCTTGAATACTGATAGGAATCCCAAAATCACTGTGGCTACTGGAAAGGGTCCTTGGGTGCCCTGCCTCACCTCGAGAAGCGTCCCTTTTGCCCTGCCAAGCCTCGAAGAGATTCCTGAGGTGTCCCTCGTTACTAGACAGGAGTCCTGACGTCACTGAAGAAACTCGTGTTTTGAAGGGCCATCCCCGCCGTAAGTCGAGAACATACCCCAGGTCCCCGCCGCAACTCGAGAAAAACCATGAGACTTCCCCCTAGAGTCGAGATGAGGCCCCATTCCCCTGCAGTGCATGCAGAGCTATTCCGTGATCCCATTCAAACAAGTCAGGAGCTTCGACTTGCTTAATGGATCTCGAGACAGTCCCCAAGAACACTGTCACCAGTCTAGACGGACCCTGAGGTCACCCCAGCAACGCAAAGCAGCTCCATGTGCCCCAAATCAACTCGAGATGAGGCCCGATTCCCCTGCATTGACTCCAGAGCCATTCCCCGTTCCCCATTCAACACGACCGGTGGCTCGACTTCCTTCAGGCAACTCCAGAGATGCCCCGAGAACACTGTCCCAAGTCTAGAGGAACACCAACTTCAGCACAGCAACTCGAGGAATGCTCCGTGTACCCCAAATCGTCTCGAGATGAGAGCTGATTCCCTGGCTTAGGCTCAAGACGTATGCCAACTTCCCAGAATCACCTCAGGAGGAGGCTTCTCTCAGCTATAAGTATGTGGGAGGGACCCCGAGTTTGCTGCCTCAAGGGGAATATACAGCGAGAAGCCCTAACTTGAAAGGAGGCCGGATTTCCTTGCAGTGGCTTGAATACAGGCTCGTCTTTCATCTCACAGCATGAAGGGATGTCTGAATCCCCTGTGGAGACCTTAGAGAAAGCCCTAGGTCCCTGCCTCATTTTGACGGAATGCCTCACATCCCGCTGACACCTCGAGAGGCACGCGGAGTTCATTGCTTCAAAAGGTGACGATGCCTGACTCCTCTTGAATACTGATAGGAATCCCAAAATCCCTGTGGTTACTGGAAAGGGTCCTTGGGTGCCCTGCCTCACCTCGAGAAGCGTCCCTATTGTCCTGCCAAGCCTCGAAGAGATTCCTGAGGTGTCCCTCGTTACTAGACAGGAGTCCTGACGTCACTGAAGAAACTCGTGTTTTGAAGGGCCATCCCCGCCGTAAGTCGAGAACATACCCCAGGTCCCCGCCGCAACTCGAGAAAAACCATGAGACTTCCCCCTAGAGGCGAGATGAGGCCCCATTCTCCTGCAGTGCATGCAGAGCTATTCCGTGATCCCATTCAAACAAGTCAGGAGCTTCGACTTGCTTAATGGATCTCGAGACAGTCCCCAAGAACACTGTCACCAGTCTAGACGGACCCTGAGGTCACCCCAGCAACGCAAAGCAGCTCCATGTGCCCCAAATCAACTCGAGATGAGGCCCGATTCCCCTGCATTGACTCCAGAGCCATTCCCCGTTCCCCATTCAACACGACCGGTGGCTCGACTTCCTTCAGGCAACTCCAGAGATGCCCCGAGAACACTGTCCCAAGTCTAGAGGAACACCAACTTCAGCACAGCAACTCGAGGAATGCTCCGTGTACCCCAAATCGTCTCGAGATGCGAGCTGATTCCCTGGCTTAGGCTCAAGACGTATGCCAACTTCCCAGAAGCACCTCAGGAGGAGGCTTCTCTCAGCAATAGGTATGTGCGAGGGACCCCGAGTTTGTTGCCTCAAGGGGAATATACAGCGAGAAGCCCTAACTTGAAACGCGGCCGGATTTCCTTGCAGTGGCTTGAATACAGGCTCGTCTTTCATCTCACAACATGAAGGGATGTCTGAATCCCCTGTGGAGACCTTAGAGAAAGCCCTAGGTCCCTGCCTCATTTTGACGGAATGCCTCACATCCCGCTGACACCTCGAGAGGCACGCGGAGTTCATTGCTTCAAAAGGTGACGATGCCTGACTCCTCTTGAATACTGATAGGAATCCCAAAATCCCTGTGGCTACTGGAAAGGGTCCTTGGGTGCCCTGCCTCACCTCGAGAAGCGTCCCTTTTGCCCTGCCAAGCCTCGAAGAGATTCCTGAGGTGTCCCTCGTTACTAGACAGGAGTCCTGACGTCACTGAAGAAACTCGTGTTTTGAAGGGCCATCCCCGCCGTAAGTCGAGAACATACCCCAGGTCCCCGCCGCAACTCGAGAAAAACCATGAGACTTCCCCCTAGAGGCGAGATGAGGCCCCATTCCCCTGCAGTGCATGCAGAGCTATTCCGTGATCCCATTCAAACAAGTCAGGAGCTTCGACTTGCTTAATGGATCTCGAGACAGTCCCCAAGAACACTGTCACCAGTCTAGACGGACCCTGAGGTCACCCCAGCAACGCAAAGCAGCTCCATGTGCCCCAAATCAACTCGAGATGAGGCCCGATTCCCCTGCATTGACTCCAGAGCCATTCCCCTTTTCCCATTCAACACGACCGGTGGCTCGACTTCCTTCAGGCAACTCGAGAGATGCCCCGAGAACACTGTCCCAAGTCTAGAGGAACACCAACTTCAGCACAGCAACTCGAGGAATGCTCCGTGTACCCCAAATCGTCTCGAGATGAGAGCTGATTCCCTGGCTTAGGCTCAAGACGTATGCCAACTTCCCAGAAGCACCTCAGGAGGAGGCTTCTCTCAGCAATAGGTATGTGGGAGGGACCCCGAGTTTGCTGCCTCAAGGGGCATATACAGCGAGAAGCCCTAACTTGAAAGGAGGCCGGATTTCCTTGCAGTGGCTTGAATACAGGCTCGTCTTTCATCTCACAACATGAAGGGATGTCTGAATCCCCTGTGGAGACCTGAGAGAAAGCCCTAGGTCCCTGCCTCATTTTGACGGAATGCCTCACATCCCACTGACACCTCGAGAGGCACGCGGAGTTCATTGCTTCAAAAGGTGACGATGCCTGACTCCTCTTGAATACTGATAGGAATCCCAAAATCCCTGTGGCTATTGGAAAGGGTCCTTGGGTGCCCTGCCTCACCTCGAGAAGCGTCCTTTTGCCCTGCCAAGCCTCGAAGAGATTCCTGAGGTGTCCCTCGTTACTAGACAGGAGTCCTGACGTCACTGAAGAAACTCGTGTTTTGAAGGGCCATCCCCGCCGTAAGTCGAGAACATACACCAGGTCCCCGCCGCAACTCGAGAAAAACCATGAGACTTCCCCCTAGAGTCGAGATGAGGCCCCATTCCCCTGCAGTGCATGCAGAGCTATTCCGTGATCCCATTCAAACAAGTCAGGAGCTTCGACTTGCTTAATGGATCTCGAGACAGTCCCCAAGAACACTGTGACCAGTCTAGACGGACCCTGAGGTCACCCCAGCAACGCAAAGCAGCTCCATGTGCCCCAAATCAACTCGAGATGAGGCCCGATTCCCCTGCTTTGACTCCAGAGCCATTCCCCGTTCCCCATTCAACACGACCGGTGTCTCGACTTCCTTCAGGCAACTCCAGAGATGCCCCGAGAACACTGTCCCAAGTCTAGAGGAACACCAACTTCAGCACAGCAACTCCAGGAATGCTCCGTGTACCCCAAATCGTCTCGAGATGAGAGCTGATTCCCTGGCTTAGGCTCAAGACGTATGCCAACTTCCCAGAAGCACCTCAGGAGGAGGCTTCTCTCAGCTATAAGTATGTGGGAGGGACCCCGAGTTTGCTGCCTC